GATGAAAACCATTTATAGAAAACGATGATTTACTCGCAATCATGTTATTGTACAGTTTGGCAGCAAGTTTTGAAAATTTTAGAGTGGCGATTGAAAGTCGTGATGTATTGCCAACGCCTGACAACTTACGAACGAAGATAACGGAAGAGTATGATGCTAGAAAGAATACGACAACGTCGAATTCGAATCAGGGTGCTATGTACGTTCAGAAGAATAAGCAGAAAAACAAGAGGTAGAAAACTATCATGTTGAAGAAAGAAAAGAAAGAGAAGATTTTCAACTTCAAGTGCTCCAGGTGTCATCAACAAGAACATAGACAGGCTCAATGTCCACTCAGAAAAGTGAACAACAACAGTTCTGCGAGTTCTCTTTTCTCAACCGAAAATAGCCATGTCTGGACCCGATCATCCAGAGTGGATTGAAGCTACGGCTTCGGAAGTGAAATCCTTAATTAAAAACAATACTTGGTATTTGATAGACAGGCCAGGGGGTCAGCGGATCATTGAAAGTAGATTTGTTCTACAGAAGAAGTATAAGCCGGACGGCACAATAGACAAGCGCAAGGCTAGCGTGGTGGCTCAAGGGTTTGGTATGAAACCTAAGATAGACTTTCAGGAAACGTTTACTCCCGTGGCAAGATTGGCTTCTATACGTGCTGCGGTTGCAGTAGCTTTCTCTAAAGACATGAAGATTCGGCAACTCGATATAACTACAGCTTACCTGAATGGAATTATCAAAGAGAAGATCTTTATGGAGGCTCCGAAACATTTAGAAGAAATACTTGACCAGAACGACAATCAGAGAAGAAGCAAGAAAGATGATGGAGCAAATGCGTAAAGGCGACTAAGATTGGAGCAATCGATTGGATGACGAACTCCGAAGTCTTGGAGCGGTTCCATCCGATGGAGATCCTTGTGTATACGTCGTCCAGGCATCGAACGTCACAAGTTTTATAGTCATTTATGTTGACGATATATTGATTATGTCGGGCAGTGAAGTCGAAATCGAACGACTGAAGAGTTGTCTTTGTCAAAAGTTTGAAGTCAAAGATTTGGGGGATTTTCAGTACTGTCTAGGTGTTGAATTTGACAGAACGGGCAATTATCTAACTATTAGCCAGCGGGGATACATAGACGATTTACTTGAGAAATTTGACATGAGTCATTGCAATCAAGGAAACAGCGGTCTGTGGCTCTTTCATCGACAGAGGCTGAGTATATGGCCTAACTGATGCGGCAAAAGAGGCCATTTACATGAAGAAATTACTGAAGAGTCTCGGTGTTAACCTTGAGACGATAATTTTGAAGAATGATAACATTGGCGCTGAAAAGTTATCGGGAAACCCAATTTTTCACGCTCGTTCGAAGCAGGTGTCTTTAAATTTTAAGATTAAATTTCTTGAAAACGGTCCGTTTAACAATCTACCTGTTCACGCATTGAAACAAATATGGTCTTGGAAAGGTAAGGGTGGCGAGTAATCTTGATTGACTGTTTTATGCTGGGTGCAATTTCCGAAATGGTCGGAAATTGTACAGCTGCAATTCCCATTAATTGGAGTCATTTGCAAATATCTTTCGCCGTACTTCACGCAGGTTATTCATGAACACTCCTGGCTTAAAAAATTCAAAATACAATCCAACTATAACAATGGCGTAGTAATCTTTAATATTAACTATCATAACAACCCGCTCCATCCCTCATTGTACCTATAGTAGTGGCAAGCAAAAGTGGCAGACCTAACTTTTAAAGCTACCATAGGATTATCATGCACTTTTGTTAAAAAATGTTTATTACTCTTCTATTTATGAATAAACGGCACGGGAGCGAGATGAAGATGAGTCAGATTGAAAATAGGACCTGGCCAGGGATACTCCTTGACGAACAAAAGCGATAAACCCAACTTTTAAAGCCACCGTAGAACTACCATAAAAGTATGAACTACCGTCAAATAATATTTATTGCCCTTTTATTTTTAAATAAACACGGAATTTTCGGAATATCATTGTATTATTATTTACCTGCCACCTGCGTACAGACAAACGGTAGGTATATTGAATGTTACTTGACCATTAGTTAACATTGACTATTCTGGATGACGACCTGGCTCTTTCCGTTTGATCATCCCCAATGAAAATTTATTGACTTCATGTCATAATTTTATGAAGTCTTATTTAAAATATAGGAGTAATAATATACTTCAATACCTGTTTTATTTTCTGCCCCTATTTTTAACCATTTGCATGTAAGTTTAAGTTAGAAACTTAAATTTTTTTACACGTTTTAAATTCATCCTGAACATGGTAATCATAATCAAATTTTATACCTTACTTACCTTAAAAAAATGGACTTACTTGTCTGTACTTCAGAGGCGAGGGAAGGTCTGCCTAGATCAGTTTTTACTTCTTGAGCGTAAGCTAAAAGGAAGTAAAGCGGACGAACGGCCACTTTATGTTTTCTCTGTGTCAATTTTTATTAGACACGTAATTTCCGGACTACTGGACCGATTGTTATCAAATTTTGTGTGTATATTAAAAATATCACGCAGATGGTTAAATGCTAACCAAAATTTGACTAATCATCCCCACCAACATTTTGATGACATTATTTCAAAGTAGAATCGAAATTAAGAATTCTATTTTAAAATGATTTAAATGTATACTTTGACCAGAACTCTTTCCGGTGTCTGCCTCAGGTGACTAATTTTTATGAGGGCTTAACTTAAGAGTTGCAAATTTGCCGCAGTCGAGATGGCTGGCAGGGAGTTTGTTAAGATGAACTGTAATGAAAATTTTACTGCCATCTGTATTACTCGGGGTAAGTAGACAAATTTACAACGGTGGGTGGTTAAGGCCTTCTAAAAATTAGTGACAGTTAATAGACGCTTGAGGCACATTCCGCACAAGAGTTCTGGTTAAGTATAGACAGAATATATTCCTGTACTTTTGATGCACGAATTCGCTTTGAATTTTTTTCCCGAAACGTACAAATGTTAACAAAAAAATAACACAGTTGACCAGTAGCATAAGATACATGGTCCTCGGCTCAGTGGGTTCGTCTCAATATGCCAACCTGCGGATCGCACGTTCGATTCCAAAAACTTGGCCGCTTTCTTTTTTTCTTTCGCGTTGTGTATCTATGATTATGACGTCATAACAACTTTTTTATTAATCTATTTAAGAACGAGTCACCCCATTTTCTCGAATAAGTGATAATAGGCACGTTTTTATTCAATAAGAATTATAATAATAATGTTCAAAACATTCTGTTCGACTGTGGCTTAATTGATAATTTTAGTGTTCTGTTTGAGGCGACAAACTTATTCAAATCAAACAAATTCCTACGTTTCTTCCGAAGTATAAACACACTTGAAGTTAATTAAAGCTTGTTTTTATTGCTGAGAGACCATTTTTGCAGTATGATAATTTGTGTTTTGGGCTAATATGATAGTAATTTGGAACATTGTAGTTCCTGCACTAGCACGAATCAATCACAATCCAATTCAACTGTGTTTTGAGATAATATTATGATCACAAATTACATTGATATACGGTAACATTCATTTTTATATATGGTCCGGTATTTCAGTGCTTTAAATGAGTTGAAGGGCATAGGCAAGGGAGTTTACTGGTTGCGAGGATAGAATATAAATTCGAAAATAAATTCCAATCGTGATAGCAGCTCCACTAGGTGACTTAAGTGAAATCGACAACTTTTTGTTGGCCATTAAAAAAATATTCTTTTGTCCAATGGTGTACGTATAATTTTCGTGCATTATTGTTGTGAAGTATTATTCAATGCACTTTTTTAACGAGCTTTAAAATTGCAAACAACAGTTTTACTAAAAAGCATTTATTACAATACAAATTTGTCACATAATGAATACAAATTAACACTATATAGATATTGTGAACGTTGAAAGTGAAAATGTGTTCTTGATGTTTCAGTGGAAAATGTAGTGACCTGTGCTGTTAATGGACTAGCGCATAAATGAATGAAAACAATGGACAGTTACATTGATTCCTTATTTCTTTCTTCCGTCTATGGTTGTCACTTCAACAAGGAACTAACTATACGACACTGCAGATCTTCAACATCTAAGGGAACTGCAAGATTATTATCAATAGTAATATTTCGACTGCACGTCAAATTGTCAACAATTTTAATTTTCTCGAGTGCGCGAATGCGAAAATTATGTGACAATTTAATTTGCACGAGCGGATATTTTGCAGACTATTTCCTGAAAAAAAAAGTACTCGAGCAAAATCGATGTGAAAATAAATAGTCTGACTCCAGTTAAAGTAAAAATTTGGTACAAGGCTATTTAGATAGAACTTCCCTCGCCCTTGAAGTACAAACCGACAAATCCAGCTCTTTAAAAAAATTATAAAATTTAATTTTACAATTTCCATTTGTAATATCCTCTGTATAGTAAAAAGCAGCGACAGCATCATACGGACAATGTAAAATGTATTTAAAGCGAAAATGACGTGAATCATATTCTATAAAATTATTATTTAATAACTAAATATTTTTTTTATTTATTTAACTATCACATTTTTTTCGAGTTTTTCAGAGCCTTAACAACGTACCATCGAACTTATCCGTCATTTTTTGATCAGCCTATATACAGGGTGATTCAGTTTAAATAATCTACTTACCTCTTTCTTATAGGGACCCCATCATATCCGCTTACTTGGTGATTAAAAATTTAATTTTCAAAATGCCCTGAATCCAAGTTTGCTTTCTTTTTTTGAAACGTCAGTGTCACTGTTACATACATAAACGTAAGACATTTTAAATTAACGGTTATCATTTTCCGATAGAACACAACATTCTCGATGTGACCACCTTTCTTCATAAGCTCCAGTTGTGTCCATAAAAAAATATCTCTGGCGTTCCCACATTTCGGAACTAATAATATGGACCGACGTACTTGTCCAATTCGTTTTTTAGTTGGGAAATAATTTTTCTGTAATTTGAAATAAAAAAAAACGAACAAATAAAATACAAGCGTAGGTAGGTTTACTCAAATTATTTAAACAGAATTATCTACTGGAACATATATCACAGCCTCCTAAAAATATATGAACAGCAAAAAATATCACATTTCACCATATATCTAAAATAGTCAGTCACAAACATATTTTCCTTAAACTTATTGCGATTTATAAAAACTATTGCTTTCTTATTTAACATGAACCGTAAATATTTTTATGGGAAAAATATCTGTCTTTATAAAAATAAAATTCATTATCGCTTTCAGGCATCAAATGGTTAAAAGGTTAATTTTTATATCCTTTCTTCCAGACGGTATCTTTTAAATAAACCAACTGACCACTTGCAATCAAATCTTCAATTAGGTCAGTAAAACCCAGTTCACTTGCAATTCTATATTTCATGTGAAGTGAGTTTAGTCTATTTAAAATATTTTTCATGTATTTAACCTCGTTCACTGAATTCACATTAGAATGAACAAATTTTCTGGAAATATCGTGAACCAATGTGTCCGTCAGTGGCAAATGTTGTAAAAAACCTTCCAAAAAAATCACATTATTCTTCACAACATACTGTTCGTAAAGGACTAAAGCCCAATCTGGATGAAAGTTGTAGGCATCGACGAGAATTAACGACTGTTGAAAACTGCAACATTGATATAATAAAGTTTTGAAGTATAAACTAAATCATTACTTACTTGAGTTTTGTTGAAATAAGGTCACCAATTTGGTGCTTTTTTAAATTTAATAAACACCTTACTGACGTATTTTGAGGCACTTCGTTTAAAAGGGACATCTGTAACGCTATCAGCTCTGCTTGTTTTGCGGAATTCGCAGCTTTTGTAAGTCTTTCGCCTTGTAAATGAAAGTCAGTAGCGTGAATGTAGTTTTCCATAGCCTAAAAATGTATCTTCTCTAACACCAAAACATTTAATATTTAAAAACTTACTTTATTCAAACAGATTTTTGTACTTTCTGTGTTTTGCAGTAAAATAAAAGGTTCTTCCTCTACAGTTACCCTATTATTTTGCATTTCTAATATGGAAACTGATATCAAATTCTTTATAACATTTTGTGCTTCACGTTCCCATAATAGTGCAACCTCTGAAAACAGTGCAAAATGTAACGCCACAATTTTGTAAAGATCTTTATTATCTGGGCAATATTTCTTGAGATATTCTAAGAGCGCTACTTTGAGCGTATTGTCCTTTCTGAAACCTTTTCGAAGTAAATATTCAAATTGGTCGTTTTCTTTTAGAATTTGAAAAACGTAATTCATTTCCGTATATCTGGCAACTCCTGTTAAAAGTCTAACCATTAATTTCCAGTCTTGTAGAAACAATAAGTTGGAGACAATTTCTTTGCATTTTTTTAGAATTATGGAAATTCCCTCCATGTTGCAATCAGTGGTGAAACAGTCATGAGCTCTTATAAGCAGTTCAATTATGAGCGCTAAATCGGATATTTGAAAAACCTGTGTGGATTCTACGTGTGCTTTATGCAAAGTACTTGCGTATGAGTATAATTTATAACCTAATAATGAACAACTATCTTGGAGAAGCTGAAGAACCAACTGAAAATCTTGGTCCATATTTAAATCCCACATTAGTAGATGGTCGATGGTCAAGTTTGTATATGATGTAACTGCATTTACTATTTCTTCACAAATGAAGTCGGCAATCTAAAAAGTTTTAAAAACTCATGTTAGAGTTCAAATACCCCATTTAAAAAACACAGTGAATTAAACAAATAGTCGAAAGTTATGTTCCAGTTTCCTGGTCAAATTATAAAATTTGAATCTGTATTTTTTTTATCTTAATTCTTATATGTTAAATTAAAAATAACGCTTACGTTCAAGAAGTAAAAATAAAAGTGTATGAAGAAACTATATGTATACAATATACATACATGCTGTTTTGAACATTTCAAATATGGTTAATTTTACAAAATTTTAAAATTACGTCATCTGTTTTTGGAAGACAATACTCTGCTCGAAAGGTTTCAAAAATTATTTGCATAGTACTTGTCCAATAAAATTGTCAACAAATGACAGAAAAATGGTTACAGAAGACCCACTTTTTCATGTTCTAGGAATTTTAAAACATTAAGAAAATATGAAATTCCTCATGCGTCGAATGAACCCTACTACGAAATCTAAACAAAAACTTACCTCATGCTTAGACCACTTGTAAGCTAAAATAAAATCATGAACAACATCGAGTTTATTCGCACAATTATCTTCCAATGCGTCTTTTAAAACTTTCATGTAATCTGTGGTCACGACAACAATATGATATGGGAACTCTATGTTGATGCTGATTCTATAATACATAAAAATATTTTGTGCAATTTCTACTCCATTATGTAAGTGCTCAGTAAGTAATTTCAATACTGCCAAAGTATCATTTGTGTATGATTCAATATTTTCTATTCTTTCCATTTGTAATGAGGCTGCTGGACTATGTGAAGCTAAAAAAATGTGTTAGGTCACCTTAACGAATTTTTAGTACACTTACAAGAACTGATACTTGAAAATTTTGTTGATAAAAATGTTCTTCGATGACTGTAAGTTCTTAAATAGTTCACATTTGAAAGCAATAATCTCTGTTCTGCACTTAATTGATATGGTAATAGAATGCCCTCTGCTAAGCTACAGCACAATTTCAAAGTTTCCAAGTCCGTGTTCTTACAATTAAATATTTTCTGCAGTTTCAAAGCTAACCAAAAGTTATTTTTGTTTAAAACAAATGCGAGAATACTTTCCAAGACACTCATAAAGTCTTTGTTTAACTCTCCTTCATATGGAGTAATATCTTTCACTAATTCAATAAGGTCTTTGTATAAGTACGTGTTAGCTTTAATATCGAATACGTCAAGATTCCTATGTTTTTCTTCAAGATATAAGAATGCAAGCCACATTTTCTTCTCCAATTCATATTGACAGGTTAACTCATATTTGCTCGCCCATTCGCAAGCCATTTTCAACAAAGTAAATTTTTCTAATAAGTCAGAGATTTTTTCTGAACAATCTATGTAAAAATCAACAACACAATCAGCTGTAACGTGATACTTAGTAAAGGTCTCATTGCAAGTATTCCAGAAATTCTGATCACTTTGATCATTCATTTTACTTTGCCATTCTTTCACAAGAATTAAATCTGGTGGTAAATTTTCAATTTGCGCTATCTGTAAAGCTAACTGATACTGTTGCCTCTCCAGTAGTTTGTTAATACAATTTATAATTGCCTGTCGACTATTTTTTGAATCAAGCATAATACTTAAGTCCAAGCCAACTCCACTGTTGTTATAATACAGGGTTTCTAGGATTTTCAAAACATTAGTGAAACTAGGATGTTCGCAAGATAAGTACGTCCAAATTTTAATTTTACACAAGTTCCGCACTACTAATATTTGTTCATATAAAGAATTGCAATTGTACTCTAACAAAGCTGCCAAAAGCTTCAATGCTGTTAATTCTATCCATATTTTGTTGTTTAAGTAAGTCATCTCATGGTCAGTGTCCGAAATAATGCTATTTTTACGAGACATTTTCAATAAGCCTTCAAATGAACTGAGTTTTTGAGTTAAAATTGTATTGTTAAAATTTAATTGGAAACAATAGGTCCAAAACTCCATAAATATTTTCAAGGGATTTTCCTAAAAGAAAAATGTAACATTAGTGTGACCAATGTTTAGTTTAAATCGAGTTTTGTTAGCCACGTTTTCTTGTCTATTCCCTGACTTAAGTATAGTATTTAATTTTCTTCAGTTCTATTAATTCTTCCATGAGTTTATTGTTAAGTAAAATTGATTCCTATACGAGCAGAAAAAAAATAATGCACTTACCGGTAGAAATATTTCAAAACTTTCCAGGACAGTTTTAGGGTAACGATGTTTAAGACAATTATCTAATAAATTAGTTACTGAATTTGCTGATAATGCGGTGGTCTCATAATTTGTAAAAACTTTACATGTTTCACACGAAACTGAAAGCCATGTTAACCAGTTTGTAACCAAGGAATCAGGCTAAAAAGAAAAAAATAATCATTTTATTTCACGTATTTATATATCAAGTTACTTCGTAACTCGTGGCCAGAATAGCTAACAGTGGGTTGCGATACAACTGACTCGCTTGTAATAAAGCTTTTGGTGGATCAGTGCTATTGTGACACCTAATTAAGGTCTGCAGTAACGTGGCCTTAATATTCGATATATCTATTTCAAACAGATCTGAACTTGTCGAACTTCCTCCACTTTCACGACTCGATTGTGACTTGACTGAGAGTGATGACTGTGGATCTACTGTCTCAACACATCGTCGAACACCAACTTTTGAGAGTAAATATTTCCGAGAGTCTCTTTCGCGAATCAAAATATTTGTTTCTTCTAAGTGTATATCGTTAACTACACCATGAGTCAAATGTTCTAACATATTTGGGCTTTTAAAAAACTGAATAAGTAATTTAATTTGATCTAATGGGTACTCATGCAGCTGAGCCAACAGTAAAAAAGGTAGCCACAAGTTATTGCTAGCACAATATCGCAGAAAAGATTCAGGAAATTTTATATTGTTGAATTTACTGTATTGAATGATAATTTCATACACTTTGAATGCTTCTATTAAGTCGGAACTAGTCGCAAAAAGGTTCGTTTCGATTTTTTCCATCAGTACCATTTCAAGCATTTTTTGTACAGTATGTGGGTCGTCTTCGCTGTTCAACACTAATTCTACAGGTGATGCTTTATGCTCTCCATGTAATAAGTTCGCTGTTCGCGTCAGTACTCGGATTTTTGTTGAATCAAGTCCAATTATTTCTGAGAATACCACACAACTTGAACTAATTTCAGTGCAATTAAAATTTGCTACCGCAATATTTGAATTTTCTTTTTCGACTTTCTTGTCATTTTCGTCAAGTGTACCGCTTTTATCTGTTTCTAGTTCACTGATGGTGAATAATTTAGCAGCAATACTTGGGCGTGATTCCTTAAGATAAAATTTGTAACCTACTACTTTTGCATAACCATAGCTAGATACATTTTTCACATAAAACTTTGATAATTCATCATTTTTAAACTGAAACTCAAATAACGATTGGCTATCAAGTCCTAAATGATTTGTAATTAAATCATAAAGTTTCAAAGTGCACTTTGGCGATCCGTTTAACTTATTGGAAACAATGTCGTGCAAAATGTGGAAATATTTTAGTATACTCTCGAGACAATCATTTAGTTTTACGTTATTGACCATTAATGTTTCTTTGGTTAATATAGCACTTGGTGCATTAATTTTTTTTGTAAAAAATAATAAGGACAAAACTATGACCGGATTCGCGTAAAAATAATTTAAAATATCAGTTGACAATACACTAGACATATTAAAAATATTCTCACATAAACGTATTTCATCAAAATTATTTACCAATGACCGAAAGCCACAGATTAAATTTATCTCTTCATTCTTTCCTATTGTGGGCAGAATTTTAAATTTTTCGAGACAAGTATTCAAGACAATCAAATATTTATGTTCTAAACAATGCTGAATTAGAAGACAAAGAAAGTTGTCAAGATTTAAAACTGATGAAGGTTTTTCAAATACATTGTACAAAAAAGGCATACTGAACGAATCTTTCAGTCTTTTTAAAATTGTGATCACATCATTTCGATCCTCACTTCGAAATATTCCAAATTTACTGAGCTCATTATATACTGCACTTTTTATATTTTCTGAAATATTTAACTCTTGACTTGCAACTACTTCTATCATTTGGTTTGTTATGGGAAACTTTTTAAACAGTTCGGTTAAATTTCCTTCTACTAAATCATCAGCACTTAAGTTATATCTGATGTTCACCCACATTAACAAATTGTGTAAATCATTATTAATTAGCAAGTGTTTCCAAAGTATATCACTATGTAAAAATCTGGTGAGACGAGGATCTGAAAGTTTGAAATATATTAAATGTTTAAAAGTTAAAATTAAATCACCTTCTGTTTTTAGAAACAAAACTATAGCCATTTCTGACTTTACATCATTTGATGTTTTGTCTAAGCATTCTAAGCTTTTGATTGGTACACTATATTCAAGAAATAAGTCTTCATTGTCCAAAATTAACGTTAAAAATGACCACAAATGTTGCAGATTTTCGTCCATTTCCTCTGCTTTCATTAAATGATTGCCAACGTACTCACGTAAATTTTGATCAGATGTTGTATAAAAAATTTTTGAAAACTCAGAACTTGCATCAAGATCTACATTTTTTAATACATGTGATGCCTTAAAAATTTGTTTTCGATCCAGAAGTTCGTACACCCATTTTACAACCTGCAAGAATTCATTTCAAAAAATGTTATGCCATACAATACTTTTGTTACTTCTTCTTTAAACCAAAGTTGAGCGTCATCAAACTTAACTTCCTTACGAAGGGACAAAAATGTAATGGCTAAGTTGACGTGTAGCCCTTTTGCTGCCGCTTCTCTGGCTACTTCTTTGTCGCCAATATTAATCCAACCATGCCACACACGAACAGTTTCTTTGTTTAAAGTTGTAGGAGGTGCAGGGTTCATTTTCCTACAATAGTGTCTGATAATTTTTTCCTTCTATATGTAAAGAAGTAAAAAGTAATTTGCATTACCTGATATTGTATTACAACTCTTGATACGTATTGTTTTTTTTAACAGCAAGAGGGACATTTATAATAATTAATTCGTACAGTATTTATTTCGTTCATATTATTAGTCATCAACACAGGTCGTTAATCAGTCACGATTATTTATGACCACAGCACGAACAGATAACTGTCGTAGAGTTTTTTGTTATTCTAGAATTGTTCTTGAATTGGTTGAAAATCTCATGCACTTAGGCGAAACCACGGGACTTATAGACGAAACTGAAGAGTTCGGACTTCGTTTTTAAACTAATTGCTGAAATAATTCCATTCTGTACAGTTTACATTGATTAAAAAATACATGTGTGTAATATGTATCTCTTTAGGTCAACACATTCTATGGGCATAGAATACACTACAAGGTCACTCTGCAATCTACATAAGTTTGGTTATGTTTACAACACAAGTGTTACACAACCCGTCACCTGTCACTGTCATTCCGGTGACAGCCGTGTTACGGTGTGATTCCGGTCATTCATGAGAGCATGAGTCATTCCGTCATTCCTATGAACTCTGAGACAAAACATGACAAAACTTGGCGATAAAAAAGTGGGATGTTTTTAGACAAAGATAGCTTTGTAAATCTAGTAATTTGATTGGCAATCAATTTCGTATATGCAAAGATCTCTAATGAAAATGAATGAATGAAATTTGACAAAAACATTTGATTAAGTAATAATTAAGTTTTAACTTCAATAATCCGCATCAACAAGAGGCGATAATCTCACCTCAGTGACAGCTAAATGTCACCTGTCGGTGTTGTATCATAACCTCAAAAACTGTTCTGTGCTCAAAAATACAATATTTTTTTTAGTATGTTGGTCGAGGAAAAGGATGAAAACATTCCATCGTAATTTAGTAATATTGGTCCAAATTTTTGTATTAAGTAATTTTATGTTTTAGAGAGCTGCAACGGAATCCATACACAGAGACTGTAACTCCACTCACCAACGGCCTTTTGAAGACCTACGGCCCAAGTTTAACTCAAGTTAAGAACGCGTTAAGTGAATTAACGTAAGTACTTGACTTACTATAAACTTCTCTGATTTCTCGATTATAGGGAGAAAGAGTCCACACTTCTAGAACAAGTCCACAGTGAAAATTTGGCCTTAGCTGAATCCCAGCATTCAGATGACTTACACACAATGTTCGCCAAAATTGAGACGTATCAAACAAAACTGGTTAACATAAAAAAGGAAATGAAACACCTTCACGACAAAAGCGTAAAGTTGAAAGTACTTAGTTTCTTCTCCACATTCTTTACAGACTTTAGCACTGACATTTTAGAAACGTGCCTTAAAACTCCAACAATTCCGTGAAAAGCAAGATTATATTAAGCAGCAAAAAGAGGCCAATATTAAACAAGAAGAAGATCTCATTGTAAAGAAGTAATACTAATACATATATTCACGTAAAAAATATAATTATAAAAATAATCTTCAAAGTTGGCCACCTCATTGTGGCCTTCCAACAAGCACCATGGTGAACTTTGGTGGTTTATGCTATACAGCGCTCGAAGTTATCTTCAATTTCGCCGGCGTAATAACCTGGAAAATGTATTGTAAATTAAGCGTCTGCGTCTGTATTGAAAAAATCTATTTTTCATAACTTCACCAGCGGCAAAAGCACATCTTTGCATAAATCTGATATTTGCCTTCTCAGTTCTGCAAGTCCTCCCTTCTGTTAAGTGAGTGACTATGACTATGGTTTGGACGGGACTCCAAATCGGACCAATCCCAAATATTTATTTAGTTATTAGTTGTGTATTACTGGTTGTATGAAACCTGTTTGTTTTATTTTTGTATAAAATTTTGTCTTTATATTTCTGACAATTTTCTAAAATAATCCAAAAGCAGAAATTGTTTAAATTCATTGATTTAATCCACATATCAATATACACCAAAAATTTGAAGACTTGTGAAGAGTCGGATTCGAAAGTTGAGGTTAAGTTCCTCGTACTCTAATAACATGATACGACACAAAAGAGGGCACAAATAATACATAGATTCTCTTGTAGTTTTAGTTGTCCAAACAGAAATATAAATGCATGACCTGTGTGCTTGACACTTCGTTAGTTCGGTCAAGCTGGAACGATTTGGCTAAACGTGTGAAACAAAACTAAGGTAAAACAACTAATAACAAAATTAAAAAATTGTTGTATGTAAAAGAATGATGATGAAAACGTGCGCGAAACACTGGAGCGGGAATCACGCATGCCATTGCCTGATGACGAGATTTAACACGATAAAACAAAAAGCAAAGAAAAGAAACCAGACAAAGGGTGATGACAATTTTGGGCATATGATAGGGACATAAAATACTAGCTCATTCCATATAAGTTTATCCAGACCATTGCACAAATCGAGGGCTAGTGGAATTTGCCGTTATGACTCCCATGCAAGCTTCATGACGGCGTACAGTTGGCTCCAGAAAAAACTGTACATATTGCCTTCATTAGAATGACTTTTGTACAGATTAACAGATGATGCTGCAGAAGTACAAGTTTTCCATTTTTTGAAACATTGATAAACTAGGCGTGTTCTTACCCGTTATTTTCGTCTGTAGGGAATGTTTTTGAGGCATTGCAGAATTTGTTTTTTAAAATAACATAACTTATGTACCTATTATGTTTACGTATTCTTAGTTCTTCACTACACGTCTCAACCAATCTTATTATTATTATTATTATTATTTAACTATCTCTGCCACTACACGTTTTCCTTGTTGCAGTTGCTACAGTTATTCTTGCATCTACAATTGAACGGCGCATTTCCTTTGATTCTAGTTCGTTTCATTAGTTTTCAATGGAGAATGACGAAGAATCATATAATTTCTGCAAAAATTTACCAAAAATTGTTAGTATACAAATAGCACAAAATGAGAAAACAAACTACTTTTCGTATTACAGGAATTGCACGCCCATTTAAATGGTTCTCTTAGTGCATCAATTTTGCAAAAACTAGGTTGTTCCAGTGAAGATATACTAGGATACCAAAAATTAACTCAGCAGGTATTTGCTCAAGAGAAAAGATTACAAGAATGTTTTTCTTTATTTAAAATAGCACATAATTCTACAAACAACAGAAAAGCCGTTTATGAAGCTACCAAGTATGTGGTGGAAGAATTTCGTGCTGATAATGTCATCTACCTTGAACTTCGAACGACACCAAGAAGGGAAGAAAATATGACGAAAATTGATTACATTGAAGCTGTTGTAAAAGGAATTCAAGATGCACAAGAAGGTATAATTACAAAATTACTGCTGTCAATTGATAGAGGGCATGATTTGAAGACATCAGAAGAAAGCATGGATGCAATTATAAAAATGAAAAAGAAATACCCAAGCATCATTAAGGGTGTTGATTTTTGTGGTAACCCTAACGTAGGATCTTTTAACTGTAGTCTCTTCAAACAGGCTCGTGACAATGGCTTATTTGTCACTTTGCATTGTGCGGAAGTGAAAAACAACAGTGAAGTTGACCAGATACTTAGATTTGAACCAGATAGAATTGGACATGGTACTTTTATACATCCAAAGTATGGAGGGTTTCAAGAAGGATGGACATTATATAAACAAAAAATCATACCGTTAGGTAAGTATAATATACACCATTACTGGAGCAATACTTACTGGATTTTTATGTTTAAAAAAACTTTATTGTTCAGGGTAATTTTAAAATTAATCATATATCCATTGTTTTGATGCACCATGTACATATAAACACTATAAAAAATAAGAGTAAATGTATAAAGAAAAATACATTTTCTTTCTCCTTTCACTTCTTTCAGTTAAGATTAACTTTGCAAAATTTTGAGAAGACGTCGTCATATAACTCAAAAGTTAACAGTTCTTAACAGGCACAATAATTTATTCGCATTTTAAGTAGAATTTAGTTACCAAAATTTTAAGATAACCTAATCACTGTTTGGGTGGAAGGTAAACAAACAAATGACAAACAACTGAAAACGATGGACCTACTTTTTCATATTCTAAGATCTACTGGCACTTTTTTGATTTCAGAATGCTGTTTAACTTCCAATGTCTTGTGTGGAACCGTTCAGTGCTATAAGGAACACCACTTGCAAGAATGGATAAAAAATTCTTTACCATTTAGTTTATGTGTAAGTACGTATTTTTTATGTCGTTCAAATTCAAAGTTAACACTATTTTAGACTGACGATAAAGGAGTGTTTGGAATAAGCCTTTCCAAAGAATTAGCCTTGGCAAAAAAATATTTTGAATTAAGCAGAGAACATTTATGGAAGATAACGTACGACACTGTAGATTACTCATTTGCATCAAACGAAGAAAAAAAGACTTTGAAGGAAATATTGGAGAAGTGGAAATTAAAAAATCTCTTCTAACAAAACAGTTTATATATTTCACATTATAAAAAATACAATAAATAACTTATGTTAAATACTTTTAAATTAGATTATGAGATCGGTAATGACTGGGGACATGGCTGTTGAAACACCTTACATCAAAGTGCTTAATAATAATAGTTACCTATGTCACAAGTCACTACCTTAAAATCAATATGACTTTTGAGTGTTGTATTTTAAACTCAATTATTTAAAAACTGCTTTTTATGCCTGTTAAATGTGAGTATTTTTCAACTCCAGTCAGAAGAAAACTACCACTTGAAAACAATTTTGAAGTTAACGGTGATATTAATCAATAAGGGCACATCACAATTTTGTCACATAGATTTTTTAACTACCTCTGAAAGTACCTATAGGCATAGCTGCCTTCTATAGACATCAAAATACTAAAACATTACAACTATATACCCGTTCTCAAGTGATTGGTTGATTTGTAATTAATCTTGCTATTTTAATACCATTAACACTAATGTAAGTCATTTGCACGTTAAAACAAAGTTAAAAGTTACATCTTTTTTAAAGATAGCCCAGTAATTAGTTACCTAACAAGTGGTAATATTTCAAGATAAAATCGATATTCTTGTTTTTGATTTTCCAGTTAACTACTAATTTCTATAAGTAAACCATTGGTAGCAACCAGGCATAAGACGCACACTTGTAATAAAAATATATGAATCGCAAATTCATTAATTTTTACAGTAGTGATTTTTACTTGAGTTGACTTATTTTTTTCTTACTTTTACCAGTGATTAAAAAAATATCTCGTTAGGAATTTCATCCCAACCTTAAAATGACAAGTGAGTCATGTCAGTGTTAACCTATAAGAGATGATTAATGTATAATTATAATTTTAAATGAATCGTAATAAATTAATGCAAACTACAAAAAACTTGAACACAGGATAAATTGGAAACGAATGGAAACTGAATATATTTATGCTTTAATTAATTAATTTCAATCTGTATGTATTGTAATAAATCGCATTAAAACCATTTTTGTTACACCATAAAACTTTGGAGTTTTGGGCCATATAGTATCATATTCTACCCTGTATTCCTTATTACCATTAATGATGATTACTGTTAAAGTGGTCACTAAAGAGCAGTTTTTTAATTAATGTAAATTTTAATTTACATGGAAGTATTTGAACATGCGCAACACGTATCCGTTTTTTAAAATACTGAGTTTTATCGTTTCTTAAAATCCTATGATAATGGATATTATAACTAACAGTAATAAATTTTGTATAAGGCCAACTTACAAGCACAGCAGGTACTAAAATGCATTTCTCTTGTGATGGAGCATGGGGTAGCATCTATAAAGTATTTCAATCTACTTACAGACAAATTTTAGCCTCATTGTGGCGATATAAACTAAAGATAAATAAAATATAAAAATATCAACAACAAACAAAATTATATATATACCTATAAATGCGACAGTTGGTCTCGCTGTGTTTTATTTAAACATTATGTTTGATAATTAAACACAGTTTTATTTCATTATTTAAGACAACTATATCTAAAATATATACATGCGGTACAAATTTCAACGCGAAAGACTTGGGTTCCTGTACTTGCGAACAAATTATAAAACCGTATAACAAACTTATAAGATTTCCTATTCCAACAACTCTACAGTATCGTCATACAGAATCAGCAGCTTTTCCTAAAGTAGGTTTTCTTAATTTACGATCTCTGGGGCTATCAAATACTGGAACTCGTGACTTGTCAATATACAGATATTTTCGTGTTTCTAATTACACTGGGACTTGTATGTATATTTTAAGGGGATATTCTATGGCACCATATACAACTGACCTATTGTTTAAATCCTTTAAGTTATATTCTTCAAGAACAGATTCCTGTTTTTCAATATACAACATAAAATGACGCATTGCAATTCATGAACATTACTGAATGCGCAGGTCGGTTTTATATGTCTTTACGATTGGTGTTCCTTTTATAAATCTTAATCGCTATAGAGGGTATTGAAGTTTGAGTTTTGAAATTTGATTATTCACTTCATACATAAGTTGATTTACATATTATATAGCGTTAGGACATTCTCTTTTTGCTGATTTTGAATTTTTTAGCTGACAGTTCTGTTTTTTATTGCTTACGAATTTCTGATCTTAATTTTTTGGGGGTGAGTGTTTAAAGTCTGAAATTTTTTATTGGTTTTAATGTAATTAGGTCACAGCCAAGTAAACTGTCTTTGGTCTCAATGTAGTTGACACGAAAAACTTTCCTTAGAATACTTTTTAAAATTTGCTTTTACCAAATTTCTGAAGTCTTTCACTACTCAGTTGCTAATGCTCAGTCTCCGTTTTATTTTCGGAGTAGTTTTGTCATAACATATTGTGTTGTGTGTTTTTTGCTTGCATTATGACGTAGGTACAATAAAACGAACTAAACACATAGGGCGATGGTCTGATAGGTGAGCTTCTTAAGTCTTAGTAAAGGACTTTAGTTTTATTAAGACTCAGTTTTGCATACTAACCGGTGTCAGTAACAGTTTTTAAATAAATTACATACTTAGCTGCGTGTAAGCACTACAACATTTTTAGTATTCAATGTATACTCAGAGCATCCAAGACGATAATGTAACATCTTTAAACGTGAAGAGCACTGATAACTTAAAAAAAAAAGTTAAAAAATAACATGACTGATTAATTAAATGTTACTGGGAAAGCTAAGTATTTTGTAATTTTTGTTAATGGGGTTAATTTCACTTAATAAGTCATACGCAAATATAGAATTTTACAGCAAAACCCAGAGAGCTCTAGGGTGCCTACTTTGTATTTTTTAATAATAATAAATCATCCAATTTAGTTCAAATGCACTTCTCAAAAATTTAGCGAAACAAAATACACTTAGTTTTTGCATCCATTTCTTTTATCTTGTCCGTTACCATTTACTCTGCTGGACAAAAATCATTTTATGCAGAATAAACTTGAATTTAAGTTCAACCAACTCCCTGAACTATAATATGGATTTAACTAGACCGGTGGTTTAAAACTAGAGCAGCAGAACAAAATTTTTCTAAGCACCTAACAGCACTTGACCCACATTGTGAGCTTGAATTTGGACTTATAGATGTCGCGACAACACTGTGCCACAGATTTTAAAGTAAGAAAGCCAGAAAGTTCCATATTTACAAATGTCACAAAACAAATAACTACTTTTCTCGCCTTTGAAGCATAATCACCATCGGTGTTGGTTGTGTTTCAGAAATAATTAGTTCGGCGTAAATAACTTTATTCATAATCGTTTATATTTTTTACCAAAGAAACATTAAATTAAAAAATAGTGGAACGTTCTGAAATCCGATTTATAGTAAAAACAAGTGACTTATTATTATAATGTTTTGTAGACAAAATGTTAAATTGAAGGTTTACGTACGAAATTTTGTGAAGACGTCATCAATTTTTTGTTACCTTGTATATTTATAATTTATATACTTTATTTATACGTAATTTTCATAAAATAAATTTGTTCACACTTTGATTTCTTAATGATTATTTAATTGGATTTTTCTTTCGAGATGACGTTATAAAATTGCTGGAGGAAAATAAATTTTAATGAATGTTCTATAAAATAAAAATAATGTATAAAAAAAAGCATTGCTTTAAGAAATCGGAATCAATACAATAAATCAGTTTAAAACGTATCGTATTGATCACAATGAAAATTTAATATACATATTGTGCGTAATGTTTAACAAACACCAGTCTTTAAATTTTACTAACAGACGAAAAACACGTATATTTTAAATCGCTAAATATGAAAAGTGTTTTATTTTAGCGGGTAGTTGGAGGAGCTAAATTTTCCACTTTGAGTAAGCAATAAATTGTGTATGTAATTTTTCGTTTATAATTACTCACCTGTTTGTACAACTTTTTTGGACCAAGATTAAACATTCATTTAACTATAGAATTTCAGCAGTAGTTGGTTCATAATAAACAAGATAAGTAATATGGTTAGTATATTAAAAAACAAACAATATTCTAGATTATTATAATACTCATCTTGGTTTTTTACGCTACAGAATTTATTGGGTCAATTTATGTATTCTCAGTATTGTTTAAAACTGAGTTAAAAAATCTGAAATATAATTCTTAATTCGTTAAACTCATGATACAATATTAGTAAAGCTGAAACAAAATCCACATAACAATTTATCTTGGCACAGTCATAAATTTGTATCTCTTTAATAATAAAGAAATTTGTCATTACCTTCCATCTCATAATGTAAGTAATATTAATGGCAGTAATAAATATTAGGTTACATGTTTAAATCAACTCATTTTCAAAATTATTCAACAATTAAGTTAACAACTTTAAAAAGAAAGTGAATAGCACGCGCAAGGATGCAGTCTCATACTAAACTATTTATAGTCGACTATAATTCATCTACTACATAAAATCCTGGTGTGACTTTTAAGTGGTCTAATTACATCAGTCATATATTCACATCTTACGTCTCTATTAGAATTATGATGTTTTTGTTTATAAGTCTTAATATGTGGAGCACAAATAAAAATTGTGTGGGTCACCTCAGTTATAACGTGTTATTAAGTATTTTTTGCGATGTTAACATGGAACCCAATCAACAATGACTAACAAAACCAAAATGATTGTCTGAGGTGGTAGAGAACCAAGGAATAATTATTTAAAAGTTATGAACTATAACTTGAGTGTCTTTTTCGTTTGAACACTAATGCAAATATACTTCTTAATCTCCACCACTTACTATGACGATGTGGTTTTCGCTCATTAACAGGTCCAAGTTTTTCTCGTTCCTTATTCCTAATCTCTCTAACTAAAGTGTGAAAAGCATCATCAACAAATGTGCGAAGAGCAGCAGATGTTTCATAAAAAGGGCAGGCGAACTGCCGCGCTAAAGTCCTACCTTCCTCAGTCGTAACCTTCCTCTGTAACTGAAGGTCAAATTTATTTCCCACAAGTACTAAAGGTGTATCTTCGGAAGCTCGCACTTTTTGTATTAACTTTCGATATTCAAGTGCCTCTTGGAAACTGTGACGATCTGTTACACTGTAACAAATAAGGAAGCCCTCACCGCAACGCATGTACTGATCCCTCATGGCGGTAAATTCCACTTGCCCTGCTGTGTCCAGTATATCTAAAAGGGCTGCTTCACCATCAATGACAACTTGTTTTTGATAAGAATCCTCTATAAAGCAATCAGGTAAAATGTGACACTAAACCAAAATAAAACATCTAGGAACTTGCCAATTGTCGGGTCATGGTAATCCAAAAAACTGTGATTTACAAACTGCAGAGTGACAGCTACAATCAGTAGGTGCACTAGGTGGTACAGAAATGGCAATATTTTAATTACCTGATTTTCCAACACCTCCATCTCCTAATACAACAATTTTGTAAACTCGTAAACCTCCACTGGTTTTGTCTTGTGTGTTACTGGCACCGGCAATAGGCCTGTCTTCCACTTCTGTGCCTTTTCCTGATCGATTAGATTCTTGTCGTGATAGTTTTCCTTTCTTCTTGTGACTCGCTTCGCCCGCCATTTCATCAAAAAATGATACTTGTGAAATGACACAATCTCCCGTTTTAATAATTTTTAATTTTTCTCATTTAACTATATTTGCCACCCCCAGATCTCCCTGCAGATCATTTTGAGGATGACATTTTAGACATTTTCCACGCTGGCGCCATCTGTAAATATTTGTTCCAAGTTTCAACTTTGTCTAGTTGGGCTGGGTTCTGGTTCTAAGCTAGGCGTAATTTTTACCACAAATGTGTGAAGTACACATTTTTTTTACCATAACATAGGTAATACTTATTTATAAATTTCCTTAATTTTTATATACAAGTAAAGATATGAGAAGAGTAAAAACCTGTTCTTTTTTTCAAATTATTAAATGTCTCAGTTTATTTCGTGTTAGTTTATCCACAACTGTTTGAAAAACAGCCATGGATTTTTGAAAGTTTGTCTCAAAGAAGTTCTATAATCACAGTTTCAATTCAAACTTTCAAATTAACGGTAATCTGACCAAATAAAAATTTTACCAAAGACAAATTTTCGAAAATCCATGCCTGTCTTTGATTGCGTTTTTTATTGCTCCCTCGGTATAATGGTATGAACATGACTTAATAAAGGAGGTGTACTCATAGAATAGCCTGATTACTTGAGGATTTCCTATGAGCGCACTCGTAGGAATCGTAGGGTACTCCCACTAGGGTGTATTTCAATAAGACAAAACACAGTGTCTGATTGAGGACATGTGTGGGTCCACCGGGAAATTTAGAAAGTGGGGCCCTGTGGCATTGTATACAGAAGTTGTTTGGATATTATGACTATTATTATTTTCAATTTTGTCGGCGACATTGACGTTTTGAAAAAACTATGTTTTTGGAATTTTATGATGCTACCAAGAAAAACAAAGTCAGTAAAAAAATTATGGAAGGTTATTTTGACAGAACTTCCTTCGCTCTTGAAGTATAATGCGACAAATTCCGCTTCTTTAAAATATTATAAAATTAGATTTTGCGATTTTCGTTTTGTGATAACTCCTCTCCTCTATAGAGTGGCGTAATTAACATCCCCGTAACCCCTGCGTCTTTAAATATGAAATATATTTAAAGCAGATAACTAACGAGACAAAATATAGACATTCTCAATTTCTCAGTATATGCTTAACTTCTACTGTTAATGTTTATACTTCGACCGAATTCAACTATTAGCACGTTCAGATTACAAGCATCAGCGGTTAAAAAAATTGAAGTTGGTTGATTAATTCATACTCAGTTTTTATATTCGACAAATATAAGATGGAGAGCAAATTTTGATTAAAAATTTACCAGTGATTACTATGTTTCAAACTATCTTAAAATATTTGCATGATTTCACATCATTCGGTTTTTGCAATTTCAAAGTTAAATTATAAAATATCGTTATACAATGTTTTTTTTTCCAAAAATCTGGACGTTTCGGGTAAGAAGTTGGGAAAGCCTTAATCGAACAAATTTTCATTAACAATTTATCATCTTTCCTCTAACCTTAAAACGCTTGCAGTATTTCAGTACATTCGGCGCTTTTGCAATTTCAAAGTTTAATTGTAAAATACAATTTTGATTTTTTAACGAAAATTAATCGTACCGATGACGACGGCACAGTTTTCCCAACAAACGTAACTAATTCTTGCGGGTTTTTTTTTAAGCGGAAATATGTAAATTTTCAATCGACGCCAACACGTTGTGTAAATTTGATTTATTGTTTGTAAATTCACAGTTCATGTTAGGATTTTAATCATTACAGGTTCTAACATAATTTAACAGCAATGAGTTTGTTCAGATAAGGAGATTTTATTTATGAGATTCACTTAGTTAGGACCACGGTGTCAGGACTCATCCTTTGTTTATCAAGTTATAAATAAGGTTTCTGGATGCGTATACTTAAGTGTTACATTGTAACACTTCCTAATTCCTCACACAAGATTACTAATAGTTCATTTACGACAGTTAAATTAACCTAACGTTAGGGGCAATTCTGAATGAAACCTGTTAAAATTTAAAGGTTGTTAAAATTTTAAAGGTTGTTAAAAATGAATCTCTATTCTGTACTGTTTAATTTTGAAGTCCGTTTAATTTTAACACCCTTTAAAATTAAACATCCGACAAAATCAAAATTTACTATTCTAAAACATCAAATTGATGTTAAATTTTAACAAGGGTGTTTAAATGAATCCGTTAAAAGTGACAGTTTTAAAGGATCCCTCGCTAGTACCCTTTAATTAACAAAAAAAACAATAATGGCGTACCTGGACGGTATTTTGCATTTATTTATAGTAAATTATGAAGAGAATTTACAAAGAATGTAAGTAGTTATTAATAAATCATCAGCAAAAAAGTGAGGCCCGTTGATTAATTTATTTTTCACCTGTCAATTACTGAACGATAACACCTTGGAAATGGTAGCAATTAGCACCCTCGAAATGCTCCAAATAATAATTGCCCGCAAATTGCAAGTTAATTTTTATGGTTATTAAATAACAACATAACTACATTTGGAAAATAATTTATTTTAATTAACAATTTACAAACATTTCATACCTACATAAAAACATAACGAAAATAATTTCTATTATTATTTCTCAAGTAAAAAATACAATTGTCAATTACTTAACTAAATTTGACGCTCCTATACGGTCCTCTTTTATGATTGTGAAGCTTTTCGAGGCACCAGTCTGCTATTTCGACCACTGAAACAAATCATCTGTCTTCAATGTTGTTGATGCGCAGCTTGGCCAGTTCCTCCCGCATTAAACCACAAAAAGCACTCATTACTGAAGCAACTTTATGCAAGTAATAAAAAGTTATCATTTGGTGCATTTTTAATAAAAAGTAACACTTCTCCCTCAAGACACTGGATTTTTTTGGAAACGTATCATTTTCAGCTAATTTCAGAAAAGCAATCATATAACTGAACACATACATAACTATTATGTGTTGTTCAATATGAACATCAAATCGGATGATAAAATTTCATAACCTAAAACCAACACATTTTACTTCAGTTTACTTGAGTATAAACTTACTTACCGTGGAGTTAATTTCTTATATTCTTATAAGTGGCTTCCTGTAGTTAAATATAGTAATTGATGCCAAATTATAAATTATCCAAGAATCCAGAATAAACTTGGATTTGTTTTGAATGTTTTGATTCACTAATTGCACTCCTAACCTCACAAATTGTGATCACCGTTGAACACGTATCACTTGGTCTCGGTACGTCTCCGTCTGCTCCTTAATTTTATATTATAATTTATCTATACCAGATTTTATGTTTAAGAAGCTCAATTCCAACAAAATTTGAATTTATGATAGTAAAGTCAAGGCATCTTGAACCTAAAATAGGCCACGAAACACACTGGGTAGTTCGTTTAAACCAAATTAACGAAGTCACCCGAAAATTTAAACGGATCCGATAAAAATATGTCAATTTTAACATGGTGTTAATTTATCGGGATCCGGAATACCAATTAATATAAACATCCGACAAAAAACTTGATTTTTAACAACCTTTAAATTTTAACAGGTTTCATTCAGAATTGCCCCTGTTGTCCCACTCTGGGAAGAGGACCGTGAAAAGTGCAGTAGAATTCATAATATCGCGAACTGCGGGACGGGGGGATTAAAAATTTCTCCCTTTAGGCAGTGTTATCACCATCGAGATGTATTTCTCGCGACGAGGGATGCATTTTGTATGTATTTATCATGTGTTTGTTTGGGATAAGCTGGGGACAGTACACGATATAAACTCTTCAAGCTAATTGTTTTAAATAACCAGTTCCAAGGAATAATTTAACATCATGTAAATTATTTGTTTGAATCTTTGATAAAGTGTGGCAAATATTAAACTCATGTAATTTTGTTAGCTTTACAATTTCTCACCTACTTTTCTCTATCTGCCAATTTTAGCCTCAGTGATTTTCTTTGTTGTATAATTTAAATTGAACGTAAATTTACATGCTCTGCGGTTCCTACCATCACGTATTTTTTTTTGTCTGCACAAGTTTTACTTCACACCATCTTTTTTTGTTTTTATAAATCTTCGCTAATTTTTTCCACCACTTAAATATTTTGTTGATTAATACTTCCATCATAAATTGTCTGCTGTCCAATCTTAATCTCAGATAAAAATTATTTGCTGTTTAAAATTTCACGATAGTGTATGGCGAATTTAAATGTTGTTTATTGCTCTTTTGAAACTTTAACACTTGTTCGGTTGTAGTTTAATATCAGAGTCATAGAAACTGAACATTTCAATGGAATTGAGGTAAACAACACAGAAACACGTGGCGAAAGCGGAGGGCGCGGTTCCTAGTCGAGCTGGCGGTCGCGCCATCAGCACAAAAGACGCAGATCTTGAATAGAAGTCAAGGGAGCGGGATTTTCATTTCCACGAGTTTGCGACCATAACGGCCTGCTCGCGCGGCACGTTTCTTCGTGATAGAGGGTCGGCATGTGCTTGCCGATAGAGTAGAATCACCGTCGTGGTGGGAGAACAGCCACAACCAGGAGCCCCAAACTCCGCTCGTGCTACAACGCCATCTATGGGTAATTTTGCTGTGCTCTAGAATGAAATTGATATAGTTCGATCGCCGTGATCGCCACACTCTTATAGCGACCCGGATGCCTCCTTAAAATTTTTTTCACATGTCAATTTAAGGCGAGATGTTTGAGTTATCACAATTTGATGAATAACTATAAATTAAAGAACATTTATTCGGCAAAACTGTAAAATTATGTCATTATAATTTTAGAGGGGCATAAACGAAAAAAAAAAGGTTAACGATTTACCACGCTTACGATAACCTTAAAAATTTCAGAGTATTCGGTTTTGCAAGTATTCAAAGTTAAATGAGCTTTGTTTCCACCCTTCACAGCAATACTCCTACCAAGGTAGTATGGGACAGAATTAAACGTATTAAGGGTAATACTTATCAACCGGGTCCTGCGCAGATAATTTCTCACGGTTCTGTTATTGATGACAATCAAGGCATAGCAAATCTTCTTGCACAAAAATTCGAGACGGCCTCAAGCAATGCAAACTGCACCCCCGCCTTTTTATCCCACAAAAACCAAGTGGAATCGTCTTTTGCGCCCCCCCAAATCGATTCAGTCCACCCACTCAACAATATTTTTTCCCTGGAAGAACTAGAGAATGCACTTCAAGCTTGTCCCAATTCTGCTGCAGGTCCAGATGACATACCTTTCATCTTTCTCCAAAATCTTCCTTGCACCGGAAAAGTTATCCTCCTAAATCTTTACAACGACATCTGGACTGGCCATTCCTTTCCTGAGCTCTGGTCAGAAGCTATTATTATTCCAATCTTAAAACCCAACAAACCTAAATTCGATGTTAACTCATACCGGCCCATTTCTCTTACTTGCACAATGTGTAAACTCATGGAGAAAATGATAAACCGGAGACTTGTATGGTATCTAGAAAAGGAACATCTTTTAAACATCCATCAAAGTGGCTTTAGAAAGCTTCGTTCCACAGCCGACAACATTATTAATCTCGAATCTGAAATTCGCGAAGCTTTCGCTAATAGACACAAAGTTCTGGCTGTTTTTTTTGACATTGAAAAAGCCTATGATATGACTTGGCGGCATAAAATCTTAGACCAACTTCTTCGATGGGAACTCACTGGAAACATTTATTTTTTTGTTTTTAACTTCTTACACAACCGTACTTTTTCAGTAAGGGTAAACAACACGTTATCGAGAAAAAAGAACTTACAAAACGGCATCCCTCAGGGCTCCGTCCTTAGTGTGACTCTCTTTCTCATAGCAATCAATGATATTCTCAAGGATGTAAACCACCCTGTAAAAGGTGGCCTCTTTGCTGACGATCTCATCCTCTACATAAAAGGAAAGGAACTCCAATCAATAACCAGTCTACTCCAAAGAGCCATACACACTGTCCAGGCCTGGTCCGAAAATAACGGAGTTCGATTCTCAGCCGAAAAAACGAAATGTATCTGTTTCTCGCAGAAAAGCGGGCAATTACCTCCACCCCTCCAGCTTCAGGGAATAAATCTTGACTATGTTCCTCAAGCCAAGTTCCTAGGAGTGGTTTTTGATCAGCACCTCTCATGGAAACCGCATATAGATCACTTAAAGGCTACCTGTCTAAAAATTGTAGACCTTCTGAAAGTCCTCTCTCATCCTATTTGGGGAGCCGACACCCAAATCCTCCTTCGTATCTACAGAATATTACTACGACCCAAACTTGATTATGGAGCAGTGGCCTACTCAGCATGCCGTCCCAGGCTCCTTACACCTCTAATCACTCTTCAGAATTCTGCATTACGAATAGCCCTTGGGGCCTTCCGCACAAGCCCAGTTATCAGCCTCTATAGCATAGCAAAGGAACCGCCTCTTCTTTTCCGTTTCAAGTACCTTCAGTTATCCTTCGCAGCTAATACCTCTAGAAATCCCAGCAATCCTGTCCTCCAGCATGTATTTACCGATCGCCTGACTATACTATTTGATCGCAAACGACACCTAATCCCACCCATCTCAATTCGCCTTCAACAAGATCTGGTAACTCTCGGAATACCGTCCTTCCCCGCTATTCTTCCATACGAGTTCGCTACACCCCCGCCCTGGCTAATTCCATCTCTTCGACCAGACACCACTCTCCTCCAGTTCACCAAAACTAATACACCCGCTTCAGTGATCCAGACAGAATTTCATACCTTACAAGCAACCTGCTCAGATTCGACTTTTCTATACACGGACGCTTCGAAATCAGTCACAGGCGTCGTCGGTTCAGCCGTCGTTGGGCCTTCCGTACGCCGACTATTACGGCTACCATCTCCAGCTAGTGTGTTCACGGGCGAACTCTACGCTCTCCTCCAAGCCTGCAAGATTATCACCACGATGAGCGCCTCTAAATACTGCATTTGTACCGACTCTTTAGCCAGTCTAAGCGCACTGCGAAATATTTATTCAACCAATCCGTTGATCATGCAAATTTTTGAAGTGTGGACCATGCTCTCCAATAGCGGCAAAACCGTCCGTTTCATCTTTGTTCCATCTCACACTGGCATATCGGGAAACGAAGAAGCTGACAGGGCTGCTAAAGAAGCAGTCGAATCGGAATCTGCCGCAGAAATTTTGTTAGTCCCAGCACCTGACGCCAAAAGTTTATTTAAACAGGCTATCATTCAAAAGTGGCAAACAGACTGGACCTCTACGCCTACAGCATTGCAGCAGATTAAGCCAGAAGTTAACTGTATACTTCCACTTCCGCCAGATCGTCGTGATCAAGTCGTTTTAACGCGGTTGCGATTAGGACACACTCGGCTCACCCATGGATACCTGCTCAACCGCACCTCCCCAGCTACTTGCCAGCAATGCGGATGCCGTCAAACTGTCCAGCATCTCATCTGCGATTGTCCCCACTGGCAAACCCAACGCAACCATTTCCAAATATCACCCAACCTCGCCGAAGCGCTAGGAAGTACCATCCCGAACGTGGTCAACATCCTTCTGTTCCTTAAACATATTAAGCTGTTTGAATGCATATAGAAGGGTTTTTCTTTTTACTAAGTGTGTTTTCCCTACCATGTAAGGTTGCTAATGACCTAGCTGTCGATGCGACCAAATGTACAAATAAAAAAAAAAAAAAAAAAAAAGTTAAATTGCAAGATGTTGCAATTTTGATTTTTTGGAGAAAAAATCTATATGTCTAAGATAAAAACTCAACTGGGGTTCATCAACCACATCTTATTTTATATAATTTAAACAACATTTATAATAGTAAATATTGTTTAAACAATTTATTGAAATTGTTGGTAGAGACGATTTTGATTAGCGTTTTACCATCTATACGATATTCGTAACATCGTAACACAGATATCAAATTTGACAACTGGTTCAGTAGCTCCGGAAGTTATCTTTTTAATAAAAATCTGGACAGACGGCAGACAGACAGACGGAAACAGGAGCCCTATTGTTTCGTGTTAAGTTTACGCTGTGAAAGTAAAAAGATGCTCTTATATCTACTGTGCTCTTATTTAATATTTTACATCTATCATTTTTATCCGTCCGTTATATTTTTAGGAATATTTATTGCATTTGTAATTGTAACATCCGGGGCCTTGAGTATTGTGGGTATGTGAAAAATGTAACTAATTGTTTAAAAAAATAGATTGTTTCAATGCCCACCGGGAAATTTCCCGGTGTCCCGGGGATACAATCCGACATTGACAAAACATCATTGTTTTGGTTCACAAAAATCTGGTTGTAGTGTTTTGACACAGTATACTGTGACGGCTGTACATATACTGTGGCTGTACCACGCTGTACCAATGTACCAACGATACTGTGCATAATATGATGTTCTATGGTTCTGTGTCAGGGAGGTTATTCCGGTTTTCTTATGTTCTGTGCATAGAATCTGGAAGTTGGTAAAAAGTTACTGTTCTGTGATTGGCATGACTGTTTTGTGGAATGTGGAACCAGGCGGTATTGGCGGATTTAAAATGTCATTTTAAAATTTTAGGAGGCTATTTTTTTTGAGTTAACCTGTTGCTAACCATTGCTAACCTCACTTCGATTTTAATAACTTTCTTAACCATTTTCTTAACTATTAGTTTTCTGTGTAATAAACAATTCTTCGTAATCTCCATAATTTAGAAGAATCAATAATGGTAAAAATATCATAATATTATTAATTTAATTTAATAAAAGTGGTTGTAGAGACGAAGTTTTGCACCAAGTCAAAAAATAAAAAGGCAGGAGCCTACGCAACACAACAGTTCAATATTTATCACTTGTACAAAACGCACTCGTGATCATTCAACAGAGAAAACATCAAAAGTACGAAAACCTCTGATTGAAATTAACACAGTCTACATAACAGATCACGTACGTATTCAGTTCTGAATAAAGGCATCACCTCTGAAATGATGTGTTTAGGAGCAAATTATTAAAAAGTTATCACAACCATTCAAATGTCCGCTACCAAATTATGAAGGTTGTAATTCAACAAGGAATCTAGGAATAAGAAGAACTAAAGTTAGAAGAGCTCTTTATGACCCCAATACACCAAATGCTTTAGTGTTATATTCACCTCCAGAGATTTCGGAACATGAAAAAATGAAAGGCGATGGCCCTGCTTTAGTTCATGTTGTTGTCGATCCTACTTTGAGCAACATCTTAAGGCCTCATCAGAGGGAGGTAATATAAAATCATTGTTCATTTAAATAAGTGTACGATAAAGAAAAGCTCAAGTAATAACTAATAGCTGTTGTTTGTTAGGGCGTCAAATTCATGTACAACTGTGTGACTGGTGTACAAATCCCCGATTCTTATGGTTGTATAATGGCAGATGAAATGGGTTTGGGTAAAACTCTCCAATGCATCACACTACTATGGACCTTAGTACGTCAGGGTCCAGAATGTAAGCCAACAATTGACAAAGGAATAATTGTGTGCCCCAGCTCGTTGGTTCGTAACTGGAGCAATGAAATAGATAAATGGCTCAAGGGTCGTTTAAACTCATTAATAATGGATGGCGGTCCTGACGCAAAAAAGAAACTAACCCAATTTATGCAAGGACAGGGACGTACTGCCATTCCTGTTTTAATCATTTCATATGAAACATTTCGAATGCACGCGGACATATTGCATGCTGGCGAAATCGGCCTGGTGTTATGCGACGAAGGCCACCGTCTGAAAAACTGTGAAAATCAAACATACAGAGCTTTGATGGGATTAAGAGCAAAACGCCGGGTGTTGCTCAGTGGGACACCTATACAAAATGATCTGCTTGAATATTTCAGTTTGATACATTTTGTTAATGAAGGTCAGTGGCCGCTGCTTTTCTTTTTTTTTATTTTCACTTTAGTAAGTAAATTCCGTAATTATGCTTATAAAGAATAACTTACTTCAAGAGATAAGTAGTTGAGATTTCAGTATGTAGTAAAAGCTCAGTTTAAGGACAACTAGAGTGTTGAAAAAATAGTCTGAAGTACTATTGAGATACTGAGACTATCAACTTCTAATCATAGACTCTTATTTTTTTTAATTTACCTGTCTTTTGCAAGTTAGATGATTGTCTTGAATATCTCAGTGGTACTACCCCAAGGTTTGGCGCTCTGCACAACAGAATCAGATGTTATAGTTGTGAATGACGTTATGATTTGCTGAAGGTTTGTTGGGAAGTGCTCACGAGTTCAAAAGAAAATTCGAAAATCACATATTGAGAGGTCAAGATTCCACAGCCACCGATTTGGAAAGAAAGCGGGCTCTCGATTGCTTACAGGAACTTTCGAATTTAGTCAACAGATGTCTAATCAGACGAACCTCTAGTCTGCTCACGAAATATCTGCCCGTCAAGTTCGAGATGATCGTGGTTTGTCAGCTGACTCCCTTACAGAGGCAGTTATACTTAAACTACATAAACTCAGAGAGTGTCCGAAAAACCGTCTGCGATAACGTTGAAGTTAAAGCGTCGCTAAGCAGTCTAGCTAGCATTACCACCCTGAAGAAGTTGTGCAATCATCCCGACTTGGTCTGGGACAAGATCAAAGAAGAGAGCGAAGGCTTCGAAAATTCCCTCCAGCTTTTGCCCGCAGGTTATAACGACAAAGACGTCATGCCAGAACTATCCGGCAAACTTATGCTTCTCGATTGTTTTTTGGCAAATTTGAAAACCAACTACGACGATAAAATCGTCTTGGTTTCTAATTATACTCAAACACTCGATTTATTCGAGAAATTGTGTAGGAAACGCGGGTATATGTATGTTCGTCTTGATGGTACAATGAGTATAAAGAAGAGAGCCAAAGTAGTGGCTAATTTCAACAGTCCCGATTCGAGAGAGTTTATATTTATGTTGAGTTCAAAAGCTGGCGGATGCGGTTTGAACTTGATTGGTGCTAATAGGTTAATCATGTTTGATCCGGACTGGAATCCAGCCAATGACGATCAAGCGATGGCGAGAGTTTGGAGAGATGGTCAACAGAAACCCTGTTACGTATACAGATTTTTAACGGTAGGTCAAAGTCCCATTGCAAGAAAAATCATCTCGAAATCAAAAAATATATACAATTTTTCAGAACGTTTATTAAAAAAACGAAACTTGTGGAAATTTGCTTCAGTTTATTTCATAACAATAATTTACTAAATTTTATTGTGTCCTATAAATTTTTAGGTAACTTTTTTTGTAAAACGGTCCAAAAATTATGCATCCGTTGTTAATTATCTTAACTTTGGTCAATTTCCCCAAAACTTGAACTTCATCAAAAAAGTGATATCCTAATTATTGTCAAGCACTCACATTTTTTTCCACTTTTTCTTTTCTTTGTGCGCAGGCTGGTACCATTGAAGAGAAGATATTCCAAAGACAGGCTCACAAAAAGGCACTCAGTTCCACGGTTGTTGATAATAATGAAGAAACGGCTCGGCATTTTAGTGCTGCCGAATTAAGGGATTTATTCAAGTTAGAAGAAACGGATTCCGATACTCATCAAAGATTAAGATGCAAACGCTGTTTGAATAAAATTCAAATAAAAAATCCGCCAGAAGAAGCTGACTGTACTTCAGACTTGGCAAATTGGTACCACTGTTGGGACAAAAAGGGATTGGCCGATATGGTATAACGAATGAATTTATAGATGGTTCGTTTGTTTAATGATACTTTGTAGGTTCTTAAGCAAATTTGGGACGTTTCGAAATACATTTCCTTTGTTTTCCATCAAAAATCGGCCAGCCAGGAAGTCAAGATGTCCAAGATAGAGGAACAAGAGGAGGACCCTGATTACGACGAAAACAATGACGACTGTGATGATTATTCCGATTAAATTAACACCCTTGTAATTTTAATATTATTTTTGTAAATGAATCGCAGCGAAATAAAACGTACATTTGTTTTACTGCACAAAAAATACCTGTAAAGTTGTTAACGCAGAACTTATCTTACTTCTCAAGAAAAACCCCATTGAGCCACAAAAGATAACGTCAAATTTAAGGGATGGACACACCCTCAGAGGCGTCTGTCATCTCATAGTGAACTTTTCTATTTGCGTAAGGGTACATGTTTAGATAAGTGCCTAATAGGTTCATTAGCATTCATGCTAGCGCGTTGGCCAGTTGACTTAAGTTTGTTCCCTTTGTTATTGTTTTCGATTAAAAAACTACCCCCTTTTGAAGTGTGCGTGTTACGCTACTGACTGACAGTCCGTTGTCAGATTCTAATGACTTACCATGTTGAACTTCTAATAACAGTGAGATTCACTGGACAAAATTTTGCGATAACCTCAAACTTTTGGGAAGAAAGAATATAAACTAATTTTCACCAACTTAAAAACGAGGCTTCAGAAAAAACAAAACCACTTATTTTGCTGTAAATTTTATTTCTATTCCTACAAAGCACAGTAATGAACAAAGTGCACCCTAGTAGATTTCCAATCAACGTCAAGTGAAAAATACTAGACTGCTATTAACCCGAAACGAATAAGCATTAGTTGCCCCCTTGCTTACACAATAAAATTTTCCATTCACCAATATTACCAATGCGAATAATAGTGAATCGAAAATTTCGCCGTTAAAGAACCCTTTTACAATATAATCTTTATAACATCAATAAACTCTACCAATACGGTTTTCAAAAATGCAAAAAGTAACGCTAAAAAAGTTGGTCTCTTGAATAATGGAAAATTTCAGTTGTACTTAAAAAAATAAGATAAAATTTGTCACTCAAGTGACTCGTTACAATTTTTCTTCAACCAAGTCAGTTACCATCTTGCAAAAACCCTACGTATTCAAGAACGTGCTCGGAATTAGCCCCAGGTACGTGCATCCTAATCGGCAATTTACTGACGGCCACCCTTTCGACGTCTTCGAACCCCAGTTTCAAATTGGTGGGAGCCCTATTCATGACGAAGTGCTCCTCAGTCAGCGGCAAGATGTCCTTCAGCAGTAGCCAGATATTCTCGTCGGCGACGACGTGCACTTTAGCGACGGGAAACCCGTTGAACGGGCTTGCCACTGGCAAAGTGTACGCCCCCATGTTCTCGAAGACGATCCAGTCGCCGATTTGCATCTCCGGAAGTAAGACTTCTTCGACGACCTGATCCAGACCGTCGCATGTCGGCCCCCAGATGCTGCTCGAGTAGTACTTAGTGGCCGGCAGCTCGTGTAGCGGCTGCGGCACGACGCGCTGGTGGTCGTACAGTATACAATTAAAACTACCGTAGACGCCGTCGTTGATGTAGTACATCTTGTGGCGGGTGGTTTCATCGTCGCCGATGACGTCGCGAACGGAATGGATGTTACAGGTGAGGGTGTAGGCGGAACTCACGTAGAAGCGACCGGGTTCGGCGATGACGCGCACGGACGGCGAAGGGAAGTAGGTGTCGAGAGCAGAATTTACGATTTCGGCGATCTGGAAAAGATGAATTAGTCACCTTTATCAATTAACAATCACGATGTTTCTACCTCATCGATCGACGTTCCACGATCTCCAGGAAAGCCGCCTCCGATGTCCAGCAAATCGAAAGTGTAGCCAAGTTCTAAACCCACGTTGAAGACGACCCTCGCTGCAGCGATGGCCTTCTCGAACACCGCTGGCTCCCGACATCCGGAGCCGACGTGGAAGCTAACACCGATGACGTTCAAACCGAGTTCTCTAGCCTTCTCGAGCAAGCGAGGCGCTTCGGTGACCGGGTCGCAACCGAACTTCATCCCGAGAGGGCACTGTGCGTCAGCAGCGTCGCATCTAATTCTGATGACCAGATCGGCGTCAGGGTAGAGGTTTTTCACCTTGTGCAGCTCGGTTTCGTTGTCGAACGTCATGGTTGAAACACCCGTTGCACATGCGTAACGGATGTGGCTAGATGGCTTAGCTGGATTTGCGAATATTATGCGATTAGGGTTTACGCCCAACGCTAGGACCTTGTTGATTTCTGCTTTGGAAGCACAGTCGAACCCGGTGCCGAGAGCGGTCAGGACTTCCAGAACAGCAAGGCTGTCGTTACACTTGACAGCTATAAATATATAATATAAATCAATTAACGCATCCTTCGTCTGAAAACCAGATCTTACCATAGAAAGGCTGCACTCTCGGCATGAACGATTTCCACGTTTTGTGCTTCCTAACGATGTCCCCGAGATCACAAACGTAGAAGGCCTCTTCCTGAACTCCGGAATCGGCAATGTCCATGATAACAGACCAAACATTGGAATGGGCGTCCAAAATATGAACACGTTTGTCACTAGTGATGAATTTCATTTTTATTTAATTCTTAATTGATTCAACGGCGTTATAAAGACGAAATTATAAAATTCGTATAAAAGCTTATATTGCAATAAGCAAGCTGTAAAAAATGTGTAAATATTGGCAATTACAAATAAGATTCGACTTACGAGGCAACCTGTGCTCAGATTTGCACAGGATGTGTTATAAGAGTGGGCGGGTGCTACTTAAGTTTTAAGGAAATTAATAATTCCAGGGAGGTTCTCCGTTCAGGAAGATTCTCCAATTGTATGGGAGAAACGCACTGTTAGTAGCCGGGGAAGCTTCGTCCACAATGCAACCCTGAAAAAATAAAGAACACATTAATATGTCGATATGACAAAGCAACTGAAAACCTCTCATCTTTTTAATTTGATTCATAAATAAAAAAAGAATAAAATAGGTACAGACATGTGACACGCAAATTATTCCTTTCCAAGACTGAAAGAACATTTTAAATTTAATGTATATCATATCCTACACATATTGCCAACGCTGCAGACCTCATTATCTCTCTTTTTCAGAAAATAAAATCTTTTGATAAAAAATGGAAACTATCTTAATTTTCGGGTCCATTGACCTTGATCTATTCCAAATTAACTAGTTTAAACTAAATCTTAACAAAAAAACACATGACTTAATTACAAAGTCGCAAATATAAAAATGACGCCAGTATGACGTCACGTGCAGAAAATGCTGATTTTAATAAAAGAAAAAAAGTGTAATGTTACCTTGTAAAGGGGGCCGAAGTTTACACAGAGTTTACATAAGCACATGAAAGAGTTTTTTGTAACCAAGAGAGAGTCAATTTGACTCGGAATAAAAACACATACAAGTACACGTTTCGAGGAAAATGATGGACAAAATGCTTGTCGCAAGTTAAATAGTCCTCCCCTCCTATTCGGCTATTATCGGCCAATGAATTCTCAGTGATCTTCAACCTGGAATACTGATAACGCGTATCAGATGAACATTATGTGGGCATGGAGTCGCTATTGATTCTCAAAGACAATAATAAAATAAAAGAACTACAAACATTTTAAGACACGATAGATAAAAAATATGTATACGGATTGTGGGTAACGGGTATGTTATTTTTTTTTTTAATTTTTTGTCAATTTCAGTTTTAACAAAATCACTCAACTGCTTATCAAGACGGCGAGTCATTTGTCGAGTTCGTGAATGCTTTGTTCCTCGCTTAAAGTAAACAATTTTGTGATTTATCGTATTCGTATAACCAATTAGTACACGAAAAAAATACAGTAGTAACTAGATAGTTTGATTATAATGTTCCAATAACGATTAATTATTCAGAGTTCATTATACCAAATTATTTCATTAGAGATAACTTTTAAAAACTGGTGTAAACATGACTAGACATTGGCAAATTTATTATGAATCAAAGATCTTTATAGTCGTTAAGTGAATTAGTGGATTGTTCATTACTAGTTAATTAAAAAAAAACTCAAAAATAGACTATTTATTATTATTAATTTATTGCAAATGTTCAAAGTTGTGTGGCCAAAAAGTAATCGTTTTCGAATCATTACAAATTTAAAATTACAAATAGCAGGTTACGAATTCAAGTCCTCTTGAATTTTTTCTAATAACAGCTCCATTCGTCCTTTCATGACAGGCTGACCCCTCTTCGTTTTCTTGTTCATCTTCTTTTGTTTTTCCAGCTTTTTTTTCCAATATTCTTTAGTGGCCTTTTCTTTTTCTGCTTTCATCCTAAGAAATTCTTCTTTCGATTGTTCGTTTTCTTGTCTGCTTTCTAAACTTGTTTTCCGTTTACGATTTCTCCTTTTCCCAGAATGTTCACTAAATTCCCCCGAATTATCCTTATTCTCTGCATCGTTTGTGTCTACTTGATCATCCTCTTTCTCTCTTCGTTCCTCTTCTTCGTATATCTTCTGTACATCAAATGTTATCGGCTTATTCTTACTTCTCTGTTTCTTCATATATTCGTGGCGAATATGTTGTGTCCTTTTATTCTGCCATTTTTCCACTTTGTTCTTCAAGCTGTACTTTTGAACACGCCACTTATTCTTATCAAACTTTTTTTTTTCGCTAAATTTGTGATCGGTGTCAGGTTTACTCGACACGGACGTAGTAAAAAAGCCCTGCGATCCGGAACTAGAGCTTGAACTTGGATCTAGTTTTTTAGTTGTTCCGACGAAAAAACTATCATTCCCTTTTGTCAATTTTTGTGGAAGCACCTTAGTTTTGCCCATTTTTTGCCTAAAAGAAAAGTCTGTTGTGTATGTTTTGTTGATTTAATAAGCCCGAAAAGTTCTTTTTGTTCGACTGCTTTAAAATAGATATAGGTATATATGTACATAAAAAACCAGAAGGGTATAATTAAAATATTTGGAACATAAAAATGCAAGTAAGTATATATAGATACATACACAAGTAAGGCATTAGTAGTAATGCTATGACAATTTGATTTTGCTAGACGGAACTTTTGCATGTGAATTGGGAACATTTCCTGCCTAACTATTTTACAGCAACCTTTTAAAGGAAAGTTTTATTTTCCAAACTTACAAACTTTACATATTAAATTAAATTCAATTTATCACTCGGTATTTTTAGCAGCATTATGTAACATGCAATTCTGATGAGAAATAATTTCCAAAAATATTTCATTTTTTTAATATACACTTCAATGCTTCACAATCACATCTTTCACCCCGAAGAACAAACAGCAAAAGTTGTTTATTCATTCAAAACAGAAAAAATATCATCAGAAAACCGTCGGTATGTTAATCATAAGGTCGTGATTTTGTCGGATATCATTTTAACTAGATTTTACCATCACACAAACGTATGTTAGAAGCTCGAGGCAACAAGACATATCCACAAATTTACTCGTTTGTAATTAACACTTTAAATTACATTCCACACAAGGGTTACAAGGTATATGAAGTTATTGTTGCTCATTATTGACAGTCAACTGTTGTCACAAACAGTGCTAAAAGTAAGAAAAATAAAGAATATATAAGCAACAACAACTTTAATAAACTCGTAATTCACACGCCATAAAGTGACCTATTTTTGTAATCCATATTCTCCAATATAGAGATGTCAGAAATCTCAGTGTCTGAGTGTCCTTTACTTCGCTGATCAAAGAGCAAATATGTACGTAAGCACCTTGACAATAAAATATCCTTATCTTATTTTCAATTTTTCGAAACTATAATATGTGACTGCCAAAACTATGATAGGAGGCGCAATTAGTACATAACTTATACTGACTTCTATAATGTAAGACGTAACATTGCGTAATTTTTTGATTCGCCATCTGTATAAAATTTGAAACAATCCGCTACATTTTTAAAAAGCTGTTCCTTGGTCAAATAGAAGGGCATTGAAACCCAAATTATAAAACGGCACCTAATGATAACACATTATTTTCTCATGAACAGTAACGATCATTTAATGACCAATAAATTATGCCGATAACAATCATAACACATGAAACTATTCTCAAATGCCATTTACAACAATTAACACTAACGATAGCTAAGCCACTAACTTTAATGCGTGTTTTTTCATGAAATTTTTAAATAGTTTATAATAAACGATTTCACGTAGCGAAACGAACAATGTATAAGAATGCAATAGCATGAGACGTATTTCTCGTTTATCTATTAAATTAACTATAACTTCATTTCATAGGTGATTCCACTGTAAAATTCCTGCTCCATGAAACAACAGTGGAAATGTTTGAGAACCCACATCAAGATTCAAGGTTGACGTCGAATACACCCAAAATTAGCCAAAAGAATAGCGAAGAAGCAACAACAACGTTTAACACAAATTATAAAAAAAAATAATGTAGAGGGTCGATATCGAATGTCACTCACCTTCGGAAGCCACCCTCTGGGTTGGCGAAATCTTTTTGGCGGAATTTTGAGTTTTTGCAAATACGAGTGTATGAAAAACACTTTGTCCCTTCGTCAGTCAACTAAATTATGAGGCTCTTTAATGATTTTCGCACACTGCATACCGCCGAACGCAAGACCTCTCGCAAAAAGGACCTCGAGATGACACTTCTGTGACGACACTAGTGATTTCAGAATTGCCACCACGGCGAATCAAAAGATCCAATGCGAATTTTAAACAATGCAGTGCTCTTTAAGGGACATTTTAACCAAACAAAAGCTTGATGATTATACAGTAAGATGCTTATTTTGATGCAGCAAATAGGAATTACTTATTGCGTGATTCATACCACCATAAAATGATGGTATTGCAGTGTCCATGAAATTCTACATAACTGTCAATTCTTAAAAGTCCCTAAATTAGTAATATAGGGTTTTTCGTAATTTCCCTGCTGTCATTTTGTTGTAAGTTTAAAATCGTGGTTTAAAATTTTGAATGCTGAAAAAATTCTTTTTGAATATATAGCGAAATAAAAACATTTATTACTGAGAAAATGTTGTTAAAGCAACTGCGTTTTCGCCATATGCATTTAATCACTTTATTGCTACCCATTTCAACGTTATATGTATTACAATACACAACAAAACCAAAGATTCAATAAGGAAAGAAAATGCATTTTTGTTAATTACATTATTCGTGCTATTACTTAATTATCCTCGTTCTCATTACTACGGAAAATATGGTCGTCTCTATACGGAATCTGCCTATTCTTTCTTGTTAAAACAAAGTCTTCTGCTGCACTCTTTACATCTTGCTTGCTTTTCACTAACACGTAGCTATCTTCATCAATTTGGTCAAAAGAACTGCTCAAAACTTCCTGTAAAATTATTAAATTAGAAAGCGCTAGTTCTAGTCTTACAATTTATAACTGCTTTGTTCGTGTTTTTTTTTTTTGGCGTAGTATGAAAGAAATTATTTCCATTATTATGGCCCGAAAAAACACGAAAAATGCCAGCTTACATTAATAATAAACAGCCACTACACACAAACGTCAAGTTATTATTATTATAGATTACTTTCTGAGTAGAATAAAAATTGGTCTAAATAAAGTTATTTAGACACGAGTTTCCTAGCTTCTAGTTCTAAAGAATAATTGCTAGAGGGTCCACGTAGAACGAGACGAAAATGTGACAAATTTACCCAAACATACCGTCCGTGCATTTTGTAGACCGAAAAAATCAGAACTGAAAAAGTATAGCACTGAATTTTTGTTCCAACGTAAAGGAGGTTACAAGGTTATTTAACGTTGTAAAACCCAAGCATTATTTATTTTTTATTCCTTATCATTCCAAATGGTGTTTTTTCTTATATAGGCAACCAACAATATAATATAAAATGAGAGTATAATGTGAAATAAATCATGGAAGTATGTAGCTTGTACTTCCAATCGTGAAGTGCATTGTATTAATTTATTTTCAACCTATTTTCCAGTTCTCCCGATTTAAGGATCTATTTGAATCCGTTCTACGAAAGTTACAAAATGTACGATCGAATTATTTAATAATGATGACGATGTCCATTTACATATTCGCCTAATTTCCGTTCGATACAAAATAACTTTCGCCTTCTGTGAAGGGATTCAACCAGTACATTTTTACAGCATACTTTTGAATAAAGATTTATTTAGTTTTTGCTAAGGACATAAATATCGAATGCAAATAAATTAAATTAAATTACATGGTGTGTGTATTGTCAAAATTTCAGAAAAGTTGGTTATGGTTTACGGCACATTGTAAAAGTACACCTAAAGTTTCATATAATTAATCAGTCCATCAGTAAGTAGTTTCGGAGATTACATTGTCTAATAAAATCGCCGACAGAACACAGACGGAATAAACGAGAAACTGACATTTTCGTATTCTCAAAACTGTGAAATGTCGACAAAAACAAGAAATTAGATATTCGTCAAAATGACTCCATAACGACTGTATACCTAGAAAGTAAAAAATCGTTATAATATGGTCATATATGACAAATTTATTACAACAAACAAATTTAAATTAGCAAAAATTCGGAAATTAAAAATCTTGTGTCACTTTGATTCATAACATTTTCACGAAGTAGAGTAATAGCACCAATGCAATCATATCATGTGGCATAAACCGGTTACTACTGACTGTTCCATGGGAATGAATGATAAACAAGAGTTGTTTATTTAAACAAAGAGTGAACTATTTCAAACTCTATAAGCCTATTTACTGATGTTTACATAGTTTAAAAGTTTACACAAGTTGTGATTAGTATACATACGTAAATAGTTCGTCTGATTTCATTTGAACGATTTCCAAATAACAAAACTAATTAAAAAAACAGCATTATCAAAATTTCTAAAAAATGTTAAATTTTACTTACTGATAAGCATCTCTTTTCTGTACAAGAATATTGTCGTCCGTCCCTACTACATTCGCATACGTTGCAATCGATCTTAAATTTTGACAAAGGTTTACAAATCGTTGCATCTGTAAGACAGTACTAATCTGGAACATTCTTTTTTACAAGTAAAAACTCACCTCCAAAATTTACGAAGCAAAATATAAATACAATTAAAAAAGCAATCCATTTACTACTCACTGAATTCATTGTTTAATCACAAAATGTCACCACTATAGTGTGCATCCGGCTCAGTAAAAAATGCGTGTTTCAGTGTGCGCCACTTCCTTCATTATCGCATAAAATTAATGGCGATTTATGTTACGAGTATAGTATTTATAGATGCACTAAAATTATCGTTAAAACATAACCTATCTCATCTTCACGAAAATAAGAACGATTCTGCATAAACTTAATCTGCAACAGCTTTACGGATATATATTTTTACATGATTTCTAAAAACGTTTAGTTTTTTTTTGTCCGAAATACATACTTATAGAAGGGAGTTGAAACAAAATTGGTTTTCTTCTATTTTTACCTTTTCACAATATTTTGCTTTCATTATGAACACTTGTCTTTCATATGACAGCCACATGCGACAAACGATAAGTCAAAATTGCACCAATTCGTCAAAAAAAATACAAAGTCAAAAAATTATACAAGTTGAATTTAACACAATACGCAAAATTGAGATGAGTTGAGATATGAAACAGAATGAAAACTTTAAAACAATGTTCAAAACCCACAGGTGCTCTATTTCGTATTCCACAACACGACTTTTTCTGTGTTTAACACTGTTTTTAGGTAATGATGTTCCACGAAATTGTGACAATCCGGTATTTCATCTTTTTAACAATAATTTTTTCGAAATATTTTACTGAGGGGCTAAAATGCGAGCTGAAAGGTATAAATACACCATGTGTAAATGTTTGTTAAAATTTCAAAATTACGTCTACTCTAGGTTTATTAAACAATAGGGTTCAGTGTTTACTCCACGACAGAGGCATAAATGCAGCTAATGACGTTGTAAACATCAACGGAACTTTAACGTGGATGACAACTCTAATGAAATCAGAGGCATCTCAACCGTGGAAATTTAGCCAGGGTCTAGACCGCAACAAAACTTTCTTCGCTGGACACAATGTAGGAGAGTTCAAAAAGCACCTAAATTTGATCATGCCAGGTACGACATAAATACATCTTGTTAGCAATACCATCACAAAAACACAGACACTAGATGGTGTGGCGACTTCGGCGGATATTTTCCAACGAGTTACGAGGATCTCATGCATTTTGTCAACACGGATCGGTGTTGTAAGCTGCATGATGAATGCATTCCCATGTTAGGAGTAAATCAGGAAAACTACAGCCTCTCAAACAGTGGACTATTTGCACGATTTCACTGTGATTGCGAAAAAGAGTTTCACAGATGCCTGAAGGATATTAACACTACAATGTCGAATAAAATCGGGTACACGTATTTTACTATTTTGGGACCGCAATGCTTCAATGAAGAATATCCTATAGATAAATGCACTAAGTGGCAGGCGTAGCTATTCAAATATTTTACATTTCAGTGTTGGAAAAGTGTGTGTTTTAGGAATAGGTGCATAGCGTTTAGACTGGATATGAAACAGGATAAGAAGTACCAGTGGTTTGACGTGCCCACATACTAAAGGCTTTTTTTACAAATTGCGATATATTCCCACCACTGTTAATACAAACAATTAACTAAGTGCATATTAATAAGACAGCGTTTAAACTATACTTGTCGGATACTTTATAATTTAAGAATTACTAATAATATGCCAAAAAGAAACATTTCATTGCTTTAATTATGCAGCAATCAATCAGAGAAAAATTAATAGCATAATAGTTGGATCATTTGTTCATTGTTTCTTGCACGATTTTTTACTTATAAAAGAATGACGAACTAGATTTACCCACACTCTCAAAGTGCACGTGAAAATAAGGGTGGATACATATATTCTTTATATTTGTATCTTTATTGCCTCACAAAATTGAGGCAGTTTTATACGTCTTAAGGTAAGTAATTTTTTTAAATACTACTTATATACTTGAATTCATCTACCATCGCTCTGTAGTCTGAAGGATCACCTTAGAATAGTTGCCTTCTTATTAATTATAAAAAATTTAAGGATGGCTACAACACCAAAGTGGATATCTTTCGACCTTTTCCAGAAGGTTTTGAAAAGTTATATCCACGAAAACGTTCAGCTACTTACGTTTTCAACAGCAAACGCTGTTCCCGATGGCGACAACTACACCAGCGATCTTTTTAGAACAACTCTCTTCTATATGGACCCAAAAAAGTTAACTTTAATTGTTTTTCCACAAAAAATGACTAGCAAATTTTAGAAACACCAAAAATTCACTTTCTGTTATCGTAAAATGTGGCAACGAAGACGGAGGAACTAAAACAGATCTAGCAAAAAAACTGCAGCTTTTTGAAAAAGAAATCGAGATGTTTGCTAATACATTCCCGGCTATCTACAAAATATTAGGTAACTTTTTGAAATTGGACATCCAGTAGACGATGCCGATGTTTCTAGGAGAGAACTACACACTTTCTTCGAAATGTCTATACGCTAGCACTGATCCCCATTCGGTAATAATCTTCGAAGATTTAACAACTGTAGGATTTCAAATGCTACCGAGACACGTTGGTTTTGACTTAGAGCACTGTTTTAAAGTCGTAGAAAAGATGGCTCAAATGCACGCCGCTTCCGTCATCATGTATGAGGAGAACCCGTCTTCGGTAAAATGTTATCGTGAAGGGTTATACGCTGATAATGATACCGTCCGGGCCTGGGTAATAGAACATATTTCAGGGTTATAATAATGCGATGATGGCGTTTTAAGGTAAAGGCTGGGTATTCTGCGGTTATTGATGCTTGCAGCAGATGGCCCGGTTACGAAAAATACGCATACAAATTAGAAGCTCTAGGTAATGAAGCCTTGGAACGAGGTTTCGAGGCAAGTAGAAAAAGACCAAGGGGTTTTCATGTTCTTAATCACGGGGATTTATGGGTGAATAACATGATGTTCTCGTACGATTCCGCTGACACCAAAGTGAAGGATATGAAATTCGTACGCTGCTGTAGCTCATCATCGCAATAATATTTTAATTTTGCGTTTCATTTTAAGGTCGACTTTCAAATGAACATCTTTACAAGTCCTGCTATCGACTTGCATTATTTTTTGGCTACCAGTACTAGAATTGAAGTGAAAGTCAATTGCATTGAAATAATTCTGGATTATTACTACGCACAATTACTTGCTAATTTGACGAAATTGCGCTATTCTTTGGAAAAAGTGCCTACACGAGAAGAGTTCAAAGGAGATTATAGTTCCAGAGCTTTTTACGGTAAATGAGTGTGATGAACTGATGAGATTGTGAAACTTATTGTAGGGTTCATGGGAGCTGCGACTGTGCTAGCGTTCGTTAAAGCTTCAGGCAGAAAGGATGCGTCTTTTGAAAATATTATCAAAGATGACAGCTTGGAAGGCTTTCGATACCACGCATACAATAACAGTAGATACAGACAACATATGGAGTTTCTTCTGCCATATTACGATAGTTTTGGGATATTCGATTAAAAATGTTATGACTAATTTTTAAATGTCTTTATAAATACTGTATCATGGGCAAAATAAATACGGGGAAGCAAAATCCAGCTTTATCGTTAAGCGTTCTTTCAGAAAACACACTCCACTTTTTATAATGGAAAACAAAACTGCAATATGCATGGTAACCATTCACTACATTTTTATGAATGAATAGTTCGTCGTATCTACAGCAACTCGTACACTTACCTCTGACTTTTCGCGTTGAAAACTTTGGCAGATTATGTCAGTAATATTGGTGTTATTACTCGTTTTTTCTGTGTAATAACACCATAATGCAAAATTTATATGACAGTAAAAACAATAGTAAGTATTATAAATATTCCAAAATCCAAACAACACATTTCAAATTAATTTTTACAATAAAGTTAAAGAAGATGACGGCGAGCATCGAAAAAGTGGCACTAAAGTCCTCTCCAAGACTACGATGTGGGTAACCAATATGCACGCTTGCAATGTTAATATAGTGAAACTTTTAGCCCCAAAACCCGGACCAACACGTCAATAAAAACTGACCACTCAAAAGATAAAGAGTATAAGGTAAAAAAATTCTGTTAAGAGTTTAACATAAATTTTCTTTTTTAGACTAATTAATAGCGGTTTACACAAACTAGTTTCGTCTTTTAACGCCAACAAAGTAGGCCTGAAATCGTCGAAAACTGTTACTAATAGGAAAAATGAAAAACTGCCTCTGTCCGCAACGAGTTCTATACCGGATAGGTGTGTTCGTGTTCCCATTTGATTTTTCTTTTAGTATATGTTGCAGGCAACAACATTCGCATATCACATTGACTAAACAAGTGTCTATAGACAAATATACAATGACGGATTTTGATGAAAACGAACGAAAAATTAACTTTCAGACCTCCGTTCTCAACGAACAAACATACAGGTTTTATTTAATTTATTACAACTTTTTGTAGCAATTTTTTAATGAAATATTTAAATTGGCGTATCTTACAGGGATCTCCAGTGGACAGACCCAAGGCTGTTAAAAAAATATTCCTTGGTACAACCATTCAAAAAATCTTTAACAATTCCTTACGTCAATAAATCGGAGTTCGGTTCCGAAATTGTTGAGGCTACCTCTGACGACGAAGCTGAACTTCTTTGCGCCGAAAATAAGCACTTTTTATTTAAATGTGAAGCTATTCAAAGTGTGAAATCAACCTTTCATTTGTATTTTTCAGGTCTCTACTACATCTGTACAACTTCTGTGTCTTTTATTGGGTCTATGTGCGGCATAACATTGATTACTGTAGTTTTATGGAAGATGTTAGACGAAAATCTCTTCAGTTTTCATTTGGAAGCGCCAAGAAACGACTTATTTTTAAGAACCATAATCAGAGGCGTGATGAGTTTGGCCTTCCAACTAATTAATAACGTCTTTGGGAAAATTATGCGTTTATTGACAATTTCGGTATACAATTTTGGCCAAACATTGCACACCTTGAATAATACCAATTTCAGACTAGCGAGGTTTTCGCACATGAAGAAGAGCTTGCGTCAACATGGTATCGAAAACTGTTTTGAAGTTATTGTACTTTTCAGCACCTGTAAATTTGTAATGATTTGTCACTTTGTAAATTTCATTTGAAAACTGCATTCTGAGTTTAATTTATAAAAATAACCCTATAAATGTTGAAAACAAACACATATGAGACAAAAATTGGTTTTATTGTGGATTCTTACGCCGATACAAATTATGCGCGTCTATTAAATGTGTTCGTGGTCGGTTGAGTCAGCTGCAACCCACTAATGTTATTAAAGTCCAACATCTTCAACATTTCTTTAGTTTCTGGATCGACTTCGATAATGTCATGTTCCAAAGCGGAAACTTCTGGAACAAAGTTATCCCTTCTTTCCCTTTCTTCCTCTTGTAACTTGATCGAAATTCCGCGAACTTGAGAATGTCTCAGGCGCTTCATTAAATGGGTCACAAATCCGGCAATCTTGTTTCTCAATGGTTTTGTTGGGATGATTGCGATTTCCTCGCAAATGCGTTTATTCGTGTGAAAATCAAGGGTCAGTCGAGTGTAGTACTTCTCGATGATCACCTTCGACGCTTTTTTCACGGTTTTGGTACGTACACGGCCCATAATGCTGAAATCAAAACGAAAACATCACTACCATCACGCACATAACCCTATGTCCAACACCAAACTTGCTTCAAATTTGATAATTCAAACACATTAAAAGCGTTCAGAGAAACGCGAAAATCGTTTAATTCGATGTTTTAATGAAAATGAAGCATATTTACCTGAATATATATTATTTTCTGCAACTGCGAAAACGTGGTCCGCGCTGGCTTTTGACAGAAAGAGGGCGACACACATGCACACGGTCAATAGTGCCATGACAACGCGTTCACAAAACTTAAAAACCCTAGATTCGGACAACTTCTTTCAAATTTGAAAATAAAAACAAAAACATTCCATTGTTCAATAATTGTGTTTAGTTTTTTAATTCTTATAACACGTGAAGTAAGAAATCAAAAACTGTAAGTTTACTCACTGTTAATCTACACAAATACATGCCATAATTTAATTTATTTAAAAAAACATGCAAATACCTTCTAATTTATGAGGGATCAAATGTTATGATGCAGAGAACTCTGGTACTGTGCATCCTCTTCTTTTAATTATTGTGTAAGCTGCATGACACCCTAATTGCAAACATTCTTTTAAGGATTTCTCTTGCAAGTACCCTGCTAAAAAGCCACCAGCAAAAGAGTCTCCAGCTCCAGTTGTATCCACAATCTCTTCAGTACTTAAAGTAGGAGCCTGCGCCACGCAACTTTCACCATGTCCAAAACACATTACTGCAGATGGACCATTAGTCACTGCAATGATTTTCCCTCTACCGTGTTCACTTAGTGCTGTCAGAAAATTTTCAACACTAACCCCCTTTAGGGAGCAAATTTTATCAAATTCTTTTCGATTACCAAATATTATATCTGCTTGTGATAAAAATTCATCAACTAGTTCTGGCAAACTGTCAACTAAATACTCTCCACACAAATTAAATGCGAACATTTTATTATGTGAAGTGCAGTGGTTTAAAATAAAAGTTGCAGTTTTAGTTCGTTTTGTCAGAAAAAACCCTTCCATATACACTAAATCAGACTGTTCTATTTGTGTTATGATATCTGTTCCATGTATGTATTGTAATGGAACAATTTCAGCAGCGCCTAGATGAGCCACTAAGGATCGATTATCATTAGTAACTAATGACACTGTTGTTCCAGTAGGGTATGCCTTATGTACAATATAGTGTGGTTCAATGCCATGTTGCTTTAAAATTTCCTCCAAGAGTTTTCCTTCAGAATCTCCACCAATTGCACCACACATAGTGACTGAATATTCTTTTTTTAAAAGCCACTGTAGGATTTTAAGTGTATTTTGTGCACAACCTCCTGCTGTTACTGTTTTATCATAACTGCAATGAGTACATTGATTGATTAAAATTCTTTATCAGTTTAATAAGTTACTCTTTGATGTCTTCTTTCAACGCTTCCATTTCGCTTAGCGATATTTCCTTTTGACCATCTACATCTAGATTATATTTTTCTAGAAGTGACTTATCTTGCAGTAATACAATGGTATCAAGTAATGGATTACCAAATGCAATAACCCTTTTCATATTGGCTAATCAATGTTATTCACGTAGGACGGGATGGGACTTTAAACAAAACCGCTGAAACAATACAGCTACAATCCTTACTATATAGTTATAACCTTTGGTGATTACTTTTTGTATTGCTTCTCATTGCAGTATCACCGGTATCACCACCGCTCTAGTATTTTTCAGCCACTGAGTTGGTACCAGTTACCCTGACAATCAAAGCAATATGAGAGTATGAGATTTTGACAGTTGTCTGTATGTCATGTGTTGTCAGTACTTGTTAGTTTTTTAGTGATAAGGAGGTTTCATTATAACAAAAAAACATTATTTTATCGTGGTGCATCTTTTTTTCTATCATAAATGACGTCTGGCAAGGACACAATGGGGTAAATTTCAAAAAATAATAAAAACTTGACATCTATATTGTATCACATATGCCATTTTTACATTAGTTTTAATTTAAACAATAATGATACTGTTTACCATTAGAAAAAATCGTTATTAATTAGAATTTCTTCACTGCATTTCATTATTATTGAATTTTTGTTTTGCTAATATATATAACGAGTCTTTTACTAGTATTAATGACCACTCCCCCTTGGAAAAAATTCAATCTTCTGTTTTTTTTTTTCGCAGTGAACAACCTATATTTACATGTAAGGCCCACGTTTTCCACATTGATCCAAAAACGAAACGTTCGTGGATGCCAGCGTCCAGTACAGCTGTCAGTGTTTCATTTTTTTACGATTCGTCTCGGAGCCTGTACAGAATTATAAGTGTTGAAGGACAAAAAGCAGTTATTAACAGCACGGTCACCCCAAACATGACGTTTACTAAAACGTCTCAGAAATTCGGGCAATGGTCTGACGTTAGGGCAAATACTGTTTATGGGTTGGGTTTCTCGTCTGAAGCAGAACTGCAAAAGGTATTGATAGTTAAATATCTATCTATGATTTTAATCGCATTAAGTCACCCCCTAAATAAAATAATGAAAGAAAAAACAACGTCTAATGTGACTAAAATTTTGTTCAAGTTTATCGATAAATTTAATGAAGTGAAAGAAGCAACCAGATCAGCTATAAGCAAAGTCACTGCCAATGGAGGTTCTGCAGTAACTCCAGTAACAAGTGCAAATGCCAGTCCTATAACTGCGAGGGCAGCCAACGCCACTCCTGACCAATCTGATAATTTGTTAGAACCTCCTGGTAAATTATCACATGAGTCAGGTGAGTCATTGGTTGAACAATATTTTTCATTGTTCAGGAAGTGCAGTTCTTCCAGCTACAACTAATGTTAAAGCAGAAGAGGACATACCACATCCACGAAGCCATTCTATTTCTACTCTACAAACTAATGAGAGCCCCAGCCATCAGATTAAAACTGAAAAAACTACATACAGTAATGCTCCAACGAATCCAATAGATATGCAACTGAAGTATGAGAATGATAGACTCAAATTGGCCCTGGCGCAAAGGTAAGTCTCGTTATGATTAACGTTTTGATTTTTGCATGAACAAGAAGATTTGAATTTTGAAAATGTAAACATGTTTACCAAATAAATTTTCTACAAGTATATAATATGCATTCCAAATATACCTGAAGTTCAAAGTGTATTAAAACAGTCGTCTAAAGTTATTTAAACAGAATTTCCTACACTCCCAAAGCACAGTTCACATAATTTTTCCTAAAAATAAATATTTTAATTTTAATATATTTAAAACCAGTTTTACAAATTTGAGAGAAATAAAGTCTGTTAAATTGATTCATTTGTTTATTTGTATTTCAATGTGTTTGAGATGATATTGTCAATTATTTGAAGAGGATGAATCATAGTAAATTTTTGTTAGTACATATTCTGTAATCACTACAACACAGTATCTTACTAAAAATTTTGAGCAACATTAGTTTCTGTGATAAATTGTAAAATTTGACTTACAAATTCCATTGTTTGATTTTTTGATAATTGTGCTGTCATCAACTTTTTAGTGGAACATTTTTTTTTAATTATTAAATTAAATTTTATTTTATTTTAATTATAAATCGAAAATTATTTACCCAAGTTTTCCGAAAATATGGTAGCACAGTACTGTTATCAATAATGTGAAAACTGATAAGTCTTATCTTACCAAGTACTAGCCCCACCCACCCGCACCCTATTTTCCCAAAGGATATGCCATTTGCCAAAACAAGACTTATGTTAGCAAGTATTAGCCCCGCCCACCGGTCCTTTATTTCCTTAGAGGGTAGTACTTGCTAAGATAAGTCTTATTATGGCAAATGACTTATCCTCTGAGGAAGTAGGGGTGGGTGGGCGGGCCTAGTACTTGCTCTGATAAGACTGATTTTGGCAAACGCCATACCCTCTGAAAAAATAGCGGGCGAGTGGGCGGGGCTAGTACAGTATAATCCGGTTATAACGACATCGAAGGGACCTTGAAATTTTCGTCGTTATAACCGGAAGTCGTTATAACCGATGAATGCTAATTTTATAAATATTACAACTTTATTTAAACAAAATGTAATATTTAATACACGTACATAGTCGCAAGTCAGAAAGGAAAATACATCCAAGGATCATGTAGTAGTTATAAGTAGGTACATACATACATACATATATGAGCCTACAAATACATATATACTGAAATGTTACTAAAACTTATTTTGGCATATTTTGGATAGGTTTTGTTCGGCAGAATTTTAAGATGACGTCATCAGTTTTTGGGAGGGGGTAAATAATAAATTTTGCTTAACGATTTACAAAATTTGACAGCAATCGGTCCAGAAGTTTCGGAGATTACGTGTCTAATAAAAATGGATACAGACAGACAGACGAAAACGGGAGACTACTTTTTTCGCACTCTAGAGGTCATAACACGTCGAGAAAATATGAAAGTGGTAATTCGGCCGATGGACTCGATTACTATACAAATAAAATTAACAAAAAGTTCTGCAATCTTTAGATAATGTTAACATCTTATTAAATTTTTACTTTTACGATAACCTATGTACGCCAGATTAAAAATTGGAATACATAATTAAAACACTAATAAAGAACATGTCATAGAATTTTGAGTGGAGATGGAAAGTAAATGTCGTATTACTATTTAGATAATATTCTTAAATTTTTCAAACATCTAAACTTTCCCAGTAATCAGGCCAGTAGTTTTGAAGATTAATGTCGAAAACATGAAATTAGACATTCATCAAGATAACGTCAATCTTATTATAATTATTCTTGTAACTGTGGCTTCAGAAATGTAAAATTGTTCATGGAATAGCGGTTGGATAGGTTCTGTAGTTATTTTTAAGCATTTTATAGATAGCTCTAAAAACTTGTGAACATTATCGCAAAAGATCCTAAAATAAATCTTTGGAAAAATACGCCCCGAGATGCATGCGAATAACCTTGCAGATGTTTCCCATATTTTTGTTATACTTGTCTGCATATTTTTGTAATTTTTTTGGCATCAGACAGGTGAATTTAAAACGCGTACGTTAATTATGAATTATTTATTTCTAATTTTGTAATTTAGCTGTGTTGTAATTTGAGATCTGTTTGTGTTACATTCATTTACGAAATGATGACGACGCTTCAGAGTTGCAAGATCTTTAGGCTGAAAAAATAACTGCGAAGACTAAAGTCGTTGTATGGAAATAATTAGAAGTCTTATTTTTACGGATTAATCACCATGTGACCGTCGCCACGCCGACATTGTGACATTTTTAATAGATAGGTATTATTTTCTTAATTGTGGAAGTATTACTTGAAAGTTTAAAGCAAAAAATAGTAGTTTTAAAATATTATTCCAGTTAACTTCCTTTATGGTAACTGTGGGAGTAATATTTTTTTAGTGTAATACTGAAACGAAACTAGTATTGTTTTGTTTTATTTATTTTTGGTGAATAGAAAATTACAAAAATAGTACACAAATATCACATATAAATTCATCATCTTCAAATCATCAGTAATGACCCTCATACCCACCACCAACAATGCCATGCCCGCCCTGGTGCGGTTGTCCAATCTTGTGAACAACGGCGTTGAATCCATTGTGTTTATCAGCTTTGTATTCAACAACTCGAGTAGTACCGTCAGCCTCCTTCAAAACGAACCATTATTTTTTTAAAGGATGTATACAACCCATACTTACTTTCACAGTATAAGTTCCCTTAACTTCATCACCATTGCGTTCTTCAATGTGTTGTTTCTCGTCACCTGTGTGTGGATCGTGCACTGCATAATTGAACTGATACTTTGGATGTTCCTAGAAACGAAAAAAGTAACAACAAGAATGGAAAAATAATCACTCAAGTTACATAATGGTCATCGTGTCCTTCGTAACCACCACTATATCCTCCATATGCTCCCTCACCACCACCCCCAGCTTGAAGTCCATAAATTTCACCCAAGTGCCCAGCTTCGGTACTAACACCATAGATGATGACAGTGATGAAAAAGATCTTAAAAAATAAAAAATGTCACAGTATTAGTCACTCGACACAAAAAACGCGTTAGTCGTACTTTGTTGAGGCCGAACATGTTGTTTAGTAAAAAGAATTGATGAACTGATATCATTTGTAGGGGTTTGCCTGGTATATATAGTAAATTCAACTTCTCCATCCACACCACGCTTCTCCCTATATCTTCCTCACTTTCTATGTATTATTTCGTTATATTTTTCATAACGAAAATCGGTGTTGCTTCTCTGTCTCGCTTATGAATTTGTTTAATTAATTATGCGTTCGTGTGATGTACGTAAATTTATCGGAAAGGGAAAACAGTGAAACTTATTTACGCTTTTTGGTTTATTGGTAAACGCACAAGTTTCTCCATGGTATTTTTGATTTTTATCTGTGACACAATAAAGACAAAACAATGGGATTATGTATGAGATCGTACGTAACATAGTATGATGCATTAAAAATGCACTAGCGATTACAGTTTCCATATACGAATCTTGTTAATAATCGTTCATTAATGAAGATTTTTCAGGGAAATATTTTTTAATACGGTGTTTAACATGTTGCAAGAATCACTGAACGCGTTCACAAAATTTATCGTGTTCATCTTTATGCTAATTGTTTGTGCAACAGCTTCATTTAGGTCGTAATAATTATTATCGAACAAATTCGCAAGTGAAGAAACAATGCTTGATAAAAAAGTGTTAATAATCAATATAGTTAAAAGTGAAGAAACGGGGTCATCCGGTTCCTTCCAGTTAATTATAAATAATGACAAATTAATTGTATAACGAGTCGCTAATTATTTTTTCTACGTATACGTGTAACTGCAGTAGTGATTATGATTTGCAGAAATGAATCCATAAGAGATCTATCTCATTGAGTAAGTCCGACATAAGCCTTAAATCAAAGGAAACAGCAGCAATCAACTGTGTTATGTAAATAGGATTAATAAAAAGTTGCTTCATTATTACTGTCGTTTCGCTTATATCGTTCTAATAATATTACGTGATTGTTATTATTTACGCCCCATTTAATAAACTAAGTATGGGAAGAGTTACGAAATACGGTAGAATGGATGCAGACCATCGACGCCAAATACTAGTGTAAAACGTTTGTTGTAATTTGCGTTTCAGTTCAGCCAACGCGAAAAAATGGGAAATTGAACTGGCAACTTTGAAGAGCAACAATGCCAGGTTAACAAGTGCACTTCAGGAAAGCACGGCAAACGTCGACGAATGGAAGAGACAATTAGCGAGTCTGAAGGAAGAGAATATGAGGATGAAGGCGAAATATCAAGCGGATTTGGAGAACAGCAAAGGTTTGTCATTTTAAGATAGTTTTTCACAGTTAAATTGACCACCTTTGGAACAGCTGTAGTAACACCAGCTGTATAATAGTTAATTACAATTACATAAAAGTAATTTAAGGATAACAGATGGCAAATCGTAAAGCGAGATGATGACGTACTAGCGATAAATTGTGAAAGCCACTTATTTTTAAACAGCTATTTTCCAGTAGATTTGTCTGTTACTGTAACTGGAGAAAATTCGTTCAAACAGTATCTTGTGAAAAACTTATTTAGCGATAAATTCTGACAAGAATATAGAAAAATAAATATGAATGTAAGCTAAAATGTATTTAGTATAATTAGATAAATAGTTTTGTTAAATTTATAATATATGATATACCAAAGACGAAATCTTACGGATTTATGTAACTTTAATTTCCGTCGTCAGTAAATTATATACAAGCATTTGGTGTTAACTTTTTGATAATCCTCCTATAGTTAAAATGATATTCGAGTGACTGGGGAAAAAGGCAAATGTATTTTTAAAATACAAAATATAGTGACCAGTTCGAAAATCGTAATAAATTTCTCTAATCTACTGATACCAAATATTTAACTGACCATATTTTGTGCAAACCTTTTCAAATGGTGAAAGCTACATGTATCAGTAATACAAAAAAAAAGGATTCTTTTTAGGGGGTGGCGATATCGCTGACGAACTGCGGCAAGAAATCCAGTCTTTACGATTGCGGTTAGAACAGCTGGAGGCAGAACTCGACGCTAAAAATAACGAGTTTAAGCAATTGTCGGCCTTCCAGAAAGCACCAGACGTACAGGTACCCCGTGTATATACATCAATACCCAACAAAGCTACAATGCTTTTTTACAGTCATTGCAGAAGGAAAACCAGGAACTCCAAGCCACAGCGAAACTAGCCCAGTCCGAATTAGACATAGCTCTCAGTGCTCACGAATCTCAGAGACAAGTACTACTCACGCTTAACCAGCAATTGGCTAGCAGAGTCCACGAATTGGCAACGATCCACGACGAAATTACCACTGCTTTGCAAACGTGAGAGCTTGCACAAAGATAGCATTATGTACGCGAACGCATTTATATCGCATATGTATAGGGTCCGTGTAATATCTTGCTTAGGTCTGTAACAATATAATGAATGTCTCGAAAAATATATTATACAAAACGTACTATACTATCGGTTGTAAAAGAAACACAAAAAACTAGACTTGTTAGTATTTATATAAGGTGTGCCATATATGATTGTGCACAATAATCATTGGCCAATTAAGTTGTCTGTTTGAGCTAATGCTATACAACATGTTTGCATTTATTAAGTGATATCGGGCTCCGTTTCAATTATGTATAGGAAACTTTTGTTGGAACGTTTTCATATATCAAAATATTTTATACGTAACGAACGTGTGTTGTAATAATTTCTGTGGCTTTTTTTAATAGCTGGAGAATTAACATATCGTCTTATCAAGCCAACGAGTTCAGATATGAAGTCTTTGTCAAAACTGAAGATCTAAAAGATTTCATATTTTCGCGGGAAGCCATTAGGAGATATGTGTATTCAGTTAAAGATGGTTAATTTTTGTTGTTTTGTTGTTTTAATTGAGTGTGTATACTAGATGCAGTATTCTGAGTTGTAGCTAGAATTTATTGTACTGTTAAAACTGACTGATATTTTTAATTTTTCTTTGTTTACGCTATAGCTTTTTACTTTGTCTAGATAGTATTTTGTAGATACAATCAATTAAAAACGACTTAGACTAGTTAAAAGACAAATCGAAGCACTTGTTAATTTACCTATCCTTTGTATCTATACCTGCAAATTATAATATGTTCTTAAAACGTAACAGGTGTTCAACTGAAAAAAGTTATCAAGTTGGCGTTGCTTTTTAATAAAAGAAAACGTGGCGAAAAACGTATGTGTTGTATTAATACATACGTATAAACTTCACAATGTTTACAAAAAATCAAGGTCAACTCGATGACTTTTTCAGTTGAACACCGGATATTTACACAAAGCATGTAACTATGTATTACAGATGAAGGGGTACAGTGATAATGCATACGAAAGATAACATGTTTAATAACTAATTTTAAGAAGTTATAGTAGCGTTAAGAATACACGCAAAACGCAAAGCTGTTAGGAAACAGGTATGCTAGTAGAAGAAATAAGTAATAAATGTGATGTACAAAATTTGTTTTATATAAGTAAGACTTCGAGTTCGTGTGTATAGAATGTTTGTGTATTTTTATGTATGCCGCATTAGGTTTATTATGCTTGTCCTAATTGAACAAGATACAATTATTAAAACGCACTTGTACTAAGCCTGACAGTTTTGCGACAAGTTATAACGTAATTTGCAGATCGTTCTTGATACGTTCATCAAAGCGAGGTAGTTAATATTGTGCGCTTTTTGATACTAGAGTTTTCCTGTAAAAAACTGCCACAAGTTTCATTTATAATCGTAATCATGTATTGCAAGGATATGCACAAGGGGTAAATTTTATTTATCAACGACGTCACGGCGCTAGCGTACGCCGATGTAAGCCATTCAGTATTCAGTTGTAATTGTGTTTCTTGTGCATATTCTAAAAATTACTCTGCTGGAAATTGATGATCTTAATAAAAATCTTCATACGTTATAAGTATTAGAAAGAAACTGCTAAATATTATTGCACTTGTAAATTGAGATTTGTTCTAGTATGAATAGAACATGGTATTTATATGTTGAAATTGTTAATAACAATGAAACAAATATTGTTATTTATGTTTTCAAGTATGTGGTGCAAGACCAAACTGTATGAAGCTATTTTGTTCATAAAATAGACTTACTTGACGATGTGTTTGAATTTTATCGTTCCAAGAAACAATTGTATTTAAAAAAATGTCCACCGTCTAAACAGACCTTGCGTCGCTTCTACAGCACGGTGAAGCAAAGCTGGTTCCTGATTATACAGATTTAATAAAGGATTTTATTTTTTTATGCTAACCCCTACACTGTGTGAGTAAAAGGGAGTAATAAAAATATAAACCAAAAATAAGTTCAAAATGTTTGTATCTGCTAAATCTGTGGAGGAGCTAAAGACTGATACAATTTTGTAACTGCAGTTTTTACAATTTGTCCGAATGTTTCGTCTTCAGGGCAAGTAACCTCCTGTAAAGAAGAGTATGAATTAGCATTTTTATATCAAAAGCCAGTCAAACTTACCAAGTTTGATAAATCTATATCAGCCTTTTTATCATTCACAGTAACATACAACTTTTCGCCTTTGAACATTTTTGGAACGGAATCTTCGCCAAACATGTCTTGAAGCATTTCAATTAGACACTCCTGAAACTAAATGCTTAGAAACCGTTAGTAGAGATCGCAATACATACTTTAAAATGCATCCTATCGACTTTTACGCTTGTAGATAAATTCTTTATAGGAGTATCCAACAAGTCCGCTTGAAGTATCGCTGCTACAATCGCGTCGGCATACATATCATTTACAGGATTGGCCACCCACTAAAAGACATGATAACAATAAAATGCATAGTAACATGAGTGGACATTACCTCAAGAGTAACAATTTTGTTATCTATTGTAATATCGACGGCGTTAAAAGCTCTAGTTTTTTTATCACCTTCAACAGGCTCTAGCAACCCAGCAACTTGTGTAATTAAATGGCGCAGCACTCCCATATTTCCAGAATAGTGGATGCTTTGCCTTTGCATGATTTGACTCATACTCATGTCAGTATATTCTAAAACAAACATTATAGATTTAATTTTTTGTAATAACTGCCACACTCACTTGGTAAATCGTTGGCTGCCAGTAAATGATAATTGAAATTTCTCTTTACTAAAACACCCGACAACGTATTCCCCGGTTTCGGTTCTTCAACCGCTAAAGTTCCCATTACTTTGGCAGTCTTCTCGCCGCGAAAATACAGCTCAACGCAGTGTGTATTTCGCGGATTGTGGAGATAAATCGTGGTGTTCGGATCGTCTTCGTACTCTCTCTGAAGCGCCGCCTTCAAACGGCTCATTTCGTTTTGTTCGCCGTGCACTAAAACCTTACATTCCATTACGGGTAGTCGAAAGACTTGAACATAAACACTTACGACGTGGGGCGGTTTTAGGATTCGTATGAATTCGCTAGTCTGCTGATAATCCGTGTGAGCCGAGAAGGAAATGTAATCCACTGACATTTTAAGCGGCAATTTTTGGCCCACCATGGTCGTGATTTCTTCTGGTTCGGACAAAATCGTCTTTGCGAGGGTACCCTCAACGCAGTAACCCGCAATGATGACCCCGTTTTTCGCATCCGTGCACCACGATTCGAACAGTTCTCTGGAAAGACCGCTCTGCATCATACCGGGGGATGCCATTATTACGCATGGACCAATGTCTTCGAAATGGTCGATGCCCTGCGGATTTAGTGAACATCGATGTTATGAGAATGAAAATGTTTTTGGAAATTTTATTACAAATAAAATTTTGTGGACGTTCTGCGTCTTTTCAAAAAAAAAAAAAAAAAATCTTAGATGTGTCCTAAAATTTGATAATGCAATTTTTTTTTGATAGCCCGTATGCTTTCGAATGAATAAGAAGAAAATATTAATCAAAAGGAAAAGAAGAATGGCTGTGATACATGTTTCTAGTTTGTCATCAAGTGTTTAGGGGGCTACATATATTAATTTTTTGGGGCATATTACCGAAGCATAAGCTATACCACGTATCAGAACGTATTTTTTAATAAATAAATTTTTTAATAGTTCTTACGTCCCCAACGAAATTAGGTTTATTCGACGAAAGGCTAATTCCATGTTTTTTCCAACTTCTTATGACGTCAAAAATATGAAAAATTTTTAAACAAGTTGGTTTTCAATTTTTACCAATTTTAAAATGTTGCATAATTTGATTAATTTGGCAGACAAGTATAAATAACGTGAATCATTGATGAGTCAGCTATATAACTTTTGGATTTATTTACTAGTGCCTTTATACCCCCCAATGTGTTAAAAATATAATTTAGTGTCATAATCATCTCCAAAAAAAAGCCGTATTGTGTACATACGTTCATACGTGTAAGCAGAGCATACGTGCTCACGTTCAATATTTCTTATCATAGTATCAGTGAAAGGTTAAGGATCAACAGGTTTTATCAATTTTTATTATGAGTGACGCCTCCCGATTTCCACAGTATTCACTTTACTTCATAAGTTTCACATTCCAACCACTTCTTAATGCCGCTAGAGAGTAAAACATAAACAGTCACCACCTAAACACAAAAAGTGAGGTTAGAAAGCACCCCGTTCCTTCTAAACAATAAAAATTTCCAGATGGCAGATTCCAGCTACAAAACGCGGCTAATCGAATTCTTGGAGAAGCACCGTGGCCTAGTCATCGTCTTCTTCTGTCTTCCCGCAAGCTTCATTTTCAACACTATCCTAACCCTCCGAAGGACGCTCCACCGCCTATTCTTCAGTAGCCCCACACGGCACGACGACCGCATAAAACAAATCCAGAAGCAGATCCAAAAATGGAACAGAATTCCCAAAGACGAACGAAAATTACTGTGCACCTCCCGTCCCAATTGGTTAAGTCTGTCCACGACGTTCTATCGAAAGGACCTCTGCCATCAGATTGACGTCGACCTGTTCGACATTCTTGAATTCGACGAGCAGAATTTAACAGTACGAGTCGAACCCATGGTGACCGTAGGCGAGATCACAAGTTTTCTTATTCCCAGGGGGTACACCCTCGCGGTGACTTTAGAAATAGCCGATGCTACTCTTGGCGGTTTAGCATTAGGGACTGGAATGACGACGCATTCGCATCAGGTGGGACTGTACCACGAAACGATAAAGTCGTATGAAGTGGTTTTGCACGATGGGAGTTTGGTTCGGGCAGCAGCTAATGAAAACAAAGACCTTTACCAAACTTTGCCTTGGTCACATGGCAGCTTGGGTTTCTTGGTGGCGTTAACGCTGCAACTCGTCAAGGTCAAACCCTACGTAAAACTAAGCTACATTCCAATTGAAGGTAAAAAGAACTACTGTGATATGCTAAGGATGTTGTCAGGTGACTCCAGTCCCGACCATCCCACAGCAGACTTCGTCGAAGCTACAATTTTCGCCCCCGAGAAGGCTGTCATAATGACGGGAACCTTCTCCGACTATGACCCCAATCTCTCAACCAATCATGTGACGAGATGGTACAAGCCATGGTTCTACAAATACACTGAGACTTTCTTCAAAAAAGGCAAACACACTGAATTAATACCGCTACGCGAGTATCTACTAAGACACAACCGTGCCATTTTCTGGGTGGTTGAGTCTATGATTCCTTTTGGTAACAACCCGATCTTCCGGTTGTTCCTAGGATGGTTGCTCCCACCCAAACCGGCTTTCCTAAAATTCACGACCACTCCGGGCGTTAGAGCGTACACGTTCACACGACAAGTTTTCCAAGATATCGTGCTTCCCATACGTAAACTTGAAGAGCAAATTGACAAATCTGATGAACTTTTCGATTGTTATCCGCTTCTGGTTTATCCTTGTAAGGTGTACGATCGAGGGACGAATTCTGGGCAGCTGAAGGCGCCACGAAAGGAGTACATTGTGGATGGGACGAATTACGCTATGTACAACGATCTGGGTATCTATGGAGTGCCTGGGTATGTCAAAAGGAAGGAAAGATACAATCCAGTTTATGCGATGAGGGAGATGGAAAAATTCACTAGGGATGTAGGAGGATTTTCGTTTTTGTATGCAGACATTTTTATGACAAAGGACGAATTCGAACAGATGTTTGATTTAACGTTATATGAGAGCGTAAGGAGGAAATATGGTGCCGAAGGCTCATTCCCGCATCTCTATGAGAAAGTCAAACCGGAAATTGACGTTTTTCAAGTGGGGCAACAGTTTGAGATTAAGTAACATGGTAACTTTTTAAGAAGTTGCTTAATTATTCATTAATAAAGTAAGATTACTAATTAAAATCAACTTTCACTGAAGTACTAAGATTTGACTGGATGAAAATACACATTTATTTATTGGAATTTATCTAATAGATCGCAACAAGATCATTTTGACGAACGTCCAATTTCATATTTTCTCGACGCTTTACAACTTATAGAATGCGAAAGTGACGGTCGCCCGTTTGCAGTTTTATTAGACAGAACATCCCGAAAAGTAAGGAGCTGATTATTTTGAATTTTTTTAAGATTATAATTGTGTTAACTAAACATCGCTTGAAGTTATAGCGTGGTATAATCCTTTAACTGTAATTTAATAATGTACCCATAATTTCAACTTATTTACGCATGTGGATTATCGTAAAAAATGCAAACTGTGCAATGACAAATTTTAAAGCTTAGACAAATAAAAATTTTTAAAATGAATCAAGAAGTATTTTGCATAGTACATGTATCATAATGAAAAAATGTCAAGATTCGTAAATTTCCACACAATTCTTTTCAACAAACTTACCTTCAAGTTTGATATGTGCTTAAAAACAAACGGATTATTAATGGCGATTTGTCTTCGAATCTTTTCATTCATAGCGTTGATGTATGTCTGATACACAGCCATGCACTTCTTCGCCAAAGACGACGCATAATATATGGGAATGTCGTGTAAATCTGGATGCTGACTCCAATATTCGTCCAAAATTAAAAGTAATTCCTGTGCTCGTCCCAAAGCAAAAACAGGTATCAAACAACGACCGCCTCTGTTGACAATATCATGAACTAAGTTGGTAAAGCGACTTTCTCTTTCTTCTCTTTTTTCATGGATATGAGTACCATAAGTGGATTCCTGGAAGATGTGTCTTAAATTGCGAATTAATGTCAAAAATAGGTTGTTACTGTAATTAAAACATCTGGATGTACTGTAGGAATTTCCGCAGCCATTAAATGGCGATCCTCCTGACGAGAAAAGTCGCCTGTGTACAAAATCTGAAATCAAATAAAAAAAAAATTAAAATAATTTATTCAACATTGAATTGTAGTCACGTACTTTAACGCCCGCTATTTCGATCATGAACATTGCTGCCCCCAAAACATGCCCAGCATTGTAGGCCCAAAACTTGATCCCCAATACGTCTTTTTCTTCATGGAAATTAATAGTCTCTATTTTGTCCATGCTGGCTTCCAAGTCTGCTTCAGTGTAAAGCATTTGTTCTGTTGCAATGTTGCTACAATTATTTAAGTACATTAATATAAAATTAATTTTTGGGGGTTTCCACTCACCTAACTTTTATGTAATCTGACAATAACCAACGGTAAATGGCTTTAGTTGCATGAGTCATGAAACACCTTCCTTTAAAGCTAGTCTTTTGTAAAAACCAGGGTAAAGCACCGCAGTGATCAAGATGAAAACTTAAAATAATTTTTTAAATTGTACAATTTAGACTGGGACTGATACTTGGCAAAATTTTGTGATGATGTCATCAAATATTTAGCGGTGATGAATCAATAAATTTTGATAAGTGTTACTATATGATTTTGCTAACATAATTGCGAATTTAACTTTGAAAAAAATTCTACAGTTCTGAAACAGCTTGTAACTTACTGGGAAATTAGCAGCAGGTCAATTTCATCAGCTTCAATCAAATCAACAAACGGTAAAGCATCCATGCCTGATAAACCAGGGTGAATTCCACAATCTAGCTAAAGTTTAAAATAAATAATTGCAAAAAAACACTACACAGGGGTAGTCTTACCATTATTTTTTTACCCTTAAATTCAAGCATAATACAAGATCGACCCACTTCTTGCCCAGCACCCCTTAAAATAAGCGAAATTAATGTTTTAAGTTCTGCTGAAGAAATAAAAAATAACATCACACTTACAATGGCCTTATGGTTAACTGGTCACTTTCTTCCGCCGGTACTTGGGATTCTTGTTTCCTTTTTGTAGACATCGTAGTATGAGATTCCACAGAAAATAATAAGATTTATTTCATTTAATACTTTTTCGGTCACGAATCACAGTCATACATAACTTTCGTTCAAAGATATTTTGCTTTCATCCACGGTGCTTTCATCACAGACTTTCATAACCTCTTTTAAAGTCTGTTTACAAGTTATACCAACCATATAAACAACACAGTTATCATTTTTGTTATGTTGTCATCACAGGTTGTCATGTCCACTATTTGTTGGTTGCAGATACAAAATATTCAATTTTTTTATAAAATTTAAAATAAAAAAAGTATTACCAATAAAAGCCCATAATATACAACTGTTACACTAGAAATAAACATGTATTTATTTATTTATGAATTATACAAACTTAGCGTATGAATTATAGTGTATACTGGGTTGCATAACATCAATCAATAATAGTGCAATAGTGATTGCACCTGATGCACGAATTCCTTTAATTTATTTATTAATAAGTCACCTGTAGCCTTTTTACATGAGAAGTGAGAACAAAATTCTGGTTCTACATTTTTCCTATTCTGCTTTTATGCGTTTTACAAAATATACTTTTTTTTTATTCATCAGAAATTAATCGCTGATTTTTTTTATATACTTGATTTTAGATTTGTATCAGAGCTAATTATGAGGTTATTTTATTAGAGTACATAATAGATCTCTAGTAATAGTTATTAAAATTATTTCAACACCGCCGGCAGCCTTAAAAGTTGGGACCATGGGGACACAAATTAATTATAATATCATAAAAAGTTATTTATTTATACTAAATTAAACGTCTTTTGAGTTGTTTTGAACAATATTTCGACTGTTCGACTTTTTCGATACAAAATTATTATTGCCTATGTCATGCGATACCAGCGATACGCATAAAATATCCCCTCTATGCAAGGTTCCCTCTATGTATGTATGATTTCTATGGCGATACGAATCGACAACAACCGGATCCGTGGACAACAACTGTCATTCTGTCACTTCTGTCAGTGGTGATTCGTGATTTGTAATTTTTTTCTCTTGGCTTTTCATACGCAAAGTTGTGCTTCATTTATTGGGCAAAGGAAAAAAGAATGTAAAATCGGAATTTTCAACAAAAAGAATTGAGTAAGTAGCATTTCAAAATGAAACATTTTAACATCAATTCAACTGATCAACCCGATTTGGTCATTTTTCTGGTACTTGGATTATGTTTGTACTATTGCCTGAATTGCAGCAACAAAAATGTGTTGAAATTGTGAATATCCAGTCGGTGTTGTTAATTTCTTTGTGAAACTGATATTACCAGAGATTTTTTACTGTTTTTGCATTTCATCAACCTTGATCTTAATCTGAAGTAGCCACTGGAGAAGCACACGTGGAAAATTATTTTTCAGCCATCTAGTTGTATAGGTTTTTCCTACAGCTCCAGTGAGTCATGTTTTCTTTTAAATCTACATGTGTTTAATAATTGATTCATATGAAAATCATTTACCGCCTTGAGCTGTTGCAAGCAATGAAGTCTTTGGTTTTAAGCTTCTCATGGCATATATCCATCGAACTTAGTTTCAGTAAAAATTTCTTAATGTCCACGTGAGGCATAGTGAGTACTTCATAGCAGTGAATATTGTGGTTACAAACCATTTTGTATTGCGTTAATTCAGTTTGGGATGGTGAATTGTTAAGCACAATACGAGATAATGTTATCCATTTTTTTTTGTAGTTTATGATGTATGGGATATTTATCATGAATCTTAACAGAACAGCGTCCATGCAATGTATTTTCACTTTCAAGAAAATTTCTCAATATATTGATGTACAAAACACTAGTAAGGATAACATACAGATAAGACAAATATATTTTTTCAAGTACCTGATTTCAAAACGCCCTTTATGTTTGTAAAACCCCGTTCCTAAAATAGCAAATGACAATACCGTCTATTAATCTGTGTCAGTAATAATTTTGTAATAGATTATTTGACTTTAAAATAAAAACAAGGTTTAAACTTAAGTTTAAAAGTTCGCGCCTATTTTTATTTATGTTGTATAATACGAGTCACTTTCTTACGGGATCGCAGAAAATAGTATTTTTAGATTTGTTTTATCTCATAAGTTTTCCAACTAAATAATGTAATCGCGGTCTTATCTTCTGATAAGTGTTAAAACCAATTACTTCTAAAACATAACTAGTGCTGTTTCATTCGTTTTTTCAAATTCCAGAAATGACTACGAAACTAGTTTTTCGTAGCGGCTTAACCAAAACCGATCCGCATCAGAACCCCGTTGTGATCATTGGCCAAGTAAAGCACTTAAGCCAGTTGAAGTTTGAAGATATTAAAAACAAGCTAGAACCTAGAGTGACTGAAGATGTTTTCAAGGTTGCGGTTTCCAGCCTTCACCCGTCACCTACCGACAGCTGTTCGCTGTATCTGAATTTGGCAACGATGGCTGCGTTACCTGTGAAATGCAGCCGGCATAATACTCCTTCTCGGGCACATGCAGTTACTCGATTAGTACAAAGCTGCACTATTGGTGTCGACGAGAGCATTGTCGTAAGTACTTTTTTGGTTTGATATGATTTTATTGGATAGATAGTCCCTTAGAATTTTTGATGTGGTAATCCCCACCAAAAATTTTATGACGTCATCACAAAATTTTGCTATGTAAACAAATAAAATAATATGGTTTTTATTTTTTACCTTTAATAGATTTAAAAAATCAGAATTGATTAATTTATGCCTGTTTAACGTTGCCAGATGATTTGCGAACGAAGCGACGTGTACGCCAGCGCCTGTGCCATTGCTAGAGCATTTCCTTTATACAGCAAAAAGACGGGCTCCAGCAGCAGCGACAACTCCACAGTATCCGTCGAATTCATAATCGTGTCTTCAAATTCAGGTGAACATAAACCTCTTCCTTTCATGAGTAACCTCAAACCTACCCAAAATAGATAACGGAGACGTAAGCACCGAATTAACACCCGAGGAAGTGAAGGTCCTGGACGATGCTGCCTCCGGAGTGCGATTAGCCGCTCGCATTGTCGACACGCCGTGTAACCAGATGAACGTCGACCACTTCTTACAAGTAAATTAATCAAACAAGGAACATTCTCGATATTACGATATTGTTTTTTGCAGGAGGTGCAAGAAGTAGGACGCGCACTTAAAATCCAGCCGGTAATAATCAGAGGCGAAGAATTGGCGGAACAAGGTTTCGGTGGCATTTATGGGGTCGGAAAAGCGGCCGTGGTGCCACCAGCTCTTGCCGTTCTCAGCCATACCCCTCAAGGCGCCCACTCGACCATAGCGTGGGTCGGAAAAGGCATCGTTTACGACACGGGCGGTCTCAGCATCAAGGGAAAGGTGAAAACTTTGTCGTTGGGTTGTCGTGTTTTTATGTGAGAGTTTCAGACGGCAATGCCAGGAATGAAGAGGGACTGTGGAGGCGCCGCGGGGATCTTAGGGGCGTTTTATGCAGCCGTTAAAGCAAACTTTACCCAGAATTTGCATGCAGTGTTTTGTTTGGCAGAGAATGCGGTCGGTCCGAATGCTACAAAGTAAGTAATTCAGCGAACGCAGTGTTTTTTTTAAGACACCATAATGAATTCTGTCTTTTCTTGACAGACCCGACGATATACATACTCTTTACTCAGGACGTACGGTCGAAATAAATAATACTGATGCAGAAGGACGTCTCGTCCTGTCTGATGGCGTCTCCTACGCACAAAAAGAACTCAAAGCCAACGTAATTCTAGACATGGCGACTTTGACAGGAGCTCAGGTATGTACCTCGCATTTTTTATGTGTATAAGAAAAATTGGTCGAAAGGTGTTTCCGCTTCTGAAGTACAATGAAACATAGCCAGAATTTTCGAAAAATTATGAAATTTGATTTTGCGGATTTTATATTTTTTGAGAACCCCTATAAGTTGAAATAAACATACGTAAATATGTAATGCTAAAGTAAATGTAAAGAAGCATATTGCGCTTATGTTTCAAAATTTTTACTTTACAAAATTTTGTGATGACGTTAATCATCATTTTTGCAAGCACACGTATTTCAACTTGGGTTGGTGCAGTAATACAAATAACAACGCATTATATTCCCGTTCTCATTTACTTAGCCGTTTCACTAATTAAGTTTTTGTTAACTATATTTATGGGATAAGTGACGATTAAATTCAGTGATTATCACCCGCGACTGATTCCTCAGCAATTCACGCGTCTCCACCTAAATATAATCGTCACGTAGCCCGACAGAAATCCAGCTTGCAATTCTTGATTTAATCAATAATAATTGACTTATTCAGTCATTAATTTTTTTGAGGCACCTCGTATAAGCAAATCTAAAAAATTGGTCGAAAGCTATTTCGACAGAACTTCCCTCGCTTCTGAAGTACACCTTCTTAAAAAAAAGACAGTTGGGGGCCCCGAGAAGAATTAATATGCTTAAAAAAGACTTGGGGCCACCGAGAAGGTTTCGCTTTCTTTAAAAAAGATATTTGGGGCCCCCAAGAAGGTTTTCCATTTTTCAAAAAGACAGTTGGGACTCCCGAGAAGGGTTCATGTTCTTAAAAAAAAAAAAATGGCGCCCCCGAGAAGGTTTTACATTAATTTCAGAGGCTTTCACGGTCGGAGTCAGTACATGATCGTTTTCCGGGTTAGGACCGTGTTAATTGAGTTTTTGGGCTCAATGTTTCGCACACTTTCGTAAGTGGCATCTTCAGGAACAGGGTTAAAAATCAGGTGCTCTTTTGCCTTTTCCTAATTCTTAACCCTGCCCCTTAGAAAGTGTGCGAAACGTTGAGCCCAACATTTTAAAACATTAACAGGTTTTACATAAAAAAACAGTTGGGACCCCCAAGAAGGTTTTATATTTTTAAAAAAGACATTTGGGACCCCCGAGAAGGTTTTACATTTTTAAAAAAGACAGTTGGGCCCCCCGAGAAGGTTTTGCATTTTTAAAGAAGACAGTTGCGACCCCCCGAGAAGGTTTCACATTAAAAAAAATATATTTGGTGACCCCGAGAAGGTTTTACATTTTTAAAAAAGACAGTTGGGAGCCCCGAGAAGATTTAATATTCTTAAAAAAAGACACTTTGGGCCCCCGAGAAGGTTCCGCCTTCTTAAAAAATACTTTTGACAGTTGTGACTCCCGAGAAGGTTTCACATTAAAAAAAAGACATTTGGGGCCCCCGAGAAGGTTTTACCATTTTTAAAAAAGACAGTTGGGGCCCCCGAGCCCTTATAGGGTTAAAATCAGTTTTATCTTAACAAGTACTGGCCCTGCCACCCACGCTTTACTTTCTTAGAGGGTATGTCATTTGTCAAAATCAGTATTATCTTACCAACTACTAGCTCCATCCACCCACCTCTTATGTCATTTGCCAAAATCAGTCTTTTCTTACCAAGTACTAGCCCCCTATTTTCTCAGAGGATATGTCATTGGAGAAAACAGGGACGGGTGGGCGGTGCTAGTACTTGCTCAGATAAGACTGATTTTGGCAAATGCCATACCCTCTGAGAAAATTGAGGGCGGGTGGGCGGGGCTAGCACATATAAGATAAGACTGATTTTGGCACATGCCATGTTCTCTGAGAAAATAGAGAGTGGGTAAAGAAAGTTATATTACAATAATTATTCTATTCAGTTTTAAAAAAGGATTCACACACCATGAGTACAAGAGTATCTTAATTTATAAAATTAAAAAACTTTTAATTATAAATTTTAGAGATGACGTCATCAATTTTTTAGGGGGGATAAGCAAATACATTTTGATCAAAAATTTACATGCTTATGATAACTTTAAAACATCTCTAAGATTTCAAAGCATTCGGTTTTGAAGTTCCTGATTAAATTTAATTTTTTTGAGTCACCTGTATATGCAAATCCAAAAAATATGAATGGAATGATAAATTACAAGTATAGACTCATTATATATATTTTGTAAAATTTGGATAGGATTTATTTGGCAAAATTTTGAGCTGACGTCATCAGTTTTTTGGAGGGGATAAGTAAATATATTTTGATTAAAAATTTATCATGCTTATCATAACTTTAAAACATGTGCAAAATTTAAAAGCATTGGGTTTTGCAAATTCAAAATTAAATTGCAAAATGTTTTATAATTTTTTTTTTTCCAAAAATAACTCAATACGGAGTCATAAACTACATGTGTAGGACTATGTTGTTTTATACAATTTAAAACCCATTTACTATGTACAATTTTGAAGTGACGTCACCACATTATTAGTGGGGATGATTAGACAAATTTTGGTTAGCGTTTTACCATCTACATGATATGCCTAATATAAATACAAAATTTGACAACAATCGACCAGAAACGGGAGACCTAGAAGATGTCATGAAAGGTCGAGAGTGGGCCGACGGACTCGGATTACAATACTTCCTTCGCTTACGCTCGGGAAGTAAAAATAATCAAGTTTATTGTTTAAGGGTGTCGCCACCGGAAAGTACCATGCGGCACTATTGACCAACAACGAGGACTGGGAAAATATAGTCATGGAAGCTGGGTTAACTTCCGGAGATTTGGTGTTTCCGATACCGTATTGCCCGGAACTGCACTTTTCTGAATTTTCGTCCGCTGTAGCTGATATGAAGAACTCCGTCGCAGATCGTAGCAACGCTCAATCCAGCTGTGCCGGGTTGTTTATCGGAGCACATTTAGGGTTTGATTATCCTGGGATTTGGGTACACGTTGACATGGCAACACCAGTACATAGCGTAAGTACCTGTCATGTTTATAGACACTCAAGTAGCACTTGAGTTAATTACTCGATGATTACTCGTTTTACTTTGAATGTCTTTACCTATAGTATATTCAAGTGAAAGAGTCAGCAATAAGACGCGTGATCAGCGCGTGTTCAACTGTCTATTGGTCGACAAATTTGGGGGAGGGTTTTTTCCGAGCCAGGTTTACACTGTAGCGATATTTCGTTGCCGGTGCGTTTCATTGTTTACTCATCCCTTGCGTTGTGTCGTCCCCTTGCTTTCGTCGTTTGTGTTTTTGGTGGTTTTTATATTTGTAACCGCCATCATGTTGGATACATTATTTTGTCAAAATCAGAACGTGAAATTTCTCTACGGTGTAACACGGGCTACGCGCACTCGGCTCTAGGATGCATCATGCAGCTTTCATGTGATCAATGACTCTTTCATTTGAACAGATTTTACCAAAATTTTGAAATGGCGTCATCAAATTTTTAATGGGGATGAACATAGCAAATTTGCGTGGGTTCTACCATGTAGACGTTAACCTTAAAATACGTTTTGCTTTTGTTAGGGTGAAAGGGCAACTGGTTATGGCGTAGCTCTCTTGACAACTCTATTTGGCAAGTATTGCAAACAGCCTCTGCTTAAATCGATTGCTCCCGACCTAGATGTGAAAAACGAAAACGCTGCGAAGAAACAAAGAAAGGTTTAGTTTAAAATGATTTATTAATGTCTATAATATAGTCAATAAAACATTTATGGGTGAATTTGTGTCATATAGTTTACATTTAAGATTTTCATAAGGTGTGTAATGATTCAAAACTTAAGTTTCAAACCATTTTGTAAAACACTATATAAATAAATTTTTAAAACTTATATATACATAATGTTTAAATTTGATATAAAATACATAGATTAAAATTATATTAATATTATTACAACTTAAGCGACTTAGTCGCGACTTTTACGGCTCACATTAACACACAAAGCCGAATTTAATTTACTGCACCATTCCAACCGTTCTTCTTTTGTATCAGCCGACAAGAGATGCCTAAAAAACATCCATGAAACACCGAAAAGACACGAAAATCGTATTTTACCGTATGACGGTCCTCGGTCCTTTGCGCACTGTAATCAAACTGTCCTTATCGTGCGGAGAAGCCTGCCTTTCAGTTTCCAAGAGGAAAGTGTGTAATCTGGCACAAATATCGCGACTGACTGGTCCCACGTGTTGCGTTATTGATTCCGAGAGCTGAATGGAATTGATAGGTGGCTAAAAACATAGAAATTATTTAAAACTGATATGACACAACACATTTCAACAATACCGTATTTTTCTCGTCATCTGGATATTTCCAGTAGCTCAAAGTGTCGCCTCTGAGTAGGCACCATCTGCGATGCCAAGCTCCAAAACCTGACACATCTTCAAACATTGTCAGAAAACCACGGTGTTCGATTGTGGTAGCCATCTGACACGAAATGCACATTTCGACTGTGCCTTCCAGTGGACTCATGGAAGGTGTCTGCAACGAAAAAATCACTTTAGATGTTTTTATAATTAAGAAAAATAGAAGCATACATTATTTAAACTCCACTGTTTTTTATTAGTTGTGGCTGCAGAAAACACGACGTAACCCATTAAGGCGAAGGTAGGTGAACGCACGACTTGTGGGCCGGCCGGGGACTCCTTCACTGGTCGAATTAAACGAGAATCTTGCTTCGATTTTTTTGGTGTTAATTTTGCGCTCGGCTGAAAATAAAACAATGACAACGTACAATATAGTATAATAAATGTGTACCTTTTTGATGTGGTATTTGATGTCATGGGGAAGGATTTCCTCTTGAGCTTGGAGACAGTACACCTCCAAAGTTACAGTAAAGTCACTATAAACATCCCGCAGTGTTATCGTTCCCGGGACGCTTAGTTCTAACTCTGGATTTTTACTGCTGGAAGCCACAGTAGACACCAACTGTGTTGGCAAAACTTGCTCGTTGTATTTAATTAAACAAACGACATGATGTCCTTTGCCGCCCGCTGCAGCTAAGGCCGTCACGTACTTTTGTTTCAGCGGCAGCACAATCTTCGAGATGGTTAAGTCACCTTTTTGTAAGTAAACTTGTTCTACGCCTTTTCTTTGCGGCCGAATTGTTCGCTCGATTTCTAGTCGTTGTTTTTCATGCACTGCAGCTTGCCGACGATGCGCTGAAAGCCATAATAAATTATCGCGGTCATGAAGGCTCCAATTTTCTTACTTGCGAGTAGCAGCACTCGTTCCGCTTCCACTTGTTCAGTGGAACCCATGAATTCTAACGTAGAATTACACAAGTTGAGGGCTTGACTTGTCTGCGAAATGATGAGTTCTTGTTTTGCGATCTCAATTTTAAGCACGTTGATTTTCTTTTGAATTAACTCTTCTTCTTCGGGGTTGTTTTCTGGGGTTTCTTCCACTAGAGGTTGTCGCGAAATTTGTCGAATTGGTGTTGTGGAAGTTTGGGTTTGTTGTTTCCGATAAAAACTGACGGTGTGCGTTAAAGGTAAGATATTGTCGCCATCGACAACGTGCGTAGGAAGGTCTTTAGCGTCTTCTGTACGCATGGGAGTCTTTATGGGTGATTTAAATTGGGAAGGACTTTCTGACGGAAAATTTTTATAGTTGAAAGAGTACGAAGTTTCCTGAAATTTAAGCTTATTGTTTTATTATCTTACAAAATAGTGACAAATCCCAATAATATAACGAAATGTGTGGAAAAAAAAAAACAGTTGTTATTTTATGGAATAATTGTTTGGACTTACTAGAGGTGATTTTCTGCCTTGTTTGGGAGGCGAAGGGCCATCTGTATGCCCACTGTAAGCTAAAGCTTCGTCAATATAGTCATCCATGTCATCCAAAACGTCTGACAAGTCGCTACTATCGTCCACGATTTGCTAAAGGGTAACCAAGTTTCACTTATAAATTATATTTATATTATTATTATTATTACTACTATTCTGCTTTAACTTAAGCGTACTTACCCAAAATATACTAAGTAACACAATAAATTAAATTAAAAAAGCAATTTTTTGTGATAGTTCAGAGTAAGCATACCGCATGCGCCTCATTTTAGCTTAAACACTTACGTTTTTTTGCGAACTTTGATTCTTGCACACAGCTCGAAGAATATCTCGCCCAAAGCTGGTGTTTGCATCATCAGATTCAGCAAAACTGTTCTCAAAGCTAAATCAAATACAAAGGGAAGAAATAGAGTTATGAAATAAAATAGTGTCTATTATATAATGTTACAACAAAACAGTTCCATAATACTTATTTACGAAAGACATAGGACAAATAATATCCAGTCTATAATTTTATCGCACCTGCTATTATCGTTTGGTGTTGTCGACCTCGTTTCGTTTTCAGTCTCAGTCACTGATTCAATATCCGTTAAGCTCGGATATAGTCTTCCGGCTTTCTGCGGCGAGACTTTGATGCGTTTGACATCGTTGAGGACGGCAGCTACTTTAGGACTATCCGATTTGCCTAGAAAAATTTACTGCCTAAGAAGCTTTAAATACAACGTCAGGGAAGTGATCAGGAGAAAAGTAATTCTACAATGATTATGGTTATAAATTCAAAAAACTTACTACATCTCTTATTGCCGCTACTTCTCCTTTCTTCTTTTGAAGGAACAACAGTGATCACTTCTGAAGGTGTTTTTTCTATCATGGCAGTTTCTTCAGTAGCGTTGTCATCATACTCGGTTTCTTCTGTTATTACCTAAGTAGAAAACAATTAACGGTGACCAAACAAAACAAAAAAATCCAAAATAAGACAAAAGAAATAAAAACTTACCTCAACAGGTTTGTGAAACCTATTCAGCAGCATATCCATTTCTTGTTTCCTTTGCGCTTGTACGTTCTTCTCGATTTGCTGTTGTGAAATGGTACTTTTGTTTTCAAACAACGCAGCAACTTTATTCGCAATCCCTCCGGCCTTCAAAGAAACCGATTCTTGATTAACGGGAGTTTGTGAGACGCTTTTCTTCACGTTTTTCTCTTTAGCTGAATCAGGCTTAGCTTGCGGTGTTGGCATCGCAAAGGCGGCTTTCGGTATCAGCGGAGTTCCTTTATTTTTTTCAAACAATGCTTTCCTTTCGGACACGGACATCAAAGCGGGGTCTTTCGTAGGGGTGTTTTGGGGCGACTCGAAACGAGCAGCCTTATCAGCGATGAGATTTGTGCGTGACGGAGCCTTTTGTTTCAGGGGTGGAATTTTCGTTTGTTCACAGTCTCTTTTGCCTTTTTCGTCCATATTCTCCTTTTCTCTTTTAGGGTCGTATTTGTAAATTAGGCGGGTGCTGGATTCTGTGCGACTAAAACCTTGTGATTCCTGTCAATGAAGTTTTGTCTTGTGTAATTTGGTAACATAGAAAAGATATCGGAATTACCAAAGAATCGAGCACTTTTTTGTCCCATTGGAATTTACCATCTCGTTTGGAGGGTTCTGCAGGTACGGGAGGTGGAACTGGGCTGTTGAATTTAGCTGATGGTTTCGACGGACTTGGTTGGGATGGTTGGGGTGCTGGAGGTTTCGGTGCCGGCGGTTTTCTTGACTTTTTGGTCATAGCTGATGGTTTTTCAGCTGTGTCTTTGCGTATCTGGATTACGTTAACTTTATGAGTATAGTTTACATAAAAAAACTGTCTTAAAGAATTTAGATAGTACTTCCCTCGCCCTCTGACGTATTTTGTTAAAAATAGTTGATTTCGTTTAAAATGTTTTTCAGATTTAATTTTTTTACGATAATCCCATAATATATTATTATTAAACCACAAATAAAGGAGCAGTCATAAATTTTTTGGAAGGGATATACAGATGAATTTTGACTAACGTGTATAACATTTCAGAGCAATCAGTTTTGTAGTTTTTACATTAAATTTTAAAATTCAATGAATAATGTTAAAAATATGAGTGACTCACAGATATAGAGCCATATTTTGTACGCTTTAAACAGGACTTCTGTAGCAAAATAGACAACCGACAGACAGACCGATGATTAACAGACGAAAATGGAAGACCTACTTTTTCATCATATAGGAACTATGAAAAGTTGTGTAATTTTAGTAAATAAACTACTTATTAATGCAAAAACAAAAGTGCTAATCTGTCTGTTTTTTGCAGGAAGTAAAGTTAATGCAATTCATAATCAGTTAAAATTATTATGTAAAAAAATACTGCCCTAAAAGTTCTATAAGTTGGAGCTGACAATGCCTAAAACACCAATGTTGCCAACTATTACAAACGCATTGATTAACGAAAAAATTGGAACACAAGTGCAACAAATTATACACATTATTAGCACTTATAGAAGCCTCACTTTGAGGGCAGTTATGAACAGGGTGCTCCCAAAATTTCCAAAACTCAAAATATTAAAACTTAATTGTTGTCACAGGCAACTTACACTAGTCAAATCATCTTCATACTCAGTAAAATTTTGTGCCAAATCAGCCAGTTTACTCAGTCCTCTTTTTGTTTTTGTACTAGCTGGTGTACAACCTTTTGGGGACGTTTCAGCATAAAATTTAGCTTCAGTCTGGTGAATTGGAGATGAAATATCAGCATCCTCTCCCCCTATTTTCAAGTAAAAAAAAGTAAAATATTTAAACAAAACGTTCTATTTTCATAATTCACCTGCATACAACTTCCCCAATCTATCCAGCCTATTCTTTGCATTTGTTCGAAGACCACCCTGATTTTTTTCAGTCTGACTACTATCCTGAGAATTATCCTCCTCAATTTGAACCTCAACACGTACATTGTCCGCAGAACTTACTTTAATTTCCATATTGAAATCATCGTTTTGTATGTTAAGCGTTTTGTGAGACGAGAAATCCGACGAAACGAGCGTTGTGGGGCTTTGATGAGCGATTTTTGTAATGTTCCCGTCTGAATTACTTTTGTGATTGTGAATTAACTTATTTGGGCTTTCGGAATTTAAATTTGTTTGCGAGAGGGCAACTCTTTTACTAGAAAAACTGTTCCCACTCCCCTCACCGTTGTAGTTTTCCAAAAGTTTTTGCCGCTCCCTAGCCCTTGATAAGAGGCTCTTGGAATTGTGAAACATTGTAAATTAATACGGATTTTGATAACAAAATGTGCAGCTTACCTCGGTAAATGAATCCATGTTCGAATTTTTAAAAACAACAAATAAAATATACACAGTAAGTACAAAATATCACGGACTCTTTCTTGTCTTGTTCATAACATAACCGTTACAATTGTTGACGGACTTTTGAAAATTGAGTTTGAAAAATAGTTCACGTAGCTACCACCAGGAGGCGCTTATATTCTCGCCGTTATAGAGTCCCTGTAGAGACTACAGGGACTCTACGCCGTTATGTTAATTACAAATTCGTATTTAAAAAATATATCTTGTGAATAAAATTTAAATTAACGAATTGTACAGTAATTTAAAACGTTGTTTTTCTAGATATATAGATAAATTATTAAATAATAATATTATTTATCGATAGAGACTACTTGACGGAGATTGGCCGGCCTGTCTGTCACTCGTGTCAGTCACTTATGTCTGAAAATGTGTGTATGTGTCAAGTGCCAGACATGAATTATCTCTTACCACATTTTCCGGCGTTGTAGAAAAGTCCGCAATAAGTGCTTTTGTCTGGCAAACGAAAAGTGTCTTGAATGGTATGGTTTCCGGTTTTAGCATATTTTGTTTACCCAAAATCTAAAAATGTTGGTTGTGCACATATCAAATTCAACGTTTCTGTAAGAAACACGTAAGCATTTTTTGGAAAATGACCAGCCCTTTCTTGGAAGCCCTGATTGAATAAAACCATCATGCTGCCACTATCTCACAAAGATACCCTCCATCGGAGCTTTGGTTCCCGTATCAAGGAGAAGATCCATGGATGGATGAGACTGATTTTTTCGGATCGTAACTCGCGTAACTTGTTCCTGTTCTTGATTCTAAACTTGTCGTTTGCGTTCGTGGAACTAGTATATGGCGTGTGGTCCAATAGTTTGGGTAAAAATAATTTTCGCACTAAAGTAGAAACAAAATTAACTAATTTTTGTTGTAGGTTTGATTTCGGACTCTTTTCACATGTTCTTTGACTGCACAGGCCTGCTAGCTGGTTTAGCGGCCTCTGTAATAACAAAATGGAAAGCAAACGAGAAGTATTCGTATGGTTACGTCCGCGCTGAGGTACTCGCTGGGTTCGTCAACGGCCTTTTTCTCCTCTTCATTTCATTCTTTATAATGTCAGAGGCTGTAGAACGTGCAATTGAACCACCTGAGGTAATAATACTCCGCATAATAAACCCCATATAAATTACCTTCTCTTAGGTTAAACATGAACGTTTATTCGTCATTTCGGTCCTTGGACTCTTAGTCAACTTGGTGGGTATATATGCCTTCCAGCACGGCCACGGGCACTCTCACGGCGGTAGCCACGGCCACTCCCATGGATCTGGACATGGGCATTCCCACAACTCCCATGGTCACTCTCATGACTACACCCTGGACATGGATATTTCCAGCAGCGGCAATTCTCAAATAATGAAAGGAGTCTTCCTACATATACTAGCTGACACCTTAGGGAGTGTCGGTGTGATTGTTTCGGCTGTGCTAATGCAGATGTTTGGATGGTTAATCGCTGATCCAATTTGTTCAATGTTTATAGCGATTTTGATTGCGCTCAGTGTTTTAGCGTTAATTAAAGATTCTGTTTTAATCTTAATGCAGAGACAACCGCATGCCTTAGATAATGTTCTCCCACAGTGCTATCAGAAGGTTGTTAGTCTGGCTGGTGTGTATTCAGTGCAGGAACCACATTTCTGGACGCTTTGTAGTGATGTCTATGTTGGTGCTTTGAAATTAGAAGTATCAAAAAATGTCGATCCAAAGTATGTTATTTCTCATACGCAGATGATTTTTGCTTCTGTGGGGGTTAGGCAAATTTATGTTCAATTGGATTATACACCAATGTGATGTTTGTTGAATAGATAATTTTTTATGAGAGAGGAACATTCCATGCCATCATGAAGATTTTGTATATAGTGGGATATGGCATTTGCAACTAATGACTTTTTACAGTTTTTATTGAAAACTAATTTTATATTATTTGTGTATATTAAATTTCGCTGTAAGTACCAATATGTTAATTTACCCGCCCATCATTAAACTTGGTAATAGTACTTATTTTGTTTTATAGTGTTTAGTATCTGCGCATGGTCAAAAAAGGTGTCCAAGTATGCAATGAATGTGGGAGACACTAGAGACCTTTAAGATATCAAATGAATGTGTGAACTGATTCATGTGTTCAGAATGTTCGCTATTACTGCAAAAGATGCACATTTAGTTGAACTAAAATTTGTAGAACACCCACGCGCTGACAGCTACATTAAAATATTTAGCCCCATGAAAAATTAAACTAATTTTTATAGCAAAATACGCTGTTAACATTAAGCAGGCTTGTTCGTCTAAACAACTTGATCATTTTTTTTCTTATGAATACATGATTGTATAGTGGACCAAAAGCTATAAGGTTATATGGCCATCATAAAATCATCCCATTGTGTCGAAGTTAAGTTGTTTACAATAGAAAAGGTTTTAGGGTCGTAAATAACGTGTCCAATGGCGCTCGACCGGCTGTTGTGGTTTCGTTCAGGGGCGACTTTCACTAAATATGTAAATCCACCACTCCATTATTTCTTTACTACCTGCAGCCGCTGAGGGTTCCGAAATCACCACTCGCTTTGAAAGCCGGCCCTGTTAAATATGAGCAAGAAATGTTGAGAAGAGAAGACGATTTATTGCCAACCGGGTAAGCTTAGTGCGAACCACACAAAGGGGGTACTTATTTGCGGTCAACTACTTTTATAATGGTCATATAACCTTATACCTTTTGGACTAGCATATAACGACATACTTTCATGTAATGCTTCAGGATCTAAATATATCAAGGTCGTTTAGTAAACTTTGTGGGAACGCAGTAATGCGGTCTTTTTCAGGACACTGGACATGATATTGCAACAGAGGTTATTTTTAAGGGCAGCTTTTTTTGTATGAAAACTTGCGACTGAAAATCTCGTTTTATTAAAAATATGGTGTACTAGAATAGTAAAGTATGAATTTACAAATTTATTGCACACATAATGCGAGGAATGACTTAGCAAAATTACACAAAAACAAATGCCTACCACAAAATAATGAATAATAAGTTAAAAAAAAATCGTACATAGTATTGTTCAAATTGCTATTCTTTTAAAATTTTCATGGAAGCAAATTTACAAATTTTCGATTTCCTCTTCCATTTGATGAGTTCTACGCTTAGCTCCTACATCAGTGTTCACTACTAGAAATTTGAGTCTGTAACAACTAAGTCAGTTACGTATAAATACAAAAACAATTTTACTTACATGACCGTTACTGTTGCATTGCTGGAACTCTGCAATCACTCTTTTTTTATCCTCTTGTTCCTTTTTCAATTCAACTTCCAACCTCGACAGTTTTTCATGCAACTAAGCAAACATTATAATCACAATTTTATCATAAATTGTAATTACCTCTTGTTTGTGACGTTCTTTCACCGCCTCTAACTCATCCGCCTTTGCAGATAGTTGCATTCTCCAATTAATCTCTTCTTGTTCAATATGTTTTTGAAGTTTGTTCAACATTTTTTCCTTAAAACGAATAAAAATATAGCAAACTATTTAAAAGAGTACAAATACAACTCACCGTACTATCTATAACATTTTCATAGTGTTGTAGTTGCACCTTAAGTTGTTGTGCGTCTTGATCGTCGTCACTTTTCGAACTTTCTTGCCTCAAGTTACTTAAGTAGTTCCTAATGAAAGTTTCACCTTTAGTCTTGAATAGTTCTGGGTTGTTGATTTCTTCATCTTTGAGTTCAGGAAATAGTCTCTGGATGAACTCCCTTTCGATGTCTTGCTCAGACTTGGTTTTCTGCGCAAAAAATACAATTGGCATTTTTGAAAAAACCAGCAAATTGGAAAGTGATGAGTAAAAAACTTACAGCATTAGGTGCGCTAGTTTTTATTCTACATTCAGCAGCATTTAACGCCTCCATAACTTTCCAATTTCTTTGCCTCAATTCCTAACGAACATGAAAAGTTAAATAACAATTCCTACTCAAATACAACAACTTACGTTATTTTTGGATTTTTGTTCTTCTAACTTTATTTTCTCTTCGTTGAATTTAAGTTTTAGTTCCTCTATTTCTTTCTCTAGTTTTTCAGTTAATGCAGTCGCTGTTTTTAATTCTTTCTCTTTTTGTATCTTAACTGATACCAGTTCGTCGTGAAGACCCAAAAGTTCCACTTCGTGTTGTTTATTTTCTTGTAAAGCGCCGTTCATGTGCGTGACTTTCATTTGTGCAGTTTCTTCTTGGGCTTGCCGTAAATCGCTGGTAAGCTAAACACACACAGATAAAACGTAAAACTCACGATTCAATTTTACATACTTGAGTAATTATCTTGTTGGAGTCGTCCGTCTGTTTTTGTAAATCATCCAAATGCTGCTTCAAATTGTGTTCCAGTTTTCGGATTTCTTCATTCTGTTGTTGGATGACGGAATTCAAGTGAGACACTTCTGCTTTGAGATCATTTTCGCGATTTAATATGGTTTCTACGTCGTGCTCTGCTTTGACGCGGCTTTCCTGAAATTATAATTTACTGTAAAAAATACTTTGTATACCGTCAGATCGAAAACTGAACCTCCAACTGTCGGTTGCGATCAGACTTTTGCTCCAGTTCTTTTTGGAAACTATTCAACTGGAGAATGAGACTTTGATTTCGTTCCTTTTCACCCATATTTTCTTCCGTGAAATGCGCCAGTTCCATTTGCAATTGATTATTGATTGAAGATAGTTCTTGAACCTCGCCTTGCAATTGCGAAATTATAACTTCAGACTAGCAATGAAAAGCACGTGTGAGTTTCATTGTTAAACAAAAACGTACACAACAGAAATATAAAAGTAAACAAAATTTATTTGGAAGTATGTTTTACCTCTTGCGCCTGATTTAATCTCATTTCAATCTGTTGTCTCTGCATCTGCAGTGCCGCATGTTCCTCCCTCAAAGTATGATACTTGATGACTTCTTCCTTAACCTGCGCTTGAAGTTGTTGGATCTGTTGGTGATTCCTGTTAGCGTCTAGTTGTTTTGAGTGCATCAATTCCTCCATGCTTCTGATTTTCTGGAGTAACGTACTCTTTTCGTTCTGGTGCTCTGATCGAAGTTCTTTGAGTTTCGCCTGAGCGTTTGCAACAGCTTGCTGTTCTTCAGCTAGTAATTTTTCTTTTTCGGCGAGTTGCTTCTTCAACTTTTGAACCGGATCCGATTTGCCCTGTCATTTAAATAACGTGGAAAAACAAGAGGTTATTGATTTTGACAGTATAATTCACACTACAACAGTTACCTCACTCCATTCGTCGATGACGGCAGGAGCCTCATGCTGCTTGTTCAGTAAGAGATCAATAAGTATCTGAACCTCAGAGCGAGACAATTCAGCTTTACGCACCAAGTTAAGAAGGATGCTCATATTAGGTCCGTTGGTGTCTCCAGCTGTGTAAAAAAAACAAATATATGCTGTTAAACCATAAAGAAAAACAGACAACTAACAAATAAATAAATTCAAGATTATTACCTAGTTGTTGTATAGTGTTCAATTCGCTTTTCTTTTTCTTCTTCTCTTTTCCAACATTGGGGACAACACTATTTACTGTTGGAGGTATTGTAGATGGCGCTTCTTCTTTTGGAGCTGGAGGTGGATCTCTTTCAGGCTGCTTTTTGCTATTTTGTTTTTGTGAGGTGACATCAGCAGAAGAAACGGTTTTTTCGGTTTCTTCTTTAACGGTCTCTTCACCCTGGAAAACATAAAAGTTTTATTTTGTTCCAAATTTATACGTCATAGACATTTTCTGACTTACGCTGATTGAACGGAACAACTCGAAGTCGTCTTTAGGATGCAATTCTTCAAAATGATTTGCCGGACACGTAACGCTGTCAGTGTTAACGAGTTTTTCGACGTCATTTTCGGAATTTTCCTTGTTGATTAAAATAGGACGGACTTTATCCTTCTTCGGTTGTTTCTGAAATTGTTATTGAAGAAAGGACTTTTAGAATATTTAAAAACTAGAAACTACTCAATAAAATTTAACTACAACAAAAAATGTTTGGTTTCTTAAACACAAATTCCTTCGTCCCCAAAACACAATCAATTCAGGAACATTATCAGAACATAATTTACGAATTTCATGGAAATTAAATAGACAGTTTTGAAAAATGAATTGGTTCTTTATTTTTAGACATCTGCAAATAATCCCAAAAATCACATTACTAAAACACCAGTAAGACTCCAGTTCAATGCAAATTTTTCAAGAAACATTTATTTAATCATATTTGAGATGATGTAATCAATTTATCTAAGGGCAATTGATATACAAAAATGTATTAATGTTCTATAACAACTAAAACAATGTTCGCTGAGTGTTTTATCAAAAATTTTAAACAAGTCCAGTGTCTACGATAAATCGCACTATTTGATTGTGCATTTTTTTATGATAACATACAGGTGTTAAAATGAATATAGCCGTGGATTATTAAAATCCAACTAATGGGCCAAGCAATACGTTTTCAAATCAGATTCTCTTAACGAAATTCTGACACGACTTTATGAGTGGAACGGAAAAATCAATCAGTTTTAGGAAGTTCATTTCGGAAAAATTGGATAGGTTGCTTTTGATTTAATGCATTCATTAAATTGTTTGGGACATCTGGTATAAATGATCATAAAATCAAACAGATTCATATCTAAACTATACACAGACGTGAGTTTAACCACAATTCAATGTGGTAAAAATTTTAAGGTTAGGTTAACACCATTGTAGTGTCACTTACGTCAAGTTCACAGTATACGTCACTTATGCACACTTGTCATTCTGTTTTGACAAATCAAGTTTTGTCTGCAATTTTACAGTCCCCAACATTCTTTTCAAAATTGATATAATAGCAAAATACATAAAATTACACAAACCTTGTTTACTACAGTTTTGGTGGAAACATCTTCAGTATCTTCTTTAAATTCAACATGAGGCTTCTTCTGACTGTCCACGTTTTTCTGATTTGATTCCACTTGCTCAACAACTTCTTTTACAACTTCAGTTTCTTGGGGCGACTTTTCTTTAGGCTGCAAAAACACGGCAACTTAAAAAAAGCCACAAAATATACACTCAAATGCGTTTTCACTTGTTAAAAAAAGGAGGTACATTTATTTACTTTTAAGAGGTGACAGTTCTGGAATTGAAAATATCGCAATTAATTATCCACAAACTCTGCAGTTCTGGAGTGTTGCTTTAAATTCGCTCTTCAACAACCTTGATCAAAATAGAATGTAATTTTTATCAAAAATCAACACTTTGTTACTATGTCACTTAATGAAAGTCAACAAAACCTATAGTGCAGTAGTATTAAATCTAGTCAACTTTAGTACATACCACTGATTGCACTTTCTTTGATAGTTTCTTGCTCTTCTTCTCTTTCAGTTTTGGTTTAATACCTAATAGAATATGAGTCTGCTGTCTTTGTTCGGCCAAGGCTTCTTCGTAACTTTTCTCCTTAATTCCAAACTTGTAGATGAATATCAGAACAACACTCGCAAGAGAAAAAAGTGAAACAAAAATAAATGGAATCTGAATATCCATTTTCTAAACAGAAGGAAACATTTATTTAGTTATTATTCGTATAAAAAAAAAATCGTTCATTTAGTCGAGATGGTTCGCCGATTACATTGCGGTTTGTAAAATTATAAAACAACGCAAAAATAAATATCGTAGGTGCGAAAATGAGGCAGAAAGATAAACATTTCCAGAAAACATGTACAGAAAATTAAAATTAAAGTTCTCAGGGGCCACGTAGCAACATTGTTAACAATAATGGGCGTAGTAACCGGTGATCATCTGATTTCTACGTTTATAAAAAGTAATGCTGTGGAAACGCATATAATTGACGCTTACCAAGTGAATACTGACGATTAATTTAATTACCAAAATACAGATAAACGACTGTAGACAAAACACAAAATTAAAACGTAAATATCAATATTTCGCACACACACTACACACCACTGTCTATTGCATATGTATTTTGTCGGTATGTCGAGCAGTGTTGCCAGGTGAACGTTGCATATTTCCCCCAAACTTTTACAAATTCCCCCAAGAAAGTTTCAAATAATGCATATTGTCAAGACAATTTTATCTTGTACATTTTTTAAAACCTTCTTAACTACATTATTACTGCCACCCATGGACTCTATTCCATTTATTATTATATATTATTGTATTTATTACATTCCTTGTACCGCCAAAAAAGACGCAAAAAAGTGTCACATTAAGATAATGTAGTAGTTACTGCATCTTTATTTTGTCTGAACTGACACTCTTACATTCATTATTGGGTTCTATTCTGTTGATATTCAATATCACTCAGTATTAAAAAAATATTTAGAGAATTCGCCACACCCTAAAATGTACATGATATATAAAATGTCTAGTAACCTTAAATGTGTGGCGTATGCTGTTGCTATGCTATGATTATCATGAGTGTTTTATAGCTGTTTTTTGTAGAGTATGATACTGTGTTTTTTTTACATTTAAAACCTATTAATAATAATGCAAGAAAAACTTTCACTGAAAAATTGTTGTACCTACTGACTGGAAAGAGATATGCATTCGTTTTTATTAAACCGATAACTTTATTGTTACAAACAAAACCAGCTTTTTAAAATGTTGAGAAATAAAAAAAAAAAAACCAAAAATTTGAACTTGAACTGTACAAGTTCCACGCCTAAAACATACCAAACGCAACCAACAATACAAGTACAAACAAAAACTAAATAATGATTTGATCAAATTTTGAAGCTTTATTAGCCATTAAATTAAATGCCAAAATACACAAAATGACACAACATTAGTGGCAGATGGCAGATCTGACATGTGGTTGTGTCACTGGTTGTGGCATCTTTAATTTGATATCGCCGTGGTTTGGTAAACGTTTTACAACAAAACAAATAACTATATTTTACTTTTTTAACTGATATACATAAAATATCATGGTTTCCCTCTTCCCAGATGTTTCCCGCCAAAACCCAGAAAAACGTTTAAAAAAATACCTGAACATGGCGGTAATTTACAGGGGCGTACGCATTTTTTATCCTAGAGATGTTTAACAAACGTCAATAAACGTAATTTATTAATTATCACTTAACAAAAATTCCTGTTATATGATATGTAAGATAACCAAGGACGTTGGATTATCGTCCTTGAAAATAACATCATATGATATGCTTACGACGTCGAATTTTCTGCGGTGTAGCCGTAGTTCTAAAATAAACCAATTTTCGTAGTCAAATTTATGACGACCTTGTTTCTAATGAGTTAGTTCAAGAAAACCATGTCTTTGACTTCGTATTTTTTATCAGAGGACTTGTGAGAAAATCTCACTCTGAATGTAAACAAATGTAATGAAACGAATTATCTAAACAGAGATATATTTTAGAATGCTGTGTCATGCATCAAAACGTATAAACAAGTTCTTCAGTACGTGTGCTGGAACAAAAATGTTGCAAAGTTTTCGAGCAGCCTTGGTCCAGTGTTCAGTGGGAAAAGATCGCCAGAAAAATTTACAAAATGCGTCACGACTAATAGATGAAGCAAAAACTAATGGGGCACAAGTAGTAGCACTTCCCGAATGTTTCAATTCACCATATGGAACAAAATTCTTCGATGAATATGCAGAAAGCATTCCAGATGGTCCAACCAGCAAGATGCTTTCGGCATGTGCAAAAAAAAACTCAATTTTTCTTATTGGTAAAACTTCAATATCTGTAATTAACGCTTACTAATATTTGATATTCAGGAGGAACGTTTCCAGAACGGGATAACAACAAACTTTACAATACATGTACGGTATGGAATCCAGCTGGTGATATGATTGCAAAATTCCGAAAGATGCACCTGTTTGACATAGACATACCAGGCGGTATAACATTCAAAGAATCAGAAATTTTATCAGGCGGTAATGAATTGGTTACTTTTAATATAAATGAAATAACTGTTGGGTTAGGAATATGTTACGATTTAAGATTTGAGGAACTGGCAAAGCTGTACCGCAAAAAAGGTTTGAACATTGTGTAAATGTTTCAAATTGAAAAGTGTGTTTTTAAGGTTGCAAATTACTTATATATCCAGGTGCCTTTAATATGACTACAGGTCCATTACATTGGGAATTACTGCAGAGGGCTCGTGCACTGGATAATCAAGTTTATGTGTTTGCCATAAGCCCAGCGAGAGGTGAAAAAGGATATATTGCATGGGGACACTCCCAAATTACTGACCCTTGGGGGAAAGTAGTGGCTCAGGCTAAACATGGTGAAGAAATTATTTATAGTGATCTTGATTTTAACGAATGTGATAAAGTCAGACAACAAATACCCATTTTTCATCAAAGGCGAAGTGATGTTTATGATACTGTTGAGAAGAAATAAGTCTCATCGACCATGTCATATGTATTTACTCAGTTGTAATACTATTTTTGTGTATATCTTTATGGGGCGAATGTTCAAAAGGGTGGTTGAAAAATAAAACAACAACTAATTAAAATGTTTGATGTTGCTTAGTCAAAGTTAAAACCCTGGTGAAAATGTGGTTTTGCTTTGTTATGAAAAACCACATTTGCTTATCTAAAATTTTGATAATGATGCGAGTTATGTGGGATTGGAATATTAATACATAGTGATACACAAAGGGAGTAAAGTCCACACTGGCCTGATATTCAAAAATAAGAAATAACCTGCAAATTCATCCTAACCTAACTTTTGTGTAATCGTTCAGTTTTTAACCAGATTTTAACAAAAATAAAGCATGCCCCTTCAGCAACAGGAACTTTTAAAAGTGTGTGAAATACTGGCGGAAGAGGAAGGTTTAAGAGTCACGGTAACCGAATCTTTTAAAGGCGCTTGTTACGCCTTTGCTGGAGCCCTAGTAGGGGGTGTGTTGGGAGGTCCAATTGGTCTAGGACTCGGTACGTTAATCATGTTTACGATTTCCTTGAATTATGATCATTTGGGTTCTAGGTGGTGCAGCAGGAAGTGCACTAGCGGCTTGTAAAAGTCAGGGGAAATTTAAATCGGCTGTTCATGTAATTACGTATGAGATGCCAGATAGGCAGAAGCAAAAGCTTGCTACAGCTGTGCAGAATGTGATACAGAACATTGATGCTTCGGATGTAGTCACCCTCATTGCGATACTCAATGGCAACAACATTACTAGAAATATTATAATAGATTTGATTAAAAATGCCCTAACGAGTGATATGGGTTTAAGAATAGCCCCACAATAATATTATTTTTAAGTATGAATGTCATTAAATATTGAATTACCTCATTTTTCTAATAAGACAATTTTAAGGTGCATGTAGTTATTTAATTATTGTACAATTATATAAAAAATTGAGCTTTTAATTTCATTAAATAGTTTTCGTGTTTTAAAATAGTAATAAGAAGTTCCTTCAAGTTTTAAATTTACCGCCAAAATTCGTTTTCACTATTTGTTTTTCAACTGTTGGTAGTGCTTAAAAATTTAGAAATTTCAATGCCACCCTTGAGAGTTGACTTTGGTGGGATTGCGATTGAATAGTTGCCGCTTTTGAGGTTATCTTGTCTCATAACATCGCATTTTTCTTTTAACGGTCGTTTTATTACAAATTACTTTTCTTTTTCTGTTTTGTATACAGTGAACAAAGTACAAAAACAAAATGGACATTAACGACGAAAACCTACGAATTTTGAGCCAGTATTTACAACAAACATTGAACCCAGATACAAATATTCGTCGACCCGGTAAATAAAATTCACCTAATTATTTTCAGTATAAAACGGATTAATTTCAGCCGAAAAATTCCTTGAAGGAGTCGAAGTAAACCAGAATTATCCCCTGCTGCTTCTCAATTTAATTCACAGAAATGAAGTTGAAATGACAATACGAATAGCGGGTGCTATCGCTTTTAAAAATTACATCAAGCGAAATTGGAAAGTTGTAAGTTTTATATGAATGCGGTTTTGATTTTTTAATTAAGTTTGTCACCTTAGGAAGAGGATCATGAGGATCGCATCCACGAGAGTGATAGAACAGCCATTAAAAATCTCATTGTTACTTTGATGTTAAGTTCTCCAGAAGCAATACAAAAACAATTGAGCGATGCAATTAGCATTATAGGCAAAACAGATTTTCCTATGAAGTGGCCGGAGCTCATCACACAAATGGTTGAAAAATTTGCAACAGGTACGTATTCATACAATTTGTAAATATTATGTAACAGTGTATTGTAGGCGATTTTCATGTTATTAATGGCGTTTTACAAACGGCACATTCATTATTTAAAAAGTACAGATATGAGTTTAAGTCTAATGAATTATGGCTGGAGATTAAGTATGTTTTAGAAAAACTAGCTAAACCATTGACAGATCTACTTGTTGTAAGTTATTGTGCATTAAAACGTTATTTTAATTAATTATCATTTGATATGCAGGCAACTATGAGTTTAGCTCAAACACACGAGAATGACGTGAATGCTTTAAAAATCATTTACCATTCCCTGGTACTGATTTGCAAAGTTTTTTACTCATTAAATTACCAAGATTTGCCAGAGTTTTTTGAAGATAATATGGCTTCTTGGATGTCTAATTTCCATTTATTGTTGGTTAATGACGTTAAAGTTCTGCAAAATGAGGTAAGTGTGTATCATTTTTTTTACATTTATAATGTTTTGTAATGAAATACTTCTTGTATGTTTAGAGTCAAGATGAGACAAGTGTAATAGAACAGCTCAAGTCGCAAGTTTGCGACAATATAGCACTTTATGCGCAAAAATATGATGAAGAATTTCAACCTTACCTACCCCAGTTTGTCACAGATGTGTGGAATCTTCTGGTTGTTACAGGTCTTCAACCAAAATACGATTTGGTGAGATTTTGTATTTTTTTCTGTTTTATAATAACTGTAGGCACGTCATTTTGTAGTTGGTTTCGAATGCTCTACAGTTTTTATCATCTGTTGCTGAAAGGTCACATTATCGAAACCTTTTTGAAGACAATACTGTATTAAGTGGGATATGTGAAAAAGTCATTATTCCTAATATGGAATTTAGAGGTAATTATTTGGATAATTTTTTTCATGATTCTCGCAACTTGTAGGATACGCAAATGTCGATTTCTCATTTCGTTTTGACCGTCGTTTATCATTTCAAATTTTTTTAAAGAGTAAACCCTGCTTGAAAGCGTGACATATTTCTTTAACTGAGTTTTAATCATCATATTTTTTACATTAAGAGAAAGTTTTAAATATTTTAAGTTCACGTCATTGTAAAATAAATTATACTTTTCTATAGTGTCAGATGAAGAGCTATTTGAAGATAATCCAGAGGAGTATATCCGCCGAGACATTGAAGGATCTGATGTCGATACACGTAGAAGAGCAGCGTGTGACTTAGTCAACACTCTGAGTCAAAATTTTGAAAAAAGAATTATCGAAATATTTGGTCAATATTTACAGGTAAGCATTTAGCACTTGTCAAGTTGATGTATTGTTGGAAATGTGTACAATTTATGTAGATTATGTTGTCGAAATATAACGAAAATCCGAAAACCAATTGGCGTAGCAAAGATGCCGCTATGTATTTAGTAACATCTCTGGTGAGCAGAGGAGCCACGCAGAAACATGGAGTAACTCAGACAAGTCAGTTAGTCTCCATTCCACAGTTTTTCCAAGAACACGTATTGCCTGAACTTAAGAGGACCAATGGTAGTGAATAATTTGAGCGTGAACACTCATAACTGAGTTTATTTTCTAGTGGACGAACTTCCTGTACTCAAAGCAGACGCTATAAAGTATTTATTAACATTTAGATCGGTTTTACCTAGCGAGTTGGTCATTGGAACTATACCTCTGTTAGTTCAACATCTCACTAGCGAGAGCGCCGTTATACATACTTATGCGGCATGCACCATAGAAAAAGTCTTAATAATGAAGAATAATACTAACCAGAATATGTAAGTTATGCAGTGGCTGCCTAAGTAGATCGTAGAAAAATACTATGAAATGAAATGTGCAAACTTTTTTAGTTTTTCTTTATTTGACATGTAATTTTTTTTATAGTTTAACTGGTACCACTTTACAACCCTTGTCTGAACAACTACTTGGAAATCTGTTTGCACTTTTGGATAAGCCGGTATCAGAAGAAAACGAATATGTGATGAAAAGTAGGTTTTTGTAACTCATTTGACAATAGTTAATTTTTTCTTGTAGCTATTATGCGAACGTTTTCAACCCTACAAGCACGTGTTATACCTTACTTACAAACGGCTTTGCCTAAACTCACACAAAAGTTGCAACTTGTAGCAAGGAATCCATCCAAACCACATTTTAACCATTACCTGTTTGAAGCAATTTCATTGGCTGTCAAGTAATTATCAGTTGAGTGTTCTTCATTCACTAATGTTGGAATTTTAGGATCGTCTGTACCACGAACGCCTCAGCTGTCACCTCCTTTGAAGATATTTTGTTTCCTATTTTTCAAGGAATATTGCAGCAGGATATCCAAGGTATAATTACATGTAAGGTTGTAAGTTTTTGCTAAATCGTCAATTTTTAGAATTTATTCCATACGTGTTTCAAATTTTGTCACTTTTGATGGAATACACCCCCATTGGTAACATGTCTGATGCGTACATTCAGCTTTTACCGTGTCTTTTGGCGCCCATTTTATGGGATCGTCCAGCGAATATTAGTCCGTTGGTTCGGTTACTTTCAGCTTTTACCATACACGCTGCTCCCCAGATCGTCAGTCAGAATAAGTTGGTGCGTTAGATTTTAAAACAAATTAAACTGGAATAAAGCGATGATATTGTTTGCAGGAAGGGTTTTTAGGCATCTTTCAAAAACTAATAGCTTCAAAAACAAACGACCATGAAGGCTTTCATTTGTTACAAAGTATGATTCAATATATGCCTGTGTGAGTATTTTACGTCTGATTTTGAATATTCTTGTTTGAAGTAAACGTGTTACAGGGAGGCGCTGGCCCCTTACCACAAGCAAATATTTTTCTTACTTTTTAAAAGACTGTCCTCTAGCAAGACTACCAAATATGTGATCAACATTATCGTATTTTTCTGCCTATACGCTGTAAAGTATTCAGCCAATGAACTAGTTACAGTCATAGATGAAACGCAAGCGCAGTAAGTCAAAGTAAAAAAATCCCTTCCAATTTTAAACTAACCGTTTTCAGAATGTTCGGCATGGTTTTAGAAAGACTGTTGATTTCCGAATTACAAAAGGTCTCGGGAAATGTCGAACGAAAAATTGTAGCTTGCGGTGTCACGAAGATGCTGTGCGAATGTCCCGAATTGTACAGTGGAAAATACCAAAACTATTGGCCTCAGCTGTTACAAGTGCGTACTTTATAGCCAGATTTTGTCCTGTGTTTTAATGTGTTGGTTATGCAGGCTTTATTAATGTTTTTTGAGATGCCTTTAGATGAAAGTACACTTCCAGAAGATCATTTTATCGAGATAGACGACACTCCAACGTACCAAACGTCCAGCGCAAAGTTGAATTTTGCTAATAATACTAAACCAGATCCTTTACAAGGTTTGTATGATTTAAGCGCGCAACAATTAACGAAACAGACATTTTAGGCGTAGGAGAACCGAGACAGTTTCTTGTGCAAAATTTAGCCACTCTTGGTGGTAGTCAACCTGGAAAGTTGCCCGCTTTAGTAGGAAATATTAGCCAGCAGGCTCAGACAATTCTGCAACAGTATCTCGCAAAGTTTGGAGTACAGCTCGCATGATCTGATTGTTTTTGTGTTGTATTATTTTAAATTGTAAGCCATTTTGATAAAATAAAGTTTAAAATTACGATCTCTGTCGTGTGTATAGGGTTTTTAAATAACGAAAAACTTTTAGTGCTATAAAATTTGTTCAGTTATACAAGTACATAAAAAAGTGTAATAAATACAAAAACAATATCACATGTGGAAATTAAGTCTCACGAATTACAGGAAAACAGCTTCACCTTCATCAACCTACAAAATAAAAATTAAACATTTTGGCCGCAGAAAAAATCATCAAAAATACCTCAGTCGTTTATCCTCTGGTATCTGAAATTGATCTGAGCTATCAAGGTCCTGTAAAGTTAACAATTTGAAACCACAACACATTCAATTTTAATTTAAAATTACTTACTGGTTCCAGATTCTTATTTGTACAGGTAGACGAGCACTTGCAGCCCGTTGTACACCTCCTGTTGGTTTTTCTGCATCCGCAACGAGCTGAACAATTACTTTTGACACACATACATCCACCGTCCGACGTTCGCTTGAATGTCTGATTTGAACTATCCTCCTCTGCAAGATCAGTTTTTAATGTTATTCTCGTCTCTAATGTTTCCTTGTTACAAACCTCGAGATCTCTGAAGTCCTCTTCTCTTTTTTTCTAATATCCATTTTCCAAGAGGTGTGCGCTTCCAATCAGGATCTTTCTCGATGTCGTCAACATCATCCTCCAAACTGACATCCAAATTTTCCTATATTTAACAAATATAGTTTAAAAGTTAACAAGTGCACAATTTTCCCACCTGATTTTCAATTGTAAAAGTGGAATCAACTTCTTGTTTGATCTTTAAAGGTTTCCTCCTTATTTTTTCGACGGGTGTTGTACACTCCTCTAGAATGTCGGCGTTATTTTGGGATTCTTGCGCCAAATGCTAGAAAACAGCCATTAATAATAACAAATAATAATACAAGTAGGTTCAAGTTACAGTGATAGTCTCAATTTTTTCTTTCAGTTTGCTAACTTCGTCTTGCGATTCCATTAGTCTTGACATTAAGTCTTGATTAGCTTTGTCTAGTGCATCGATTTTTTCTGCTTGAATTGCACAACGTTGTTTCACTTCCTCATCGACATCTAGCACAATGAATGATTAAGTAAAATATGATGTATATTAAAAGAACAAATTACTTTGGACTTGTACTCCCCGCAGTTGCCGCAAAAGAACCGCAATCTTCTCTTCATATTCGTTCTGCATACACGATATATCCTCGGCATGTTTGTATTCCATGATTTTTACGACCTTTTCTAGATTTTGTGATGCACGTTTCGTCTTTAACAAATATAATTACAATCACAACCAAGATAAAATTATGAAGGAAAAACCAGTCAATCTCAAGAAATTACCTATTAAAAATATACTCACATCAATAAGAGTCGCTTGCATCTCTATAAACTTATTTCTCGTTGTCACTTCCTTTTTCTTGACTTCCGCTGCCTGTTCCAGCAAGCTTTTCAACGCGAATTTAGCATCGGCCATCGTTTGTACATTATCCAGCTTTGACTTTTTATTGTCTAAAAACCAAAAATTGCAACATCAAACATACAAATCCTCGATTTTACCTTCTTCTGAATCTAAAATCTTCTGCTGCAAGTCCTGAATCTGTACTGAACGCAATTCAATGTCCTCTTCCAAACTTTTAAGCTGCGATTCGCCCTCATTTGGATTTTCTTTCAGTTTATTCAATTGCTCTTGGAGCATAGCTCTATCTTCTAATAAACCGTCTAACGTAGTTGCTGCCTCTACCAAATGCATATGTACATCAAATTCTTGCTTAATCCAACATCCCATTTTATCGTTTTTGCCGTTATATTTCACATCTTGGGTCGCTTTTCTCAAAGCCAAGGCATCCTTCAACCTCTTGTTAAGAGCAACAGCTTCTTCTACTTTCCTCTTCAACACGTTCTGTTGCTTGGAATGCATTACTTCCATTTTCACAATTTGGTTTTGTTTCTTCCTGTCCTGTTGCTTCAGCTTCGCTAACTCTCGTTCTCTCTGCATCTTCCATGTTCTGAACCTCTCAGACTCCTCCCGCATTTTTCTTATCAGTTTAACGCGAGTTTGTTTCATCTGTAGGATCTCGTTATTCAGCTGATTTATCTTAGTGACGTCTTTCTCTTTGAGCTTGATAAGTCGTGCTTGCTCTTGAACTTTTTTATTCAAATCTTGAATCTGACTTTCAAGATCGTGTACCCTTTTCCTTCTCTGTTCCGAAACCTTTGTTGAGGACCCTTGAGCGTTCTTCAGCTGCTGAAGCAACTCGTTCTTCTCTTTTTCCAGCGTTAATATTTTATCTTCGTTTTCTGCCATCGCTTTATAATCTACCAAATGTTGAGTATTGGTTGTAATTTGCCTTGCCAGATGTTCCTTGATGGCTAGTTTCTTAGTCAGTTCTTGCAGTTCGATGTTGAGAGCCATCTGTTTGTTGGTGTAGTTTTCTTGGTCTTTGCTCAAATCGCCCTCGTCTTTGAATTTACCCTCTTGACTATTATGTAAATCGATGTTTTGTTCGTGGTTCAAGATTTCGTTTTCTGTTCGTTTTTGTTCGCTATCAATGACGACAAATTGTTCTTGGATGCGTTGGAGTTTGGCCAAATTCTTCTTGATCTCTTCATGGTCGTTCTGATTCAAACTAGAGTTAATGTTGTCAATAGTTGTGTCATATTCGTGTCGGAGTTCTTGGATTTTCTTGTGGAGACTTTCGTTGGCATTTTGAAGGATCATTAATTTCTCCAAAAGGCCGGTGTTGTCGTTTAGGGTTGACGACAACTGGAAGGTGAGATCGCGGATTTTGGTATGCAGACGGAGATTTTCCTCTTTAATGGTAGTTATTTCTTCAGAGCCGACAGCTGGCCCACCTGATATAAAAACGTTTCGTGACGGCATGAAAATAATACAATCTAGATAAATATTTAACAAAAACATCCATCTACAATTTTGGGGAAAGCACAAATTACAATCCAGAATTCATCTATCTACAATTTCAACTTTTGAAAAAAGGAAAGAACGAACCCAATTTATTAGTATCGTACATTTACTAATTGATTTACTCTACAAGACTTTCCACATTATTAAACTGAAGCTAAGCGAAGAAAAATGTTTGCTGCCCCGGTAGGAATCGAACCACTTGCCTAGGCTACAGAGCGGCTTATCTTTATGCGCAATACCAACGTATTAACGTGTTATCGAACAAAATGTTCTGAATATTATAATTCTTATTTTATCATTATTAAAAATAAAAAAATAATCATATAAAGACGTGCGTATTCTTCAGATTTTCGAGAAAAGATGGTGACTCGTTCTTAATTTGACCAATAAAAAAATTGTGATGACGTCATTAACATGGATAACACTGGTCCCAGCATATTATCAATGCAAGAAAAAAAAATACAAGCATGAAGTTATTAAAAACAATTCAATTTGTTTAAATATTGTTAAATTAACCCCGAATATGTGCAATTCCCCGGTCAAAATTTGAAAAATAATTTTTGTAATTTCGTCGTGACGTACGATGAAGTCACTGTCACGTGAGCTATTTGAGCAAAGGTCAGGTTTTTCGGTCCTTTGTGTTCAGTGTTGAATTCGGTCTGGTAGCAGCAACATCGGAGCATTCGGTGCTCCGTTTTTGCTTATAAATAACGCGTTTCCGCAAATTTCTAATTTATTGTTAATAAATACTAGTGAAAATGTTTTGCGTTACTGCTGTGAATATGAAGGAAAGTAGATAGTTTTCCAAAAAATTCCGAAAATGGAGTAAGTACGACTCGAGTTTAAATTTATCGTGGCCGTGATTCATATATTCGACAAATATAAAAAAAATATCAATTATCATGACACAGTAAACAATATTTAAACATAATTAATATTTTTTTTATACTGTTTAAGTGTGATAAGTATTAATATGTCATAATTAAACCGAAAACCGTTTTCTTAGAAACATGAAGTTATTAAAAACAATTCAATTTGTTCAAACATTGTTAAATAAACTCCGAAAATGAGCAATTTCCCGGCTAAAATATCAAAAATAATTTTTGCAATCTCATCGTGACGTACGATGACGTCACTGTTACGTGAGCTACCTGAGCAAAAATCGCGTCATTAATTTTTTTGAGATACCCCGTATAAGCAAATCTAAAAAATATTAATGCAGTGACAAATCACAAATATTGTCTCATCATACTTTGCACATTTAAGATAGGATTTATTCAGCAAAGTTTTGAGGTGACGTCATCAATGTTTTAGGGGGGATGAGCAAATACATTTTGATCAAAAATTTACCATGCCTACGATAACTTTAAAACATCTCCAAGATTTCAAAGCATTCAGTTTTGTAGTTCCTGATTAAATCAATAAAATAAATTCACGCATTTATTAACTTTTTTGAGTCAACCTGTATATGTAAACCCAAAAAAAATATTAATGTAATGATAAATTACAAGTGCAGACTCATCATATTTTGTACAATTTAGATGGGATTTAGTCGGCAAAATTTTGAGCTGACGTAAATATATTTTGATTAAAAGTTTATCGTGCTTATCATAACTTTAAAACATCGGCAAGATTTCAAAGCATTCGGTTTTGCAGATTCAAAATTAAGTTGCAAAATGTTGTTTTATAAATTGATTTTTTTCCAAAAATCTGGACGTTTCGGGTAAAAACTCAATTCGGAGTCATAAACTACCTGTAGGACTATGTTATTTTATACTATTTAAAACCCATTTACTACATACGTACAATTTTGAAGTGACATCATCACATTGGCGGGGATGATTAGACAAATTTTCGTAAGCGCTTTACTATAAATGATATTCCTAATTATAAATACAAAATTTGAGAACAATCGGCCCAGTACTTTCGGAGATTATCTGTCTAATAAAAATCCGGGACGGCAGACAGACAGACAGACAAACGGAAACAGGAGATTACTTTTTTCGTACTGTAGGGGTCATGAAACGTTGAGAAAACATAAAAATGATCTCGTTATGTCTCTCGCACAAGCGTGATGTAACCAAATTGGTGGATATATGAAATTATGATCATTCAAGGCCATTTTGAGTTAAATTCATGTTTGTGGGACATACCAGTGATTATATGCTAAGGTGATGCTAAGCTATTGCATAATCATATGTTTTGTTATATATTTACAATATTTGCTCATTCAACGTGTCTACTCTACAGATTTAAATTAAATTTATAATATATATATTGCAAAAATAAACAAATTTATACCAATACTGCATTTTCAAGCCTCAGATAGCATTAGCATTTTTTTTTTCACAAAAACATTACATATGATTAAAAAATGCCCTGTAGTAGGCGTGTACTTTTATCTCATACAGAGTATTTCTATTTATTTATGTATTTATAGAGTACTAACTTACCTTGTCCAACAATCTGCAATTTCAACTCCTGTATGGTCTTCTTCAACAAATTTATTTCTGCAGCTTTTGCATCTTGATTAACTACAGGTTTATTCTGGATTCTCCTTGCTCGATCTGCATACCTCAGAGTTGAAATTGTCTCTTCCATATTGTAGTCAGCTGGGCTGACACACGCGATCATTAGTGTAATACTGTTACCTCCCAAAGAATCCTTTAACAGTCTGGTTAAATTACTATCCCTATATGGAATAAATCCATGCTGTTGCTTCTCGTCGCCAAGAGCTGATATCACATTTCCCAAAACCAAAAGTCCTTTATTAATATTAACACCTTCTTTGAACGTTGTTCCTACAGCACCAGTCTTTTTAGGTCTCTCAGAACCCGCCAAGTCGACCAAGTGGAATTTTGCAGTCTTTTCATTCCTGTAAAATTTAATAATTTCAAAACTTGTTTAAAATTACATTAACGGATTACTCACCCATCTGCCTTGTTCTGCATGAGCAAATTCATTGTAAAAATCGCGTGGCTACGAGAACTGTGCGCATTCATGTTGGTAGCACTTGTAGCGCGACCACTTGAGCCACGAATGAGTTCATCAAACACATCCTTCACACAATTGACTGGAACTTGGGTTAATCCCGGGATCATAATGCCCCTATTTTGATCTTCCCTGATGTCTAATACACACTGCTCTCTGCTTTTACTTGAAAGTAGATCATACAAAGTTTCTTGATACAGTTCCATGAAAGAAACAGTCATTGTGAAGTCAACTGCGAAGTTGTCTTTGGCACAATCAAAGATCTCAGTAACTGCTCTGGGTATGACCCCCATTTCGCCATCTCCACAGTATGTTGTACCCATTGTGTGGGTTTTCCCTGAACCTGTCTGCCCATAAGCCAAGACAGTAAGGTTGTACCCATTGAACAGATTTTGGATCATATGCTTAACGCACTTGTCATAGACTTGATCTTGGGTGCTGTTTGTGCCAAAAACATAATTGTAGGTAAACGCTTTGTCCGTGTTTCCGATTCTGATCTGATTCAACTCGGAAAACACTTCAAGGATATCCTTGCATCCCTTTTCTGTCTCTATTGGGACTAAAGGTCGGATTCTGAGAGCTACTTGCACGGATTCACACATCTAAAAAACAAGAATTGCGGAAGGTCTGACGGTGGAGGAAAAGATACTTACGTTTAAAAGTAGGTATTATAAATAAATAAATATAAATCTTAATAGTTTTCTGTTCACAAAAGTTTGTTTAAAATATAGTAATATAATATTCCATATGCTATTCTTACGTCTGCATTAAAGTGATGCTTTTCTTATATCACCGGTGACCGGTCGGCAAACACATTTGAAAATGTTCGTTATGACCCGTTACGACCATCTTGTTCAAATAAACCAATTAGAAACGCAACAGCCAGCCCCACCACTTTTTATAAAGACTAACTACTATTGGTTGTTTTTTCAAGTCTCTGTCAAAAATGGTCTCTGTAAGATGATTGACGATAAAATTTAATTTTTCAAACGAAGAGTCAGTTAAAGTTACCAAGTTTTAAGTATTTTATTATAAACACAATACCACGTAAACGTTCTCATTTGGATTTCTTGATTTCTCGATACTTGAAAACTAACTCATCAACATTTCGAAACTTCGCGGGCTTGATCTTGACAATTGACGTCTTTGAAGTTTGAAGTGTGCTTGAAACATAACCTCATTTTTACTTTAAACCTGGTTTAAAGCACCGATTGCCAGAATTTTTGTATTGTTAAATGGTTATTATGCTCAAAACTAATAAAATGAAGTGGAAAAGTTTACAAGTAGTTGACCCAACTCTCACCTCTGAAGGTTTAATAGCAGTGGAAGAATGTACAGATTATAACCTTCTAAACGTGCAGGTATTATTACTTTTAAAATAATTATCGACTGCTTTAACAATGTATTTCAGAGCCTGAAACGCAAGACAAGTGTTACAGCAGAGAAACCACCCAAGAAAAAACGAAAACTTTTGCGCCAAAAAGCACCAAAAACTGTCGTTTTGACACCTTCTAAGAGCGGTTCGAGTGTTGATACAGACGTAACTGTAGATGATGGTGTTAGACATGAAGGCTATGAAGCATGGATCAATTTTGGGTTACCGGAGGCTATTGTAAAAGCCCTGTGTGACCAAGAATTTAAAGAACCAACTGCTATACAACAATTGACTTTGCCTGCTGCAATACTAGGTAATGATAGTTTTTTTGTTTAATTGAAAATTAGAATATTACTTTTAGGGCGCAGAGATATTGTTGGAGCTGCAGAAACTGGAAGTGGTAAAACGTTAGCTTTTGGCCTTCCAATTCTGTCAGGAATATTAAAAGAAAAAGAGAGCATTGGTACTTATTACTTACTTTGAAATAAAATACACAGATACAGTTTAATTTTAGGAGGAAATGTGGTGAGAAAACCGTTGTATGCTTTAGTATTAACTCCAACAAGAGAACTAGCAATTCAAGTGAAAAACCATTTAGAAGCAGCTGCAAAGTTTACAGGTATGTGGTTTTGTAAGTACAAACATTCATTTAAAACAAATTTTTAGATATAAAAATTGCTGTGGTAATTGGTGGAATGGCGTCTGTAAAGCAAGAAAGAATCTTGAGTAAACGTCCTGAAGTTGTAGTTGCTACACCTGGACGCCTGTGGGAACTAATTCAAGCTGGTAATGAACATTTATCCCAGGTGGATGACATCAAGTTAGTAATTAATAAATAAAAGTGAAATTATGTATACTACTTTTGTACCAAACTCAAACATATCTGTTGTCTTTGTACTTTTGATAGTATTTTTAAATTTTTTTTTTAGATACCTGGCAATCGATGAAACTGACAGAATGTTAGAAAAAGGCCACTTTGATGAACTCCACAATCTGTTAGAACGTCTCAACTTTGACAAAAAGAAATCTGAGCAAAGACAAAACTTTGTATTCTCTGCAACACTCACTTTAGTCCATGACTTACCAAAATACTTAATCAAAAAAACCAAAGTCGCAAAAATGACCCCTCAGCAAAAGTTACAAAAAATCATAAACATGTTGGGAATATCAAACCCCAAAGTCGTTGATATTACAGAAGGAGCTGCTGTTCCTGAAACATTGACAGAAAGTAGAATCAGTTGCGCGCTCAACGAAAAAGATTACTACGTTTATTACTTCCTGCAGAAATATCCAGGTCGAACTTTGATCTTTTGTAACTCTGTGGGATGTGTGAAGAGGTTGACAAATCTACTGAGTGTCTTAGGGTGCCGACCATTGCCGCTACATGCTTCCATGCAACAGAGACAAAGATTAAAAAATCTTGAACGGTAAGCTGAAAGTTCTAGTTGTGTAAGTTTCAATTCATGTTTTTATTTCAGATTTCGCGATGATGAACGTGCAGTTCTAGTAGCGACAGATGTGGCAGCTCGAGGTCTGGACATACCTAAAGTCCAACACGTTTTACATTATCAAACGCCCAGAACCAGTGAGGGTTATATTCATAGGTCTGGGCGAACAGCGCGTGGTTCTCAAGACGGTTTAACAGTTCTTTTAATAGAGCCGTCAGAGATTCAAAACTATATTAAGTTGTGCAGAACTTTAGATAAAAGTAAGTTAGGAATTGCTTTTAGCTTTAATTCTAAAGAGGCTGTTTAAGGTAAAGATTTGCCGGTATTTCCGGTCCAAGAAGATTACTTGAAGGCTGTTAAAGAAAGGGTTAATTTGGCCAGAGAACTGGATCAGTTGGAATTGCAAATTCGTAAGGGTAATTCAGAAGAGGGGTGGTTGCAGAAGGCTGCAAAAGACATGGATATCGTTGTTGACGATTTGTATCCTTTAACACATTTTTTTATTTACGTTCAACATTTTTTTCTGAAACTTATAAAATGCATCTATACAATAAAATATTTTGTGAACCTTATTTTCAGAAAACTAGTCATACTTAGTTCCTTATCAATGAACATGGGTAGGCTTGATAGATGCATTTTTTGAAGTATGATTAAAATCAAATCAAAGTTTTAAAAACATGACCTAGATCCTTAACCAATTACTAGCTGTAAAAAGTACGACAACAGCAACACGGCTTCCCAGAAAAAAGCCGCCGATATTAAAAGAAGACAGCTGCATTTTTTACTAACTAAACCGATTTTTCCTGAAGGATTCAGTGGAAAATATCCCGGCAATTTAGGAGACTTCACTTCAACGTTTGACGCTAGTTCAGCTATTCAGGTTTTAAAATCAACTGTAAAAAAGGATTCAGGGAAAGTGAATATTCCATTGTTTAAAGCTAGCAAAATTATGAAAAAAAAGAACAAATAAATATAATATTTTTATATAAATTCAAAACTATTTGATGGCCTGCATTTTCGTAAATGTTTTAAATAAAATGAAATTAAAATTCTAGAAAATATACATTGGAAATATATACAATATTCTTAAATTTACAAAAGCTATGACCATGTTATAACGACCCGTCTTCGCTTTCGCTTGAAAGACGTATTTGATACATTAACGGAATTACTTAATTCACTATCGGTTCTTGTACTAGCGGTGATAGTATCAGAATTACACGAAGGTTTACTAGTTTCTATATGATTGGCGCTTGTATTTTCAGTCTCATTGAAAGAAATGTTCAAGTCGTCTCGTAAAAGTCGCATATCTACATTTGTGGCTACAGGCGTCGATGTAACGGGAGGACAAGGGTCAATGTTTAAATTCAAGTCAAATAAATTTCCGTCATTTGTACAAGGATCACAGTCAGAGAGATGCAACACAGGAATCTCGCCTTCATGTGTTAGACCTATGCAACTTGTAAACTCATTTGTTAGCAACATATCGTTCGACGCGATTTTATTTGTAACATTTTCTTGCATCTTACCACTAGAAGCCTCAGCCTTTTGATTTTGGTCTTCTACAATTTTTTCGTTGGGTTTTTCCACCTTCTCTCTTTTGGCCGCACTTCTTAAAACGCGATCAGATTCAGGAACTTCTTCGTCATATCTATCTTTTTTTGCGCTGACAAAATTTTTGTCTCTGGAGTCTCTTCTATCTCTAGATTTTCTGCGTTTAACTTCAGCTGCTAGTTTCACATCCTTTTTATCCTCCTTCAATGTGTGTTTGTTTTCATCTTCATGTTTATTTTCTGTTGAGTTTTCTACGATTTTTGAATTTATTGCTTCAGTTTTACTGGGCTCAGTAGAGTTTACTGATTCACTTTTACCATCCATGGGGATTGGTTTAGTTTTGTTTTCACTGTGCTTATTTTCTTTTTTTGCTGACTTATCTGTCACTTCTACGTTCACTGCGTCATTTTTTGTGGTTTGTATAGGATTCATTGATTCATTTTTATTGCTCACACCCTTGGTTTGCTTTGACACTTGTTTAACCTTGTGTTCGTTTTCGTGTTTGTGTTTTTTCTTTACGTTTTCTGCACTTTCTGAAATTGTTACATCATTGTTAGTTGTACTTGGAAGACTCGTTGCTTCACTTTTTGTATTTATGTCAATTTCTTTGCATTGTTGACTATCTTTGTTTTTGCTATGTTTTTTCTTTGTTGTGTTCATTGTTTGTGCCTCTGCAGGATGAACTGATTCAGTTTTCTTATTTACGGTGTTTATTTGCGTTGGTATATGTTTATTTCTGTTTTCATCTTCATTTTTGTTCACTTCTTTTCTGGTTGGAATGTCTGCACTGTTTGAGTTCCCTAGACTACTTTTTGGAGTTTCTGTTGTATTAGTCGCTTCACTGCTCTTATTTACAGCGACTTTGTCCTTTGATGTCTGTTTAACATCGTTTTCATTTTTGCTGCTCTCTTTCTGTGTTGAGTTGTCTTGTCCTACGGTAATCCCATGATTTGTTGCTACATTTGTAGAACTGGCTGATTCGCATTTTTTGTTTATGACGATGTTTTGCTCATTTTTTTTCTTTGCTAAACTGTCTGTGGTTTTTAAACTCACTGCGTCACTTTTTTTAGTCTCTTTTGGATGCATTACTTTTATTTTTTTACTTACACCGATGATTTTTGATTTATGTTTATCCCTATTTTCATTTTTCCGATGTTCTTTTTTTGTTGCGCTGCTTTTAATTTCTGAGCTCAAAGAATGATTTGTTGTTGGCTTAGTGGATTTAATTATTGCAACATTTTTGTTTTCTAGAAGTTTTTGCTTTGAAGTTTCCTTATTCTCTTGATTTTTATCTTTGGACTTTTCTTCCTTTGTTGTTTGTGTGTCTGCTGCTTTTAAGTTCGTTGCATGATTTGCTATCTCTGTAGGACGAGTTGATTCGCGTTCATCTTTCTTTTCTTTCTTTAAAGTCTCATTTTTTATATTTTTTGTCAGATTGTTTGATAAACTTTCTATGCTTACGCTGACGGCTTGTTTCTTACTACAACTATTACTATTTATTTCTGGGTTTGGTTGCTCCATATGTTCAGTAACTTCAGCGGTATGGCATTTGGTGCTATTTTCAACATTATCGCAAGTACTTGCAACTTCTGTATTGTCAGGGAAAGTACTACTGGAAGCTTTTAATTTTTTCTCTTGTTCATTTGGAACATTGTCACAAATCTCGTCAGTTTTTTTCATGTCATAAACATTTTCTATGCCAAGATCTGATATAGCAGTTCTTACTAAATCTCTAAGAACTGTATCCATTGCAATTTCATTCGTATCCGTTTCTGCTTCACCAGACGCATTGACAGTTTTACTTTCCTCCAACCTTTTTATTAGCTTTGTTGTCACATCTTCGATTCTCGCTTTAGCTTTAGGTTTATTTTCAAACACATTTTTGTTTGTTTTGTCCGTTTTATTTGTAAGTTCACCTTTTTCAGCGTTGTCGTTTTTCTCGGGACTTTCGTCTACGTTTGCAAAATGATTGTCTTGGTTTTCTATCACACTACAATCTTTTTCGTGTATTCCTTTTTCCGATTCGTTTACATTTAAGACTGTCGCGTTTGTCTGTTCACTGGCAGAATTTTGTTGTTCACTCATAATCTGAACATTAACGTTTGTTACTTCAGTTTTCTTATTGCTGTCTTCTGCTGCTACTTGGATTTTTCGAAAAGTTTCTTTTTCAGGATGTTTTACAGTTGACGCAGAACTCGTTTTATTTATATTGTCGTTCTCTTCTGATATTTGGGGTTCTTGAACACTTTCTCTTTCAAGATCTTCTGGATCTGGCCCAAACAAAATCATGTTCATTTTTTCATTCTCTTTTGAGATTAGAACGTCTTGAACAGGTTTTTTTGGCAGATCTTGTACACTTGGAATAAGAACATTACTTTTCAAGTTTCCATGTACCTTGTCAGGCTCTTTTGGGATTTGAATATCTTTACTAACATTTTCTTTTTCATGGCGTTTTAATTTTACGATCAACTTATCACCGTCTTTTGATGCTTTGTTATATTTATCATGAGTGATTTTATCCCCTGTTTCACTGTGGACCGTTTTTGGTTCATTTGTGTCACGTCTGTTGGTTATAGTCTTAGATGTTGAGAATTTTGGTTTTGTACTGTTGTCCCTGTAAAATTTCAAAAAACAAACTGAGAATTGTAATGCAGATAATAGTGGTGTGTACAAGTCAGGAAGTAAGCAACCTTGATTACTTTGTACACATTGCAATAATCACTCACTTTCCTCCTGCACTGTACACGCATTTTTTCTACGATAGATTATTGATAAAAGAATAGGTTTATAAATGTAATTTTTTGAGGTTCTTGCAATATTCCACTATCGGTTTTACTTAATTAATTTAATTTCGAACTTAATGCCACATTTGTGAAAAAAAAAGATTTATAAGATTTCGGATCAAACAACGCGACGAACACAGTGAACATGGATGAGGATAATGCAAAAAAATTTAATTATTATAAAATGCACACATTTCGAAAATAATCAGTAAATTAATAAAAACATACCAACGTGTTACTGATTGTTGAACAAAAAAAAAAAAAAAACTTTATTTTTTTAAGACCTTTTAAGAATTATATGGAAAAAAAATGATTGTGTTGGATGTCACAAAAATTATAACCAATATTAAAGGGCTCCAATGGTATATTTGTTAATAGGATAACAGGTCAAGGATTAAAAAAAAATGGACGCCATGGTGGTTGTGGTAACTTTCACTCCACTCCACTGTTAAAAAATTAACCAAAAACATATTCATTTTGTTTTAGTTAGCTTTATTGTTTTGATGCAAAAGTTCGTGCTTTTTGCGTAATAATACTGAATTAAAGGTAATGAACTTTCAACGGCCGCGGAAAAAATGTTTTGCCAGTATTTTTACATAAAGAAATACCTTTTAGTGGATGACTTTCTGTCATTATCATATTTGTCAGAGCCATCACTTTTACAATCCCGTTTTCTATCCCTACTCTTTTCCCTATGTATACGTCTATGCTTTTCTCTAGATCGTGAACGACTTCTGCTCCTTTTATGTGGGCTTGGACTGCGTTTACCTTTGCGATGGTCATATTCTCTCTTTACTTTTTTTATGGCATTTTCAAAGCCATGTGAGCCCGGACTTCTCTCCCTTTGGCGCTTAACCGCAAAAGTGGTGCTAGTATTACAATTTCTTTGCAGAATAAATTGGTCTAGTTGGTTTCTCAGTTCAGCTATCATCCTATCTTTCCGTTCAATTTCTGCTTTGGCAGTTTTGTACAACTCGGAGATATTCTTTTCCAAGTTGTCACGAACCTTTTTCATTTCTGTTACTTTAGCACACAACTTCGCGATGTCAGCTTCAAGGGCTGCAATGTGAGCCTCCATCAGTTGAATTTGGTCCTGAAGCTGAAAAGTGGGGTTAAAATGCATTACGTTAACATTCTGTTGTTGTTCATGGTAATACCTTTTCCACATCTTGCTCTAAGATGTGCTCTTTATTTGGTAAGTTGTCGTATATGTCGAAGTTAATTTCCATTTCGTTCTTAGATTAGTATAAAATTGAATATAATAAAACATAAACAAAAATGGCGCGATTGAAGTTGTCAATTGTCACTTGTCACATTCACATGTGTGACGCCCACGGTGGTTTAAGTAAGGTGTTTCAACTCCATTCATAAATTTTCATAAAACGGGCGCTTAAAAACTGGTATCGTAGTAGGTTGTGGGAGCTTAAGATGACCGCCACCATGTGGTAGTTAATTGTACTATTTGCACTATCGACTGACGTTTGACATGATATTTGACGTATATTTCCCCTCATCTTTCAAAAAGATGTCACAAAACCTAACCTATTTAGCTGACATTTGTGACAACTTGCATTCAAGGACATATTTACGCAAATTTCATTCATTATTGTGGACAGTTTCATCATAGTATCCAGTAGACGGCGCTAGGAACTTTAAGCTCCCGTGGCCTTCTGGGATCTCTTCGAAAAAAGACCATTTTAAACTCGGAGTTCGCAGACCTGTTATATATGGCCGTGGTGACGCCTATGACATCCGCGTAGTTTGCATCTGATTGGCTAGTTGCTGTAAAGCATCCAAAGAGAGATGAAAGTCGTTGAAAATATAAGTGCGTAAGAGCTAGAAGTATCTGACAGTTGACTTCGTTGCTTTCAAATTTGACTTTGACAAGCGTCAGCAGGTGGCGCAATAGTCGTTGATGGTTGATGGACGGTGTTTAATGTTTACGTGTTACAAAATTTTAGTCCAACGAATTCTGAATGAAAACCAACACTTTCATAGTTTCAACGGTGTCAGAACAAATACGTAAACTCATCGTTACTGGAAACTCCAAGAAAACATCACTGGAATCGATGAAACCACGAAACCGTAACTTGCAGAGGCGATAGTCAAGAAAAAATCAAAATTTAAAGCTTCTGGTGGAATTAATATGGAATTTATTGCAATTGTGGATAACGACAGCGGTTACGGATCAAATAACGTTGAGTCGAATTTAGATTCCTCTTCCGAAAACATGTTGCAAAATAAAACTTTCGCGCCAGTGTATGACCTGTATGGCGAAGATACTCTTCCTGAAAAGCCCTCATTGAAGAGCGATTTGAAGAACCCGTGTACACATTTCGATTCCTTTGATTCAGTTATAAACAGTTCGCAAGATAGTGTCAAGACTGAATTCAGTGGGTTCGAAGATTCAGGGCGTTCAGATGAATCACTTATTATTCCCAGGATGCAATCAATTGTATGTGATACAAGCGGTAAGTTGTTCTTTGGATACTTTTTTATGATTTGATTCATTTTCAATAAGTTTAGTGTAACTATAAATGATTAATTTTGGTAGTAAGATATCAATTTTGTAACCGTATCAAAAACAACGTCTAAAATTATTTAGAAAACTTTCCTTCGTTTCTAAAGCACTACCATTTCTGCATGCCTATTGAGTGTATTTTTCAGTAAAGACTTACTTATTAATGTTTTCTAGGCATAAGCATTTCAATTTCAATTTTATGTAATACAACAGTATCACCATGTTTATTTACACAAAAAAGGTTTACATTTATAAAAATTTACAATAAAGTATAACCTCGATAATCCGAATTAATTGGGGAAAGGTCTGTCTGTTCGGATCAGCGAATTTCCCAAAATGCTGAAAGGGAATTGAATAACAACTTCATACACTGCTGAAAACAAATTTCATGAAATAAACCTTAATTTTATTAAACAGAAATAAAGTGTTCTTAACCAACAATGAAAAATAGATACATTCGAAAAAAATATTATTCCGTGACCATAACCACACTATATTTTTGGAATCAACACGTCAGGATCTATATCCCTGAATTTAATCAGAATTTTTAGATGACTTTTTCAAAAATGAAATTTCTGATTATGTATTCTATTACCTCAGTTTTGCAAATTTCGACCCATTCTTGATGATTTTCGAAATTTAACTAAATATCTACATGTAGATTTTGGGCCGCAGAAGTCATATCTGGCTTTATTTCTTCGATAACTTAAACGGTTTTTCAGAATCGTCCATTGAAATATCACAATTTTCAAAAATTTCAAAAAAATCGAATTTCACGCCGAATTTTCCGAAAATATTGCTCCGTTACCATAAACTTGCTATATTTTTGGAATCAGCACGTCGGGATATATATACAGTATGCCTCCGGATTGAGTTCACAAGAGGAAAAAAAACTGTATTTTCTGTTTTACAAAAAAATGACAAGAATAACATTTTTTGCTGAATTCAAAACGAATAAATCTGCAATATTCCTGGTTCGTACTCTTAAAATTAATTTTTTATATTTCTAAGTTCTTCGTTACTTTTAGTTTTTTTGGATTTTAAGGACACATCCTGATAATGTTAAAATTTTAATTGTAGATTTATTCGTTTTAAATTAAGCAAAAAATGTTATTCGTATGTCATTTTTTTGTAAAATAAAAAATACAGTTTTTTTTCCTCTTGTGAACTCAATCCGGGAACATACTGTATATCTGAATTTTTTCAGAATTTTGAGACACCTTTTCCAAAAATGAAATTTTACACTATGGTAGTACTTGCCAAAAAACCTACCCTCTAGGCAAATAAAAGGTGGGCGGGCCAGGCTAGAATTTGCCAAAATAAGACTTATTTTGACAAATGACCTACTCTTCTAAGAAAAGGTACTAACCCCGCCCACCCACCCTTTATCTTCTTAGAAGAGTAGGTCATCTACCAAAATCAATTTTATCTTGGCAAGTATGAGACTGATTTTTGCAAATGACATCCTCTAAAAAAATAAGGGTGGGTGGGCGGTACTAGTACTTGTCAAGATGAGACTGATTTTGGCAAATGACATATCCTCTAGAAAATAAGGGAGGGTGGGCGGGGGAGCTAGTACTTGCCAAGATAAGACTGATTTTGTCAGATGACTTATTTTTCTAAGAAAATAAAGGCAGGGTGGGTGGGGCTAGTACTTGCTAAAAATAAAAAAACTTAAAAATTAAAAAGTGACAAATTGAAAAATTGGATAAATGAGAAATTGGGAAATTGGACATCTGTTTAATCGGAAATTCAAAAACTAAAATATCGAAAAATTGAAAAAAAAAACAAATCTTATAAAATCGAATTCGAAATTCCAGTTTTCATTTTTTTTAGTTTTTAGATTTTACAACTTTTGAATATTTCATTTGATAATTTCCAAGATAACTTCTGTGACAATTTTGCAGTTTTTAATTCCAATCTTTTGATTTTTCAAGTTTTAACTTTACAATTTTGAAATTTTTTGATTTTTAATTTTTCAAGTTCTCAAGTTAAAATTTTTCCTTTTCACGATTTGTCATTTTTTTAACTAAAAGAACAAATTTATTCGAACCGAAATTTTGAAAAATCGAAACATCCTAAAATTGAAAATTAGAAACAAAATTTTCAGATGTTTTAAAGTTACGGTAAACATGGCAATCGCTGATCAAAATTACTTTTTACTCCTTTCCAAAAACTCGTTCACAAAAAGTCAAAAATCGAAAATTTAAAAAAACAAATATCTATTTTTTCGATATTTTTAAAAATAAAATCAAATAATTGAGAAATCGGAAAACTGCCAAAATTGTATTCTAAAATTAAAAAATCGAGAGTTTTTTTTCAGTTGCTCAGAGAAATCAAAAATCGAAAGAGAGATCAAAAAATTGAAAATTTAAAAAGCGAGAAACTGAAATTCGAAAGTTGAAAAATCGAAAACCTGAAAAATTTAATAGTACTCGCTATGATAAGAGTGATTTTGGCAGATGACCTACTCTTCTTAGAAAATAAAGGCTGGGTGGGTGGGGCTAGTACTTGCTAAAAATAAAAAAAACTAAAAAATCAAAAAATGACAAATTGAAAAGTTGGATCAATGAGAAATTGGGAAATTGTACAACTGTTTAATCGGAAAATCAAAAACTGCAATATCGAAAAATTGAAAAAAAAACATCTTATAAAATCGAATTCAAACTTTCAGTTTTCATTTTTTTTTTTTTTTTAGTTTTTAGATTTTTCAACTTTTGAATATTTCATTTGATAATTTCTTTGACAATTTTGCAGTTTTTAATTCCAATCTTTTGATTTTTCAAATTTTTTAATTTTTAATTTTTCAAGTTCTCAAGTTAAAATTTTTCCTTTTCACGATTTGTCATTTTTCGATTTTTTAACTGAAAGAACAAATTTATTCGAATCGAAATTTTGAAAAATCGAAAAATCCAAAAATTGAAAATTTTGTACTTGTTAAAATAAGACTGAAGAAGGTTATTTGGCAAGTACTAGCAAATTTCGATCCATTTTCGACGATTTTCTAAATTTAACTAAATTCTTTTTCTTGTGGATTTCGGGGCGCAGAAGTCACTTCCGGCCTCATTTCTTCGATAACTTCAACCTTTTTTCCAGAATTAGTTAATTAATTCAGGGCACTGAAATATCACAATTTTAAAAAAATTCAAAAAATTCAATACAACACGTACCGAAAGATTTTGCGTCATTTTTGCAAGTAGGTGCATGTTTTCAAGTTCAGTTCGGATTGCAGAGTTTTTGTTCGGATTAAAGAGATATCGGCTTCAACTAGCCTCTCTTCGGATTACTGGATGTTCGGATAATCGTGGGTTCGGATTGTAGAGGTTATAGTATACGTAAAAATTGTACATAATATGTATATTTTATTAATAATGATTCTAGTTTTTGTAATGATATAGTATGGGCACTATATGACAAAATAATCGTTTTTGAAAAATATAAAACAATAGCACATGTTGTAGTCTACTTAACACTTTTAACAACCTAAACCATGAAGTATATTTATCCTTAATATTTTTTTTAATACACACTAGCTACGCATTCTTGTGTAAAGTTTATTTACTCAGTTAAATTGAAATAACGTTCAACGAGAAACATGAATAATGAGCTTTTTACGACATGTCATTAAGTCGGTCATTAAGTCAAACTTATCTTAACCACAGTTGTTCTGGTGACATATTTCAAAAGATTCTTCTAAAGCATTTACTGATAATACGTGGTAATTTTGTATTTATCGCAAATATCTAGCAAAATACAAATACAATTTTAATTGTTTTTCGAGTAGTTTGGACTGACGACAATTCATTTCCGACACAAGCGACCACCCTTACCGAACCTCCCTCTACATGTGATACATTCACCAGACCAGCTTTAGTTCCGCACAAAGTACTAGCAAACGTGACCAACACGTACGAACAGAACACAAGTCAGCCTGTGATCAAGAATACACCAAGTGACAAAGAAAACATCCCACCAGTGGAAACCCCAAAGAAACGTTACGAAAACCTTCAGTCTTCGGATATAAGTCCGGACCTTTTCGCCGAGGAGGAAGTGTCGTTGAACGTATCCCACAAACAAAAATCTCCAATGAGGAAAGACACACCAAAGGAGAATTACTGCAGCAAAGACACCAAGTTATTGAGGAATGTTCAGTCTTCGTTAAGCGGAGTCCATCCTCCACCCAGCGTCACCATAATCCAGATCGGGGTGAAGGAAATGCTCGACAGAATCAACGAAAATACGGAGCTGTTTTGGAAAGCTTCAACTGTTACAAGCGACACTGGAAAGTCGCTGCTTATTAACGATAAACCAGAATGTGTTCACCAGGAATGGCCTGCGATTTTAAAAGCGAGACACCATGGATTACAGTAAGGGTTTTTAGTTTTTTAATTATAAAATTGTAACACGCCTTTTAAGCATATTTTTATTATTTTCATTTTTCATACTATGCAAAATTTTGGTCACCGTTTAATTAATAAAATTTACTTATTTTCCTAAGTTAGAATTATCATACTTCTTTTTGGTTTAATGATTATCTCTCTAACAGACCAGGAAGTAAAAACCGACGCGATGGATTTCTTTCAAAACTTTAGTCTTGTAACGAAAACAGAATTTGACGTTGTTAGTTGCGATTTTATAAAGTTTGTTATTTTCAGTCATAACAGAAACAAAGTCTCGGAAGATTTTGAGCACTTGTGCCTTAAATACGCCGAACGTTACATCGGTGCGGAGACTCAGTCCTCTTGCACAGTTTTCGATTCGAATCCTCCCAGTTCCCAGAAACGCAAAATGTCGAAACCCAGATGGAGCGTAAAATCGCCCGGAAGGAGGCTTAGCCATCTTGCGAGAAGAAGGATTACGTTTTCTAGCGCCAATCTGCAAGCGAATAGTAGTTCGGCCATTCTTGGGTCACGTGCTCGACAAATTTTGGTGGACGCAAGGTATTGTGCTCGAAATGTGTGTTTTTTTTTTGTAAGTTTTTGTATTCTTGTAGGAAACTCAGTTCGTTGAGGAAGAGTCCGAAGAAGAGCCCTAGAAAGACACCGTCGAAAAGTCCATTCAAGATTAAAAAGGGTACGCCTAGTAGTTCTGCGAAAAAAAAATTAGCGATGAGGTTTAGGCAGATGTCTGGAGAGTTTGAGAACATCCTGCCGAGTAGTTCTCAACAGTCCGGACGTGGCTTCAAAAGGGCTTTGTTTAGTAGCGAGAAAGAGTCGGGTGAGTTGATCAAATTTTTACGTTATTGTGATGTAACTTTTGAAAATTCTTATATAATTAGTTCAAAAAAGTTATCTCTATTGCGTACTTTGTTGAAATAGCACATAAAAATGTTGTAAAAAATGAGAACAAGAAAAATACTTCAAACAATGTTCTACAATCCCAGTTAAAATTTTTTCGTCTGTTGACACCAAAACTTTATCTTTTCCATTTACTTGTTTTGCTAAGTTAGAATCTTCTCTTTGATTTAATAACGAATATTAAATTAGGCTCTTGCGGACCCTCCATGGAAAAGAAATCCACCAAGAGAGCCCTCTTCGTCTCCCCATTAAAACACTCGCCAAGCAAAAAATCTCCTTTAAAAATCCACTTGGACAGGAAGCGAAAACGCAACGACACAGACACAGACAACCCTTCAAAGTTAGCCAGAAGCATGTCCGTCGACTTACTCTCTACCAAATCCGAGACGAACACATTACTAACTCGGACGTTCAGCGAAACTTTAACCACCACCCGAACCGAAGAATTGAGCGACCAACACAAAAAGAAACTCCAATGGGCCGTGTACGAGTCCTTGCGCTTACAAAGCGTGACTGCCTCACACCCCCAGTATAAAATTTTCGCCTCGGTGCTGGCTCGAGTGACCAGAAAATTCTTACAAAACTTGAAATTCGAAGGCCGAACCACGGAAAAGATGTTCAGGATTGCAAGACAACATTCTTATGCTGTAGTCAAAGGGAAGACGGTGGACGAAATTTTTAACGAATTCATGAAGAACAGGATGAAGATTCAGAAGCCGCAAGGGTATGTAGGGATTGACGAGTTTAACAGGAAAGACGACAAAGAAAACGTGTTGCAAGATAAAGTTAATATAATGGAGAGTATAGAAAAGAGGCGGGAACACGCAGGCTCAAAATCGAGGGTCTTTAGTCAAAATAGGATAGATCGGATAAAAAAAGTTATTTCTTTTGAAGAAAAAGATACGTAGGGTTTGATTTTATGGTGGTCAAGTGCAATAAATGCATGCACGTTTGTTATTTTATTGACAATGATTTTTCGAGGGGGGTGGGGTGTAAAACAGAGCACGTTTAATTCGATTTTAACTGTTCCATAGTAATGGGTTATCAATGCTTTATTGTAATTATTCCAATAAACAACAAAGTATAAAATGTTTATTTTTAACCTTGAGTACCTCTCGTGACTAATCTGGTGGTTCGTCTGACTATATCTGATATTGTAATTTAGGAAAATAGGTGTAAAAGCAAATGAACGCATTGTTTATCGCGTTATCTTATCTGATGATTATAAAATTGAAACAGTTGTTATTACTCAGTTAGTTGTCACCTTCATGATGGGTTCAACAAGTAGCGCTTTTTCCCATTTGACGGAAGATATCCTGGATGAGTATTCTATGCTGACTTACTTAAGCAAAACCGAAATTTTGAAGTAAGTAGTATTTTTTCCTTATTTAAACTTAAACAGTTTTTACATAGCTTGTACAAGACTTTTACCAACTTAGGCAACGAAAATTTACAAAATTTCAACTACCGTTACTCCATCCCACAAATAGAAGAGGCATTTCCGCAATTAAAGGTGAGAACGTGATAAGCAAAATAGTTCGTGTTTATTAAGCGTACATTTTTAGTTTAATCCTTTCAAAGATAGGATATACAAAGTATTTTCGTCACAAAAGGATGACAGACTTTCCTTTGAGGATATTTTAGACTTGTGTTCTGTGATGTCTCAGAAATGTCCTGATAAAGTAAAAGCGGCGTGGGCTTTCAGAGTTTTTGGTATTGTATTATTTTATTGTTTAATTTATAACGACTTCACTATCAAATAACTTGTGTCTGATTCATAGTTACATTTTTTTTGTGTTCGTTTCTTTTTCATAAGTTATTTCTGTTTCCGTCCATGATCATCTTCATCCGTAAATAACTGAAGGTTCTGCACTCTCGACATAATTTTTATCTTTTTCATTGTTTTCTTTGGCCTTCATTGCATTCTTGAGTGTTATCTAAAAAGATTTTTATTTTTGTAATTTTTATCGTGTGTTTTTTAAAATTTGTACTTAAAAGATTCTATCAGATTAAGAACAATCTTGAAAATACTGGAAATTATGAGTAAAGTAACAGTTAAATAAGAAGTTTTGAGAATTTGAGTGCCTTTGCTGTTTATTCAGTGTATGTAATTTTAATATTAACATAAGTAATTTAAAACTGTTGAAAACAATATTTGGATTTTAATCTTTGCACTAAATGGTAATTAATGGGCTTCTTATTCATTTGCTGTCGTTGTAAGGATTAACTTTCAGTATCTTTTCCATCACGAATAATTTTAGATTTCGATGAAGACAGCGCTGTTGGTGAGGAAGACTTAATGAAGGTAATTGACAGACTGACTGACTATCATAAAAGCGGCAACCGTATCGAAGAGAACCACCAAAAGCACATAATACAAGTGGTATGTAAACGCAACATTTATTAACATTAAGAAAAATAAAACTCCTTACAGTTACTTAAAGAAATGGATCTGGAAGCCAACGGCACCATCGGTCAATCAGAATTTGAACATGCCGTCGGGAAAATGTCGGACTTTCCACAGTCGTTCCGTTTTAGATTTTAAGTGCTATACATTCGACTTTTTTTTTGATAAACATAGTTATACATTACTTACGTTAACAATAAAATCATCTTTTATATTGGATATCGCTCGAGGGATCATAACGACCAGTAAGAGCTCGTTCTGGCAGTAACGGACTCTTATAAGACCTTTCCATTGTTAAAGGTAGCACTATCGGATTCTTGTATTTCACGTAGGAATGCGGGCTATGTATGTATGTGCTGTAAATATATAAAAAAGGAAAGTGATTATGGATTGAAATAAAGAGTTTCATACGTGGTGGGATCAGGGGCACACTGATAATTATAATCAGTGGTTTTAAAGTAATCTAGGGGGTGCAACCGCCCCATTTGGTCTTTGTACTGGTCACGGTGAAGCTGACAGGCCTACGAATCCAAAGCACGTAAAATAAATTATTTTTGTGTCGACACTACCATGTAAAAGTCGTCAATTTCTTTCTGCCTGCCTAGATCCAGCATGGTGAATTTTGATGGCGGCATTCGAATGAACTTATCCAAATTGCTGGCTTTGTTCAGGGTCGCAATGTCTGCAGTGGGGCTGTATTCGATATGAATATCGCCCCATGCGTATGGCAGAGACTGAAAATTACAAGAAATTGGTGGATTTGCACTGACGGGAAGGCAGTCATCCTATACTTGCATTCTCGACAAGTGTTCGTTCCTGTAATTTTGGAAATAAGTCATGCTGTCCATTGCTTTGTATGAGGTGTTGACGGGGGGCGATTTTACACCCATGAAACCGGGGGTTATTGCTGGGGGATAGTGGGTGGGTTGCATTTTGGTGGAGTTTGAGATTTCGTGACACTGACAATTTTGAATTTAATTTGTGGCAGTGAATGAAGTCTTGATTTTAATGCAAGAACTGTGAACAGCATGACTTATTAATATAATCTAGAAAAAATCGTGTGATTGTGTGATATTTCTTAATCAATGTAGTTATAAGTACATATAAAGGATTTATGTAAGTAAATACAACTAATTCAGATCTACAGCTATCCAGTCATAATATTAAAAAACTTGTGATAAGAGATTATCTTTTTTTTAATGTAAATTGTAAAACAATAAAAATATTTATTTAGATGACAGCATTGACGGCATTGACAGATAAAATTAGGTTATTTTCACTTTAGTCATGCAAGTGAGGTTAACTATCTGTCAAAAGTTTATTCATAATTTTAGGAGGAGCGAATCATTTTTCAACATTTCTCACAATACAGGTAAATCAGAACTTAAAGTTATGCATTCCCAAAGCCTTTACCAAGCTACCATGTAAAACAGACTTTCAGTAAATTTGTGCAGCTCATTGTTCCTGACTGTGGTATTGCACAAGTGCTTTTCCACCGCCTTTCCTCCCTAATGCTAAAATTGCCAAACAAAGTCCTCACATACTTTCTAATATGGTAATTATGGATCCGTATTATTCCCCTGATCGACTTCAAGAAATATGGCAAACAATCGATCAGCTCCACTTGAGCTACCTCGAGATGGAGGAAAGCCCCGAAAAAATCCACCACAGAATGAGATTGGAAGGTAAAGTTGTGCCATTGGTGATGGGAAAGTACGTTTGAGTGGCAATTTCTAGATTGTATTCGTGAATTTCTGTGCATGGCCTCACATTCACAGAAGTTTTACTTACGAGATACAGGGGAAGTCCTGTATCGTTCGGCTGCCGCAAAAAAGGATTTCAGTGGGTATAAGGCTGCAACTGGGTGGAATGCCATACAATTGTATGCAGGGAATTTGCTGGCACAGCCCTGGAGGAAGGAGTATAGGCAGATTAAGGTATGTACTAATGAGATTTAGTGAATTGAATGTGAGAATTGTTCATGAGGATAATGCGTGATTTGAGAGTAGATGGTATAATGCGCCGCTTTACTTTCTATAGGAATATAATTCTGTGTTATTAATAAACGAATGACTTTTTAATGTTTCATTGGGAAATAAATGTGTTTGTGAAAATTTAATTTGAGATCCAAATCGTGGAAAACATTTTTATCACATTTAGCAAAAAAGCATTCTGAGCATATTTTTATTTTTGGTATTGAATAATTAGAAAACTAGGTTATGCAACCAACTATTCACGCATTTGTCACTTTTTGTATTCTAATTTATAAATAATATCAGATACTTTTGTGTGTGTTTTCATAAACCTTGTGGCAGTGGTGAGATGAAAAACTATATGTAATAAAAATTATATTGGGCTAAATTAAAATGGTTAATTTCTCTTAAATTTAATGCTGCTTTATATTACATAGAAGTAAAGCGGCTTGTCGTAATTCAAAATGAAGACACTCTATCAAGATTAAATAAAATTTTAATCATTTTAAAGCTGTACTGCGGCTTTTACAAGCACCAGATTGAAGCAAACCTCGCCGATGCCGAAATAATGTTTAAAATAATGGGCTACAAGCATTGCGGTAATGGAGTTTTAATGCTGGATGGGCCTATTTGTCCAGATAGAGTAACTAGCGTGTCTAAGGATTGTCTTATCGCTTATGTGGAGTGTCAAGTAAAGCCGTCACCTCATAGATAAGAATCAGAATTTAACAGTAGAATTTTTAGATACTCAAAGCCATTTGGGAAGAGTTAACACCAGCTTTCAAAATCAGTTGGTTAGAAGTATTAGAATTTCGTAAAACGCACATTTGTAGTCCAGAACAGTCCATTAGGGCATTAAATTACCAATTTCACGAGAAACAGTATCAAGCTCAAAATTCAGATATTTACAATAGGTGCCATCAAACAAACCAGTTTGCCCAGATGCCTGGTCATAGTCACTTGGTAGCTCCTCCTGGAATTCAGCCCGTACCCTACGTCTATAACACCACAAATTGCTGCCCTAACAATTACGCCACCTACGCACATGTACCTTACGTTCCCATCCAGTATCAGCAACCCGTCATTAAACCAAACTACACCAATGGATATTACTGCTCTAATGGGTTTTTGGGTCAGCAGCATCCAACATACGGTTACACGTGTCCCACAGGTCAATTAATCGAATTAGATTCCCACCAAAACGGAACCTACGATGTTGTAGATAGACCAACGAATAGCTTGAGAGTAACTAAAAATTCCGTTAATCGCGACGTTAAAAAAACAAACGAACTTAAACTTACTAACGTCAATAAAGAAGAAAAAGAAGAAGCTCATTTCGAGGATTGGGATTACGTCTACAGGAACTTAGAAAGTCAGGGATATTCGAAAGATTTGGGTGAAAGAGGCGACATTTTGAGTTCACCGTTGAACCAAAAGAAATCGAAACCTACAAACTTGGATCAGGCTATCCACAATTTGACAGTCACAGACCGACCGCTAAAAATCGTAGAAGCTTTAGAAAAATACGAAGACGAACCTGATATAGTTAGGAACAAATTCACCGAGCCGAGACGATCTGAGAGTAGTTCGTACGAAAACCTATCAGAAGTGAAGAAGCCAGTAGTCATGAAAGCCGAAAGACGGAAGACTCTTCCGATGAGGGAAAAAAATGTTAATAACAACGCATACGAGAGTAAATCAGATCAAAAAGTGAAAGATAAGTGGGAGTGCAAAGCGTGCACTTATCACAACGAAAACGGTAAAGATATATGTGAGATGTGTAGCAAGAGTCGGGTTAACGTAGAGCAGCAGATGGAAATCGGGGGTCCACAATGTTCTAAATGTACGCTGGTCAATTCCAAGGATACGAAGGTATGCCAAGCTTGCGGTGCTAGTTTGAAGGATTCGCCGACTTACATTTAATTTATCAGGACAGAGTTCGACAATTTCTATCTTATTTATTTCTCTAATTTTACCATGTTTTAATAAACCTTGTCTTTTTATCGCAGATTGTTTTGCTTTCAAATTTTTATGGAGTGTTGATAATGTGACTGTTTTAGTTTTAGAGGAGTATTTTTATACCGTACGAGAGGAACTGTAATTAATTATAACTGTAGTATTTATTCTTGTTATAACTTCCATTCGCTATTCATTTACTTGTTTATCTTATGTTCACTATGTCAAAATACATGATCATGTTGCACGTTCATGTGGTGTATTTTTTCAAAATGATTATTTTTGCCATATTAAAAGCATAAATAAAAAACTTGATGTCAACAGGCTACAAATAACGTATTAAATGTAGTTTATTTGTAGCGTCTTACGAGTATAATGAAAACAAAAAAAAAACCGACCGCCCAACGTAGACACGTGTTTTTCCAGACCGGTCGTGGGCGGGTAAGGACATCGACCATAGAACGGCTTTAGTGGAATTTTTTTGTGTTATAAAATAAGAAAGCTAATAACGGTAGGAGGAGTTAATTGTCTGGAATGGCCTTATTTTTGTTCTTTCGGCCTACTCGTGGTCCTTCGTCCTAGAATTTTCATGTTAGGTACATTTTGGTTGTTTGGATCTTTCTTAATGAAACGCATTTTTTTTAAAGACCTTATAATGAACTGTCACACGACCCTTTTTAGTTTTTTTTCTTGTCTTTTGTGTGTCTAAGATGAAAAAATTGTTGTTACTTAATTAGTTACGAACAAATTAAGACATGTGTTGAAATCAATCAGTTCTACTTTTTTTGTTTTGTTGGTTTATTCACTATGTGATTTTTTTTTCTCATTTTTGTCGGTGAGCAAAAATGTAGAGCGGACGTAGGTCCCTTAGAAACTTTTTTTTTTGTTTATGTTCTCCTTGAAGTCCAAACGCTGTCCTCAGTTATAAATAGCTATGGTAAAAATGTATCATTGTCTTGATTATTCGGTAGGTATATGCATCTGTGAACACATCTCATTCTTTTGTATCACAGTGAACAACAACTCGTTCTCTTTGACGTAATAAGACAACCTTGGCATTCGCTTTGAATTAACCACTTCGCATGCATTTCATGTTTATTATTTTATTTACACATAAGTTTACAAAGTATATTATTTCGTCTCAGGTAGCATAAATGCTTTAACCATTCCCGTATAGACGCTGCAATAAAAATACAAGTCAATCTAGGGCTCAATAAATAAAAATAAACTTGTATTTTTTCTACAACGTTAATATCCAACGTAAAACCACAAACGTCTTAATGTATATATACGGATTACGGAATAAACAAATCCAGGTTACCGCCACATTAAAAAAATATCTTGTCTAAACATATCCGAAAGTAAGGAAAACATCTCCCAGAATGAAACACCCCAACTCGGTCGCATTGTCCACCGATATTTTCATTACTTTCGCAAAACACTATCTTTCTCAAAGACGGAATAAATATCTCACACTTCCGTGGCACTCGTCCCGTTTCCTACCCTGAAACCGATACAAGACCAAAAAATGTCACATTTTTGCCTCAACTGTATCTTATACATACGTTGTGTGCGTCTCCAACGAGGGCGGCCACTTATTCAAAACCGCGTTCCTGCAGTTGTTCAAGCACAGAATCCTGTGCTTGAACAACTGCCCGAACGTGGCCCTAAACATCCTGTTCATGCAGCAGTACAGGATAAAATTGATGGCGCCGTTGATCAGCGCCAAAATGTCCATGATCTCCCCGTAAGACTGATAGCACTCCAGAAACAAGTCCTTCCCTTTGATCCCGATCAAAAGCCCGAAGATGCCCTGAGGGAACTCTGTTATCAGAAAGAGGAACAGCACCGCCACCAGCATCTTGGTGGTGCGATCTGCCCGCCTTTCCGATTTGGAAACTTTCCGTGTCACGTCCTTCTCGATTTCTTTGAGCGGGACGCAGTCGTAGCTGCGCAGATATTTGTTTCGCTTTTTGGCTTTGAAGAGGGTGTGGATGAGCCAGAAGCTGATGACGGTGAGGATGCAGCATGGGAGGAGCTTAATGAAGACGGCGTAGATCCAGAAATTGATCTTGAGCAGGGTCTTGTCCTCCTGGAATATCTTGTTCAAGTCGATGCGGTACAAGGTGACGGTTTCGTTGTTTTCTATGATGGGGTCTTCGGTGATGGTGGTCGTGATGTAGGTGGGAGCGCAGAGGATGGCGGGGAGGATGTAGCTGAGGGCGATGGCGAGAGTGCAGCGCCGCTCTGAACAAAGGATGGTGCTTTTTTGAGGGTACCTGAAAGTTGTTTGAAAACTTGCACTTTTCGTATTCTATGAACTATTAAACAACGAGAAAACACGACAATTAACGATTACCTAAACAATTCTTTAATAATAAATAAAAGACTAAAAAAAAAAACAGTTTTTGACTTGAGTTTCTTTAGGATCTGATTTTTGTCACTATTTTTGTGATCATCATAAGAGTACCGAGTACCTGCTTGTTTACCATAAACCGTGAAATATTGTCCATTTCCGCACTAAAGTCAGTTTTAACGCAAATAGTAAACGTTTCTGCGGGTTATTTATTGAAGTGTCATAATTAAGGTTTGTGGATACAGCGTAAGATAAATTTAACCCGTCAATCATTTCTCCAATAAGAATAACAAATTTTCAAACGCTTTTTTTATTCGGATTGATTTATCGAAGATAGATGAAATTCGTATCATTTATTTTCGAAGGAGTACACCTGCAAACGTTCAAAATAAAACTGTTTGAAGTCTGCCGGCGCCGAAAGAAAGACTGCTTATTTGAATGGAGTAGAGATAAAAAATTATTTTGTAATTTCATTTTGTAGTGTTCACCTATAGTGAAGTTTTAGCGGGGTGACTAGTTTTGCCACGGAATAAATTTAAAAATATACAAAATGAATATTTTTTCGTTCTATATAGAGTTGTTCATTACAAGTGAGACAGTTTTTGAGAAATTTTGTTATATGAATTACATATTTGATGTAAGTTTTGAATGTTGTTAAATATACAAATTAACACCGTTTTCTGAGAAAAGAAATGTACAACAGAGGTGAGTATTAGTCTTTTGTATTTAATATTTCTAAAACGTATATATTAGATTAGTTAACACATAACAGTAAATTTCTGAAAGTTTTTGATGACTACATTGTCTCGTATATTTAGCACTATAAGACTAATCACGACAAACTTACAAAAAAATGTAAGAAGCTGATTTTTTTTTAGTTTTTATGATGCGCATTTGTCACATAACGTACGTTTATGTAAAAATTCTCAACTACTCGTACTGTACATATGAAAACTGTACTGCAAAATGCAGCGCTAATTGAAAAAAAGCAAGTAGAGTTATTTATGGGCCGTTTGTTATTGAAATTCGAAAATGAAAAAATATTTAGGTAAAAGATACTTTAAAAAATAAACACGTCCGAATGAAAAAGCATTCTCGCTTTTTATTTAAAACCTCAGTACTGACGTTCTGTAAGATAGGACAGACTTGATTACACTGTTTTCAGATTTAATTATTGGTGAAAATACGGTTGCAGGACTAATTTGAGTAAAAGTTAGAACGCAGAATGTAAATTAGACACGTAAATATATTCTATTAATTAAATTGCTCAAGTCTGTTACAGATTTTATGGATGTGTATGAATTAAACTAATTAGTTCTTTGTGGAGGGTTTTCTTCATATTCAAATGTAGCCTCTGTGTGCTCTTTAGTAAAGTTCATTCCAACAAATATGCATATGGGTCACCCATTCCAGCCGAGAAAACATACTCATGTATATTTCAATTAATCAAGGTAAAATAAAAAACTTCCTGAATCATCGAACACATTAAAAACACGATCAAAAACAACCATGGATTTTTAATATTTTTTTCGTGTCAAATTATTGTCAATTTGCAAGTTAGACTTGAAAATGCAAACTTTCAAAAATCCATGGCTGTCTTTGATCATGTTTTTATTGGTCTCTCGGTATATTTTTGGAGATTGACCCTTATTAAATTGTATCATTACTGTGCTAAACCTTTAATGTTTTATTATTACCTATGTTTCTACGTTTTATAGACTTTTATATTTAATTTATTCTACAATTAAGATTTATTAATTCAAGATCAAAACATAGTTACTTCTTCTTACTTAAACATCTGACAATTTTTTCATATCAAAAAATACTACTTGTTGTAGAATAATTTATAGCTCATTTAAAAAAAGAAAAATGATAGTTTAGGCGAAAGACATAGTAAACACACTGGTAAATCAAAATTTTTCAACAAAGCATTACTTTGCGTTCAACTTACGCAAAAAAATATATCCATATGAAATTAAAAAAGCAAAAAATTAGTAGCTAAGAAACAAAAATCTGAGAGATCTACCTTTACACCAGAGTATAACAATGAAAAAAGTGTCAAAATGCGTACCCGATGGCCAAGTATCTCCAGATAGCCAACGTAAGAGTGAGACAGATGGATGTTGTATGCAGAAAATTCGTAATATCAACATGAAATAGCATATACACAGCTTCTGGGTAGGTAAAATCTTTGTACTTCCTGACGACCATATAGTAATAATATGCGTACGGAATATATTCTATCATGAGAACCATATCGGCTATCGCAAGGGCTGTTAATATTCGGTTAATCGGGAAACAGACCATGTCTTTCCTGGTCAGCACGGCAATGTTCAGTAAATTGGCAACCGTGCCAAATACACAGACCATAATCGCTAAATAAGGGTGATAGTCGTTGCCGTATTTCAAGGCGGCATTTCGTAAACTACCACCACAGTCCACATTTTTGTCTTGGGGTACGTTCCCGTCCATGCTTGCCAGGAATTGTCAAAAAAATTCCAGTTGGTTGCTGGTTAGATTGTGCGAATTGTTGCCGAAGAACTCATTTAAGGAGATGATGAGCTGTTGGAGTTTCGGATCGCTGGCCGTCAACATCGCAGATCTGTAGTGGCGAGTTTAAGGAATGAGCCGCGAGAGGGAGGTAAGCATGGTGATTGTGTACGATGCCTGCAAAAAAGAAAACATGATTTTATATATTTAAAAATATCAAACGGATGTGGCCACATGAAATAAATAGATTAAAAGCGAATAGCTCCATTCGAGTAAACATTTAATACGGAATTAAAAAATGTACGTTCAGTGATTATACTTTCGTCTTAGCATGAAAGACTTAATTACATTATTTTAACAGAAATTTACATTTTCACTACGTAATTTGGAATTAATTTGTACGGCCAAAGCGTCTGCGTTCTCCAAGTGTCTTATGATTACAGCAGCTTAATTAATGAATTTAATGCCTCAATGTGAAGGACCATTTAAAACGTGAAAATCTTCAGGTGTTTATTTCGAAAGACGCCCGTCTTATAAATAAAACATCGCATAATCCGTAAATTTACCACGACTTTGAGCGGTGTCCGCATTTATGCATTTCTCGATTGTTTATTCAAACTTTTATTTCGAGGATAATTTTGCTAATATTCCACAAAGCAAACAAACGCTGATAAATTTAGTTTTTATTGATATAAATAATTTTGTAATAATTTGGTGTTCCACGGCTTTTTAGGTTCCCACGCCTTATACCACTGTCTTCACAACAAAGATAAAGCAAAGATTTTATTACTCTAATCGCAAACAGAACACTCCCGAAAGGATTCATTAACAATCGAATTTATGAGCCGGACTCAACTTTGATCTGGATCTCACACGCATGGGTCTATCACCGGAATAAATATTTATAAATGGTCCGAAAATAACTAACATTTATATATAGAAACAGAGAGTGATAACTGGGGTTGTGGCATATAAGACGTCAGAAACGCAATTTAATTAGAATTTTAGAACTGAGAGTGAGAGAGTATATTAATGGTGCCTATCTAGAACTATACTGCAGAAATTTTAAGATTTTTACAAGTTTTTGTTTTTTTTTGGGGGGGAGGTGTAGATCTTTCTGTCACATTTTCATAAATAAACACCACAAAATTATGGTGCGCTGGAACATTTAGTTCACAATTTAGATCGTTTCAGCGTAAAAAGATGTACTAACAACTTCCTGGTCTAAGTGAATAATTTAGTTTATCTCTGTTTTAACAAAAATATTTCTTTTGGTACCAAACTCAGTGTTAACTTATTTTTTTCTTAGATTTAAATTTAAACAAAAAAGTAAAATATTTACAACTGTGACTCTCTTGTATAGCAAAATTGCTGCAGATGATAGACGACAAACAGAGACAGGAAATCGCTGAAAAAACTATCTGAAAACAAAATGATTACAAGAAAAAATATATTTAAGAAAAATCTAAAAACAGAAACGTTAACCAGCAAAATTTGATTTAATAGAACTCAGAATTAATTTTAGTTTAACCATAAAGATTCGCTTATAGAAAATGTTATCCTAAATATTATTACGTAATGTTTTTGAGTATAAAACACAAAACCATTAATTTGCCGGAAAGTGTACGAAACTGTAAAAATATTGCCGACGGTTTAGGTATGCGTATGAAAACACTAAGCGAATTTCGTGTTCACAGCTTTCACTTTTAGTTGTTAAAAAAACGTATGAAGATTTACGCCAAATATTTTTACTTGTTACTGAAAGCGTATATCTGTAAGCACCTCAAATCTTTTAATTTTGAGATAATTCGAATTACTAAGCTGAAATTAAACTAACCTATCCATCAGATTATAACTTGTCTGCCCACAAAATTACAAGCATTCCGAACACAACACGAAACTCTTTGAACATTGACCAGGACTACGTAGGTAATTACACTTTAAACACTATTGTTCACAACAATTAACATCATCAGCCTAATGTACCACAGTAGTAAAACAATCAACTTTAATTAAATTCAGTAGCATATTAGATCCACAAGGATTTTACCATTGATCCGGGAACCCAGTGCCTTGTGGAGTGGTCATTTGCTCAAATAATCTCATTTAAGTTAATCCTGGAGCAAATTTGGACAGAATGGGCTTAAATCCTTTATAGCTCCTGCGTACGGATCTTTTATTTTATGAAGCTGCTATTTTTCTGAAAATGTGCAAACTTTGATCGACGTCGCTTTAAACAGTCAATTTCAAGTCGACGAACGCCTGTTGTTCTGTATTTTGCATACTTATATAACTTCGAGATACCGTTTTTATGTAGTATAAGTTTGCTGCCATTCAGTGGGATAACTAATAAGCGTTGAGCTCCCTGAAAGATGTATCTTAATTTTTGAGGAAGCGATACATTTTATCATGAAACTAGTCTGTAAATGCATCTATGAACTTGTTTAACTCACTATCTGATTTATGTTCAAATTGTTTTAAATAAGTTCTTGATTTTTGTTCGGAAATTGTTGAAGTGTAGGTACTAATAAACTTGTTGATAAAACTAGCTTCCACCGCATACTGTCATCTCAACCAATGGAAAACGAAATCTAACACGATTTTAACATTCGCTTCACATTGCTTGTAAAATTTCACCAAAATCCCGGTTACCTCGGCCCATTAGCGTTCGATTCAAGGCAATTACTAAAAACATCAATCGAATAAATCTGTACTAAAACGACTTTAATAAATCTCTTCAAGGTACACGTGGGTGTTTAATAGTGACTTCGTTACGTGTGGACCGCGGTCAATCCTTATTGCTTCTTTGACGAAAAATCTCATCAGCCAAGAGTGGAACGATTTTATTCTGTACCTCACAAAGCGCCTTTTTTACGTCTTTGTAGATTTATCTTCGTGTTATAATTTGGTTTAAATCTCTCCATTAAGCCCAGTTCAATTTAGATCCGATGCAATTCGACTTCCTTCTTGTCACTACATTCTTACCAATTCCGTTCAGCCAGACTCACCGTCGGAATACAAAGTAATCAAGAAACGTGTTTGTTTATTTTCCCTTCCCGAAAAGAATTCTTTCGCGAAGGGAGGTGTAAGCAAGCTTGTTGAAAAATAACGCTTGGCTGACGATCGTGTAAAAATTGTTAGTACATGCGGGTGTTAGGAGATATCGCATAATTACGGGGAAAACGTTCTGCTATTTTCAGCACGCTGATGTTGTATTGATAAATGGTAACTAGAGGGTTATCTCGAGTGTTACAAGCGGATACAATGTGTGTAATACTCCAATTAAATTTCAGTGCGTAATAATAAATCTGTGTTTTACGGGCAAGTGTGCTGCAGGTCGGGTATTAAAGGAATAATTCTGAATAAAAAAGTCGAACAGGTTACACAAAAGCACAAGCAAAATTTGAATATTGTACCTATGAATAATAATTGGGTGAGTTGAGACCGATAAAAAATTTTTATTCAATAATGTGTTCTGCGAGCTTTTATGACGAACACATTTTTGCAATTTTTGAGCTGAGCTAGCCGTCGCGTTGACGTGTTATTAGTATTTTCCGCCTCGGAGTAACGTAATCAAAATTCAGTCTGATTAATTATGCATTTTTTTACACAAGAGAAACCTTAATCCAACGAGAATGACATGTCCTTATCGCTTATTGGATATGTGCTCTTCTACGAAAAGCCAATGAAGTAAATGTCAGATGCGAATAATGCCTTATTGATTCTATAAATGTGTAATAGCAGGGTGTCATTTTACATGAAGGGAGAGTTAATTGCGGATAAATTGAAGTATTGAATTTCTGACGAAAAAATGTTTAAGCAGAAAATTAAATTCGAAGATTTAGTATTTACTACTTGGTTCGTTTTTAGTTTAGAAAAATCGCGAAAGTGAGATGTATTTTTCAGTAATCATTACCTACTCAAGGAAGTGTTTCTTGAATAAGAATTTTTCTATGGTAACTTATATACAGAATATTTTATAAGGAATTATAGTGTACAGTATTGTGCAATAAAAATGCGTAAAAATTCTGTAGCCGGTTTCAATATTATTTTATTAATGACTTTTTATTGCTTAGCAACACATTTATTAATTTGTTCATAAAAGTGAGGATTATTACAAATAGATAAAAACATAATTATCCGATCGCTGCGGTAAACATATGTCTGATTTAACTGATTTGAAAACAGGTGTGTGGAACTTTACGGCACTCAACTATATTTTACTCGATTCTTGTGTAAATATAATTTAACATGTTCTTATGACCAACAGTAAAAATTTGAATTTTTTTTTAATGTATTATTTTTTTGGATACTTATTTCTTAAAATTATGCCTTGTGATAGTATATTGTAGATTTAAAGGTTAACATGTTTTTTTTTCTTAAGGATAGAGTTTGTATTCGAGCCAAAAGTGTGCTTTTAATCACATAATAACACATTGACTTGTGCATATCCTACAAGCATGAATTTAATTTAAGGCGGCGTTGAAGGAATCGGAAGTCCATATAATAATAATAGAAGTGTAGTTTCATATTCAGTTGATTTATTAATGGCACATTTCTGAAAGTTAAAACTGTTTTATTGGTAATAATTTGTGCCATTTCCATCCATTGGTGGCATATTGTTAGCTATAAAAACGTGAATTTTTAAAGAGATGACTGTTAGTAATTACGCGGCAGAACTTTTTCATTTTATAACAAATTTTAAAATAATTATAGAACGCATACTGAAAATGTTTCCATTAAAATTGGAATATGGAAATTTCCAGACGTTTTATTACTTTTTGCAGCAACTAATTTCTCTAGGCCGAACATCAATCACGTGTATGGTTTTATAGAGAATAAAGATTATTTTTGTTTTTTTACTGTCCACGAAGTGATTAATATCACGCTTATATTCGAAAAACATAACGACTCATATGTAAAATTTCAACTCTAACTTTAATTGCTATTTTGGACGGACCGCTTGATTTGACATTATTGTATTTTACTGAATTGAAGAAAACTAATAAATCGAGTTTGTTCTTTCCTTTTTTCAAGAATTGAAATTGTAGATGTTTTTGTTAAAGAATCAGATATTGTATTGTTTACATGTCGTCACGAAACGTCCTCAACCTCACTTTCCAGATGTCGTCAACCCTAAACGACAATCAGGTCTTTAAGAGAAAGTAATAATCAAGAAAAATTTGGCCAAACTCCAACAGTTTGTCGTCATTGACAGCGAACAAAAATGAACAGAAAACGAATTCTTGAATCACGAACAAAACATCGATTTACATAATAGTCAAGATGGTAAATTCAACGACGAAGGCGATTTGAGCAAAGACCAAGAAAACTACACCAACAAACAGATGACTCTCAGCCTCAGCATCGAATTACAAGAATTGACAAAGAAACTAGCCATCAAGGAACATCTAGCAAGGCTAATTACAACCAATACTCAACATTTGGTAGATTATAAAGCGATGGCAGAAAACGAAGATAAAATATTAACGCTGGAAAAAGAGAAGAACGAGTTGCTTCAGCAGCTGAAGAACGCTCAAGGGTCGTCAACGAAGGTTTCGAAACAGAGAAGGAAAAGAGTACAGGATCTTGAAAGTCAGATTCAAGATTTGAATAAAAAAGTTCAAGAACAAGCGCCCAAAGAGAAAGACGTCACTAAGATAAATCAGTTGAAGAACGAGATCCTACAGATGAAACAAACTCGCGTTAAACTAATACGAAAAATGCGAGAAGAGTCGGAGAGATTCAGAACATGGAAGATGCAAAGAGAACGAGAATTAGCGAAGCTGAAGCAACAGGACAGGAACGATGGTCGATGCTAAATTCGCCTTGAAGAGTTTGTTGAAGCAGCAACAAAGATAATGACCAATTTCGCAAAATTTTGCAAAAAAAAAATTATAACACTATGACCAATCTAAACCAGCATCGAAAAAAAAAAGAAAATTCTGTGATTTTTCGAAAATTCTTCACCTACTTACACCAAATATGTACAAATACGAAACAATTATTTGCTAAGAACTGATTCCAGCGTGTTTGAAAAGAATGCTTCTGTTTCAGTAAATGTAGCACTGTATCGGCTTGAAGACTGTTGTAACATGAAAGTCAAATGATTGGAAAGACTTCAAAAAAATGAGTTAAGTTTTTGTCATAAAGACAAAAGTCTCAAATGTTCCTTCAGCACTAGGTAATAATAATCTGAAGTACACAAATTGAGCGGTTTTGGACACTGTGCAAGGAAGAGTACAAAAAGAAACAAGTCCACCAAAAATATAAGTAAATTTAAAAGGATATCTAATAAAATTATCAAAGATCTTACTAAAAATTCAGGAAAACAAACATATTATGGAGAGTGTTTGGAAAAAACTTCCGGCTACAGCTTACCTGCCGGTCAGGTGATGACTTTAAATGTGATTAGTTTTTAAAGGTGACTTAGTACTTTATAACAGTTAATATAACACCACTGTTACAGCTCGTTAAATATTTCATTAAAAAATTGGTCGAAAGATATTTCGACAGAGGTTCCCTCGTCCTTGAAGAATAATCCGACAGCACTTTAAAAAAAATATAAAGTAGGATTTTAAGATTTTCGTTTTGAAATAACACCCCCGCAGCTCCTGCAACGTACGGACAATGTAAAATATCTTTCAGCACTAGGTAATATCAATCTGAAGCTCAAGGGTTTATTTATATTTATACATCGAAAGAATGTCACGTAGAAATTAGTTTGATTTGGATGAGTTATCTTCTCAAAACAGAGGATTAAATTTATTAATTAAGCCACAGTCGAACAAAATGTTCTGAATATTATAATTCTTATTTTATAATTATTAAATAAAGACGTGCGATGGACTCGATTGCTATACTACCTTAGCTTACGCTCGAGAAGTAAAAATAAAATATTCAAATGTACGGAAATTAACCGGATATCCCTTATAATGGTCTTTTAACGGTTTTTAAAGTGTGTATTTTTTCATTTATATATATCACTACAGAGAAAAAATTATTATGTTCTCAGGATTTCAAACACAAATAAGCGAATCGCGTCTGATCAAGTCAATAGGATCTTGGTACATTATTTATGCAAGACGTCCTGCATTAGTTAAAAAAAAATAGCTTCCGCTGGGGAAGTAAACAAGGAGATTACTGAATCAGAGGAAATATTACATCTTAGAGAGTAATTTTTATAAAAACCATATGAAATTTGAGAGTGATTGCAGTATAACATTAAAACCTAACATTAGTAGTTTTCCAGAATTTTAGGAAAATCACAAACCGTTTCTGAAACAAGCGAAATTAGTAGCTAATTTTAAATTCAATTTTTATAAAAAAGATACAATAAAAGTAAGTAAAACGTCATTAACTGTACTAATAACTAACATAAAAAAGCCTGGATTTCCGGCCAAAGTTTCGCGGTTTAAATTGTTATTAAATTTTCAATCTAAAGGAGATTATATACAACTTTAAACCTACAAAAGTGTCAAAAATTTTTGTTTTAGCAATTTAAAAATTACCAAGATCAGTTGTTTATTAGTAACTGCTGTTGAATTCTGTGCAGTTATTGTTTTTTGAGGTTGCGAAAGTTATCAACTTCCGGATTTATGTGGGTATATATTTCATTAACTGTGTACAAAAATTTTGATGAAAGATTACAATTTACGAAGGTTACTCACGAAAAAAGAAATTCTTGCAAACAATGCAAAATCCATTTAATACCGGAAATGATGAACGTCGCTTATATTTTTCATCCAATATGGTTTTGTTTGTGGCTAAACTAAACACAAATTTAACCCACAGGTATTGTTACTGACACAGTATTTACAGCGCTCACAATATCGACTAGCTATCATTCATCAATCACTTTGATTATGAAAATATTAGGTAACTATTAGCACCCTACGGTTGTTTACTGTACTAAACACGAGCATTATATTTTGTTGACTCTGTCTGCATTAGTTATAATAATAAAAAACTATATCAACTTTTAATATCACATAAATAAATAATAAAATTAACGTCAATCTCTCACCGTTTCTATTTTAATAATAATACATAAATGTGATTATCTCAGATCTTCACTCACCTCAAGCCTCCGCCATTCCCTTTTCATAAACAAGTAATTACGCGAGTTATAGCAGCGCAATCAACAGGTATTTACAGACTTATGAAAGCTCCGGTGCTTAAAGTGCGAATTCTGTGAAAATACTAACAAAACGGCGTCGCGACGGTTATTTTAAATGCGACTGACGCGCATGTGCTGGATTTTTCTGATTTATTATTATGTGTATACTGATAATCCGAATAATTAACAAGGGTAGTTAAAATAAGTACGTTTGCAGGACTGTTCAAGTTACGCTTCAATGCTTCAAATACAATTTTTACGAGTTCTTCGAGAAAAACGGGAAAAACTTTTAATGCAATCCTGCCCCACTTGTTCTTTGTAAACTTTGCTCAGTAAAGTTAGTTTATAATTTTATTTCAACAAAGCACAAAAATCGATACAGGCTACAGGCAGCATTAAACATGTATCCCTACTTTAATTTAATTTTTTGCATTGTATTAGTAAGAGTTTTTTCTCATTTATTCTGCAGGAAATAACTCCCTTATTAATTGAGATACTTTGGCAAGCGGTAAAAGCTAAATTTACTGAAAAAAAAAATAATTCCAGGGAAAGAATTTGATCTGAACTTAGGTTGTTTTTGGATTATGGAATGCGAAAAACAAAAAAGAACTTCCGACAAATTTAATTCGCAAAGTATAAATACTTAAAATCGTATTACATTTAAATCAATAATGGTAGAACGCGATGCCCCGTCTGCCTTTTTCGCTATGGTAATCACCGTAAACAACCGCTCGACGTTATTTAATTCAGTTAACTTCGTGACTATGGCAATTTCGCAAACGACTCAAATCTGTGTTCTTCTGGAAAATGTTTCGTCAGTGCGGCATCCCAACGACCACGAAGCCAAACGCAACACGGTAAGTCCTGCATTTATTCTAAAACCATAATTCGGAGAGATGTTTCGCGTATTCCTGTGACAATACTCGATAATCTTTCTGATTATCCTCCCATAAATATGGGCCCGTGCAATAAAATTCGCATTATTGGCATTCCGATAACGCCTATATGAAAGTTGTAAATAAAGTTTAATAATCCCCTTTCTAATTTTGAATTATTTGTAGAGTGCGCGCAAAATTGCGCCTTTAATATGAATTGTAAAAGTTGGATTAATTGTTGCAGAGGACACGGAATTAAGCGGCAGCGTGTAGAGGTGAAGCGAAACGTAGAGCGAATTGTCGCAAAGGAAAATACCCAAAAACTTCCCCCATGTGATTTGTTAACTCGGAAATTCGCCCTGGATGAGGCATAATCAAGTATGAAATTGTGTCGTTCGTTAGCTCGCGAATTACAAAAGATTTATCTGTTCGTGTCAGAAAGGAAAAAGTTTGTCGACGAAGGTTTACACAGAAATTTAGGTTTTTACGACGAGGTTTATGATTGATCGGGTTTTATTTTTGAAACTTGAAACTATGTTTATTGATTGCTTGATGAAGGTTTCATCTGCCTTCAAAGCAGCGGGGGCTTAAAAGGTCCATTAAGGCTTTTATTTTGTGTAGGAATAACGTAAAGAAAGATGGTTCCAAGAAGTCTTGAAGACGTCGAATAATTTTCATTGCAAGGAACTAAAAACGGCCGGAAGTACTTTTATAAACGATATTTGAGAGTACTAAACAGAAAACCAATAGCATCAAAAGAAATATGATCATGGTTTTTGGCAGGATGGGCAGATCTTATATTACATGTTTTAACCCCGAAACTAAACTGCTGGTTGAAGTTTTGTGTCGTAAAGTTATAGTACACGTGTCTTTCTCGGGAAATGTCGTAAAACGTGGTTTCTGAGGCCATAAAGAAATTATCTTTATCTCTCATTTTTGGAAAGGGCCAAAAATTGAATAAAGACACAGAAATCCAAAATAAATAAATAAGGATATGAGTTGCCTATAGTGTAAAATTTAAATTCTAGTAATAAAAATGTAGCATGTTCGAAAAATTTATACCTATCAAGTGACACAGCACAGGTGTTTATAAATTATTTAGCACCTGCACAATTTTAAAACATCTCCCCAGAATTGAGTGAATTTAAGGATTAATTTAAGGAATGTAATCCCGCAAACACCTGGAACACCTACACAAGTTACAATTTTAACCGATTTGGAACAAGCATCGAGAGATGATGTCCACTAAAGATTTACGTGTTGTTCTCGTTTAAATGCTCCAACTCATGTAAAGAGCTAATTTCCACAATGTTGGTATTCTTCCAGAGAGCTTTAATTAAAAGCTGATAAAATTCAGCACGCTCATTGAAAGACATTTCTGATATACCTAAATGAAACAAAATGGCTCCTAATTAAAAGAAATTCTAAAGCGAACTAACGTGCGTATTCTACGCAAAGGGATGTTTTAATATGCTTGTTAAGTTTTAATCAGCAAAAAATAATTCCATGAAATATCTTTATCCCTGCAAAATGAACGTTTCAGTGGAAATAACTGATATTATTTCGAGCTATAATTTAGACCTAAATGAAGGCGTAATTTTCTAAAAAAAACACAAATACAATAACTGAATGCGAATCAATGTTAGGCCTGAACACATCTGAATATTTGAATAACAAGATACAAAAAAGTGTGTATTTTTTACCACAATATCTGCTTCGTTCTTCAAGGATTTGCGTGGTTTGGCCAAGTCTAGACATTTTAAATGTTTAGCATAGAAAGGAACCGTTTCAAACAAGGAATTTTAAGTATCTGCGTGTCGTTGTAAAAATGAAACGGGCACATACTTTGACAATTTTAAATAAATGAAAACAGAATTTTAGTTGTTGATTTTACAATAAAATTGATGAAATTAAATGTTGCTAGTCCGCATTGTGTAAAATATGTAATCAGAATCCTTTAACTACAAAAAATATTTTTGTTGGCATATTTTATTACAACGGTTTTAATTATTTCACTGTTAAAAATAAATCCAGAATACTGTTCATTACGTTCGGGGAACATATCGCACTGTGAGAGCAATACTCACGTAACTCAAAACCAATGTGTTTTGAGTAATGGTGATTTAAAATTCTCAAGTTCGTATATATTATTTGTATCTTAAATACCAAAGGTTTCGAAATACATTATAGTCGTATTGTCAATCTATTATTAATCGTGTTTTTATTCCTTTAGAGTAGAACCTTCTACTCGTTATAGAAAACAAGAAATTTTGACTTACGTGACTATTGCACTGCTACACCATATCAAATATTTTGGCTTGCGTGTTAATAAATTTAAGACAAGAGCAAACTAGCAACACATTGTAATGAAAAAAATATAACAAAACACAAAACGATCACAGTATTAATTCATTTAACATCTACACTGACGGGCAAAAAAAACCGGCCACCCTGAAAAATTTCGCAAAACCACTTTAAAACTTAATTTAACTAGTGATCGTTATTTTATTAAAGAATCATTCACTATTGACACATGTTGTACAAATTAGCACAAAAAAGAAGACAATTAAACGCAGAATTAAATTTAATTTAACGAAATAACAGAAATAGATCAAGTACGATATTTTCTTAAAAAAAAAAACAATAAAGGAGGCTGTTGTTGTAAATAGTGTTTTTCATCATTTGATTATAAGTTTGGCAATTAATAAACGTTTTCACGCGAAAATAATTCCGTAAACTCTTACAGACGTCTTTCAAAGTGTCGCTCTGTTTCTGTTATTTTGTTAAATTAAATTTAATTCTGCGTTTAATTGGCTTCTTTTTTTTGCTGATTTATACCTTATATGTCAATAGTGAATGATTCTTTAATAAAATAACGATCACTAGTTAAATTAATAATTTTTAAAGCTTCGTTTTGCGAAATTTTTCAGGGTGGCCGTTTTTTTTTGCCGGTCAGTGTACTGTGGCTAAATTGTTATAAAATGTGTTATAATTGTATTTAATTCGTTTTTTATACATAATTGGTATTTTTTTACGTATTGCTAAAAGACCTTCATAAATATTGTTTAATCATTTTCATTTAAGTCTGATGCCGCCGTTGTCGTGATGTTCGGGAATTGATTGACTATTATTTCCTGATATACTTCCTTTATATACGAAGTTAGAAAATTCCATCGGAATTTTTGACAAATTTTAATTTTTTTATTTCGCTCTAATTAACTTTCCTAGCTTTCCTATTCAAAGAAAAATTGATTTCCATGTTTTCGGTCAATTCTTAACTATGTCAGAAGACATTGTGCATTTGTTGTGTTCAATTTGTACCTAAATTAGTAGGAGTATCAGATTATCAACATCGACTGAAATCTCATAGCTTCATAGCTTACGTGCATTTCACTTTAGTTTTGAGATACGGCAGTCTTGAATTAAGTGCACGCGTAGTGTTCGGAAATGCAATACTAACATTTTGATGAATTTGAGCATTACGCAACTATTAAAAACCATTTATACTTACATATACTAAAACTACATTAACTTTTTTATGCATTAATGATAAATTTAAGAATTCGGCAAATTTTGACTTACGTGAGTATTGCTCTCACAGTGCGATATATTGTGTTCGGCGGATTTCAACGAAAAACAATAATAATGGTGTTCATAAAATTTCAAAGAAATGAAACGAATTGTTTCCGATAAATAGAATATCAATTAGACAGATCGGTCCTGGCATTTTTTCTTTGTAATTGTAATTTCGACATTCTTCCAGTCGAAATCTGAATAACGAGCAATAAATTCGATTAAACAAGGAGAACTCGTGGCCTTAAAAAACAAAATTTATTAAGCGCAATAAATACAGACGTCCGACGATTACTTCCCACCATAAATTATGATTTATTTATTTTTACACATGTATCCCTAATATAGATACCTAGATAACATTTGTTTCGCAAATTAACGATAAGAATGACGTGATAAATATGAGCACAATATTTAACAGTGACGTCGTTGCTTGATTAATTTACCACGTTAAATACATCGGAGACAAAGAAAATGCAAATTTACCGTAAAAATTCCAAAAAGAAATAAAAGCGAAAATTTGCCGGCACATGCGCTTCGAATTCGTTAAAACATCGCTGCACAACTCTAATTTATTAGTATGTCAATAGCTTTTGACGTGAGAACTGTGTTTCCAAGAAAAGAACAAATACCTGTTGAATTTCGTGTCGCCGAAACAAAGTTTTTATCACTTGCCACGCACTGCACCAACAGTAGCTGAGTTCGAAGATGTAACGCTTCCATGAAGGTAATAACAATCTGATGTTTGCTTTTTGATTAACGATTATTGCTTTACGATTGTAATGGGAAGTTTATTAGGTGGAACATTTATTTGCATGAGGAATATAAGAGGCGGTTGTGACGCATTGTGGAGGTAGATTAAGCGCTTAACGAAAAATAATAGCCGCAGTTAGGTTTTGTTGGTTGTCCCGGCGCATCCACCAAATTTATGTTTATTATTTTTTGAAGAAATAGTGGTTTAAGTGGTTTCATTTTGACGCTATAGTGTTCATGATGATTATCGGGATGTTTTATTTTTATCTTTATTATATTTTACCAATAGATACTTTTATTAAAAATGTAGTCTATACGGTTTCACCTAACATTTATCAAATTTGTACATATCTTATGTTCATTTTTTTTCATCTTAATTTTTGTGTCATTGCTTTCTACTTGAATCATTTTCAACTTTGTTTTTATTTTGTTAAAAAAAATGTTGCGCAAAAATGTAAAATATGTGCTATTTAGAGTTGTGTTCACTTGCACTTCAATTAATATGAGCAATTAGCTAAACCAAAGTAGCAGCTATTTTTTACTAAAATATCGTTTATTTTCCGAATTTACGCTAGGGTTTATCTGATTAAGGGCTAAATAATAGGTCTCTCGTTTCCATCTGGCTGTCTGTTCATCTGATCATCCCCATCAGTAATTTCAAATCATCATCTCAAAGTATTGTACTTATAATAAAATGCTATTTAAATTTTACAAAATATAAGCATTATTTTTTTATATTATGTAAACAATTCTGAAGAATAAAATAATAAATAAAAATTGTGATTCGCTTGATATACGTTTGGGAGATCCATGCTTAGCTATATTGTAAATTTAAATGTTTATTTTAGACATTGAAACGAAGAAGCTCTTACAGTTTCGATATTTTTTCATTCGAAATCTGAATTATAAGCAAAACATTCGAATAAACGAAAACTCTTGGCCTTAAAAAAACAAAATTTATTGAGCGCAATAAACACAGATGTCCGACGATTACTTCCCACCACAAATTATGATTTATTTATTTTTACATTGTGGTTTATGTATTCGCCTTGAATTTTTAACTTGCCCATCCAGATTTTTGGAAAAAATCAAAATTATATAACACTTTATAACTTAAGTTAGAAACTACAAAACCGAGTGCTCTGAAATTTTGCAAAAATTTTAGGGTTATCATAAGCACGATAAATCGTTAATCAAAATGTATTAATTATATTATTTTATTTATCCCCTCGAAAGATTTGATGATGTCATGTCAACATTTTACTGGATAAATGTAAACAATATTTATGAGTCTGCACTTGTGGTTTATTTATATTTTTTACAATTGCTTAAACAGGCTGAAATTAATGAATGAAACACTTAATTGTCAAATCAAGCAGGGCTCACCCCTTTTTTTTGAGAATACAATATTGTTATCATTAGTATCACACTGCACATCACTTACTTGAAACCCAGGTACGTATAGCACACTTTTTCACATGTCTTTATTTTAACATATAAAAGTTATCAGCATTTTTTTACTACTCGTAAATATTGCGCAGATTTTATTTTTATTGTTTATTGTATAAAAAACTATGTTAATCGAAATCAACATATTCATATACTCCAAAAAATTGGTGACGTCATCTCTTTAAGTGTAGGATTTTTTTTTAATATTTTTTCTAATTATATCAGGCCAATTTTTCCTAACTTGTAAACCGTAAATTTTGGTTACACAACGATCGTATTTTCCATTAATCGGTCTACTAATTCGGATATATTTAATAGAATCACGAACGGACAGACTGTCGGAAGATGGACAGATTAACGGAAATAAAAGAACTACACCTTAGTATGAGTAGCGAAACGTCGAGAAAACATAAAATTAGATATTCATCAAAATGACTAATGCAGCATTTCCTTAGCTCATGATTGGGAAGAAAAAATTGGCAATTATCAGTAAAAAATATACTCGATGTGTTCGTTGTTAACGCTTTTTACACTTTACACAATAACAGCTCGCTAAATACCCTGTTTCTTTATTCAGCACATGCTTTCTTACCTAAAAATTTTCCCCATCAATTTAAAGGAATTAAGAACTTGTTTCCCCTGTTCAGATGTGACACCGGCACACTTTTCGCCATCTTAATGAACAACAAACAAAAATGGCCTTGGTGGTGTCAAACAACACAAAACTAAGGAAATTGATCGCTTACATAAGCGCATCCTTCCACAATGACACCTACAACTTAACGGAAACCCAAAAACAGCTTTTAGAAAATTACCTCAACAGGTTGACGGAACGCATCGGAGGCGACAATTTTCCGGAAACCATTCACACCGACGTCGATTGCGGCGCCGGGTTAGAAGACGTTGCTGAAATCTACGCGAAGAATTACCATCCCTACTTTGCCACCGCCGTCTGCCTATTTGGAATCGTTGCCAACCTTTGTAACATTGCAGTATTGACGAGAAAAGACATGATTTCGACGCCCATCAACCGCATTTTGACGGCTCTTGCAGTGGCTGATGCTCTAGTGATGGTCGAATACATTCCTTACACGTATTACTACTACGTAGTGTTGGCTAAGAAGATGGACTTTCCGTATTCGGGGGCTGTTTATATTTTGTTTCATACTCATTTCACTCAGGTGCTGCATACTACTTCTGTGTGTCTCAATCTCACGCTGGCTATTTGGAGATACTTGGCTTTAGGGTAAGACATTATGGACACGTAAAAATAATATTATTGTTTGTTCAAAGTTACGAGTTAAATAAACTCGTTCTAAATTGCACCTAGTTATTTGAGTGTGGATGTATACTTTGGATTCGTAGATACTTGAGTAAACAGAAAAAGATTTTATGATAACAACGCGTCGCGGTTCTCTTGAGTTTTATTGCTGGTGGTTTTAAGCATGAAGGCATTAAAATTATTTATTTTTTAACTTGTCGTAGTCAGCTGAATTCCCATAGTGTGCTATTTATGAAGACTTCCACGTTTGTGTTTTCTCTTTTTTTTTTGTATTACGATTTATTTTTGCTTTGTGTCAGCTTTCATTTATGTTCCTTCGATAAGTATTAGATCCCTTGAAATGTACTAAATGGAACTTGATTAAAACAATACCTGACATCATTACAGACTCTCCCACTCGTAACATTGATTCCGTCCACCCGGAAATAAAATAAATAACATTTAATTTCAGATTTCTGTCCACTGTTATTTCGTAATAAAGCTGTTTCTTTCAGATATCCGGAAAGAATTCACACCCTCTGCTCCGATTCCCGCTGTACGCTAAGCATCGTTCTCAGTTACTTCCTTCCCGTCGTCCTTTGTATTCCCACTTACGTCACCCTCACCATAGCGACGCGAGAAATCACTGAAAACCAGACCCTCTTCATCCTCTACCACACCGATCTTCACGATATGTTCAAGACCGACAACACCCTCTTGAAGATCAACTTCTGGATCTACGCCGTCCTGCTGAAGCTGCTGCCGTGCGCCATCCTCACCGTGATCATCTCGTGGCTCATTCGCGCCTTTTTCAAAGCGAAGAAGAGGAGACTAAAGCTTCAAAGCTATAACGACATCGACAACAAGAATAAAACAACAAAGACGAAGCGAAGGGCAGACAGAACGACGAAAATGTTGGTCGCCGTGTTGTTACTGTTCCTTCTCACTGAGTTCCCGCAGGGGATTTTCGCTCTTTTGATCGGAATCAAGGGAAAAGATCTGTTTCTGGAATGCTATCAGCTGTACGGGGAAATAATGGACATTTTGGCGCTGATAAACGGAGCGATTAATTTTATTCTATATTGTTCGATGAGTCGCAGGTTTAGAACAATGTTCGGACAGTTATTTAAAATAAGGGTGTTGGGATTGCTAACGCCCCCACCGCCGCCGTCGGATATCCACACGACGTGCGTTTAAAGCTATATCTATCTATACGTGAAGCATTCAATTTGTTGTATTCAATATTTAAGTCATTCGAAAAAAAATTCTAGGGTTTTACTGAAACCTCTAGGAAGATTCCATTTTGGTAAACGTGTCAAGTTTTCTGGCAAGGATTTGAGGTCTTTCTTATAAAATCTTCGAACTTCAATTTTTGAAATTTTTAACTTTTCAAGATTAAATATTAGTAAAACTGTCGGGATCCTGTACTTTTAAATATTATTATTAAATATTTCAGACTCCCAAAATGAGTTTTTTTTCACTTATTTAAAGTTTTCAATTATTATTTACGAGTAACAATTTGGATATTGCACCTTGGTCGGTGAGCAGAAAGCATTTCCCTCGCAATTTTGGAGCTACGTGGGGGTTGTTTAAAAATAGTACGTTGGGGAGGCTGATGTCCATACCAGAGTCGGATATCCACACGATGAAGGTGTGCATTTTCAGGTAATTTTATCTGTCTGGCCTGTAATTTGGAGCATAGATTACTAAATGGGTGTTTTTCAGTCGAAAACGGAATAATCCAACAGCAATTGATTTCTTGTATTAATTTTAACGATAGAAAGGTAGGCACTGACACGAAGAGTTGTCATTGCTGCCTACCCATCTCCAGCCAAATTTATATGTTCAGTATAAATTTTGCCGTATTTAATCAACAGAAAGAAAATGTTCATGTTTTGCAACATTTTCAAAATGTTTGCAGTTGTTAAACTTTTCAAACTTCTCTAGATTCCGAAAAGTTGCAAGATTTATAATTTTTCTAATTTAACGTTTTGGACACATTTGTTGTTTTCAAGTATTTGAAAGTCCGACGAGTAATTTTTATTGAATTTGATTTTAAGTTTTTTCATTTTTTTTATAGGTGCTTCAACTTGATGAGTTTTAATACATTCACCTTTTTAAATCTGATGTACACCCAAAAATACATAAAATTTTTAAGATTTGTAGAACAATAATCGTTCAATTCTAAAATTTTCAAGTTAATAAAATTTTCGAATTCTTGAAATCAGAAGGATCATCAAAGAAAATATTTTGGGATTTCTTAAGTTTTTCAATTCTGATAAGATGTTTAAGTTGAAAAAAATTAGGAGATAATAATAGTTCTTTCCCATAGACCACACATTTCGCGGAAGTGGTGTTAAGTGACCTGCCAAGATTTTTTAAAATGTGTTTTTTTTTTAGATTGGGTTGGATGAGATTTACCTAAATGGTATTTCCCATACGTTTATGTTATGCGATCTTTTTTAGAATCGCGCCCCCCAAAAATCTGATGACATTTCTAAACATATTGTTAAGTAAACTCGACTCAACAGTGTTTGAAAACAAATGCTCAAGAAATCAACATAATGTTTTATTAAACATCTAAACAATACGTCTTCATGTGCTAACATGAAGAAAATCTACGTAACAAGAAAATACGTACGACAAAACTAAACATTTCTAATTTCATTTAATTCCCTACACTTCGTCGGGTTCAAACTCCCTCGACAAATTACCGGAGGCTACTTCATCCAATCCTGCCATGCAGGGGCGGCTGGTCAGGGGCGGCAGGGTCGGCCACGCCGTACCAGTCATTTTAAAATACTTAGTAAGCGTTGAAATTAGAAAATAAAAAAAGAAATAAAGTTTGAATGTACGTTAGGATAGATCATATATATTAAAAATATATTTTATTATGTTGTAGGTACAAAATAAAGCATTTGTTGCTAATTTTAAATGCTGATAAACACGCTTTGCCGGCGAGATTTCGGCAAGCCGTACCCAGGAATGCATTATGCTCGATGTTTCGACTTCGTAGCAGCTTACGGTTTCATCGTTCTCTTTGTCTAGTACACTGTAGTAGACAAAGACCTGGCGGAACGTATGTTGTGCCAGGTCCGGCGAAATCCTCCTTCGCCGTACCCAGCAACGCGAATTTAGTTTTTAAAACGCTTAATATTTAAGATAGCTAACCAAATTACAAGACAATAACGGCTTCGATGTTCTTCAGTGCATACTATTTTTTTTTAAATAATAATTGTCGATTTAATACATTTTTCTGTGTATGAATAATAAACGAAAAAAATTACATTAAATTATCTAAAATTTTATTTTTCGTACATAACTTAGCTACACCATAAATGCGCTTTTTCTGTATTTTTAGCATCTAAGCGTTTTCAGATATTTCAGAAACGAATTTAAAGTTTTAAATCATTTTAATTTTTCAATTATTCAATTAATTTATTTGACAATTTGTCATATACATTAAAAATAAATAAATGTAAATGAAGATAGTTAACAGTTGGTACTTTTATTATTACTTTTTTTATATTTTTTAACTGCATGTCATTATTTAATTATTATTATTTAATTGTGGATGTCCGGGGTCGGCAAGCCGTATAGCCGCCGGTCGACGCGGAACTCAGTAAAAATAATGTTTTCGGTGGTTCTCAATTAATGATAAAGCAGAACAAGTAGAATTAAGGATTAATAGTATTTGGAATCAAACTGACATTGTCAATTTCCTATAAAAAATTATTTTAACAGGTCGAAACATTTGAGATGTTTTGTACATCCTGGCACGTAAAATGTCAGTGGTTAATGAGTAGCAGCCATACATTACGAAAATATATAACACCAAGGTGTAGACTCAAAATATTTGGCCGACCCGAAATTTTGACCCACCAGCCGCCACTGCTGCCATGTTATCATTTTCGAATCCGTCTCCATTATTGTTTAGTTCTTCGTGCTCCGAACATATCCCGTTTGCTGTTCTGTTTTCGCTTGAAACTGAATCCTCTAATTTAGCAGCTAATTTTTCAGCAAGCGTTGCCACCTAAGAAAAAAAAACACATAATAAGCCCGTCACAGACACACAGCATTACGTCTTTAGCAACGGCTCCATCCTGCTGCGCCACCAGATTAAATTTCTCAATCATTTCCATCGCCTCTTGCTTGCGATCCGAAAGCAGCAAACACAAAACGTTATTGACGATAATCAGCGGATCTTCCGGAGCCAGGGCCTGGGCCTGTCGGAATGCTCTTCCGGCATTTTCGTAATCGTTGAGCTCAAACAAAGCACCTAAGGCAAACAATGCATTTTTGCTTTCAACTTCCCGAAAATCATTTACATCCCAGGCTGGTGAAAGAATGAGGAACGTCGGGTCGGAGATTAACCGCAGCACACAAGAAGTTAAATGCAGATGCCGCTTGATAAGTCGCTAGATGTACGAGACCCAAGTTGAAAAGAACTCTCCAGTTTGTCGGGGATAGCCATAGGGCTCTCTTCAGACAGCTTATGGCCTGTAGTAAACAACGTTGGTTTATGCAAATTGGACCTTTCTGTGTCGTGTAGTTTTTGCAAAGTTTACTGTGAGGGTTTCGTATTAAAATGAGATATTGTGCGCTGGATGATAGAGTGCTGAATTTAATACTTTGTTGAAGAAGGATACAAGAAAAGGTGAAGGATCTTTTATTTTGTCGTGGATTTTTTAAAAATACGTCGTTCAGGAAGTGGAAAATTATTAAACAATTTTAACCGTAACATTTTTGTGTGTGGTGGTTTATATATAAGGATGATGATCATGTTACCATGAAATGAGTTTATGCTTACATTTTTAAAATCAGGTCTTTCTTGAACACGGCTAACAAATCGATTTCTTGAAATTACATTTAGAGCTTTCAAAAGATTTTAATGTCTGCATAAAACTGTCGTTATGAAGCTTATACGATCGTTGGAATATTGTTCGTTATTTTTAATATACCTGTTTTCACGCATCTTTCAACGACAGACAAACATTGAACAAGAAAAATAATTGGTCTAGCTTAATTTGTACAAGAGTTCATGTTTCAGAGCCTCTTAAAACTTTAAAGCTACATGAAAACCCTAATACTAATAACACAACAAACTTTAAACGAGTTTGAAGCCACGTATTTTTTAACTACAAAAAAATACCTACCGCAATATGCTTCTGCTTTGAATGAAAGCACATCCCAATATTATTCCACAAAGCAATCGAATTGGGTTCATAAGAAACAGCCACTTTGTACTTCGTCAAAGCAACATCGTATTCGTCGTGTGACTGTAGACAGCTATCCATTAATATAAAATGAAAAACTGATAACGTTTTATGTTAACCTGAGTGATGCAGCCGATGCCTAGAAGAGCTTTAGAACAAGCTGGGTCCAAAGCGAGAGCGGAACTCAGTTTTTCGAAAGCGTGTTGCGTTTGGCCCATCTTAAGGCACAAAATACCGGCTTCAGTTAACATGTTGACACTATCGGGACAAGATCTGAAACGTATGTGCTTTTTAATTAAAAACTTATTATTTACTGAAAAAACAGGCGAAAGGTTTTTTTCACAGTGCCCTGTGATCTCTTAATTATTAATCGCCAAAGTTAATCAAAATTAAAGCCGGATTAGCTTCTTAATTAAAATGAATTAAACTTTTTGTATTATTTTAAGTTCATTTTAAGTTTCCGAACTGACTACAAGTTTTAAATATGCTTTAATATCCTAGTGAAAACCGTTCCTTTCTGTCTTTTATCGTTCTACAGGTTTAAAGAACAGACGGATATTCAGAATTTACTAACGGCTTCCCTTTAAAGAGGCCGTGAAAAATTGCTCCTGAAACTTTACTAATTAAATCAGAATGTTCGCCGTTAATAGGAGCAACATATAAAGAAAAATAACAAAAAGAAAGATTCGTTTGTACAAAGAGGAATCTCTAGAAATTCATGAAATACGTCATAGGATCGACACATTTTTTCATTTATCGGAAATGTTGGGATGCTAAAAATATGTATCATATAAATTCAAATTCGGGATGGAATATCGGTTCGTGGTAAACTCAAAGGCGTAGCAGGAGGTCAAAACCCTCTGCAATGCCGCCAAAAAATTTGGATTTTAAAGAGCAAATAAAAATCACACAAGTTACAGAAAAGTCTAAGAAAGCGGTATAAAAGTCCGTTCTTTAACCACTCGGTTGTCGGTATACAATATAGCATTACGACAGCAAAAATTCAAAAATTGTCGATGCGTTTCGCCAACCACGTCGGCACTATCTAGACAACACTAAACTGAAGTTTAGATGATGCCAAATTGGTTGGTGAAAAGCGTCGACAAATTGTGATTTTAATATAATTAATATATAGTTCGTTTAAATTTTTTACGCGTCATACATCAAGAGACAAATCTGTAAACTTTTGGCTAACTAATTTCAGATGAGAAGAGACAAGTACTTAACCATCGAGTGGTAAAATAAAATAAAATTTCTAAAAATTACAAACTTATCTAATTTATTTTCAAATGACATTTATGTAACAATAATTTTGAGATGACGTTATTATTTTTACGAACGGGATAAACATAAAAAATGTTTGTTAGTTTTTGGTCAATACATGGACACTTCAAATTTTAAAAATTCTACACATTTCTAGCAAACAGACAGACAGACAAGCAACAACCAAAAAGGTGGTTATGGTTTTACGCTTCCTGTTAATTTTATAAATTAATTTAATTTAAAAATTGCACAAAAATATCTACATTTAAATTTAATAAAGCTTCAAACTCAAAAATTGTGTGAAATTATTTTCGCCGCACTAAAAAATATAGAATCTTAACGAAACTTTTGAAAATGCAAAAACTGGATTTGTAAAAGGACACACAAAGAATTATTTAAGTTGCAAGTATTGTACTATTTATTGTTACTGTTATTTTAAAAATATTTACACCGCTGTCAGATAAACTCCAATTTTAACAACAACATTTATAAAAAAGATTTCTCTATTTTAAGAATAGCTCCTTCTGAGTATTCCATGCTTTTGTGGCGTTTCAAGCTTCACGACTAGGGAAGAGCAAACAAAAATCCCTCTTACAGCTTACCCGCAAACAATGAAAAACAAACACTTATGAAATAAATCACTCACTCTATCGATGCGTTGCATACTGCAACTGCCGTCCGCAAATCTCCTTCAGCGACCAAAATCTTGATATACAAAGAATACGCATTCTCGTGCTTTCCGATCTGAACAGCTTTGTGTGCGTATTCTTTGGCTTTCGGTATTTCTCCCAGTCGCATCAAACACTGTCCTTGGGAAATAAATGGGATAATTAACGAAACAATGTGGCTTCATACGAAATTCTGATCATTTTACCTATGTTGTAATAAATCTGCCAGTCGGGACAGCTCGAAACCTTTTCAGCTTCTAAGTACGCCTCGAGCGATAGCCTGAATCTACGCATTTCGTATCTGAAAGGAAAATGATAGATGTTTTGTATTTGTAGCTAAATATATGCGATACTTACAAGCATTTTCCTACTTCTTTGATATTGTCTGCGTGTTCGGGATTCAGTTTCATACAAATCTGGAACGATTCTAAAGCTTCTTGAATTTTGCCTTCTTCTCGTAGAATCATGCCCTTGCAAGTAAAATGAACATCTCGTGTATAGAATTTCGACGAAGGATAAAAATCTGGGTGAATCGATCGAATTGATGCGACTGAATTTATTCGCACGTGTAGCTAATGACTATGTTAGATTCAAAAATCGAAAATGCTCACTGAGCGAAATAAATGGACACAATGCGTTCTGATATCGCTCAGTGAGCGTGTTTGGTCATGGAACTTAACAACTACATTGATTTTATACAGTATTTATTCGTACGGTCGCAACGAAAATATTGACTTTAGTTTTTTTAAATCAGTTTAATGTATAAAATAAAGTTAACACTTGTTCTCAACCTAACAACATTAATAGAAACTTCACGTAGTCTGAAAATCAATATCTACATATTGTATCTATTATTCAGTTCTAAAATTGGTTCAATAATATTGACAATGTAATTGTGCACAGATCTCTGTTTTCACACAATTTTTACTTTTCCATAGATCCTAACAACAATTAAGATTTTTTTTAATAATAATAGATTTGATAACTTTTTTTAATAAGTGAATTTTTGAATTGCTTAGGAACTTAGAATATGGGATTAATTTATAAATAAATTTCATAATTACGTATAAAGTAATTTTTTGGCATTTAGTATTTTTGATTAAATAAAAGTTATTACGTTTGAATCCCGGTGTGATTATTTTTTTTTCCTTCTTCGTTTTTATTTTCGTTGAAAAAAAAAATCCACTTTACTTATTAATGCTAAATACCTGTTTAAAATAAGCAAATTCGTTCCTTCCTCCGCTCTTTTTAATTTCGCTTTTGATAAGCTCCTTGCACTGCTGGGTTTCACCTCTGACATGTTGCAAGTGTATCAGCCAGTTTAACTTCTCTAATGGATTAGGCTCAGGCCACGACATTTCAGAGGACTTTTGAAGACCTAAAGCCCAAATTGAATCAAATTATGCATACACTTTCGCCTCCATTCCACTTTTAATTATTACTCACTGGAAAAAGCAGAAATTCGCACATTCTCTTTACCGTTTGCTAAACAGCTCATTTAAATGATAATTATGCAGGCAGCGAAAACTGTTGTAATTATGGTTGCCTGGATACGACATACTTCATCAAAAATTCAAAACAAAAAGAAACGGGGAGTTAAATAAGAAAACCAGAAATTTATTTATTAAAAACAAAGATTAAACTACAATTGTTATTATTTATAAAAAAGATTAGTGAATTTTCCATGAATAATGATTTATGGTAGTGCGGTTGGTACCACGTACGCACCGACATCTGTTTTGTGCTGGCATCTGTCAACAGGCTGTCAACCAACAAGTCCCAGTGATGTCAACATAACACACCAAAATTCCCCGTATTTGTTGTTATTTACGGGTTACGGCGTAATATGGCCGCCACAAATTTTGTAAATTGTTTATTAATATTGTTAGTGGTACACATTTGCACAGGTAATTGTTACTAAACAGTCCAAACCAATGCAGTAACCCTTTACAAAACAGCCACCTTGATTTTCAAGCTCGCTTTTTTAATACCAAAACACTGGCATTTGATGCTCTAGGTGAAGTCCTACACAGGCCTCAGCTTAAAGAAGACACCGACGATGACGACGACGAAGTCAGCAACGAACACAGTGGCTTGTCTAAAAACCTGGAGACTTTTCAAAACCAAAATGAGATAACAGATGGACAAGGAATCAAACGATACCAGTGCAGAACTTGTGAGCCCCCTAGTTGTTCAAATCCCATGGTGTGCACCGGTGCTATTCAGTGTTGGAAGTCGCGCGTTCGGGAAAGTTCCGGTGAAAAAACAGTGGCGTTTTTGGGGAAAGATTTTCATTGAAATTTGCAGGTCAAGAGAGTGTGATGAGGGGTTGTACGAAAAACACAGACCAACTTCCATTAATTTGCCAAACTCCGTCCTTTAGTGGGCAACAAAAACGTCAAGCTAGTGGGCAGTTTAAAGTGGATTGTTGTACTGGGGATTTTTGCAATGAAGGGGATTTTCCTGAACTACCTCCGTTATATACAAAAGATGTGGCAGCGCAGTCAGATTCAGTGGATTATGTCTTGAAAATGATAGCGGCTATTTTAGGACCTGTTGTTGTGATAGGAACATTGGGTATGTTTCTTTATTGATATTGCTCAATTTTGTTGTTTACATATTGGTGCAACCTACATGAATTACATCATTCTTTACCACAGAACTAATTTTTTGGCTTAATTTAATAATGGTCACACATTTGAAAAATAATTTTTGTAATAAGGTCAAACAGGGATTTTAGGTGATCTATCAATTTCTTAAGATTTATTCTTTTATTAAAAAGATTTAGTTGAAAGTTAAAAAAGAATGTATTGGTAATATCTTTAACCTCTCGTTGTTCGTAGTTCGCAGATTGAAAATATATTTATTTTGTTCTCATGCTTAAAATAAATTTAATTACTTTTCTAAATTTACCAAAACAAATGATCGAACTTACGCCAAAAATTGCATTTAAGATAATGTATGTTTGGTTTCTTTTTAACTGAATGTTTAGGAGCTGTCATCCTCTACTTGATGCGTCGCATCCACCGCCGAAGACTCTGCAATAAAAGCCGCCTAGACCCCGACACATACTACGCCTCTGACGATTTACTAAGAGCTACAGCAGCCGGAGACAGTACATTAAGAGAATATCTAGAAAACTCTTTAACATCAGGGAGTGGTTCTGGACTTCCATTACTAATTCAAAGGACTATGGCTAAACAAATCTCCTTAGCGGAGTGCATAGGCAAGGGGCGGTACGGCGAAGTGTGGCGGGGTGTGTGGTTTGGGGAAAACGTGGCTGTGAAAATATTTTTCTCAAGAGATGAAGCCAGCTGGAATCGGGAAACTGAAATTTATAGGTAACCAACCACATGAAACAGTCTTTTTAAAATAAACTTATATTTTGTAGTACAATTTTATTACGCCATGAAAACATACTGGGATACATTGGGTCGGATATGACGTCACGTAACTCGTGCACACAGTTGTGGCTTATAACACACTATCATTCTCTGGGAAGTTTGTATGATCATTTAAATCGGACGACTTTAACTCATCAACAAATGTTAAGACTCTGCTTATCCATAGCGAATGGTTTGGTGCATTTACACACCGAGATTTTCGGAACTGAAGTAAGTTTAATGACTTTTTTTTCGGTCACGTTGGAAAATGTTTCAACCAACATCTGCCACTTTTATTATTATATTGCAGTAATTTTGATATCAATGGTACAAATTTTATTTAAATTTCTTGATGTGTTTTTTGTGTTTTTTACTTTGGATACTAGCAAGGATTTGTCTTCATTTTTGACGTGAACATAGAAAAATATTTAGTGCAAGATATGTTTAAAAATTGTTTGGTATTAGCATTGGTTGCGTATAATGTTATTTCAGGGGAAACCAGCGATAGCACATCGCGACATTAAAAGTAAAAATATCCTCGTCAAGAACAACGGTATAGCTTGCATCGCCGATTTCGGATTGGCGGTTACTCATCAGCAAGCTACTGATCAATTAGATATAGGTTCAAACCCCAAAGTGGGAACGAAAAGGTACATGGCGCCAGAAGTACTAGACGAAATGTATGTTTCAACAACTTCCATTTTTTTTTTTTTCAAACGAAAATTTGTAGGATACGAATGGACTACTTCGATTCGTTTCGCCGGGCCGATATTTACGCTTTAGGTCTAGTCCTTTGGGAGGTCTGTCGAAGGACGGTCAGTAATGGCATTGCTGAGGATTACAAACCCCCATTTTATGACGTAGTGCCTAATGATCCCAGTTTTGAAGATATGAAGAAAGTGGTTTGTATAGATCAACAGCGGCCTAGTCTACTTAATAGATGGGCGAGTGATCCAGTAAGAAATTCATATTTTGTTGATTTGTGTAAATTTATTGTTCCCTTGTAGATATTAAGCGTGATGGCCAAATTGATGAGGGAGTGCTGGCATCAGAATCCCAACGTGCGGTTACCAGCGTTACGAATAAAGAAAACGATATTAAAACTGTGTAGTGGTGATAACTTAATTAATTTAGATGATATGGAGGTTTGTGTGTGACAATCTGACTCTATTAGGATGTTAGCATCTTTTTTAATGTTACTCTGTGTGGTTTAAAATTCAAAACCACGTAAATTATTGTTGAACATTTTTATAATATTCTGGAGATATTTATCTTTTTTTTCCGATTGTTTTAGTATTACAGATCGTGTGCCAAATTAATTTTAATTTCGCTAGGACGAAAGGACAGTATTATCCTTTGAAAGTCTAATTTTTTTTTAGAGTCTTACGGTAGTCAAGAGGAAGGTTTTGTATTTGCATGTGTGCCATTTTTATAATTTGTAAAACCCTGATGTGACGCGAATATTTTTTTTAGATATTCGTTCTATTGTTGTAAATATTTCAGATATTTATATATCTTGACATCATATCTGTTAACGAAAACTGCCGGAATTGAATTTGTCAAACTCAAAACTTTAATTGCGGCAGTTTTTTGATGTTACTTTTTAATAAATTATAGCAACAGATTCATATCAATTTGTTTATCACTTTATTGAAAGAAATATCTGAGTGCCGCTCATAATAATCATAATCAATTTTTTATCGTTTACTTTTTTGTATTTGATTTCTTCGTCGTTAGTATTTAATCAGTGTGTCATTCATTTGTACATAGGCCATCAATGTTTCTGTATTTAGAAATAACATAAGCAATATATTTAGTTTTCAAATTCAAGTTTTTTCGTTTACTTCTGATAAGCAAAATGAAACGCATTGCAGTTTCCACACAGTTAAAAACATCGAAAATTTAAATAAATAGTCCCCAATAATAAAATAGTGGAGTAGCGTGATCAACAATTATTGTAGAGCTACCACCCTCACCTATTTGTGTTGCCTTTCTTCCTGTTGTCAAAATTAATATGGTTGACAGTGAGTGTTGTATGGAAGTGGTTCGTTAATGGCAGCACAAAAAAGTCTCATGAAATTATTAATTCTGAGGAGGGCAGAATACATTTTGCTCCAGGGTTCATTCTGGTATTAACGAGGTTATTAACTAAAATTACTCAAACAATATTTTGCATTTGTGTTGACCACGCTGTATTTTAAAAATATCTTGCAACTGGATGGCAATATAGCCACAATTTATCTGATCATTCCACCAACAAAGACAGTTTTTTTTAGGGTTTATATTTTAATATTGTCGGGCGATGGTGATTTCGACGGAGGTGCCATCTATGGTGTCAAAAAAAATGAATGTTGTATTTCGCGCTCTCCAGTTGGTTTACTTTTCTGGTTTCCCTGGTAGATTTTTGACATTTCTCATAAGTGGCAGGTTTGTTTTTGTTGTGATAAAAAAATTTGCAAAAATTGTACAAATATCAACTACAACTGCACTGGATCGCTCATTTCTTAAATTTAGAAAACATTTTTTAATCACAAACTCCACGATAATATATATATATAGTCATGTAAGAAGACCAATGAAGACGCACAATTTTGAGGTTATGTTGTACCTATTCAAAATACTTTGTTGTTAAGCCATCAAATTAACCATTTCCATATTCAAATGACCTCAAATCATAACCATTCTGCTACATCTCGCTCAGATCCCAGCGACAAAGCCCTCAGAACCCATCGGAGCTCAGTCACCAGATTTCACCCATACCATGGCGAAAACATTATTTTAACTGAAGATAACACAGTAGCATATCGTAAAAAAAGTTTTCAGAATGCTCTTACGTTCAGTGAGCGGCCGTTATTACCTGGAGAGATTTTTTTAGTTGAGATTGAAGCAAACGAAAGAGGATGGAGTGGACACATGCGTTTAGGCTTGACACAGCTGAGTCCTTTGATGATCAGCAGGAACGGGGAGATGCCTCAGTACGCACTGCCCGATTTAGTGGAGAGCTACAACAGGGGCACTTCCTGGATCTACGGAATCAGTAAAGCTCACAATAAAGCGTTTGAATGTAAAACGTCTGGGAAGGAGAAGCCGAAAATTTTAGGGGATAATCACTCAATTAGGACTAGGTTTGGGAATGTACCAATGGGGCTGTTGAAACCGACGAGATCTGATACCGAGGATATTTTACCAACGGATGTGGGGAGCAGGATTGGGGTGATGTACTTGCCAACTAATGCTTATGAAGCAGACATGCACTATATAATAAATGGAGAGGATCAAGGGGTTTGCGTTAAACACATTCCATACATGAATGCACCGCTGTATGTGGTTGTTGATGTTTATGGCACTACGAAGAAGGTGCGGATTGTGCAGTTGTATGGAGGTTTGTTGGTTTATTGATTTTGGAATTTGTTATTAATGTTTGGGTTGCAGTTCCTACGTTGCAGGCGGCTTGTCGGGACGCTATTCTTTCCCACATAACGAAAACGGCGGTGTCGGCATTACCTTTACCCAATCTTCTAAAAAAGTATCTTTTGTATCAATTGTAATTTAAGTGGATGAGGAATCTCATAAACGTGCTAACTATCTCTAATTTGGTTTAAGTACTGTTAGTGTGTATTTATTTAGATGAATATATTTTTTTTGCTATACCTTCTAATTTTTATTTCTGAGGTTTCATTTAATTGTGACAGGATTAGCACCAACTATTGCGTAAATCTAAGTAACAACAATCGGGCAAATATTTTGCAACCGTTAATTAAATTAATTTAAAAAATCCGCTGACGTAAGTGTACAGCTTTTCGTCAATTTCAGTCTAAGGATAAGATTAATAATAGATATTTTCTAGATGAGTGCCTGTTTAAATGACCTTTTTTTGTGTTGACATGTACTAATAATCCCCACTTTTCATAAACGTGCGGTATATAAACACAAAATAGAAAATAAATTAACATAGTAAAAAATATTCAGATTTGGTTCAGTTTATTTGTAAACATGAAATTCGTGTATCTGTTTTTGGTACTGTTTGGTGTGGTATTGTGTGAGCAGTACACAACGAAGTTTGACAATATAAATATTGATGAAATTTTGGGCAGCGATAGATTGTTGAATAATTATTTCAACTGTCTTTTGAATAAGGGGCCGTGTTCACCGGATGGAGATGAATTAAAAAGTGAGTACTGTTCATAGTGGTATAGCCCACAATCACGGTTGTAGAATAGATAGGTTGATACACTAGCATACATTTGCATATCCCTGGTCAGCGACGCCAATTGCCGATCGCGTCGCCTGGTTTTTGACGTTTTAGGGACACAGAACTCTATAGGCATCTGTCTATAACCGATGTAATTAATAAAAGAAATCGTACTTATCGACTCCGATCAAATGTCATTTACAAATTTTGCATTGTTCATAAAGCAATGTAAACGAAAATCCCCAAAATAACTAGAATGATTTCCGCTCGACAAGGTAGAGGCGCTAGCTGTATGTGTCCTTTCCATGGATATAGGGATCGAAAAGAAGCGTCGCCATCCCAAGCCATTAGTGTACAAACCTATCTATTCTACAACCGTGCCCACAATATTTTCGGTCGATGTACAAGTAAAAAATCTCGTTAAAGTTTGAATTGAATATTTAACTCTTTTTATTATTGGCTGAACTGTAGCCGGAAACTTCGAAAATAGTAACCAGAGAGTTCTAGTAGTGTATCTTATTGATTGACCGGAACGTTCGTGCGGATGTTAAGACAAAATTCATTTGCCAGGTAATTTGATGATCCTATATTCTAGAACCACTGAGATTTTTCAGCAAAGTAGTTGTCTACGTTATTTTTGACCAAGTCTAAAAAGGCGAAATTCTTATTATTGTTGAGAAAATTTTGTAAGAATAGGAACAAATTAAAATTAAATAATTTTAATTTAACAGATTACGTTTCGTTGTCTTATGGAGCACCCAAACATCATGGTGGTTTTTCTTCAACATCTTCATCATACACTTACAAGTTTATGTAGCACTTTTACCTTTTCAGAAAAAAAAAGATAGATACCCATGACACCCAATTTTTTTTACTTCGCTCCATATTCACACACACTGTACGCAGACTGTACTTAAGTCATGACACTACTTTCATCACTAAACAAGCACGAAAATGTTTTTCACAACCCGCATGCCTACATCTGACTTTTTGCATAGAGTTTCTACTTCCTATGTATGTTTTAAATGCATCTAAATATTTGAAAAAAATGCGTTTTTCGGTTATCCTGATACTACACAGAAATTCCCCTAGAAGAGCTACCAACTACCAGAAAAAGAACTAAACTAAACTAAACATGGTTGCCTATGTTTAACGATCTCCTTTGCCTTTTTTTTTTTTTAATTCAAATTATTCAAATGCGATTTCGCGACGTTGTTTTTTTTCAATGTGAAATTTTAATTCAAATTTGGTCACCACTGGTATGCAATTGTATTGTTGGTTGCCCAACTTGCGCTTCTCCTTCACAGATCACATTTATTTATACATAATTATGCGATCTTGATCTATATTTCCCTTGCGTAGACAGGGTGCTTCTTTTATAGGGTTATTGACAAAGGCATGCGGGTGCAGCAAACCAATGGGATGTGTGCACGAGTGGGGATGATTTAGTGGAGATGGAAGCACCCCTAGAAAACATTTGTACTTCTAGGGGCTATAGTGCGATGGTGACGATAGCGTCTAGGCGGAGGGTAGTGCGCTTAGGAACTATTAATCATTTTTCGAAGAAGCTGGATTTGTAGGACTGTACTTCAGGAGCGTGGAAAGAATTTTAATACATTATTATCTTTTGCTTCTCTTCAGGCAACCACATTTGATTTTAATTCAAAAATTGTTAAATTTTTCTTTCAAACTTAAACAAAATAAACCCCTAGAAGATAAGTAATCATACAGATAGTAGTTACTAATTTCATTGCATTTGTATTATTACACAGAAAGTATATAGGACGGTGTTTAGAATGCTAGTCACCCATTTTGAAAATTTTGAAAATAAATTTTTGACAATTTTTAATTCCCGAGCATAAGCTGAGGAAGTGTTGTAATAGGATCCATTGGACGAATCGCTACTTTCATAATTTCCCGACGTTTCATGTCGAGTTGAAAAAAGGTCTCCCATTTCCGTATGTTTGTTTGCCTGTCTGTGTCGAATTTTTATGGATAGATAATTTCCGAAACGACTGTACCGATTTTTGCCTAATTTCATAAGTATTTTAGGGATATCATGTAGAAGGAAACGCTAACCAAAATTTGTCTAATCACTGCACCAACAATGTGGTGACATCATCTTCAAATATTGCATCCCGGTAGTAAATGTTATACAAATTTTATAAATTTTTTTACACCTGTGGTTTATGAATCCGTCTTGACTTTTTACCCAAGACATCCAGATTTTTGAAAAAAAAAAAAAATCAAAATTGTATAGCAATATTTTACAATTTAACATTAAAACTGCAAAACCGGATGTTCGGAAATCTTTTGCAAATCCTTTACGGTCGTCGTAAGCTTGATAAATTTTTAATCAAAATTTATCTGTTTATTTTTTTATTTATTTTGCAAAATAAATGCTAAAATCTGCAAAATATTGAGTGTATACTTGTGGCATAGTATATACTTGTGGTTTACAGATGCATCCATACCACCTTCATACTACATATAACTATTAATTAATATTATACTACAATAGTAAAGTTCATTTTTTAAGAGCGTGGAAATATTCACTCAACTCAAAATAGGTACACATTTCGCACTTAAAATGACAGTTGTCATCTGTGGTAGGTATTCATATATGTTAAACAATTTGAATCAATCGCAAAAAAAGAAATGTCACATTTTGTTCAAAACATTGTATTCTTAATATGTCACAGTCACATTACTGATAAATTTTCGTTTCAGTCTTGAATTTCACATTTCATTCGAATTGAAAATATGTTTGTGTATATTATGTTACATAATTTTGTACACCCTTAAAAATGAATTGCTTATACAGAGAATGTACAGAGTGATTAAAAAAAATCACTTGAAACACACACGTACCATGCTTCTTTACCTTTACTTTAAAATTACACATATCTTTATTTTGAATTATAGGGCTTATCATGAAAAAATAAAATGAGTATTTTCAAACTGATGGGGATGATGAGTATATAGGTACCTTGTCTGCAGCATGGGTTTGCAGTGTTGCGATCCTCATGAATTAAATTTTTTTACACATTTTCATGTTCGTAAAAATTATACAAACCATATTAAACTGAAAACTTTACAAGCTGATTATTGTGTGTAACAAAAAAAAAATAAATAAATAAATGAAACAAGACTGTAGACAAGTTTCATATTCTATTTTTCATTGTCGGTGTCAGTATAGGCCACGAGTAGGCGTAAGCGTAAAAAGACGATAGGACATAATTTTGAATATATTTTTTTGTTTTTTGACTGTAACATTTATGAACATTTTACTGTCCATCTTTAAAAAGTTGCCTTTCTTGGACGACGTTTTTCTGTTCATGACATTTTTTTTCGTCGTAAAATAAACTGATTTTAATTAAACAAATAAAACTTTGTATAAAAATAAAAATGTGGAATAGATAACACATAGGTACTTGCTTTAGCATGAAAAGTTTAAAACTTCACACATGTGAGACTACAAAAACTATACGTTATCCTAATTGTAATATAATTTCAAAATAAAATAAAATTTTCAAGGTAGATTTGTTCTGCGGTTGACGATAAATGACGCACGTTATATTTTTTCCAAACTTGCTAGACGTGTGCATGCTTTTATTTTTTATTATATAATTTACACATTTTCTGGTTTGAGATTTCGGTGTTAAATTTGCATCTACCACAAGACCGCTTATTAAATATGCGTCCTTAACCCCATTCTCCGGCATTGGCAATGAACACAACTCTTGTTGTTTACCAGTAAATCTCGAACTTTTTCGTAACATTAAAATACAAATAATGACGAACACCGTCTTCTCCCCAGTAATGAGATACGCAACACCGAACACAATTACTAATATACCTGCATAATTAACTCAATTACTTCGCAAACCCGTTTTACATTGACTTTAATGATTCAAGGTAATAAAAAAAGCTCCAAAATTCCAAAAACAACAACTTTATTAACTTATTACGATCACATACAATAACGTTGTTTTTTTCCATTCTACAACTTCTTCAGTTCATTCTCGTGCTCTTTAACATAAATGTGATCGGGATCATACTTGGCCTCGAGCTGGTCCCACCACGGTCTCTTGTTCTTGTACAAATGCTGGATGACGACCCTCGCACCTTCCTTCTGTTTGTCGCTACATTTCGAGCATTTGGTTTTCAGGGCATCGGGAAGATCTTCTATTGAAAGAAATTACATATCAGTAAAATTTGCAAACTCGGTTTGGGGAAACTTACTTTTGAGTTCTTCGCCGTCGGGGGTACAGGGTTTCTTGTCCAAAAGGCACTGTACGTAATTTTCAGTAAGTCTGTCGCTTCGCAGAATTTCTTGCAAGTCGATACTGTCGTATTTTACGGTATATTTTTCGGAAGGACGTGCCAAAGCAAGACCTACGGTGGTCAAAAATAAAACGACGAATATCTTCATCTTTTGCTGTTGTTGATAGAACTGGGATCTCAGTACACTGTATAGTATTTATATGGAGTTGTGAGGACAGTTTTTTATTCATATTTTGTGAGTGGGGCGAGTACGTGGAATTGTTTGAACGTCAGAGAAAAATATTCATGTCAATAACATTTTTCTCTTAATTTGTCTAAAGAAAACATTCATCGATTTGAACGCTGTGTCATTTTATTACTAAATGACGAATTATTTAATTTTGTTTATTTAAACTGTATATTCTGTTTCTGCACAAATATGTATATATTTTTTAATTGCTGTGTAAACAATATTACATTATACCTATGTAGCTTTTTTTTATATTTCCAGTAGATAAATATAATTAATGATTCTAAAATTAAATGTTAGACGTTTTAAAATGTTTAACATCGAAATCGAGTTTTATTAAAAAAACTGAAACAAAAAAAATGGATCAAATGCATTTTCTGGCGCACGTTTCTTTTTAATGTTGAGTAATAAAAAATCCTTCTTTTGGTTTTTGGTTTGTAAATATGTTTTCCCCAATTTGGACAAAAATAATATCATCATCGCTTTTATTATTCGCGGTTGGTCATATAAAAAATGTTCGTTTAATGTAAGTTAGATACAATTTTAAATTTCTTTTTGAAGCAAAAATAAATAAATTTTCTTTTCTAACCGCACTGAAGTTAGCTTCAGATTTGTACTTGGATTCCGTTTTTCGAAGGTTTTTTTTGATATGTATGAATTATGATTTTAAAGTATTTGTTTCATTAATAATAATAATGTCAATTGTGAAACTTTTATTATGTACTTGGTCCAGCGCAAACTGACCTCAATTTGACTCAGCAAAACACGAATCCAAATTTTTAGCGACAAAAATACTTTGTTCAAAATGATTTTTTGTTTTCATTAATTATCATTAACCATTAATTTATTATTTCAGAAGTCCTTCCAGACGCGATCCAAACCAACTGTGCCAAATGCAGCGACAAGCAGAAGGAATCTGTCAAAAAAATTATCAAATTCTTAGTAGAGAAAAAACCCGACATGTGGAAAGATTTAACAGGGAAGTACGACCCTGAAGGAATATACTTTGAAAAATATAAAAGCGAACTTGGTTTGTAAACTGGTTTTAATGGTCATGAACGCATAATCATGTGCAAAATTATACATATGTATTATTAAAATTTACTTGTTACTTGGAATAAACTTTTTTTTTAATGAGCAAAATATGGTTTTTATACAAAGGTTGCAGCCTTACAGGTCAAAACAATTTTTCCGTGAGTGTTATATCTGTGACACATCTAAAGGTTAAAAACACAAGTAGGTACACAAAAAAAACAAACACGAGCTAAAGAACGTGTAACGTCAGAAGTTCTATAATGGAAGTTTTTTTGCGGTTAATTGCATAATTTATAACATATGCAATTTGAATAGAAGTCGAACTATTAACAAAGTCGCAAAGTTCGTACAAATGTTAATATCAACATTTTTTTCTTTTAGAGATAGAGCGAAAAAATATGTCTGATGTAGAAGTGGTTATCCTCCATGTAAAACTGTGTCGCTAATTCATTCTAACGTTAATTTATTGTAGTGCACTGGATGATAGCATCAGGTTTTACCTTGGTGAACATACTTTTTTATGAAAATGGAAATAAAAAATTGAATTAAACAAGGATCGTGAAATTAACTTTATGAATACTGGAATGAATGGCAGAAAAACGTTACTACATACTGATAAAAACTAATATATGCTAATTAAACTTAAATGCTGACAGTTCTGCGATGATACCAGTTTAGCGCTGACGCGTTCATTAAAATTACTGTCGTCAATTTGAGGACTTCTCTATAATTTGTACGCCATTAATAAATAGGTGATGTAAAAACACGTACTAATTAATCAAACAATTTTTATATTTAACATTTCTGTTACTTAACATTTTTTTTGCGCGAAATTGTGAAGTAAATATTTGTCATTTCATTAGGTACATATAATATTTATTTAATATGATCCTGATAAATTTTTGCTACGGAAGGATTAAATCGTGTGTTTATATAGTTATTACTTTCCAAACATAAGCTAACGAAGTATAGCAATCGAGTCCACCGGACGAATGGCCACTTTTATATTTTCTCGAAATTTCATCACCTCTAGAGTACGTAGTCTCCCGTTTCCGTCTGTCTGTCTGTCTGTCTGGTGTCTGTATCCATTTTTATTAGACACGTAATTTCCGACGCTGTTGGACCGATTATTATTGTCAAGTTTTATATGTATATTAGAAAGTATCATGTAGATGGTTAAATGTTAACGAAAATTTTGCTAATCATCCCCACCAACAATTTGATAAAGTCACTTCAAAGAATTCTATGTTTATATGATTTAACTGTTATACAACACAATAGTCTGACCTGACCTGACCTAACCGTCCAAATTTTTCCAAAAACATAATGCACGGTATAATAACAGTCACCATTAGCGTAAGGTATCCCAGTCGTGGTCAAGTGGTTACGAGACAGAAATGCGGACCGGATGTCGTGCGTTCGATTCCAAACTTTGTCCTTTTTTTTCTTTCTTTTTTTTTTCTCTATTTTTCTCACATTGTGTATTATCTACGTTTATAACGTCATAACAAATTTTTTATTGATGACATTACCCCACTTTCTCGAAAAGGTGAGAATACGCCCCTATTTATTGAAAAATGAAAAACATTCTCGGGGGCGCCAAATGTCTTTTTTTTAATGTCAAACCTTCTCGAGGATCCCGACTGTATTTTTTTTTAATGTGAAACCTTTTCGGGGGTCCCAACTGTTTTTTGTCATGTAAAACCTTCACGGGGGCGTCAAATGACTTTTTTTTATGTAAAACCTTCTCAGGGCCTCCAAAGGTATTTTTTTAAGAATGTGAAACCTTCTCTGGAGTGCCAACTGTCTTTTTTAAAAATGTAAAACCTTCTCGGGGGCGTCAAACATCTTTTTTAAAAATGTAAAACCTTCTTGAGGGCGCCAAGTGTCCTTACTGAAGAATGTGAAACCTTCTCAGGGGTCCCAACCCTTTTTTTGTATGCAAAACTTTCTAGGGGGCGTTAAATGTCTTTTTTTAAAATGTAAAACTTTCTCGGGGGTTAAATGTCTTTTTTATATAAAACCTTCTCGGCGTCGCCAAAGCTATTTTTTTAAGAATGTGAAACCTTCTCTGGAGTGCCAACTGTCTTTTTTAAAAATGTAAAACCTTCTTGGGGAGGCCAAATGTCTTTTTTTTTAATGTCAAACCTTCTCGGGGGTCCCGACTGTATTTTTTTTAATGTAAAACCTTCTCCGGGAACCAACTGTTTTTTTTTTTTCGTGTGAAACGTTCTCAGGAGCGTCAAATGTCTTTTTTTTTTGAAATGTGAAACTCTCTCGGAGACCCCAACTATCTTTTTTAAAAATGTAAAACCCTCTTGAGGCCGCCAAGTGTCTTTTCTGAAGAATGTGAATCCTTCTTGGGGGTCCCAACTGTTTTTTCTCATGTAAAACCTTCTCGGGGGCGTCAAATGTCTTTTTTTATGTAAAACCTTCTCCGGGCCTCCAAAGGTATTTTTTTAAGAATGTGAAACCTTTTCTGGAGCGCCAACTGTCTTTTTTAAAAATGTAAAACCTTCTTGAGGGCGCCAAGTGTCTTTTCTGAAGAATGTGAATCCTTCTCGGGGGTCCCAACTGTTTTTTCTCATGTAAAACATTCTCGGGGGCGCCAAAAATGTCTTTTTTTATGTAAAACCTTCTCCGGGCCTCCAAAGGTATTTTTTTAAGAATGTGAAACTTGTTCTAGAGTGCCAACTGTCTTTTTTAAAAATGTAAAACCTTCTTGGGGGGCCAAATGTCTTTTTTTTAATGTCAAACCTTCTCGGGGGTCCCGACTGTATTTTTTTTTAATGTAAAACCTTCTCCGGGACCCAACTGTTTTTTTTTTTCGTGTAAAACCTTCTCAGGAGCGTCAAATGTCTTTTTTTATCTAAAATCTTCTCCGGGGCGCCAAATGTTTCTTTTTTTAGAATGTGAAACCTTCTCGGAGACCCCAACTACCTTTTTTAAAAATGTAAAACCCTCTTGAGGGCGCCAAGTGTCTTTTCTGAAGTATGTGAAACCTTCTCGGGGGTCCCAACTATTTTTTCTCATGTAAAACCTTCTTGGGGGTGTCAAATGTTTTTTTTTATGTAAAACCTTCTCCGGGCCTCCAAAGGTATTTTTTTTAAAATGTGAAACCTTTTCTGGAGTGCCAACTGTCTTTTTTAAAAATGTTAAAACCTTCTCGGGGGCGTCAAATATCTTTTTTAAAAATGTAAAACCTTCTTGAGGGCGCCAAGTGTCCTTGCTGAAGAATGTAAAACCTTCTCAGGGGTCCCAACTCTTTTTTTTTATGCAAAACTGTCTCGGGGGCGTTAAATGTCTTTCTTTTTAATGTAAAACCTTCTCGGGGGTCAAATGTCTTTTTATTATTGTAAAACCTTCTCGGGGGCGTCAAATGTCTTTTTTAAAAATATATGAAACCTTCTCGGGGGCCCCAAAGGTATTTTTTAAGAATGTGAAACCTTCTCGGGGGCCCCAAATCTCTTTTTTTTTAAGAATGCGAAACCTTTTCGGCGGTACCAACTGTCCTTTTTTAAAGAAGGCGTAACTTTCTTAAAGATCACATAGACCTTTTTTAAGAATATTAAATCTTCTCGGGGCTTCCAACTGTATTTTTTTAAGAAGGTGGAACCTTCTTTGTTCTATTACACTCTGACTAGTATCTTCTATATTGTTTTCATTCCATAGAGGTTATCACGAAAAAATAAAATTCCGCCAAATCAAATTTTATAATTGTTCAGAGAAGCAGTATTTGTTGGACTGTACCTCAGAAGCGTGGGAAGTTCAATCGAAATATCTTTCGACCTTTTTTTTTATTATTATTAATAATATTTGTAGATACATAATTATGCATTCACGAAAATATCTGTTGATCCAAAATAAAGTTGCAAAACTATGTGTAATTGTATTTTTGTTAGATGTTGGTTGTTAATAATATTTGCAAAACATATTTGTAAATGTAAAATAAAATGGATATTAAGTATATAGTTACTTATACCATCACTGCTTATACATACATATAGTTTTAGGGTTTTTTTGAATGCATTTGACAAAAGGAATGTATCAAGTTCGCATCTGGATGTAGCGATTTTTTTTTCTTCCATTCTAATTTGGTTAAAAAAAGTCAACGTTAATGTTTAAAATAAATACAACTATTTCTGCTTCTAGTCTTTTTAACTCCGCTTTTATTACACCAATGTGTCTGCAAATTTAACTTTTTTTACGGATTACAGGTTCAAGTTTTTAACTGCTTAAACCTGAACTGAATTAAATTATATGTATACTTTCACTCCTAGTCCACGTTATTATTACTCATTGGAAAAAAACAAGAATTGTACATTCTTTTTACTTTTTTTTTAATACCTATACGAACCAAACCCTATTGTAATTGTAGTTGCCTAGATACGGGCGTTCCCATTTAAAACTCAAAACAAAAAAGAAAATAAACGACGCGTTCTGAAAAAAATTTTAGAAAGTTATGCACACAAAATACGAACAAATTAAAACCGATTTAGTTATACAAAAAAAGTGTCCCAGTATTTCCATTGGTAACGATTTATCGGAGTGTGTTGGTACCACGCACGGGCTGGCATCTGTCAATAAGCTGTCAAATCAGTCAAATGTTGTCTGCTGTCAAACAGCTAAACAACTTTGCTGATAAGTTTTCACGGTTAATTACGATGATAACATAGAGTTGTGTGGGCATATCGAATATTTTATTTGATAATTTGCACCGGAAGAGCAAACACGCATTTGTCGAGTCAAAATAATTTTTATTAACAATCTAGAACCATGGGCTGTTGCATTCTGAAGTCGTCACACCGCTGTTGTTTCATTCTATAGAGATGCTTTTCCCCATGGGAAGCAAGTACATGGGCTCGAATCCTGTAGAGAAATGGACACGGGAACTTTTGGCTCGTTTCTAACCAAGACCCAACGCCTCATTCTAGGCTGCTTCGTACTTCTTTTAGTTGATATCATCTGGGTTTCCTCCTCCGAACTCACAAAGGTACAGTAACTACGTTTAACTAAGTAACGTGTCAATAAAATTACTTCTGGTACGTTTTGTTATTTATTCAAGTTTCAGCTGCCACACAATATGAGAATTACAATAAAACAGTGGATATGTTTACAACAAATTTAAATAGTACAAAGGGAAAATATGTTTTTTCTTACAATTTGAACCCAGAAATTATAATACTAAAAAACAAGTTAATTTCATTAAATTACATTTTTTTAAATAACTGAAAAACATTTTTTTAACAAAATTTTTAACATTTGTAAAACTTGTCACTAGTATCTAGTGTATTTATCTTTAGTAAAGAGTAGGCGTTAATATGTGTGAAGAATTGACAGTGCTGTAGGGACTAGGGAACAATGATTTAAATTCAACTTATATTTTCGTTCTTAATTGTGCATTTATGCTAGCAGTAAACAAATTGTCATTGTATTTTTTCTGTTGTTTTTATTTATTATTAATATTCTTGATGTTTACTTCTGTATCTTCGGACGATTTATTAACAAAATAATTTTGTCACAGTTTATTTACACCAATGAAACTTTCGAGAAGCCCTTCTTTTGCACCTACGTCAAAACCTCCATGTTCACCCTGTACCTCCTCGGCTTCCTTTTTTGGCAGCCGTGGAAGGACAGCTGCTCACGCCCCTCCAACTACATCTTCGTGGACACAGAGCAAGAGGACGAGAACTACTACACCGACAATAGCAGTCGCCTGAGCAACCCCGTCTACGTGCCTGTCAAGACCGCCGAGATCGACAAGAACTCGGGCACGGAGAGCGACGACTCCTCGGTTAGGTCGGTCCGCTTCAACAAGCTGGCGGAAGTGCGACACATGTCCGAGACCGACGCAACCGAGGCGCTGCTGGCGCGGCTTTCGTACCAGGCGAGCTTGCGCGCGGGCGAGATCGCCAAGCGGGCGGCGATCAAGCTTCCGGTCTTGCGGGTGGCGAAGATATCGCTCGTCTTTTGTCTTTTGGTGAGTAGGCGCAGACGGGCGGCGACATGTTTGTGGTGTAGTGGTTTTTAGCCAATTACAACTACCAGATGGCGTTGGCGCAAACCGAGGCGGGGGTGGTGAACGTCCTGTCTTCAACTTCCAGTTTTTTTACGCTCGTTTTAGCGGCGGCGTTTCCTTCCAGCGGAAGCGATAAATTCACGTTGTCTAAGTTGGTGGCGGTGCTGCTGAGTATTGGAGGAATAGTAAGTATGGGTTTTTTGGGCAGTGTAAAGAAAAATCGACGAAAAAAGTTTTATGTCTGTTTTTTATTTATTAGTTCCTAATTATTATTATTATTATTAAAGTGTCTGCACTCGAAAATTTAATTTATGTTGTGTTCAGAATTCAGATTTTTTAGTTTAGTAACAAACAAGATCACGTTGCTTCAAAACATTTTGGTTTTTTCCGTGTGTAATTTTCGGGATAAATAGCGGAGTTGGTGGATCTTTAATTAACAGAAAAAGTCTGTATACTTACTAATCGTAATTTGTTGTAGATTCTGGTGAGTTTTTCGGACTTGTCGTTGGAATCGCACGTCCCTTTGGGTGCTTTTTTATCATTACTGAGTGCATTTTTCTACGCGACCTATTTAGTATTCTTGAAAAGAAAAGTCGACCACGAAGACAAACTCGACATTCCTTTATTTTTTGGTAATATTATTTTTGAACGTAAATTTCAAACCTTCACGACGATTCCTTCAAGGTTTTGTAGGATTTTTCAACCTAATTCTATTGTGGCCTCTTTTCTTCTTTTTGCACTTCAGTGAAGTGGAAATTTTCGAATGGCCTTCAAAACAACAAATGCTTTTTTTATTATTGAACGGTATTGTCGGAACTGTCATCTCAGAGGCCTTGTGGTTATGGTATGCACATTTTGATGTTTATTTAAAAAATAAGTGATAGTTTTTCTTAATAGGGGTTGTTTTCTTACGTCTTCGCTAATGGCTACAATTTCCGTGAGTTTAACAATTCCACTGACAATGTTAACCGATATAATTTTGAAGAAAGTGGCATACCCGTCTCTGTTTTACACGGGGACCATACCGATGATAGTGGCATTTTTTGCCGTTACCATTCTCTCGCACTATGATAACTGGGACCCTGTACTTGACGTCATACGTTGTGCCTACTTGAGCATATGTCGGAGGACGAGATTCGTACGGTAAATGCAGAAAGTCAAACAAAAATGTTTATGTGACATCATGCTGAAGTTTTAGGTTCGCCGAAATGCCGTCAGAACAAACCGAGGCCCTTATTGGCATCAACAGTAACGAGCACGAGGCGTAAAATTCTGAATCCTTTTTTCTGTGGTGCTTTCAAATATTATGTGATATTGAAATTTTTATTTTGTGATGTACAACTTTGTTTATACTTAAAAGTATTTTCGCTTTAGTTTTTGTCACTGATGTTGAAGATGTTTAAGATAACTATAGTAAGAAGCACGTACTATGTTCAAGGAGATAACTTTAGACAATATCTAATATACTATGTACACTGTAATAATTGTAACTTGTTCGGTAGGCCTTCACGATCTCAACTCTAACATTTGTATGAAGTAAAATAAATAAATTTTATGATGTAAATACAATTAAGTGTATCGATAATTCGCTACTGAAAATTTATTGAAATATTGAACACTTGTCCTTTTTGGCTCAATTTTATCGGACTTGTCCGTTTTTTTGATTTTACCGGAATCGTTCGATCCAATAAAACGTCAAACTTGACACAGTATAAAGTAAAATAAATAAATTTTATTCAATTTTGACATGTAAACAAACGTTTATTTTGCCGTCAGTAGGCCACTAAAGCTTTGGTTTATCCGGTAGCACCATAAAATTTTTAAACCGCTAGCGAAATAAAATTTTTATTTTGCTGTTTTAAAACCATGGTTACCATTTCTGTAATTTCTCCAATGTCTTGCTGCTCTTTCCATCTAAGGAACTTTTGATACACTTTCTGATTTGCTCTTTTTTGGGAGCAAGTTTTGCCGTTGGAATCTTGCATGATTTTGCAATTTTTCGATAATTTTAGTTTGTTTAAAATAAACAAACACCGTCGCCAGAGTCACATACTACACACACACACCTGATATTGTAACCTAAATTCTACGCATATAAAACTTTTATTTGGTCGCTGTCAATTCTGACGTTTCTCGAATGTGAACTTTGAATCACCAATTTTTTCACAATTTGGGACTTGGGGTTGTCAAAATTGAATAAAAGTTTGTATTACACTCGCGGTTAAAATGAATGTGTAACTCGTGGTCTTAAGGCGCTCGCGGCATACGCCGCTCTCGCCTTAAACTGGCCGCTCATTAAACATTCACTTTAACCGCTTATATAATAAATAACTATTATGATGTAAATACAATTAAGTATATCGATAATTCACTACTGAAAATTTATTGAAATATAATTTGTGTTAAAAAAAGATTTTTGTGGTTTTATGGTTTATTAACATAATTTACTTATTTGAAATTAAATATTTTTAATACATAGCACAAGTTCTTGATATTCTTTATTTTTATTCCAAGTAATAATTGTGTTTCCTTGAGTTTTAATCAAGAAAATTTTTCGGTTATTATCTAACATACTTTTGTACATTAAGAAACTCCATTCCACGTCACAGGACGTTACAGGACAATATTTAAATAAATAAAGAAGTCGTTTTATGTGTTTTAAAATTCACTCTGATTTCCGGACTTTAGACTTTTTGGTGTTTCACTTCGCCACAAGAACTAGTCGTATCTCAAAGGAAACAAACAGTGGAATATAGCGTATTGTACCAATATTTTATAGTAAAAATGTCTAAATTTTTTTATGAAGAGACAGACTGTTCTAGGAAACTTTACTAAATCTTTTCATTTACGAGCTTTTGAAAGACCGCCGGTCTCACTGATACTTCTTACTTGGCTCCTACGAATGAAGCGAAAAATGCACAGATTGAAAATATAGTAAATGGGGTAGTATGTATGCGTGATATGTCGTTAGACATTAAGTATTTTGCAAATAAAATTTATTTCATTGAAAACAGAAACAATAAAAAACATATCTGTACAAGTTTGGAATCGATATGGCCAGTTGTTTAGAATATGCAAATATGCTTTTGTTCGTATTTACAATTATTACGAAACAGGTTATCAAATAATCTATTTTCACATGGCGAGACTTTCAAGCGGCCGAAGAATTAAAAACCATAAATTTTCATTGAAGAAACAAACTCTTCCAAGAAAATTACCAAATCTTTTAGTTCCATTGATACCTACCTACCGAAAACGTTGCCAGATGAGCCTAACACAAATTTGCGGATATTTCTCGTCAACCAGATATTATTTCATTTAGAAGTTTCTGGTAAATAAATGGGATTATTGTAATGAACACATAAAACAAATAAATTGTGATTATTATTTGTTGTTTTAATCCATTAGACGCTTATAGGCTTATAAGCATACTTTTCTTGAAAAATCGGTATTAAATTCAGTGAAACATCTTTGTGCCTTAATTCCTATTGGTAAACTGGGATTTTGAATAGAGGTCGCAGGAAAATTTTGTATGGTTTTATGGTTTATAATTTTCTTATTTACAATGAATGTTTTTGATATATAATACAAGTTCTTGATATTATTTATTTTAATTACATTTAATAAACCATAAAACCACAAAAATCTTTTTTTAACACAAATTATATTTCAATAAATTTTCAGTAGCGAATTATCGATACACTTAATTGTATTTACATCATAAAATTTATTTATTTTACTTCATACTATGTCAAGTTTGACGTTTTACTGGATCGAACTATTCCGGTAAAATCAAAAAAACGGACAAGTCCGATAAAATTGAGCCAAAAACACGGAGGTAGAAGAGACACTCTTCTACCTCCGTGGCCAAAAAGGACAAGTTTTCCATTTCCGGAAGCGGCCACTGACCCTTTTGGGTCTCTTTTGCTTTACCTGTTATTGTAAATACAAATGTAAATTTAGTACTTCTGTAACCGTCCTGTATTAAACATCGAAACCGAACGCTGTCTATTATCTCGCACGCAAGAAAACAAAGGTTCTTGGAGCAATATCAAAGTGCAATTCGGTATCACATTGTCGTATCAACCAGATTACAAAAAATACTGGTAGGACGAGCCGAGTTGCACAAACATTGGTCCTTCGAGACGGATTGCACAAAACATTCGTCCATCGAGTCGGATTATACAAAACAATAAGTCCTGTAAAGTGTTATAAGTACTATGTGTTTAAACATATGATGCTGATTTGCACGAATAAACAAATTAAAACATTTACCAAAGAGCGGTTGCTAACGATGTCAGAAAAAGTGACTCGATTTGGATTTTTTCTCAAAATAATAATAATTTTATCGAATAAAAAAGTATGTTGACAGTATGAAATAAAATACATAACAACATACGTCCGGTAACTCTTTTCGCAGTACTCGTTTCGAAATTAAAGACTCGGCTACCTACTCGTCCTGAAACATATCACTCGTACTGTAAAATTTGAGCTACCGGACCGGACCGTATTTAGAATAACTTTAATTACCATTTATGTTTTCATCAACACTAACAAGTATTTAAAATAACAAGTAATAATTTGTTTGTATTGTTTATTCATTATAATAATTCCATTTATTCACCAGAAACTTTTAAACGAAATAAAATCTAATCGACTAGAAATAACGGCAAAGTTGTGCTAGGCTCATCTGGCAACGTTGCAAATTATATAAATGGTTACTAAGAGATTTTTACACATTGTTTTCGTCGCCCTCTGTCGAGTGGTAGCTTTATTATATGTATTTAATCAATGTTCATTCCAACTACTCTTGTTCAGTGATTTGTATTTTTCGCGTAATATTGGTTGCATACTTCCAATGCAATCTTGTATGTTTTTACATGGCCGACTAGTATAAAGATTATGGCCTGTCCAAGAGGTACGATACGTGTTGCCATCTATTAATAATTACACTTAATAATTTTGCAAAATTTTAATTTGACTTGACATTATGGGACTTCAAAACGTGTAATGGTGGTTTGTTTGGGTATGAATGCCTTTGTGCCTTTTAAAAGGTGTTAATAATTCTTTTGTCGATTTTGAAGTATTAATAGATGGCAGCACGTATGGTACCTTTGACATTCCTTTGGACAGGCCATAATCTTTATACTAGTCGGCCATGGTTTTTAAAACCCATACTAATGTGACGGGCTGTCACTAGATCAGTTCACGAGAAAATCACAACAAAAAGACGAAAAACAAATCCCCACAACAAAAACAAAATTTGCAAATATTAATTACTTAACACGCATGTCCAAATCTGCACATTCTAACAGATAATCAGACTCGACCACCAATCCCCAAACGTAAGAACAAAATTCGCATATTCTCAAATTTCAAATATCATTGCGCTTGTCAGACATTGCGAAAAACATGCGCAGAACCGTACATCCATAAACACCCCAATCGCAATTACTTTCATTAGAATTCGTACCCAAACTAAAACAGCAGCAGGCGAAACAAGTTCTGTGGGCGAAACCCAGACGCATAAAAGAACAGATCAAAGAACGCAGCCGTTACTAACAAGTTGAAAAAACTCAAATTTCTTGAACTAGAAGCCCCACTATATAATTACTCGACTTTAATCTGATTTCTTTGCAGTTGATAATTTCATTTTGAGTTTATTACCGTTCAATATGATCGCGTTCTGTGATTATTTTGCCATAGCTTTGGGAAACCTCGCACTTCATGCGAATTTAATGCTTCCACCGTACTTTAGAGCGTTTATGGTACTAATTTCTCCGCGTTTAGTTTCGGTGAAAGGTTCTGACCATCCATTTTTGTTTTCATCTGATCACCCCGTACCTACCTAATCTCAATGTTTTATTTTCATAATTAGGGTAGATTTAAGTGCATGTTTTAATCTGGTTAGTTTTAGTTTTCCTTAATTCTCAAGGGAAGATTTCTTTGATTTCCACTGAATTTTTAATTTTAATTGTTTTTAGGATTTTGATAGTACTTAGCTAGCGTGTAAATACCCAGTCACAGTTTATTAAATAATTAAGTGCATTACGCGAATTCGTATCTTACACGTATTATTATTAATTTTTTGAAAGTATCGCACACATTTAGGGATTTAATAAGTTATTCTTAAGTTTTTAATAACTGCATGAAGTTGTGATAACCCAAACATCCCGCCTTAAATTGGCATGTGAAAAAAAATTGAAAGCCGGCGAAACATTTAAAAATTCAAAATTTGGCCTTGGTTGTGATCGTCTGTACAAAATGGAACCCTACGTTGTGTTTTTGAAAAATGGCGGGATGTGTTCAGATGCAAGTGGTGGACCCTAAAGCTGGAAAAGTACGGCTAAATAATACACAAAATTTATGGAGGACAGAAAATTATTTATTCCTCCACTGACAAAAAAAGAAAAAAAAAACTGCGTGCCAGAGTGACTCGTGACTTGCCCTCAGGCTGCCCAGAGGGGGCTGAATTGCAATCGCTGTTCAGTTCCAGAAAAAAACTTTGAATGACTTGGAATGAAATCAAATTAAACGTTCTGAAATAATTGACAAATTTAATAAAAACAAAGCAAAATCTGAATTAAAGTAACTGGATGCAAATACACAAGTTATTACACACGTGTGGCGGTAAATTAAAATTATGGCAGTCAACAAGAGCACAACAAAATTACCCATAAGGGCGTTCTAGCACAAGCGGAGTTTGGGGCTCTGGTCGTGGCTGTTCTCCTCTACGACGGTGATTCTATCTATCGCAAGCCTACCGCAAAGCAGTTCTCTATTACGGACAAGCCGTACGTGCAGCTCGCAAATTTGCAGTTGGGTCCTGGCTATCACGAAGCCGACAGCGTTACGTCATTTCGACCGCCCCTGAATTCTATTCAAATCTGCATCTTTTCTACAGATGGCGGGATAAATCTCGCTAGCTCGACTAGGAATCGCGCACTCCCCTTCTGCCACGTATTTCGGTGTTATTTACCTCAATTCCATTTTAAATGTTCAATTTCTATGACTCTTATTAACGAGAGTTAAAGTTTCAAAAAGAGCAATAAACAACATTTAAATTCACCATACGATCTTGTGAAATTTTAAACAACAAATAATTCCTATGTGAGATTAAAATTGGACATGAGATAATTTATACAATGGAAACATTCATCAACAAAATATTTACAAAATAAAAACTAGCAAAGATTTATAAAAACAAAAGATCTAGCGTGAAATAAACTTGCGCAAATAAAAATATTACGTGAGGTTAAAACTGCACCGCATGGAAATTTATGTTCAATTTAAACTATACAACAAAGAAAATTACTGAGGCTAAAATTATTAGATAGAGAAAAATTGTAAATTGTATGAGGTGAAAAATTGCAAAGCTAACAAATTTACATGAGATTAATACTTACCACACTTTATCAACGATTCAAACAAAGAGTTTACATTATGTTAAATTATGTCTTGATCCAAGTGATTGGTTACTTAAAACAATTAGCTTTGAGCGTTTATAATATCCCAAACTGCTTACACCAAATAAAACACATAATAAATAAAGACAAAAGTATCCAGTCATCGTTGCGAGGAAAAAGCGTCTCGACGATGTAATTTTTAGCGTTGCGAGGAAATGCCTCGGTGATGTAATCTTTCTTTAACGTTGCGAGGACAGACCTTGGTGATGTAATCAATCTTTAACGTTGCGGTGATGTAATGATGATAACGATGATAACTGCCTAAGGGAAAAAAAAATTTTAACCTCCCCCCCGCCCGCTAGTTCATGATATTATGCATTTTGTTAATTTAACTGCCATAAATGAACTATTAGCAATCTTGTGTGAAGAATTAAGAAGTGTTATAATGTAACACTTAGGTACGTATGAGCATCTAGAAACTTATTCATAATTAGATAAAGGGTGTTATCCTGACTAAGTGAATTTCATGAAATCTCCTAATAAGTGTCTGTTAAATTGTGTTAGCACCAGTTAACGATTAAAATCCTAACCTGATCGGTGAATTTACAAACAATAAAACAAATTTACAGCACGTGTAGTGTTGCTCGAAAATTAAGATTTTTTCCGATTAAAAAGCGGCAAGAATTAGTTGTGCGTATCAGGGAAAACTGTGACGTAGCCGTTACGATTAATTGTTGTCGTACAGCTTCTTGTTCACCATGCTCATCCACAAGAAAGCAAAACAATATTAACGCTTTCACCACTTGTCTACCACTACTGCCCTCTAACTAACAAGCGGAACTACCAACTACCCCCAAGCGCTAACGTGCACATGGTTGCCTATGTTTAACGATTTTTTAAATTAAATTATTTCGGTCAAAAACAATTTCGGCACACTTACTTTCATATGTTCAGATTAAAAAAAATGGTACACATATATGTTTTTCATGAAATCATGTTTTCATTTTTACACAAAAATTAGGTCGTTTTTAGGAAATCAGCGTCTGCGTTGTAAATTTTAAAATAAAATGTTTATATCGTTTCTTCAAAGTGTTTACAAAGTTTTGGCGTATATGAGATTATTTACGTATTTTGACCGATAAGTTTACCATTTTTTACATTTGGTTATCAACGGGTCGATTAGTAAATAAGTTTTAAGAACAATACAAGAATAACAACTGCATTATTCACTTGAACTGTAGGCATCGATCTGTATCTTTCTCCTAAAAAAAAATGTTGTTAATACTGGCGCTAATCGCAATCGCTAGCGGTTTATTCTTTATGAATTTAAACTACATGTACTGGAAGAAACGGGGAGTTCCTGGCCCCGAACCGACATTTTTTGTGGGAAACATACTGGACAACTTTCTTGTGAAGAAGTCCTTGGCAGATCTGTATGGAGAGATTTACAGGTAAGCTTTTTTAGTAAGGAAAAAAACCTACAATTTCACAATAACACATGCAAAAAAATATTAAAGCGTATTAGATTATTAAAAACTATTTTTGTTCTGCCATCTTGGACAAAGAATAATGTTTTAGAAAATTCCAAGACGCTCGCTTGGTCGGTATCTTCAAAGCCGGTACACCAACACTGGTACTCCGTGATCCAGAACTAATCAAAGATATCACGGTTAAATCTTTCCAAAACTTCCGCGACAACGAGTTGTACCTTGACAAAAGTGTTGACCCATTGTCGGGGCGGAACCCATTTTTCTCAAAAGGCGACGATTGGAAAAGCACAAGAGTGCTTTTAACACCCGGCTTTACCAGCGGAAAGGTAAAACTTAGCCTTGTATTACCACCATATACAATTAATATTTAGATAAAATGGATTTATCCTTTGCTGGAAGAAGTCAGTAAGAACTTCGTCAAATACATCGAAAAACAGCCAGAAACGACGAATATCAAAGAATTATGCATGAGATTTACTCTGAACAACGTAGGGACTTGTGCCTTTGGACTCGATGCTAAGTGCTTCGAAGAAAACAATCCAGAGTTTAAACAAATCGCCGATAAGTACTTCAGTCCTGTGGGCTTCAAAAACGTCAAACTACTCCTTATTAGCATCATTCCTGCTTTAGCAAAAATAATTTCCATCAAGTAAGATTTCCAGTTGTCTTCATGTGGTACTGATTTTGATTTGTAGATTCACGCCGAAAGACGTGGAAGTAAAACTCACAAACATAATAACCCAGACTTTGAAATATCGGGAAGATAACAACATTATTAGAAACGATTTCCTGCATATCATACATCAGTTGATGAAGTCCCATAAGGATTTTACTGAAGTGGATGCCACGGCACACGCAGCTGGATTCTTTGGAGACGGCTACGAAACCAGCTCGATTGCGATGCACTTTTTCTTGTACGAACTTGCAGCAAATCCTGAAACTCAAATTAAACTCAGAGAAGAAGTAAATAAAGCGTTTGAAGAAAACAACAACACCTTACCGTACGAAGAAATACAAAAGATGGCGTATTTAGATGCCGCTTTTAGTGGTAAGTTTTCGTACGTACACATACGCCGTGTATTAATATTTGTTTGATTATAGAGGCGCTACGATTGCACCCACCTCTAGGTTCTTTGAATAAAATGTGTACGAAAAATTATACATATGTGCCAAAAAGTGACGAAATGATTAAAAAACCGTTCGTTATTGAAGAAGGAACGCCTGTTATTTTACCATTGTATGCATTACATCGCGATCCTAAATATTTCGACGACCCAGACTCGTTCAAACCGGAGAGATTTCTTGATGGAAAGAAGGACACTGTGAAATATGCTTTTTTGCCTTTTGGTGAAGGTCCGAGGGCTTGTTTAGGTATGATTATTGTCGATGTATTGGAATTGTCTAATTAGTGTTGGGTTTTAGGTCAGAGATTTGGGTCTTTGCAGGTAAAAATTGGCGTTGCTTATGTCATTAGGAATTTTGAAATTTTCGTTAATAAGAAGACAACTTTACCGATTAAATACGATCCTATGTACTTTTTAACATTGCCAAGAGAGCCTTTGTGGATTGACTTTAAAAAAATCAGATAATTATTGGCTTTTACGTTTTACAATCTCTTATATAAGTTAGGTAAGAGTTTCTTCAAAAATTTTAATAGTTTTTGTAATAAACTTAAAATAAATATATTTTCGTTTTATTTTGTACATAATTTTATACAGGTATATATACTTATTAAAAAAATCTACCAGATTTTTTATGTAAATAATTACATTTTTTCGAATGCAAAATGTTTTCTGCGATCCCCAACATCCTTTAACTCTATTATTGCGATTAAAAAATAAAAATCCGTGCCACCACGCTATTTAGACTATGTAGATTATTTTCAATTAAGCGTTTATTTATTATCATTTGACATTCAGGTCACAACAATCTGCACTTTCTGTTAACAACACGTTAATTTTTTATCACTCCAAATATAGTTATGTTATTAATAATTATAAATTATTATCAATATTTTGTTTTCACATAGATTTTCATTTTTCGAGCCTTAGCTATGGAAGTAAAGTAGCTAAGGCTCAATACATCCAGTAACCCGTGAAATTTAAACAATTTCTAAGTAACGATAGATATTGTGGCGGCAAATTTAAAATTATGGCAGATAACAAGAGAACAAAATTTTAATAAAAAACTATGCAGCGGCAACTATCTCAATTTCATTCTGGAGCACAGCAAAATTCCGCATAGCATAGTTGTAGCACGAGCGGAGTTTGGGGCTTCTGGTCGTGGCTGTTCTCCCACCACGACGGTGATTTTACTCTATCCTATCGGCAAGCACATGCCGCCCGGCACCCCTCTATTTAACGAAGAAACGTGCCGTTCTAACAGCCGTTACGGTCGCAATCTCGTGTTTGGAAATCGCGGCTATAAATAAGCTGGCAGCGTCACGTCGTCCCAACGGTTCCCTTGACTTCTATCCTAGGCCTGCATCCTCTGTGCGGATGGTGCGACCGCCAGCTCAGCAAGGGACCACGCGCTCCGCTTCCGCCACGTTTTTCTGTGTTATTTAACCTCAGTTCCATTTAAATTTTCAATTTCTATAATAACTTTGACATTAAACTCCAACTGAACAAGTGGTAAACTTTCCAAAAAAAAAAAAAAAACAATAAACAAGATTTAGATTCGCCATATACTCTCGTGAAATTTTAAACAGTAAAGAATTCTTATCTAAGATTAAGATTGGACATCGGACAATTTATATGATGGAAGCATTAATCAACAATCTGAACCGTCATTTTTTGTGGGCAATATAGTGGACAACTTTCTTGTGAAGAAGTCTTTAGCAGACTTGTACGGAGAGATTTAAAAGTAAGCTTGTCTTTATACTAAGATACTTATCTACTAATTGTCTATTTAGTGTAGGATTTTAGGTCAGAGATTTGGGTCTCTGCAAGTAAAAATTGGTGTTGCTTACATCATTCGGATTTTTGAAATTTCCGTTAAAAAGAATACATCTTTGCCCGTTAAATACGATCCTGTGTACCTTTTAATATTGCCAAGAGAACATTTGTTGCTTGATTTTAATAAAATAAGATAATTTCTGGTTTCTATGTTTTGTTATCTTATGCATTAAGTTAAGTGTTTCGTTCAACAGTTTTTTTTCAATATAATTCAACGATGTTACTGAAATAAAAAAAATTGGTCTAAAGAGTTTAGACAGTACTTCCCTCGCTGTCGGAAACTTGACGACTGCATGCCTATTGTATTTTTTTCTCATTACATTTTTGTAGTGGGAATTTAAAAAAAATTGCGATGACGTCATCAACATTTTTGCAAGGACACGTATATCAGTTGGGATAGATGTAGTGTAATACTAAGAATAAAATTATTGTATTCCCAAATTTTCGGGAAAATGAATTGGGTCGTTTTGAATATTGATTTGTTATAATCAATAAAATAACGAAACAATTTACTCACGTATACGGCGCCGGTGTGTAATATGTAGAGAGCGGATTTCTGTCGGGCTAGGCAAGGCCAAACTCGGTACGGCTCGTACGGGATGCGAATTCATTGCGGTTACGGACTGCACTTCGTTTATTTGAGATTAGAATAACGCTGTTTCGTTGCACTCTGCTGTTAATTCCCGTTCTCATTTACTTAGCCGTTTGATTAATAAATCGTTAATTATATTTATGGAATTAGTACCGATTAAATTCAGTGATTATTTATCACCCGCTATTGAGTCCCGGCGATCCAGCGCGTCCCCACCTATAATCGTGACGTGGCCCGACAGAAATCCGCTGTCTAGTAATATGAGAGGCAACTGAAAATCGTTTATGTATAAACATTCTTAATTTAAGATGACAAGCGTAACAGCATACGTGAGAGTCAAACAGAGAAACTGTAAACAAAACGACCATCGGTTTTATTGCTTCGACTTCCGCTTATTATATAAAACATTGAGTTTTATTTTAATTTTTGACGGTGGAATTCACAATTGGTTGATTATAAACATGTCTATTCCACATTCGCGGAACCTAGACAGCGCACACGTCTGTAATGTTAAAGTCGATGTAAATAAGCGTGCTACCCTTATGTTTCAACCGAGTTTTTACTTTAAAAAATTTTGTGTCTACCAAATTGGGTTGGTCCAATGTAATACTAATAATAAGTGTTGCCTTTAATTTAATCAATAAAATAAATTGACTTCATTAATTTTTTTGAGCCACCTCTTAAGAAAATCTAAAAAATATGAATGAAGTGATAAATCAAAAGTACAGACTCATCATATTTTTACGCTTTAGATAGGATTTATTCGGCAAACTTTCGAGCTGACGTCATCAATTTTTTTGAGGGGGGATTAGTAAATACATTTTGATAAAAAAGTTAACGTGCTTATGATAACTTTAATACATCTCCTATGTTTCAAAGCATTCGGTTTTGTAGTTCCTGATTAACTCAATAAAATAAATTCACGCATTCATTAATTTTTTGAGTCACTCTGTATATGCAAAACGAAAAAATTTTAATGGAATGATAAATCACAAGTACAGACTCATCATATTTTGTACATTTTAGATAGGATTTATTCAGCAAAATTTTGGGGTGACGTCATCAATTTTTTAGGGGGGATGAGCAAATACATTTTGATAAAAAATTTACCATGCTTATGATAACTTTAAAACATCTCCAAGATTTCAAAGCATTCGGTTCTGTAATTCCTGATTAAATCAATAAAATAGATTGACGCATTCATTAATTTTTTTGAGTCACCCTGTATATGCAAATCGAAAAAATTTGAATGGAATGATAAATCACAACAAGAGACTCACCATATTTTGTACATTTTAGATAGGATTTATTCGGCAAAATTTTGTGGTGACGTCATAAATTTTTTAGGAGGGGACGACCAAATACATTTTGATCAAAAATTTACCATGCTTATGATAATTTTAAAACATCTTCAAGATCTCAAAGCATTCGGTTTTGTAGTTCCTGAGTAAATCAGTAAAATAAATGTTGCGCATTCATTAATTTTTTTGAGTCACCCTGTATATGCATATCCAAAAAATATGAATGGAGTGATATATCACAAGTACAGACGCATCATATTTTGTACATTTTAGATAGGATTTATTCGGCAAACTTTTGAGCTGACGTCATCAAGTTTTTGGAGGGGATAACCAAATATATTTTGAGTAAAGATTTATGATGCTCTTTAGAGCCTTAAAACATCTGCAACATTTTAAAACATTCGGGTTAGCAGATTCAAAATTAAATTGCAAAATGTTGTTTTATGATTTTGATTTTTTTTCCAAAAATCTGGACGTTTCGGGTAAAAACTGAATTCGGAGTCGTAAACTACATGTGTAGGACTATGTTATTTTATACAATTTAAGACCCATTTACTATGTACAATTTTGAAGTGACGTCATCACATTAGTGGTGGGGATGATTAGACAAATTTTGGTTAGCGTTTTACCATCTACATGATATTCCTAATATAAGTACAAAATTTCACAACAATCGGTCGAGTACTTTCGGAGATTATCTGTCTAATAAAAATCCGGGACGGCAGACGGACAGACGGACAGACGGACGGACAGACGGACGGACAGACGGACGGACAGACGGACAGACGGACAGACAGACGGAAATGGGAGACCTATTTCTTCGTCTTCTAGGGGTCATGAAAGATCGAGAAAACGTAAAAGTAGAGAGTCGGCCGACGGACTCGATTACAATACTTCCTTTGCTTACGCTCGGGAAGTAAAAGATACTAATTTTGAAGTATGTAATTGTATTGAATGGATGTAAAAAAAAGTTTTTATAATATCCAGTCTACCCTAAGATAAAAATATACTTGTGTTTACATGTCTGTTAGGAACGAGATAGCAAGCCGGAACTTGGAACATACTTGTCTCCAAAACATTGTATTTTTACTCTGACACTCGATTGATAACACTTCGCTAGATAAAAAATTTAGTTCGCTAACGAGTAACGCTTAACAAAGTATTATTTTTCTACTCATCGAACATGACATGCTTGAATTAAGTACATAATCCTTTTTTTTTACAACTAATAAATTACACAACAGCGGCGTAGCAATATTAGCCCAGTAACGATTATACATCAATTTCAGTTTTAGGTCGTGCGTTGAACAGTCGCTAATTCGAAAATATGATTATTTCACTAATAATAATTGTTAGTGCTCTCGCATTCTATGTTTTAAAGAAAAATTATGAATACTGGGAAAAACGTGGAGTTCCTGGTCCTAAACCAACATGGTTTTTTGGAAATTTGGGTGAAAACTTTATGATGAAAAAATCGCTGATGGAGGTGTACGCAAACGTCTATCAGTAAGAAAATGTTCAATAGTTTTTCCCTGTTAATGTCATTTACATAAATGATTTTTAGTCAGTACAAAAAATACCCATTTGTGGGAGTTTTTAAAGGAGTAAGTCCAGCGTTGGTTGTTTGTGAACCCGAAATGATTAAGGAAATAACCGTGAAGTCTTTTCAACACTTCCACGACAACGATTTCGAAGTGGACAAGAAGCTCGATCCTATACTTGGACGAAATCCTTTTGTCCTGAATGGGCAAGAATGGAAGACTGTGAGGAGTCAACTAACGCCAGGATTTACGAGTGGAAAAGTAAATAAAAACTGCTTCACTAAAATTTACTTTTATATAAGCAATACATTCCACGTGCAAAGATAATTCTATTTCTAGATGAAGTGGATATACCCTCTTTTAGAAGACACAAGCAACCAATTAGTCAACTTTATTTCAAATCAGCCCAAAGCCACGAATGGCGAAGGTTTCGAATCCAAAGACCTGTGCGCAAAATTCACCCTAAACAATGTCGCAAACTGTGCTTTCGGCCTAGAAGCCAAAGCTTTTACCAACGAAAGCACCGAGTTCCAATTAATCGCAAAAAAGTTCTTCGAAAGTGGTATCATCCAGACCTTCTTTTTTGTACTGGCCCAAATCTTTCCAAGCTTATTAAAACTAATCAAAATAAAGTATTTTTTAAATTTGGGTAAAAAACCACAATTTGACTGTATTTTTTTCCAGGCTGATACCAAAAGATATCGAAGATCGACTCGCAAACATCGTCACACAGACTCTAAACTATCGCAAAAACAACAATGTTGTCCGTAACGACTTTCTGCACATCTTGAGTCAGCTGAAGAAAACCTGCAAAGAATATGAATTTACAGATGTAGATGTTACGGCCCACGCATCTGGATTTTTTATCGATGGTTTTGAAACTTCAGCCAGTGTCATGAGTTTCGTTTTGCACGAACTGGCGGCAAATGGTGAAGCACAAGGAAAACTGAGAGAAGAAATCGTGAGTCACTTTCGAGATAACGATAACAAGCTTTCGTACGAAGGGTTACAGGGACTTCCATATCTAGATGCTGTCATTCAGGGTGCGTTCCGGTATTTTTCTTCTATTTTTGAATATTTTTGTTTTAGAAACTTTAAGACTTCATCCTCCACTTTTCAACTTGGGAAAGGTGTGTACAAAACCGTACACGTATGTTCCAAAAAAGGGTGACAAAATTTCTAAACCTGTGCAAATTGAGAAAGGTACTTCTGTAGTAATACCATTGGCTGGAATACACCGAGACCCGGAATTTTTCGAAGAGCCTAATGAATTTAAACCGGAAAGGTTTATTGGTGACAACAAGGAGAAAATTGTTAAGTACAGTTTTCTGCCGTTTGGAGAAGGTCCAAGGGCATGTTTGGGTATAGAACATTTTTATCTAGTGTTTTAAAAGTTTTACGTTTCTGTTTTATTAGGACAACGATTCGGTATGCTCCAAGTCAAAATTGGAGTGGCCTATGTCGTTAAAAACTTCAGGTTGTCTGTCAATGGAAAGACGAAAATGCCTCTAGAGTATGATCCTTTTGCAATTATTACCACTCCTAAAGGTGGAATGTGGATCGATTTCGAAAAAATTGAGTAACTTTTTTGGTGTATAGTATTTGAATAAAGTTATTTTGCAATTGATGACGTAATTGACATAATATCTTTTCGCGAAATTCAATTCCCTGATATCACGCTTTTCACAGTGTGATATTTATTACAACCTGCCCTTCAGGCGATAATCTATAATTATCATTCAATTATTGAAAACACGTTAATTTTTTTACCATTCCAAACATAATCATTGTATTAACAATTATCATAATTATCTATTATCAGTACTTCGCTTTACCGTTGGTTTCTATTATTTACAATTGTGTTACAAAGTGAAAAGTGTATCGTTCTAGGGTAAAAAATAGACTATGTTTTTGTAAATTTAAGATATACTAATTCAATTAAAAGTTTGAAATATGTGACTGCATTGAATGGAGGTAAAAAAAGTTTTTATAATAGTCAGTCTACCTAAAGATAAAAATATACTTGTGTTTACATGTGTGTTAGGAACGAGATAGTAAGCCGGAACTTGGAACATACTCATCTTCAAAACATTGTATTTTTACTCTGATAACACTATGCTAGATAAAAAATTTAGTTCGCTAACGAGTAACGCTTAACAAAATATTATTTTTCTACTCATCGAACATGACATGCTTGAATTAAGTACCTATCACGCAACAGCGGCGTAGCAATATTATCTCAGTAACGATTATACATCAATTTCAGTTTTCGGTCGTCCGTTGAACAGTCGCTAATTCGAAAATATGATTATTTTACTAATAATAATCTTTAGTGCTCTGATATTCTATCTTTTAAAGAAAAATTATGAATACTGGGAAAAACGTGGAGTTCCTGGTCCTAAACCAACTTGGTTTTTTGGAAATTTGGGTGAAAACTTTATGATGAAAAAGTCTCTGGTCGAGGTGTACGCAAACGTCTATCAGTGAGAAAATGCTCAACAGTCTTTTCCTGTTAATGTCATTTACACAAATGATTTTTAGTCAGTACAAAAAATACCCATTTGTGGGAATTTTTAAAGGAGTAAGTCCAATGTTGGTTGTTTGTGAACCCGAGATGATTAAGGAAATTACCGTGAAGTCTTTTCAACACTTCCACGACAACGATATCGAAGTAGACAAGAAACTCGATCCTGTACTTGGACGAAATCCTTTTGTCCTGAATGGGCAAGAATGGAAGACTGTGAGGGGTCAACTAACGCCAGGATTTACGAGTGGAAAAGTAAATAAAAACTGCTTCACTAAAATTCACATTCCATTACGTGCAAAGATAATTGTTTTTGCAAATTTCTGATACAATTTTTAGGCAAAAGTGTTAAAAAATGCATGTAACGAAAATTTCACCTTCTGTTTCTAGATGAAGTGGATATACCCTCTTTTAGAAGACACAAGCAACCAATTAGTCAACTTCATTTCAAATCAGCCCAAAGCTACGAACGGCGAAGGTTTAGAATCCAAAGACCTGTGCGCAAAATTCACCCTAAACAACGTCGCAAACTGTGCTTTCGGCCTGGAAGCCAAAGCGTTTACCAACGAAAGCACCGAGTTTCAATTAATCGCAAAAAAGTTCTTCGAAAGTGGTATCATCCAGACTTTGTTTTTTGGTCTGGCCCAAATTTTTCCGATCTTATTAAAACTAATCAAAATAAAGTATTTTTTTGTTTCGGTAAAAATCCACAATTTGACTATATTTTTTTCAAGGCTGATACCAAAAGAAATCGAAGATCGACTAGCAAACATCGTCACACAGACTCTAAGCTATCGCAAAAACAACAATGTTGTCCGTAACGACTTTCTGCATATCTTGAGTCAGCTGAAGAAAACCTGCAAAGAATATGAATTTACAGATGTAGATGTTACGGCCCACGCATCTGGATTTTTTATCGATGGTTACGAAACTTCAGCCAGTGTCATGAGTTTCGTTTTGCACGAACTGGCGGCAAATGGTGAAGCACAAGCAACACTGAGAGAAGAAATCGTGGGTCATTTCCGAGATAACGATAATAAGCTTTCGTACGAGGGGTTACAGGGACTTCCATATCTAGACGCTGTCATTCAGGGTGCGTTCCGGTATTTTTCTTCTATTTTTGAATATTTTTGTTTTAGAAACTTTGAGACTTCATTCTCCACTTTTCAACTTGGCAAAGGTGTGTACAAAATCTTACACGTACGTTCCAAAAAAGGGTGACACAATTTCTAAACCTGTGCTAATTGAGAAAGGTACTCCTGTAGTAATACCAGTGGCTGGAATACATAAAGATCCGGATTTTTTCGAAGAGCCTAATGAATTTAAACCGGAAAGATTTATTGGTGACAACAAGGAAAAAATTGTTAAGTACAGTTTTCTGCCATTTGGAGAAGGTCCAAGGGCATGTTTGGGTACAGAACATTTTTACCTAGGGTTTTAAAAATTTTACGTTTCTGTGTTGTTAGGACAACGATTCGGGACGCTCCAAGTCAAAATTGGAGTGGCCCATGTCGTTAAAAACTTCAAGTTGTCTGTCAATGGAAAGACGAAAATGCCTCTAGAGTATGATCCTTTTGCAATTATTACCACTCCTAAGGGTGGCATGTGGATCGATTTCGAAAAAATTGAGTAATTATTTTGGTTTGTAGTTTTTGAATAAAGTTATTTTGCAACTGATGACGTAATTGACATAATATTGTGGAATAAAATAGCACATAGTTTAAGGAAAAACAAAAATTTATTACAAAGCAATCAAAATTCAGAGGAACAATACAAATCGAAAGACTAGAACCTAAACAACCTCCTTTAAATAAAGCTCAATAAATACTCTTCCACCTGTCCTTAGTAGTGCTGCTGCGGCGTCACTTCCTCCTGGTACGCCTGCTGCTGGTGCTGCGTGGGCGCCGTCTTGTGCACCACAGCGTTGAACCCGCTGTGTTTATCAGCGGTGTACTCCACGGTCCTCACGGACCCGTCCGGCTCCACCACCGAGTACTGCCCCTTGACCACGTCTCCGTCTCTGCTCTCCTGCTGGCTTTTGATATCTCCGGTGTGGTAATCGTTCACGCCGTACTTGAACGTGTACTTGGGCGGCGCCTGAAGAAAGTGCCGGTGAAAAGAAGAAAGCACGACATCTGTGCGATATGGGAAAGCCGCATTCTACTCACGTAGTAGTCCACGATGTGGTCCTCTTCGTGCTCTTGCGGCTGAGCGTCGTACTGTAGGACGTTGGCGTCTTCTTCTTGGTAGACCACGGGAGAGGCTGATCCGGCGACAGCCAGACAGAGCAGGGCCAGCTGGAAGTTTTTACTTTTACTTTTTGTTCGGGTTGCCTAATGACTGATAGGTTTTGTTCGAGAAGAAGAAAGTAAAGAGCTGAAAGCGCTTCCGTTGGAATACTAATGGTGTTGGGGTTCGATGTATGGGTTGACGGGTCTTGAATGGCGTATGAGAGGTGTTAAATTATGATATGCTAGATGAGATGTAATAGTGACGGGGAAACTATTATTAACAAAAGGAGAAGCAAGAGTTGAAGCGCTTTGAGTAAAAGTGATCGGAGCGGTTTTGGTATCATTAGTGTTTTAATTATTGTTTTTAGATAAATAAAGACTTCCTGGTCGGGTTTTGCGAGTGGAAGGAAACATAATTGTTTTCGGCAGATTTGTTACAATCTTTCCAAATTTAATTTAAATATATTTAACAGCATTTCGGAATTGGAGGTTTTCGTTGTTCGGCGCAATAATATACAGAGTGTCTCACAGCATATGTCCCAACCAACAATGTTTCTATTAGTTGAGATATTTATGTGCCATAAAAACCAGCTTTTATAACTGTTAACCACAACGCTACTTTTTTTTAAATATAAACTTGTGGTAATTTTTTACAGGAATAGGTTTTTTCAAGATGTCGAACAACCATGTGTTACGTTATTTTAATTTAATACCGTTACGTCAATGAATTGATGCAAAACAAGCTAAACACAAATCTGATGACATCAGACGTAAAGACCGCATGTCATACGAACGTAGCTTAATTAAATATTCAAGTACCTACAAACTTAAAAAAAGATCGTTTATTTATATGTTTTCCACATAACAGAATATTTAAAATATTACAAAAATATGTATATATTGTCATTTGAAATCAAAAGCTTATTAAACTTTTTATGCACAGACGTATCTCAACAAATAAGAAAGGCATTGACTAGAAAATAGAATTTGAAACAGCTGCTACATATATGCAAACGTTTTAAAATTTCACGCTTAAGTTACGCACAATCTGGAATATTTTGGTAATGTACTTATTTATTATTTACTATAGCAATTTTAACGTAACGCTCTAATATTTTTTAACTTGGCGGTTCTGCGTGAGCTTCATTACTGTCATGACCGTTCCAAAATTGGTCTGTTTTGCATACGTGCTTTGGAAGTAGTGACCGGTGTAAATTAGATATTTACATATTCCATTGTGCTAATTTTGACTAACATTTTTTATTGTTCATTTTCTGCCTATATTTTTTCTGTTTGTGCTGTGTTGAAAATGTTTTTGAAATGTAATTTCGTCAACCATTGAACTTTTTAGTTCAAAATTTAAAATTAGTTAATATCCTTTAAAAAAATATATTTTTCTCTCCATCAATAAATGGGTAAATTATTTTGTTTTTCAGACAATACGCTCTAAGATTCGACAATAATTTTCTAGTTTGCTAATTGTAGTTATAACTCTTTAAAAATAAAACAGCAATTTTTACTAATAACAACAACGTTGAGAAACATATGTACTTTGAGACACGACTGTTTAAAGTAACAAAACACAGAAAAAAAAATGTTAACTATAAAATCAGGTGCGTTACGAATTTAGGGAAAGTTGTAAAATACTAACAATCTATCGAATTCCCTTAAAAAAATAGAGAAATTTTGTTTAGAATTTTAGGAACGTCATTAACCAGAATCCATATAAAATATCTGCACTACTTGCATGAAATAAGCAAAATAGAAAACAACAGTAAACTATTTTAAGAAGCAAATGTAATGATCATAAATAGGTATGAAATAGAATTCAAGGAGACAAAATAATTTCAAAAATTTTACATATTGTAGTAGCGGCCAAAATAAAGCAGGGCCTCTTGAAAGAATTTTTTCAAAAAATTTAGTTGTGTAAAGTGGACTCAGTTAAATAGGTATTCATTAACAATGACATTTAAATGTCAATATAAATTTGAAAGTTACACTGGGGAAAGAAAAGTGTCCTATTTTATTTTGGACACCACTGTATATGTTATAAAAAACAAAATACCAAAATAGCTGACGTAAAATATTTTTAAAACTTTGTAATTAGTGTGTTTTGTAACTATAATCTCCTAAGTATTCTTCTGTAATATTTCTATAAAAAAAAAAACTTTTTTGAAAGTAATTTGTTATACTTCTAGTGAAGTCAGTAAATAATATTTTGTTAAATGTAAACTTACTGTATTGTCAACATTTTTATTTTGTAAAAGAATCTAGAATCAAAGACGAATTTTGTGAATCATCATAATAATATCTAATAACAGTAATAAAAATTTACTAATTAAAAAATCTTCTTATATGTATTATATTTTTACTACTGTGTAACATTTTGTATCTGTACAGGGTGAGTCACCTCGAATAAAAAAAAGTAATTATATTAAATTTGCTTTAAAAAAAGCAACGAAAAAAGTATATTACAGAAATACCATATAGCTTTTTTTTATTTCCAAAAAATCTAAAAAATTTGCTTTATTAGCTTCACTATTTCATGAGTTTGAAAAATATACACCTACTTCATTACTCACCTAAAAAAATGTTTTGAAAACAGAACACAGAAAATGTTTTAAGAAAATCTTATTTTACAAAAGCAAATAAAATGTATCAAAAGTAATAAATATTGAACTTTTCGGAGGATTTTTTTCTCAATTTTATAGTACAATAAAAATTCAGATAAATAAAAAAAAATGTCGCGATTTTTTTTTTATTATTTTGTGTTTTATCAATTATTTAACGTTAGCTATTAGCTAACTCACCCTGTATATGTAAGAATCTGCATACAATATTTATTATCATCGAATATGGTAAAATCTGAACTAATTATTTAGAAGAAAAATACTAGAATGTAGTAAATAAAAAATACTTTGTAAGATTAATAAAAAAATACCTTTAAGCAAAACATTGTAAAAACTTCACTGGTACAAATCAACCACTAGCACTAGATTAACGACTGTTTAGGAGAAACTGAATCTTCCCCCTTATATATACTTTCTTTTGATACAGTATGGGAAGGAAGGATGCAACTAGTCAATATATTAGACGAAGATGAAAGTAGGTTACTAGTTGCTTATAACGTTTAATGTACGTATTACGTACAAATAAGCAGATTTCTATAACATTAAATTACGACCATTTGATTTTTATGAATATTACAATCTCAAACAAAACCCACGTTTATTCCCCATCGAAGTAAAAGTTCTAAATAAACGAACGCCAGAAATAAAAATTGCTGCGAAAATTTTCGAATCCGTTCACTTTTATGTAGATGCAATTGTGATAAGAATAATGAGCCATTATTTGACCCTCCAGTGTCTACCGTCAAGATTAATGTTTCTGGAAACGGTGAGTGAATTCGCATCGCGTATCGCTATCTAAAATCTGCGCTCGTGTGATCATCTCCCCAGTTCACACTCTGTTTCTTCATCGCATTAATTAATAAACACAAATCATGCAAATGCAACAATTTATTAGTCGACTATGTTCATGTTGAAAGCTGTCAAGTCGCATCAAAATTTCCGTTGTCAGTCTCCGAAATGAAGCACTGCAGTATCTGCAATCGCGAGTTCGACGCCTCCGAACTCCTCCAGAGCAGCCAGGACGACTTCTTCTGCAAGGAGTGTTTCAAGTACCAGTACTGCACCTGTAGACAATGTACGCATTACCCAACTGATCCAATTAAGTAACGGACTTTCTGCAGTGAAATCGCCACAGATGGCAGCTATTCATTGTCTTGCGTTTCAGTATGCACGAAGAAGAAATCGGCGTCGGCAAACAAGTGTGAAGGCGATTCCGTGACAAAGCCGAGGAAGATGTTCTCTATGGATGAACTGTCGGCGATACAGAAGGACAGGGAGCGAGCGAACCGCCACTGCACCTCCAAGAGGTAAAAGAAAGAGACGTTTTTTTATTAATTGAGAGATAGGCCGTTGCAGTGTCCACACATCGATTGCAACAGGTACGTGAGCGTTTTTGACTTGAATGCGCACTTCCAGCATGAACACATAGAGGTGAAGATCACACAGACGATGCTGGACTCCAGGAATCCCCTGACTTTTTATCCGAAGGATATCCGGTATGGGGTGAAGCAGTGTCTGCTTCTTTTTAACGTCATACCGAACCTTGATGACCTTATGAACAACAGGTAAAATACGTTGTTGCGAAAGGAGTTGTATTATATCTGAGCGTCAGATTTATTTTTAATTTATTTATTAATCAGAACGCATAATAGACTTCTAGATTTTTAGTCTTTTAGTGCTTATAATTTATATTTAGCCAACCGGAAAAACCTACGACGCCTATAACAGTGGCCGTCTTGGCTTCGAGGCTAGCAGCGGCCCAACTCAGCGAAGAAACGATCAACGAATGTATCCTCGAAGACGAAGACTGTAATGAGCTCACCACGTGCATTAACGATAAAATCATTATCTGGATCGCCTCGAATATAGTTTGCAACTATAATTACACGGCTGCAGTGTCCACAGTGTCTGAAGACGTGAGACTCAAGTACTACGGACCGGTGTTACAGTTAGGCAATAATCCAAAGAAGCTGTGCATGGAAGGACACTGTTTAATTCTCAGCCATTTCCATTTCCTGGGAATGTCTGAAAATGGCACCAAGCCTCTGCATTTGGACGTCATTATACATTCGGAAGATTAGAAGATTTGTTATGAAGAAAGTAAATTTTTGTGAAACTGATTCCGGAACTTTTTTTAATATATTCATTTAATTGAGATGTTTTCCTGTTTGTTTGTTTTGTTGTTGTCTTTTATGTTTTGTTTTAGGTTTACGTAATCGTTTCTTTGTTTTCGAGTCGGTCGAATTAAGAGCTTCCACTTTCGATTAAATGGTTATTAATGCATTTTTTTGGATGTCGGCAAAGGAAGTGTGCGCTGTAGAAATTTTCATAATGAGGTGGTCAAAGGCTAGCGGCAAAGTTTAGTTTAATTAGTTTTTATGAATTATTTATCAAGGATAGAATTGTCATCGTGGGTATCTACCGTATGTGATGAACATATTGTTACGATGAATAATTCATTTAATTCGTTCTTTGATGTTTGCGTTTTTTAAAATTTCTATATAAAAGACTTGTAGATATTTAATTTTTTTTAACTGATCAACAGCAAAAGAGAAACTAATCGAAATGTACTATCAGAATCAGAGATCATTAAATGTTAAAAATAACGAATCTCAAGCATTGTGGCGACCTCTTTAATTTACAATTTTCAGAAATTAAATATTCCTCAGAATTATTTAGTTGTTATTTTATATTTATCGATTATTGAAATACAATAATTAAGTTAAGTGTTTAATAATCGTATGTATTCATATATCTAATACTAGTAATAGATGTATATGTATGTAACAAACAGTTTCCTTAAACTTTACGTTAAAATTTTTTAAAGAAGTAATTTAAAAATACATTGCTTGTAATATCCCAAACATCCTGCCTTAAAATAACATGTGAAAAAAAATTTGAAAAGCCCACTAACAAAATGGAACCCTACATTGTGTTTGTTTGTTTTTGTGTGGACCCCAAGGTTGGAAAAGTCCCACTAAATAAAACAAAAAAGTAACAATAGATCTAGTGACTTTACGCCGTTACGGTCACAAACTCGTGTTCCAAATTCCGGCTATTGGGCCAATCCGCGAGCACCATGTCATCCTGACCGTTCCCCTGACTTCTACCCAAGACCTGCGTCTTTTGTGCAGATGGTGCGATAAATCTCGCCAGCTCGACTAGGAACCGCGCGCCCCGCTTCTGCCACGTGTTTGTGTTATTTACCTCAATTCCATTTTAAATGTTCAAATTCTATAACTCTAATATCAACTACAATCGAACAAGAGTTTCAAAAAGAGCAATAAACAACATTTAAATTCGCCATACACTCTCGTGAAACTTTTAAACATCAAATAATTCTTATCTGAGATCACGATTGGACATCAGAGAATTTATATTTACATGGAAAAAAACTAGCAAAGATTTATAAAAACAAAATAAAGATCTGGTGTGAAGTAAAACTTGTGAAGACAAAAAATTACGTGAGGTTAGGAACTGCAGAGCATGAAAATTTACGTTCAATTTAAATCATACAGCAAAGAATATTACTGAGGCTAAAATTGTGAGATCGAGAAAAATGGCATTAGGAGAAAAATTGCAAAGATAGCAAAATTATATGAGGTTAATATTTGCCACCCTTTATCAACGTTTCAAATAAAGAATTTACATGACGTTAAATTATGCCACACTTTATCAACGATTCAAACAAATAATTTACATGACGTTAAATTATACCATTATTGTGTGATTGGTTACTCAAAACAATTATAGCTTTGAGAGTTTATATCGTGCACTGTCCCCAGCTTATCCAAAACAAACACATGATAAATAAACACAAAATGCATCCAGCCTCGCGAGAAATACTCCTCGGAGGTGTAATTTCCAACGTCGCGAGAAATAAATATATCTCGATGATAACGATGATAACTGCCTAAGGGAAAAATTTTTAATCCTTTCGTACCTCAGTCCACGATATCATGAATTCTACCGCACTTTCCACGGTCCTTTTGGCAGAGTAGGACAACGTTAGGTTGATTTAACTGCCGTAAATCAACTATTAGCAATCTTATGTGAGGAATTAAGAAGTGTTATTATAATGTATCACTTAAGTATAAGCATCCAGAAACCTTGTTCATAATTTGATAAACCAAGGATGAGTCCTGACTAAGTTAATTTCATGAAATCTCCTAGCAAGTGCCGTATCTGAACAATCTTAGGACTGTTAAATTGTGTTAGAACTAGTTAACGATTAAAAACCTAACATGAACTGTGAGCAGTCGAAAATTGGCATATTTCCGCTTGGAAAAAACGCAAGAATTAGCTACACCAACCCTCTCACTAGCTACTACCCAGAAATTCCCTAGGAGAGCTACCAACTACCAGAAAAGAACTAAACTTGCACATCGTTGCCTATGTTTAACGATTTTCTTGATTTGATTTTTTTTTTAATTCAAATTATTCAATTTAACGCGAAATTTGTATTCAAATTTGGTCAATACTTATGAATGAAACCCATTTGTTCGTCTTTTAAACAGTGACAAAACAAAAATTAAATGCCAGAATGTACCTATTAGAATACTTCAGACTTCACTCAGCCAATCTTTTCTTCATATTTTTTGCGAAGTATAAAACTTTCCAGCTGCATATACTGTCTTTGCCATTTCTATTGAAACACCACTTGTTAATCGTAAATTTGGCAACTTTCATATTCAGACAATTTTCTAACTAAAAGCCGTTGTCAATTAACCGAAAGCTGTCACCAATTGCTAAATTTTAAGCAAAATCAACAGGTGGTGCTTCAATAGAAATGGCAAAGACAATATATGTAGTATACACCATGATATACACATGGCTTGTTGAATTAGCATTTTTTCATTTGCCAAATATACACAATCTTATTTGTTTTGTAGAACATGACCGCACCGACACAGCAATAGTGTATTACTGGTTGCATGAAAAATAACTAGGATAAAAATAAATAATAAATATCCACACACAGTATAGTCAGAGAACATGTTCTCTGGTATAGTTAACTACAGGAGCGGCTGGTGCCGGGGGGCACAAGGGCACGTGCCCCCCAAAATTACAACGTCTACAAACACATTGGACATGCTAAAATAGTAATTTTCAGTATTTATTAATTTAGTTAGTAAATTTGTGTCATAATTATCTCTGATAATATTTATCCGCATTCTAATTTAGGTTGATAGCCTTGAATCATTTGGGCTGATTTTTCCACATTTTAAATTTGGCGCCAGGAAATCCACCAATCAAATGTGATGCGTAATTTAACAGATTAATTGTTGCCAACTTAAATTGGAGTGCGGAAAAATATTATCGTGTTTTTCACTTGATTGGTAGTACTGAATCAGCGACCATCTTATAGTCGTGCAACAGGTCTATTCAAATTTGACACAATAGATATTTTTCACGTAAGAAATTGCCTATGACAACCAACTCGCAAACCTGATTTAAGATGCAAACCTACTGAGCTGTTCAAAACACCCAGAACGAGGCGGGAAGTGAGAACACAACCAACACAAACTTGACATTTGTCGGAACTCGGTGAGTCAACCGCAGGAGTAATAGTCTGATTCTCCCTATATATAGGGACTCTAGACAGTAACTTGCGTGAATGCCATCTACGGTTGTCAAAATAACTACATTTATTTTGAAATTTTTTAAACAATACTTTCAATTTTCGCGATAGAAAAACAGTATAAAAAAACTTGTTTTATAAAGTCACCGTCACACTGTTTTACAAATTTGGACTCTTGTGATAATAATGGGCCTTATAAAATATGTTTTTAATACACTATTTTGAATAATATACGGGCATAATAAACTGTAATTAGTAAAAAGTATCAATTCCAAAAACAACTAGTCAGTTTATTATTCTACTTATGCATGTAACACTCAAAACTGCACTTTTGCGGCGTCACTTTTTGCTTGCCCCACCACTGGCGCTTTATTGAAATGACATCTCACGCTAGTAGTGCCATCTGTATTATACCTTACAAAACATAAATGACAAATAAAGTGACAACATGGGCACACTGCAAATGCATTTCAGCACACAAACAACGACAGTAGAAGTTTAATTTATAAAAATTCTCAACACACCGTTTCCCTTTTAATGTGAGTATTATTAAGTCGAAAACATTCTATCTTTGAATATTTCTCCAAATATCGTAACTGTTGTATAGAGGGCGTTGTCAAATTTACAGTAACGTCCTCTATGCTCGTATAGACGTATCTCACCTAAGTAACGGTTTTCAGAGCGCGTGCGTCCGCCCAGAAGAAGAATTTTAAGAAGATATTTTACGGTTAAACCGGTTTTTTTTATTAAAGTAACTGTTACACCCGCAATTATACAACATTTCGCAACGTTGATTCTTCTTTCGAAACTTAATCGTACACGCTAGGTGAGTAATGTGTTTAATATTTCTACTACGTTAGGTGATTCTGTTTTAAACAACATGGCACCTACTCGTTTTACGTATTTGAATGGATATAATTGTCACGATGGAAATTTCATTTTTGAGAAACACAAATTAAAGGCACAATTTTAATTTATTAATTTATTTACTGTGGAAACGTGTTCTGAGTCGATTATTTCCGTAAAAAATAATTATTTTCAAAACGGTTCGAAATATGAAATAAATGAGATATAGCTGAAAATTGAAATTCATGTGTGAGGTTTTGATTGTTTTAATTGTTTTAATCATTGATACGACGAAGTATATTAAAAAATGGGGTTATGTTTCTCTCTCTGAAGCGCCATATTTTCTCACACAGTGATGCCAATTTTCGAAGTAAAAATTCTCCAGTAAAAGTAGTGTTTTAGAATAAATTGGATGTAAAAAATACGAATACAACTGCTTTTCGTTGCTTATCTCATTTAAAATGTAGAGATCGAGTACTTGGTAGTTCTCAGTACCCGGCACCTCCACCAAAACCGAATCAAGATTTTCAGATCTTCATTTCAGAATCATGGCTAGTACTAGTACTGCAAATTCTTCAGTTACTAACATGATAACCAAATGTGAGCCCTATGAACTTCAAACTTGTTTTCAGTGCCAGACTGTAAGTATATCATCGTTACAAATCAATCTCTGAAAAAACTTAAATTTTTCAAGAAACGCAAAGTTCAATACAGGATTAATAACAACAATAACATATTCTATATTTGTTATTCTAACTGTCTCGACAATTTCAAAAGAGAAAATCCTAATTTTTACGAAAACTGGTTTCACACAATCTCTGTACGAAACTTCACCAGAGTGGTCACAACTTCTTCAAGAGTTTGTTCAGTTTGTAAGAGCAAGCTTGACAACAACTACGGCGTAACATGGCAGGCAATGGACTTCTGCAATGAATTATGTCTACGTAATACACACTTCAAGCACGATAAATGTTTATAACCGGTTTGCGTAACTGCCAAATTTGACCACCTTTCAGTTGTGGTGCCGTGTTCTGCAAAAGTTAATTTAGTATATTTGTCAAATATGTGCACAAAATCTATCTTATTTTTAACAAATCCGCGGACCGGTTAACAGCGTTATGTAAAAAAACACTGATTTGTAAATTTGTAGTTGAGCGTCAAATCGAACTCTGCTCTCTCTGTGTTCATTGCGCAGTTGAAATTCCTCCAGACTCGCTAGGAAAGTATTGTATTTCCTTCGGAACTGATATCAGGCAATTCTGCTCTAGTATGTGTCTTAATTCCGAACAAAACCACCATGAAATGTGCTGCTTTTGTCTGCAAAACAAAAAAATGCAAATTCTAGACAATAACAAAAAGTTCTGTAGCCCGAAATGCAAACACAATTTCGATCTTCTGGACAGGAATCCCACAGAAATTCGATGCTGCAAGAAGTGCAACACTTTGTGTTCCCCTTGCATTAAATACGCTTCTCTCTATTTCGATCCCGAGAGCTTCTTCTGCAGCAACCAGTGCTTCCAAAAATTCGTTTCTGAAAACTGCATCAGCGCAAAAGCTTGTAGCTACTGCAGTACTTATATTAACTTAAACCTAGAGAGTGGCTACCCACTTTTCGACACCTTCACTCTCTACTATTTTTGTTCGAACACGTGTCGAAAATTGTATATAAATGCCACCAAAGTGCCTGTGGATTGTGGCAAATGCAGTATGAAGAAATCAAATTTTGATATGATTCGTAAGCACTGTGACAAGAGAGTTACTAGTTTTTGTAGCTTGAAGTGTTTGGGTTTGCACCAGTTCATCGAGCAATGGTTAATGTAAGTGCTTTTGGACTCCGATAAAAGATAACTTTTGGGTTATAGTGCGAGATGTGATCAGTGTCTCGGAAGTAAGGCGCAGATGTTTACGTTTCCGATGTCCGACAGCAGCATGTGCAATTTTTGTTCTTTTAGATGTTTATATAAGTTTAGGTTGAATACGACGGGCAACCAGAACGTCAGTTTGTATTTGAAAGGTGGGTAAAATTTATGCTTTTATCATAAAATAAAAAGTTGAAATTATGTTGTAATTCTTTTAGACTATATGAAAATCGTCCCCGCAGCAAGCACAACCCAAAACAAACTGTTCGTAAACGTCACCCCGCCGTGTACTGCAACGAGGGGTAAAAATATCCAAACCTATTCCCGGAAAGAACCCCCACGAAGTTTCCTCTCTTTGTCTTACTCTTGATTTTTCCTAACTTTTGACTATTGTAGAGCGAGGAAGACCAAAAAAGGTTCCTTGTCCACCTGCACCCCAACAAACTGGAAACATCAACGTAACAAAATCCAACGTCAATAACCCAGAAATCGAATGCATTTTCATCCAGAATGACATAAACGACTTCCAGTCCGTGTCTTTCGATTTTCAATTAGACGAAAGCGCCTTCATAGAACTACCTCCTGAAAACAATGCTAGTAGTTTATTCGAGGTACCTGCGTCGTGTTTGTGTTTTTTCCTTGAAAACTCTTTCTTTTTTGCTTTAGTGCACTTTTGGGATTAATACGTTCGCTTATTGGTTGACTTGTCAGCACAGCGCGCAAACTAACGCCTTGCAGATGACTCTCGAGGAGTTGAACAGCTCTTTGGCCGGGTTTGTGCAAAGTATTAAAAAACCCGACGGAGAGAAATTTGCCCCGGACACGATTTACTATCTGTGTTTGGGGATTCAAAAGTACCTGATTGAAAATGGCAGAAACACGAACATATTTTGTGATCGAGGGTTCGAAGATTTTCGAAAGAGCTTAGATAAAGTTGCTTTAACGTTTCAAATACCACATACATTCCTCGCGACGACTATAGAAGAGAATCATTTATGGGACACCAAGCAACTTGGTGACTGTTCACCGCAAGTATTGATCAATACTCTAATTTATATTTTCACCAAGACTTGTTACCTAACGGTAAAAAAATTTAATTTTTCGGCGGTGCTTATCGTTTTAAAATTTTAGAGCGTACAGAATCATTTGGGTTTGTCTCTCAAACAAGTGAACCAGGAACTGACGTCAGGTTATAAATGCGGACGCCCTCCGAACAGCATTATAGTCGCTTGTTGTTTCAGATATGGTTAGTCCTATTTTGTTCTTGTTTTGCTTCAGTTATTAATTAGTTCCAGGTCCCAGTTGCCTTTACAAGAACACATATATCTTGCAAAGCAATCAGGACAATCCTTCTCGGTGTCCTATTAGATTGTGCCAGTTGTATGTGGATAAATGGTATTTTTTATTTTTAGTACATATTGTAAATTAACTTGGATCATTATTGTAGTCCGTCTGTTGTTAAATTATACGAGCAAGTTTTTTACTTGCAACCAATGGAAAACTGCCGTCCCGAGAATGGCTTGTGGTTTAAAGTTGCCACCTTGCCACAAGAGACAATTCAAAGAACTCTTAACCTTATTAGAATGGTTAAGGAAATTAATGACGTCTTCGTAAACGTGTAGATTTTTACTTACTGTGTATTTTTATATTGCTTGTTTTTAAATTATTTTGTTCGCGTTACCAAACTGTTTGTTCTTTTGACATGTGTTTCAGTGTGTACTTTTGTAACTTTTTAATAAAAATTGGTCTAAAGAGTTGAGACAGTACTTCCCTCGCTGTTGGAAACGTAACGACTGCATGCCTATTATGTTTTTTTCGCATTTTAAAATAAATTGAGTATTAATTTTCCCAATTTTGTCATTATTTGGCATTAACATCTTTGTCATTTTTCTTATGTGATTGCTATGATTGCTTATTAAAAAAAAAAAATTAAATTGGACGAAGTCGTATCTGGGGTGTCTAATATGTTGCCTATGCAAAAATTGTCAGGCGTGAACAGATAAAATGAACACTTTGTATAGTGCTTGTAATTTACGACAAATAGCCATTACACTTGTCAACCCGTAGACATGACGGTGTAACACAAACCAAATTAAAACATGTTTTCTACGAATTGCAATAACCGGATAACAATGCCGACGGTCTAGACTTTTTTATTGCTCTGACTTCCGTTTATTGAATAAAACACTACATTTTATTTGGTTTTTGGATGCTGTAATTCACATTTGGTTAATTATAACTTGTCTAGATCTAGGGGAGTATCCCCAGTTACGGCCTTATGAAATATCGAGAAAATTTCAAAGTACCAAATTGAGCAATGGACTCCATTACTGTACGTCCTTAGGTTATCCTCGTAAAAAAAAACAACTTGAAAGTGTATACATCGGAAGAATATCACGTAGAAATTAGTTTGATTTGAATGAGTTCGTCCTCGCAAAACACAGAATCAAAACAATAAACTAGTAATCGAAAAAATGTTCTGAATATCATATTATAATTTTTATTAAATAAAGACGTTTGAATTTTCACATTTTCGGGAAAATGGGGTGACTCGTTCTTAATATGAGCAATAAAAAATATGAATGCTATGATGAATCACAAGTAAAAACTCATCATATTTTGCACATTTTAAAATTTATTCGGCAAAATTTGAGAAAGCGTCATCAATTTTTTGGGGGAAATAAACAGATTTATTTTGATTAATAATTTACCATCCTTACAATGACTTTAAAACGTCTACAAGATTTCAAAATTTTCAGTTTTGCAATTCTTGATTTAATCAATAAAATAAATTGACTCGGTCATTTTTTTTTTCAGACACCCCGTATAAGCAAATCTAAAAAATATTAATGCAGTGGTAAATCACAAGCAGTGACTATGTATCTATACTCACTGTCACAAGTATAGACACATCATTCTTTACACATTTCAGATAGCACATTTTTTTCAGTAAAATTCTGGGGTGGCGTCAAAAAATTTTTAGGGGGGATGAGCAAATACATTTTGATCAAAAATTTTCCATGCCTATTATAACTTCACAACATCTCCAAGATTTCAAAGCATTTGGTTCTGTAGTTCCTGATTCAATGAATAAAATAAATTTACGCATTCATTAATTATTTTGGGTCACGCTGTATATGCAAATCCAAAAAATATTAATGGAATAATAAATCACAATTACACACTCATCATATTTTGTACATTTTAGATAGGATTGATTCGGCAAACTTTTGAGCTGACGTCATTAATTGTTTGGAGGGAATAAGTAAATAGATTGTGATTAAAATTTTATCATGCTTATCATAACTGTAAACCATCTGCAAGATTTCAAAGCATTCGGTTTTGTAGATTCCAAATTAAATGTCAAAATATTTCTTAATTTTGATTTTTTTTTCAAAAATCTGGACATTTAGGGTAAAATCTTAATTCGGAGTCATAAACTAAATGTGTAAGACTATGTTATTTGATACAATTTAAAACCCAATTACTATGTATAATTTTGAAGTGACGTCATCACATTAGTGGTGGGGATAATTAGACAAATTTTGATTAGCGTTTTACCATCTACAAGATATACCTAATATAAATACAAAATTTTTACTTTCGGAGACTACCTGTCTAATAAAAATCCGGGACGGCAGACAGACAGACAGACGGAAACGGGATACCTATTTCTTCGTTTACGCTCGGGAAGTAAAAATGGAAATATTCATATTTGATGTTACAAATGCAAATTACAGTGCGTCGTAAAAGGAAAGACCGAAATAAAAAGTATATGTTACAACTATTTTATTAAGCCTTCTCTCGCAACCTGGGCGAGTTTTTACTCTGGCGAAAACTACAACTTCATATATACTATACACATATATTAAATCATTTACAACTTAAAAATAAATTATAAAAAACATAATCACATGATCCTTAGACTAGCGTTTCTGGAAAATAACCAACTTTAGAAAGCCCCTCGTGTTAGCACCAATTTACTAATACTACAGTGTTACAAAAATACGTTCACTATGGATAATTTTTCAAAATATGTACTCTATCTCGATGCACAAACTCTGATATGTTTTGGTACTTTATCACTTAACCATAAATAAAATTCAGTACAAAATGGCATAAATATGGGTTTACTTTGTGCAAATTTCTCTTAATAATAACAAACGCCTCCACAATCCGGGCAACGCTTTTTCCTTCCCGGCGACCCACTATGAATCGCCCTCTCCTGTTTCCTCTTCATAGCCTCATCGTACTCCACCGCTTGTTTCGCAAACCACGTGTAAAAATGCTTAATCAACTCCTTCACCCCGGCTTCCGTCAAATTGTTTCCAATGAAGTACGCCTCGGCCACGTAATCGAAAATCTGGATCACTCGCTTCGAATATTCTAGAGCCAGTTGTACAAAAATCGGCGCCTCGTACTCAGGATCTTTCGTCGCTAACCACTTCTGGTACTGCTCTTCCACTTTGTTGACCAAATCTTGGAAGTACCCGTTCACCATAGAAAACAACCGCATGAACTTATCGCTACCTGGAAACATCTTATCCAATTCCCTGAAACACCCGGGTGACCTCCCTAGCAGCTCCATCACAATATACGCGACAGCGTTGATTATCTTCTCTTTGATATTCTCATCCGTGTTGCTGAAGATCTTGAACAGGCTGAACGCCATCCCAGCGATTTCCGTGGGGTTCACCCCTCGGAACGACACCTGCAACTTGGAACTCATCATCCGAACTTCGTTCGGTGACGGCTCGGGTGTGTTCGGCAAAGTCTTCAAAAACGTCGCCGCTTCGGTGTTGTCCATCGCTCCAAACTTCCCCATATCTATATTCACGCCGTTCAACTTAATATTTCCGTTGTCAGCCGAGAACTTCACGTCGTTTTTGTTCATTTGCTTGTTCAGACGCGTCAGAGTGGCGAACACTTCGTCCTTGTTCTGGAGACTGACGATGGTTTTAATGACCTCGGCTTGGCCTCGGGCTACGTCGCCGTTGTTCTGACGGATGGTCTCCTTCATCATTTTGTTGAAGGTCTTGCGGTGTCTGTTGCTACGCAGAGAGTCGTGGTAGTCGCGGAGGGTGCGCGCTTGCGATTCCTCGATCATGGTTCCGGCGAGCTTGAAGTTGTAGACTGCATGCCCGAAGAAGAGGATGGAAGAGCTTAGTTGGACTATGGTGAGGAAAGAGGGCGCTTGGTTCTCGTTCCACCACTGATCGAAGACGTCGTAGCTGGAGTTGACCACATTTATACCGCTCGCGGACATGTTGGCCACGTTTATAACATTGACGGCTGCGGTGGCGCCCTGTCCCAAAATAAGTGTCCGATTTCCGTAATACCTGCGTAAATAGCACTTACCTGTCCAATATTGAACCCTCTTGTTGCCAACTGCGACACCGCCATATTGGCTCCCGCTCCAACAAACCCCAACGACCCAGCCACAATGTTCAAGTACGCCCCTCTAGCTTCAGAATTGCCGAAACTCAGCGTCTAAAACATGTCCGTGAATCCCACAACATCTCAATATTTCGCAAACAGTTACCTCTTTATGCCTGTTCCTGTCGTACAAAGTATACGCACTCCGCCCCAACGAATACAACCCTACTCCGATTCCCGTGGCTCCCGCTGCAATCAGAGCCACCGGAGCCACAGTTATCGTAGGAATGGCAGCGGCTATGAAGATGCCTCCAGAAACCAAACCGGCGGCTGTGTTTGCCATGTCGGCCCCTTGCAAGATCTTATGGTCTATGCCGCAAGTCGGCGACAGGTGGCGCTCCAGAATAACGTTTCCGTTCTCGTCCGCCTGGTAGCGGCCGTTCAAAGGAAGAATCATCTCGCATTCAGGCAGTTTGTTTCTGGCTAGGTAGGCGCTCCAGGTCTTGTAGACGCGGCCGCTGTCGTCGATTATGATGCGACAGGGATTTTCGCTGTTTTTGCACTTGCGCAGAACGAACAGCGGTATAGGGGTGAGGTCAGTGGTTGGATTGTAGTCTTTGAATTTCTTGGAACGCTTTTGTTTCTCGCTGGGGAGGGGCTCAGTGCAGTTGTAGATGAAGGACACGACGACGCGATCTTTCCATTTTGTGAATTGATCTAGAAAGGAGAAAGGTAGGGAGTTTTTGTATGATTGTCAAATTCGCTTACTATTCTGCTTAATAATAATTTCAAATAAGAACTCGATTTTCTTCTTCTGTTTCTCGCTGTATCCCGTTTCCGTCTCTGGAGGTCCATACAGCGCATATCCAATCTTGTCCTTCAGTTGTTCGAATTCAAAGTGATCAAAACTATCGTAGTCGCGGTCTCCAAGCAAGTCCAACATAATCTGTTGGTAGTTGTTGGACCTGAACAAAATCCAGCTATATATTTGCAAGTCACCAAAAAATCACAAATACCCAATATCATTAACTGATTGCTCTGCGTTCTCCAAGTCCTTCTCGATTTCGTTTTCCACAACCAAAAACTCTTCAGCCTTTTTCAGTGTCTCTAAAAAATCCTTCTTCGACACTTTGCTTTTCATGCACGAAAATAAACTGAACGAATTCTTAATAGGCACTATCAATAAGGCAGCACAGATTTTCTTTTCCACGAAATTGACGAGTGTTGATAGTTCGGCACGACTGTTTAAGGCTTCGGTTAAAGCTGGGTGGCATTCGTCGTTCTCGAGATCCCAACCTAGGAGAAAAAAACGCTCGTTGACGATTTCCTTGACTTCTGGACGGCCCAAATTTTCGCCGAAAATTTTCGAAAACTTGTCGTTTTTGTTGTGCAGATACAGAAGTAGAATTTTTCGCTACAAAGTGAAATTAATTTTCGGAAAAAAGTGCATGTTTGGGTCTCACATTTTCCAAGGACGTGAAACATGCTTGTGAGATTGCATCTTCTAACCGGCATACGTGAAACAGTATCCCTCTATCGTCGAAATTATTTGAAAAATATTCAATAAAATCCATTGCAGCACAACTTTCCAACTCTACAAAAAATTAGCTTAAGCAGTTTACAAACAAAAGTTATGCTGAATGTACCTCTGAAATTATTTTCCTCCTCAGTCACAGCAACATCCTCGGATCCTCCGCACTCCGTTTCCATTTTATCGGAATCATAAACAACCAGAAAACTGGTTCCAGACTCACAGCACTTCCCCAAAATGTCGTTATCCTCCTCAGGTCTTGCATACCAACAGTCAATTATTTGTTTCGAGGGTGGAATATTCAATTTTTCAAAAATCTCAACTTTGAGGTCCCCTTTAAAACCCAGTCTCACCACTAAATCTAATGTTTAATGAAACACTTACAGACTGTATTGTGTTTTGGGAGCTCCACAGACACCTCTTCGTTTCCGTACAGAATAGTTAAGAACAAAGTATCATCTGTTGGTTCACACGAATCCATTATCAGTCTAGAAATAAAATAGATTAGATAACTGATAAATCAATTTCGGCTGAGAGTTACTATATACTAGGGGGTTACCCGAATTAACGCCCAAAATGTGACATAACCTTATCGACAAAACATTCCCTAGCCTCGTTCTGTCAAAACAAAACGCAGGGGCGGCTCTAACCAGATTTCACAAATGTCCGACTAGTTCCATAAATTAAAAAACTTTAAATTTGCATTCATTGTCGATTGGTGAGTGGTGACGTAAATTCTAAAACTTCCAAGACGATCATAGTCTATTTTCTTTGCCATTTTTTATATTTATTTGGGGAATAAAGCTAGCAAAGATAAATTTGCAGTTATTAACTGCACTGTTTATTTTTTTTTATTTCTGTGAAATACTACTGTCTGAAACTACCGTACTGCGTGCTGATATGGAAACATTGAGGGTTTGCAAATTCAGGTTTTCGCGGCTAGTTCAGGGCGTATATTTGGCCTGACGCCGCCCCTGTTGCAAATCAAACAGTAGGGCCAATTCACCAATCTGACATCATCAACAAATATAAATCGACATACCCGTATTTCACGCCACGTATCGCAAAGAGCTTTCACCACGCCTAAACACCCAAACTCTGTATTTACCTACATTTATCACCGAAATTACTCATTTATCACAATAAATGACATTCCCTAATTTAGTCTCTTTCTACCCGTCATGTTGGCACGACCACTGACAAATTAATCACCAAGAGGAGGTTTGGTGTTAATGCCTATCAAAATGGTAAGTTTTTGCATTTTTTTTTATAAACGCGTCATTAAATCCTCACGCTGGTCCCGTAATGAAGGCCCGTAGATCCATCCCTGTTTGGGACACAAATCATTTCAAATTTTTCCCTCTCCAAACGGTAAACAGCGCATTACATAAATATAACCTATCTTTTGATCTTTCCTTGTATGTATGGCAACATTTGAATTTCTAGCCCACCACTCCGCCCCAGATATCCCCCGTGGAAGATCAGGAGAAGTATCTCCAAGATGCGTTAGGGGTGGTCAAAGCGCAAGCTTTTCACATGAAGAGGGCCCTCGACAAGAATAAGCTAATGGACGCTTTAAAGAACGCAAGTGCCATGCTTGCCGAATTGCGGACGTCTCTACTATCACCCAAGAGTTACTACGAGCTTTGTAGGTATAATAAGGTTAATTTAAGTTTACACACACATGACTACATTTAATTAATAACACAGTCATGACAGCTGTGTGTTGGTTATTTGCTTATTTGAAATGTGAACTTCCAGAGACTTTTTTTGTTGCTTTACTATGCAGTTTATGTATGTGTAAATTGAAATTAATCATACAAGAACCAAAATTTGATGACGTCATTTCAAATTTTGGCTGGATGAATCCTGTCTAAAATGTGCAAAAAATAATATGTCTGCATGTGGGTGAATGACAAAAAAAACGCCTACCCAAATTGATAAGTATGTGTCCTTGAATTATGAAGAACTCACTGGAAACATGTGTATAACATGCTTCTTTTCCAGATATGGCCATCACAGACGAGCTGAGACATTTAGAACTGTACCTCCTTGATGAGTTCCAAAAGGGTCGCAAAGTCACAGACTTGTATGAACTGGTGCAATATGCTGGCAATATTGTGCCCAGATTGTATTTACTCATCACTGTCGGTTTGGTCTACATCAAAACAAATTACGCTCTGAGGCGAGATTTGTTGAAAGATCTGGTGGAAATGTGTCGAGGTTTGTGTTTGACTTATGAATTAAACCCAACATCAGAATTGGGATTTTTGTAGGGGTGCAGCACCCATTACGGGGACTTTTTCTTCGCAATTATCTCCTGCAGTGTACGAGGAATGTACTGCCAGACGCAGCCGACACAGACGTGGACACTCCTGAAGGCACAGTCAAGGATTCAGTTGATTTTGTGCTGATGAATTTTGCCGAAATGAATAAGTTGTGGGTGAGAATGCAACACCAAGGTCATTCGAGAGAGAGGCAGCACCGAGAGAGGGAAAGAGAGGAACTGAAAATTTTGGTCGGGACGAACTTAGTTAGACTGAGCCAATTGGAGTCTGTTACGCTTGAAAAGTATCAGAAGTTGGTTCTGCCGGGAATTCTAGAACAGGTATTTTTTTTTGACGGTTGCGGACATGTCTGCTGGGTTTTGATTAATTGAAATTGCATAACGTTTAATCCGGGTAGAATACTCGAATTTGAAGCGGTTAAAGAATTAGTTTTCTTTTTATAAAGGAAATATTGTGGAACGAAAACTAATAGCGGTGTCTTTTACAAAATATAGGTTGTTAGTTGTCGAGACGCCATTGCTCAAGAATACTTAATGGAATGCATTATCCAAGTATTCCCTGACGAATTTCACATCAAGACCTTAAACCCCTTTTTAAAATCGTGCGCTGAACTAGAGGCAGGTGTCAATGTAAAAAATATAGTCATCAGTTTAATGGAACGCTTAGCGTCATTTAGTCAACGGGCGGATACTCAAGGGGGCGAAGGTACATCTCTCCTAGAGAAAATTCACCAGGTTAAAACAAAACTTTTGTAGGAGCCACTATTTTGCAACAGGTCCAACTCTTTGAAGTATTTTCCGACCAAGTGGCCTCGATCATAACGACACGTCAGTACTTGCCACCTGAGGACATGATAGCCCTCCAAGTCGCTTTGGTTAATTTAGCCTTGAAATGTTATCCCGATCGAATCGATTACATAGACAAAGTTATGTTAACGAGTGTTGAGGTTTTCCAACGTTTAGGTCTTGAACATCTCGAATCTAGTTCTTTAGTTTCCAAAGAACTACAAAAGTTGTTGAAAATACCCCTTGATAATTATAATAATTTGTTGATTATACTGAAGCTAAAACACTATGCTGGGTTGATGCAGCATTTGGACTACACAGGACGGAAATTGTTGAGTATTTATATATTAAATAACGCGCTTGATAATGAGACTGTTATTCCGACTCAAGAGGAGACTGAGCAGGCTTTGAATCTTCTAAGTCCTTTAGTTAACGATAAAGAAGAGCAGCCACTTGGTGAGGTCGATTTGGAGGAGTTGGCTGAAGAACAGTGTCTTCTGGCGAGGTTTATTCATCAGTTGCGTTCGAATGTGGCAGATGACCAGTACCTGATTCTCACAGCGGCGCGGAAGGTTGGTATTTAAAAATTTTCTTCTGAAAAACCCGTTTGGAATCGTTTAATTCTAAATTTGTGGTTAAATTGATTTGAGAGCCGCTTTTTGTTCTGTTAAATGTATAGCATTGTTTTTTTTTTTAATAGATTTTAGGAGGCGGCGGCCCCCAACGCATGAAATACACTCTCCCGCCGCTCCTCTTCCAAGCTTACCTACTCGCCTACAAATACAAAGAGCTAAAAGACGAAAAATGGGAAAAGAAATGTCAAAAGATCTTCCAGTTCTGCCACTCGACGATCACGGCTTTGGTCAAAGCAGAACTGGCTGAGCTCCCTCTGAGACTTTTTCTTCAAGGGGCTCTCGCTATCGATCAGATCGGTTTCGAGAATCACGAAACCGTAGCCTACGAGTTCATGTCTCAAGCGTTTTCGTTGTACGAAGACGAAATATCCGATTCGAAGGCACAGTTGGCCGCCATTACGCTAATCGTGGGCACCCTGGAGCAAATCAGTTGTTTCTCAGAGGAAAATTCCGACCCGTTGAGAACGCAGTGCGCTTTAGCGGCCAGCAAACTACTGAAAAAACCCGATCAGTGCAGAGGTGTCGCCACCTGTTCGCATCTCTTCTGGAGTGGGAAGAGTCTAGCTAGTAACCGAGAGGAGACCCACGACGGCAAAAGGGTGGTGGAGTGTTTGAAAAAAGGCCTGAGGATAGCAAAGCAGTGCATGGACGTCAGTGTTCAAGTGCAGTTGTTTGTTGAGCTCTTGAATCACTACATTTATTTCTTTGAGAAGGGGAACGATCAAGTGAGCGTGCAGATTCTGAATCAGGTTATCGGGAAGATTAAGGAAGAGTTGCCGAATCTGGAGAATTCGGATGAGACTGAACAGATCACGAAGCATTTTAATAATACTTTGGAGCATTTGAGGTCGAGATTGGAGACGCCTGATGCGGATGGGGTGTCATACGAAGGGCTGGAAGTTTAATTGTTTAAAATGAAATTTTAGATTAGTTGTGTAATAAGACTATACTTGTTTGTTAATTATATTAATTTTTTAATATATGTATATTATGAACGCTTAAATATATGAAAGCACCAATGATTTGATTTTTTTTTTTTTAGAGGGGGGAGGTTTAGTTTCAGTTAGGCAGATTTTCTTCAAAGTGAATTTATTGCGGAACACCATTTTCTATTACATTAATTCAAATTTAACTGATATTTTTTTATGTCGGAACAATTGTATCAAGATACTTGGACTTATGAACATATCAAATTTTATATTAATAATTTAAAATATTGCACAAGATTTTGTTTATTATTTTTTTTTACAATTTATGTTTCGGAATGGTACTTAGAACCTTCCCAACCTTCTCCTTTAAATTGTCAGCTTCGAAAGTCCGCACCGAAGCCAGCAATTTCGAAACATGTTTGAGGTACTGTTTTTCATCCATTTGTCGTAACGCCCGAGCGTGAAAATCGAAGTCGTTTAACCGTAGTTTTTTCCTCGCCTCGTTGATAATCCTGTTGCGATCAATCGGCCACTGTTTACTGTATATTCCATACTTGTGTTGGGGCATTCTGCCTTCGTCTCCATAATGTCGTAGTCTGTATTCGCTACCCGATCTCCACAACCAGCCTTCGTGTTCCTCTAAGTACGATTGTTGGGCTCCGGTTACTGATCCAGGACGACACATCCTGAGCCACGCGATGGCCTCTTTCGCAGTCATGCAGTAATGCTTCATTAGGTAGGTGCCGATGAGGGTCCCGGTTCTCCCCAATCCAGCCTTTGAGATTAGTGAATATTTAGAAAAAGGGATCAAGTGTTACTACAGTTATTTAGTTTTTGTTACCTTACAGTGTACCGCGATTGCAGCTGGAGCAGTTTCGGTTATTCTCAAGAAGTTATGAAGGATTTCCATCGAGGGAACAGTACCATCGTCGAAAAACAAATCGTGATGTTCTATACCGATGCGAGTGAACCTGAAACACCTCCATCAAATTGGAACGTCACCTTTAGTTTCGCTTTTACACTGAGGAATCGTAATGTTTGTCATTGAGACGAATCACGGTTTTGATATCGTGTTGCAAAAAGTACTCTAAATAGAAGCTGGGGGTGTGTCCAACGCCGATCCTGGGTTCCGTCGGTCCCAAGAAACCTAGAAACTTCCTTGGAATGATCCAGTTCATATTTCCCTTTTCCACCTGGTCGCAAACGTCGTATTCCTGATTGTTGAAATCCGTGAAATCGAACATGTTGTACAGCGTGGCTTTGCCGACTGCCGAGAAGCAGTCAAAAAGCCTGATGGTGTGTGTCGAAGTGCGCTGGAGAGCATCTACAAACTGCCTACGACAAAACCTCTACAAACCCCTACTTTAAAAATTACTTGTACGGTTCCGTAATCATGAGAATTTTGTAAACTTCGAAAGGTTCCATTTTTATGCAAATAACAGCAAAGCAGCCGATGAGGTACGCCGCGTTGGCCTTCCGGTTCGGGTCGTGGCTGGTGTAGTGCACGATCTTCTTCTTTCCTCTGAAGTTCTGCAGCAGTTTCGTCATCTTGCAGCAGTACTTGTACAGACAGGAGATGTTGAGGGGCCCGAAGTCCTGGAAGAAGTTGCGGTATCTGAACTCCTCGTCAAAACAGACAAAGTTGAGGCTCTTGGTGCTCTTGAGACGCTTGTAACTGGAGAACTTGGAAACGGCGAAGTAGAGGCGGTTTTTGAGCACCTCGACGGCCTTGTCGACAAATTCGTGGTCCATTTTAGGGGAACAAGTAACAATACGATGAGTCGCTGCACAATAACACGAAGAATAAGAACTGGATCGTGTAATTTATAAGTAGCGCCAAAGTAAAACCGATTATGTGGTGGGTAATTTGCTTCATTTTATAAATTTTGCATCGTAAATGATTGAATTAGAGACACAAGCACACTCCTTTCAACAGTGAGCCGGAAATTGAAGCACGTATCGCGGCAACGAAGGGATTTGAGGAAGCTTCGATACTTTAATTTTTCAAATCAAATGTTGAAGTTGAACTGTAAAACGTATGTAGGTATATGTGTGATGTAAGCGAGATTGAGTAGCGAAAGTGTATTGAAACAGGACTAGGAAAGGTGAAGACTTAGCGCTAGTTTTGGTGGTTATCATAGATGATTATTTTCCTTGAATCTGACCACAGACTACCCAATCAGCAACGACGGATTAAAGTGTGGTAGTAACATGAAGGTAGAATATCATCCTACCTCCATGGGTTAAGTTCCTCATTTTCAGGTTTATAATACACGGTCTGAATTTCTGATTATGTTTAATGGATGAGCAACATTTTATGGAAAAAAAAACAAACTTTATCTTTGTTTGATTTTAATTGACGTTTTAACTATAATTAAGATTTTCCGCAAGTTTAGTTTGATAATTCATAATTATTAAAAAAAAAAATGCAAAAGTTATCTCAGAATTAATTACCATTGTCGAGACTGTAGACACAACAAAAAATCGCACGACAAAAAAATGACAGATTTGACAGATTTTTGACATTTGTTTACAATCACAAATTTGTTTGTCATGTAATAACCACAAAAACGCAAAAATGAGTGAAAACGTCCGCAACCATGTCCTACAGCTCATGAAACAAAAAGACAAAATCGAGGATGAAATCAAACAACTGACGCAGATTTTAACATTGGTAAAAAAACCTTCAAAGTGTAGTTTTACGAGTTCCAGCCACTAACCACAATTTCCAGAACGGCGTTGGCATGACGGACCCCCTTGTCGATGCCGACGATTTTCCGATCAACTCAATCGATGTTTATCAAGTCAGACATGCCCGCCATCGTATCATATGTAAGAAAACCCCCCAATCCAATCCACATCTAATTCCAAGACTTCAGGCCTGCAGAACGACCACAAAGCCATCATGAAGAAAATCGAGAATGGCTTGCAGGGATACTACTCCAGCACCAGCGTCGACCAGACAAATGGCTCTCAAGATATCGAAATGCGCGATTACGACAGCGCGGCCGTGATTCACGAGACTCCTTTCGCCAAAATCACTCTGGTGTCTCCTGGATCTCCGGCGGAGTTTGCAGTATGTTGGACTTATCTTGAGAACATAAAATTGTCGAAGTAAAAATAAAATTGCAGGGACTAAGCGCGAATGACCTGATTGTGGAATTTGGTTCAATCAACTCGACAAACTTCAAAAGTCTTGCAGATGTAGGTACCGTGGTTCAGCATTCTGAAGGAAGTGAAATTTTGGTTAAATTGAAACGAGGTGAACGGTTTGTGACTGCGTTATTAGTGCCGAAGAAGTGGCAAGGTAGAGGTTTGTTAGGATGTAATATCGATATTTTGAAATAAAGAGTTATAAGACTAGTTTCAAAATGAGTTATCTGATTATCCCAAATATATGAGGTCAAGCAGAAAATTGCAGATTGGATCATAAAAAGAAGTTTAGATGTTTGATAACGTCACCTGTTGGTGTTGCAACATAACCGCAAAAATACAACATATATTTTCTTAGTATGTGGGTCGAGGAAAAGGACGAGAACATTCCAGAGTAATTTAGTAATGTTGATCCAAACTTTTGTATAAGTAATTTTGTTTTCGAGAGCTTGAACGGAATCCATACACAGACACTGTAACCCCGCTGACCAGCGGCCTTTTGAAGACCTACGCCCCTACTTTAATTCAACCGAAGAACGTGAATTAACGTAACTATTTGTTTTGTTATAAACTTCTCTGATTTCTGGATTGCAGGGAGAAACAATCCACTTTCAGAACAAGTTCACACTGAAAATTTAGCGTTAGCTGAGTCCCAGCATTCAGATAATTTACACACAATGTTCGCTAAAATTGAAACGTATCTAACAAAACTGGTTAATATAAAAAAGGGAATGAAACACCTTCACGACAAAAGTGTAAAGTTGAAAGTACTTAGTTTCTTCTCCATATTCCATACAGACTTTACACTGACATTTTAGAAATGTGCCTTAAAACTCCAACAATTCCGTGAAACGCAAAATTACATTAAGCAACAAAGAGGCTGAAATAAAATAGGAAGATCTCGTTAAAAAATAATACTAATACATAAAGAAGATCTCATTGTTAAAAAATAATACTAATACATACATTTATACCACAAAATAATCAAAGTACATTTAATATTACTTATGTTAATCATCTTCAAATTCTGCCGTTTCATCATGATTTTCCAGTACGGGCACCATGGTGAACCTTGGCGGTTTATGCCATACAGCGCTCGAAGTCCTCTTCAATTTTTCTGGCTTGATGACCTCAAAAATATCTTGTAAATCAGGCGTCTGCGCCTGTATCGAAAAGAAAGTGTTTTTCACGGCTTCACCAGCGGCAAAAGCACATTGTAGTATAAATCTGATGTTTGCCTCTTTGGCAAAATCTGGCAATTTAACCTTCTCAGGTCTATAGTTCTCATCATCAGAGTCGTAACAATCGTCTGTCGGCAGAAACGGTGCTCTATACCTCATATACACAGGCCTTTTGTCTTCCACCGTTTCGACCTTCCTCTGTTCTTGTGCACGTTTCTCCTCCTCTCTTTTCTTCTCTTCCAGTGCTCGCATCTTCGCCATCAGACGCTTCTTTTCCGCCTCTTCTCTCTGCTTTAGTTTTTTTTCCTCCTGTTCTGCCAACAGCTGCCTGTGGCGCTCATCCTTCAATTTATGCGCTTCCAAAATCTTCATTTTCTCTTTCTCGAGAACCTCTCGCTGCTGCTGCGCTTTGAGCTGCTTTTCTTCGCGCTTGCGTTTTTTTTCTTCTATTTGAGCCTGAAGCAGAGCTTCGCGTTTTTTTATGGCCTCTTGTTCTTTTTCGCGGCGCTTCTTCTCGCGTTCTCTGTATTCGGCCTGAGACGCTTTGAGCGCACTCAAGGTTTTAGTCGAAGCAAGGGATTCATTAGAGGAAGAAGGGGTCTGTCGGCTGGGTTTGTTCGCGGTGCTGGCCACTTTCGGCAGGAATTTCGATACTTGCGGAGTGAAGATTTTGGCTTTTTCTTTAACGTTGCTAGGCGGGTTGGGCTCTGGTTCGGCGGCGACTTCATTTTCTTTTGCTTTTGCTTTAGTTTTTGTCCTCGTCATTCGAGGAGGCAACGAATTCGCATCTTCTTGTAATTTTTCAAACGCTTGAACCTAAAATCGATGTACATACTTGTTAGTCGATATATAAAAAAATTGGTCTAAAGTTACTTCGACAGAACTTCCCTCGCTTTTGAAGTATAGTTGAACAAATTACGCTTCTTTAAAAAATTATAAAAACATTTTGTTTTCTGATAACTTTTATATGTGGTGTAAATGACACCTCGAACACCCTGCGCCGTGGGGCTGCAAATTCCAAGAAGGTGCCGTCCGCAGACATATGGACAATATGAAGTATATTCAAAGCAAATAACCAACGAAAAAGAGTGTATTATTATCAGTGTATATGCTTAACTTCGAATTAAATAAAGACGTGGGTATTCTCATTTTCTAGTAAATGCGGTTCTCAATTTGATCAATAAAAAATTGGTCAAAGGCTGGTAGTATAATTCGCCAAATCCAGTTCTTTAAAAAACAATTATAAAACTTGATTTTACTACTTTAAAAAAATAGTAAAATCAAAGTAAATATAACGGGTGATCAAATAGTTTTTAGAGTAGGGTACGCCATGGAAATATTTTTCATTTCTTTGATTAAACTAGTAGACTTTACAAATGTCGATGTCAACAAATTGAAGAATTTAATTTGACATGAGGTAAGGTTTATAATCAAAGAAATAAAAAATATTTCCATGACCTACCCTGATCTGAAAACTATTTCATCATCCGTTATTTAAAGCACAGAACTAACGGCATAAAATGTCCTTCAGCACTAGGTAATAGCAATCTGAAGCTCAACGTTTGTTTATGTTTATACATTGAAAGAATGTCACGTAGAAATTAGTTCGATTTGAAGGAGTTTGTCTTTTCAAAACAGAGGACTAAAATTATTAATTGAACCACAACCCAACAAAATGTTCTGAACATTATAATTTTTATCTTATTATTATACCGCGTGTCTGGAAATTGTCCGATTAACTCTTCAGTACGTTACGTACGGCGATTTCGGGAGTCCCAAAAAATAATAAAAAATATCTTTATGATGTAGATTACGAAAAAAACGTAATTTTATAAAAGTAAAATTGGCAACACTGCACTGCGTGAATATCTCCGGCTTACTTTCTGATAGGTAGTCACTAACTGTTATGCATTATTATTAATAAAATAAGCTGTTATTTTTCATTAATAAACCAAAAAAAAAAAACCATTTAATAAGACAAATTTATAATAAATTACAAACAAAAACAACAAAAGAAAAATCCATTAAAGCATAACCAAAAAACACTGGAGAAGATGTTAAAAATTCCTGCCTTGCGCATATAAGTAAGCTCGTAATGTTTCCAAATTTTGATAATTTTTTGTAAAACTTAAGTCATCAGTACTTGCTAAGATAAAACTGATTTTGGCAATGACATATCCTCTAAGAAAAGAGACGGTGGGTGGGCGGGGCTAGTACTTGCTAAAATCAGTAGCTACTAGTTGGGCAAAGACTGATTTTGGCAAATGACATACCCTCTAAGAAAAGTGAGGGTGGGTGGGCGGGGCCAGTACCTGCTAGGATAAGACTGATTTTGGCAGATAACATAACCTCTAAGAAAAGAGAGGGTGGCTGGACGGGGCTAGTACCTGCTAAAATCAGTTTTATCTTAGCAGATACTAGCCCCGCCCGCCCACCGTCACTTTTCTTACAGGGTATATCATCTGCCAACGATCGTATTTTAGCAGGTACTAACCCTGCCCATCCGTCCTCTTTTTTCTTAAAGGGATCTCATTAGCCAAAATCAATCTTATCTTAGCAGCTACTAGTTAGGATAAGACTGATTTACGATCGATTTTGGCAAATGACATATCCTCTAAGAAAAGAGAGAGTGAATGGGCGGCGCTAGTACCTGCTAAGATAAGTAAATTATTAAATATCGATTTACCAATTAGGTTCCGCCCCATAATTGCAAAATACATATTTCCTTACAAAAACCAGTTTAAGCATGTTTTAAGTTTCTCTTTATGAAAAAATGGTTATATATATTTAGAAAAAAAAAGGCAAAATATAAACCCCGCCCACCCACCCTATCTCAATTCTGATGATTTTTTTTTATTCGTCGTAAGCCGAGGGACGAAGCTTAATTATAAAATAATTATTTTTCCACGAGAAATTACCATGTGAAATATGTTCTTAAGTAATCGTGTTATACAAAGAAAACCAAAACAGAAGCTCCACCCATCCGTGTCGATCTGTCGTGATGAACTTTTTATTCGTTGTCAGACCGAGGGGCGGAGCATAATTGCAAAATCGATATTTCCCTATACAAATTTACCATTTTAAATATGTTTTAAATTTCTTGTTATGAAAAGACGACTACGTATATTATGAAAAAAGGCAAAATATAAGCCCCTCCCACCCGTCCTATCTCAATTGTGATGATTTTTTTTTAATCGTCGAAAGCCAAACGACCGGAATTCAATTGCAAAATCCTTATTATTTCTGTACAAGAAATTACCCTGTAAGACGTGTTATTCAAAAAATACTATGTATGTTAAGAAAAAATTAAAGCCAAAAATTAAGCCCCACCCATACCTGCCCTGATCTAAATAGCAATGAAGTTTTCATTCGTTGGCAGACCTAGGGGCAGAGCCTAATTGCATAATCCATATGTCCTTACAAAAATTTACCATTTTAAACGTGTTTTAAGTTGCTAAGAATTAAGAAATCATCACAATTGAGATGGGGTGGGTGGGCGGGGTTAATAGTTTACCTTTTTACTTCCCGAGCGTAAGCAAAGGAAGTATTGTAATCGAGTCCGTCGGCCGACTCTCTACTTTTACGTTTTCTCGATCTTTCATGACCCCTAGAAGACGAAGAAATAGGTCTCCCATTTCCGTCTGTCTGTCCGTCTGCCGTCCCGGATTTTTATTAGACAGATAATCTCCGAAAGTACTCGACCGATTGTTGTGAAATTTTGTACTTATATTAAAAATATCATGTAGATGGTAAAACGTTAACCAAAATTTGTCTAATCATCCCCACCACTAATGCGATGACGTCACTTCAAAATTGTACATAGTAAATGGGTTTTCAATTGTATAAAATAACATAGTCCTACACATGTAGTTTACAACTCTGAATCGACTTTTCACCCGAAACGTCCAGATTTTTGGAAAAAAAATCAAAATTATAAAACAATATTTTGAAATTTAATTTTTAATCTGCTAACCAGAATGCTTTGAAATGTTGCAGATGTTTTAAGGCCATAAAGAGCATCATAAATCTTTAGTCAAAAAATATTTGCTTATCCCCTCCAAAAACTTGATGACGTCAGCTCAAAAGTTTGTGGAATAAATCATATCTAAAATGTACAAAATATGATGAGTCTGTACTTGTGATCTATCACTCCATTCATATTTTTTGGATTTGCATATACAGGGTGACTCAAAAAAATTAATGAATGCGTAAATATATTTTATTGATTTAATCAGGAACTACAAAACCGAATGCTCTGAAATCTTGCAGATGTTTTAAGGCTATAAAGAGCATCATAAATCTTTAGTCAAAAAATATTTGCTTATCCCCTCCAAAAACTTGATGACGTCAGCTCAAAAGTTTGTGGAATAAATCATATCTAAAATGTACAAAATATGATGAGTCTGTACTTGTGATCTATCACTCCATTCATATTTTTTGGATTTGCATATACAGGGTGACTCAAAAAAATTAATGAATGCGTAAATATATTTTATTGATTTAATCAGGAACTACAAAACCGCATGCTCTGAAATCTTGCAGATGTTTTAAGGTCATAAAGAGCATAATAAATGTTTAGTCAAAATATATTTGCTTATCCCCTCCAAAAACTTCATGACGTCAGCTCGAAAGTTTGCCGAATAAATCATATCTAAAATGTACAAAATATGATGAGCCTGTACTTGTCATTTATCACTCCATTCATATTTTTTGGATTTGCATATAAAGAGTGACTCAAAAAAATTAATGAATGCCTAAATATATTTTATTGATTTAATCAGGAACTACAAAACCGAATGCTCTGAAATCTTGCAGATGTTTTAAGGTCATAAAGAGCATAATAAATGTTTAGTCAAAATATATTTGCTTATCCCCTCCAAAAACTTGATGACGTCAGCTCGAAAGTTTGCCGAATAAATCATATCTAAAATGTACAAAATATGATGAGCCTGTACTTGTCATTTATTACTCCATTCATATTTTTTTGATTTGCATATAAAGAGTGACTCAAAAAAATTAATGAATGCCTAAATATATTTTATTGATTTAATCAGGAACTACAAAACGGAATGCTCTGACATCTTGCAGATGCTTTAAGGTTATAAAGAGCATAATAAATGTTTAGTCAAAATATATTTGCTTATCCCCTCCAAAAACTTGATGACGTCAGCTCGAAAATTTGCCGAATAAATCATATCTAAAATGTACAAAATATGATCAGTCTGTACTTGTGATCTATCACTCCATTCATATTTTTTGGATTTGCATATACAGGGTGATTCAAGGAAATAAATGAAAGCGTAAATTTATTTTACTGATTTACTCAGGAACTACAAAACCGAATGCTTCGAAATCTTGAAGATATTTTAAAATTATCATAAGCATGGTAAATTTTTGATCAAAACGTATTTGGTCGTCCCCCCTAAAAAATTTATGATGTCACCACAAAATTTTGCTGAATAAATCCTATCTAAAATGTACAAAATATGGTGAGTCTCTTCTTGTGATTTATCATTCCATTTAAATTTTTTCGATTTGCATATACAGGGTGACTCAAAAAAATTAATGAATGCGTAAATTTATTTTATTGATTTAATCAGGAACTACAAAACCTAATGCTTTGAAATCTTGCAGATGTTGTAAGGTTATAAAGAGCATAATAAATTTTTAGTCAAAATATATTTGGTTATCTTCTACAAAAAACTGATGACGTCAGCTCAAAAGTTTGCCGAATAAATCGTATCTAAAATGTACAAAATATGATGAGTCTGTACTTGTGATTTATCATTCCATTCATATTTTTGGATTTGCATATGCAGGGTGACTCAAAAAAATTAATGAAGGCGTGAATTTATTTTATCGATTTAATCAGGAATTACAAAACCGAATGCTTTGAAATCTTGGGAATATTTTAAAGTTATTATAAGCATGGTAAACTTTTGTTCAAAATGTATTTGTTCATCCCTCCTAAAAAAATTGATGACGTCACCCTTAAATTTTGCTGAATAAATCCTATCTAAAATGCAAAAAATATGATGAGTTTGTACTTGTGATTTATCATTCCATTCATATTTTTTAGATTTTCTTAAGAGGTGGTTCAAAAAAATTAATGAAGTCAATTTATTTTATTGATTAAATTAAAGGCAACACTTATTATTAGTATTACACCCCAACCAACCCAATTTGGTAGACACAAAATTTGTTAAAGGAAAAACTCGGTTGAAACATAAGGGTAGCACGCTTATTTACATCGAATTTAACATTACAGACCTGCATTTGTTTTATGCGGTCACTTGGTTCCGTGAATGCGAAATAGACATGTTTATAATCAACCAATTGTGAATTTCACCGTCAAGAATTAAAATAAAACGCAATGTTTTATATAATAAGCGGAAGTCGAAGCAATAAAACCGATGGTCGTTTTGTTTACAGTTTCTCTGTTTGACTCTCACGTATGCTGTTACGCTTGTCATCTTAAATTAAGAATGTTTATACATAAACGATTTTCAGTTGCCCCTCATATTACTAGACAGCGGATTTCTGTCGGGCTACGTCACGATTATAAGGGGGGACGTGCTGGATTCCATAAATATAATTAACGATTTATTAATCAAACGGCTAAGTAAATGAGAACGGGAATTAACAGCAGAGTGCAACGAAACAACGTTATTCTAATCTCAAATAAACGAAGTGCAGTCCGCAACGGCAATGAATTCGCATCCCGTGCGAGCCGTACCGAGTTTGGCCTTGCCTAGCCCGACAGAAATCCGCTCTCTAGATATTACACACCGGCGCCGTATACGTGAGTAAATTGTTTCGTTATTTTATTGATTATAAGAAATCAATATTCAAAACGACCCAATTCATTTTCCCGAAAATTTGGGAACACAATAATTTTATTCTTAGTATTACACTACATCTATCCCAACTGATATACGTGTCCTTGCAAAAATGTTGATGACGTCATCACAATTTTTTTTTAAATTCCCACTACAAAAATGTAATGAGAAAAAAAAACATAATGGGCATGCAGTCGTCAAGTTTCCGACAGCGAGGGAAGTACTGTCTAAACTCTTTAGACCAATTTTTTTCATAATAATACTTAGTATTTTTCGACCAACACGATATTCAGCAACATCTTTTTAATTTGTTGTAAAAAAAAAATAAGTATTTTGCAGTTAAGCTCCGTCCCCTTGGTTCACGGCGAATAAAAAAAAATCATCACAATTGAGATAGGGCGGGTGGGCGGGCTTACACTTTGCCTTTTTGTTTTAGTATGTGTAGACTTCTTTTCACATCATGAAACTTACAACTTGTTTAAAATGGAAAATTTGTATAAGGAAATATCGATTTTGCAATAAGGCTCCGCCCCATAATTGCAAAATCCATATTTCCCTGCAAAAACCATTTTAACCATGTTTTAAGTTTGTCTTTATGAAAAGATGGCTATGTATATTAAGAAAAAAAAGGCAAAATATAAGCCCCACCCACCCACCCTATCTCAATTCTGATGACTGATTTAAGCAAATGACGTCTCCTCTAAGAAGTTTAATTAAATTATTATAAGAAAAGACACTAGAGGCTCCAAAACACTTTCAAATTCTTTCTTGGTAATATAATGTTATTATACCGTGCAATGGTTTTTGCGAAAATTTGAACGTTTAGCGAAAAAACTGAAAGCGAATTCGTAAACCACACGTATAGAAGTATGTCTGTATAACATTAAAATCATTTTAAAATACGGTTCATTGAGATTACGTCATCAAATTGGTAGTGGGGATGATTAGCCAAATTCTGGTTAGTATTTAACCATCTACATGAAATTTCTAACATACATACAAAACAATTGGTCCAGCAGTTTCGGATATTACGTGTCTAATAAGAATGGATACAGACAGACAGACAGTCGGAAACGGGAGACTACTTTTTTCGTACTCTAGGGGTCATGAAACGTCGAGAAAACATAAAAGTAGCATTCGTCCGACGGGGAAGTAAAAAAGTAAAAATTACCTTTTTCTTTACCGGACTCTGTTCGAACGGGCTGAACACCTGTTTCGTGGGCTTTGGGATCGCTCTGATCGGCTTCACAGGCTTCTTAGGCTCTTCCTCCTCTGACTCGTCGTCGGTCATCATGTCTTGGACGGTCTTGGGCATTAAGCTCGTCACCAACTTCGGGTTTTCCACCACGATGGTCGTACTCAACGCCTCTTGTGCCGCTTCCTCGGTGCCGCTTGCGGCTTTCGCTACGAATGTCGCATCGTTCTTATTTTCCACCACTGACGAAACCGCGTCGTCAAATTGCATTCCATTTACCATAGTTTGTTCATCGTTCTCTTCATTCGATCTCGATCTCTTTTCTCTTTTGTCTTCATCCTCTGATGAATGCGCCCTCGACCTCTTCATTTTTTTCTTCACCTGTTGATTAAAAAAAAAGTTCTAGTCGCCGCGACGACTTCACATTCGCTATTAACTCACCGTCTTGGTTCTAGTACTTCTCGGTTTCTGCTCGTTCTTGATTGTTTGGTCCCCTTCGTCAGCCGAGTCCACTAAATTGATGGTCGTGATGGCTGTGTCTTGAATGACGACGTCGGAATCCCGTTTCTCTTCTTCTGCCTTCTCTTGTTTCACTTGCACTTTGCTCTGCTTGTGCTTTTTGCGTCTGGGGGCGGGTCGAGACGGTGCCGGCATCGTCTCCTCTTCGCTCTTGATGTTAATGTCTAAAGCGGTGGTGGTGGAGGCGGTGGTGTCCTCGCTATCGGTCGACAGTTTTTCGGTCTTAACGTAGACATTCTGGAAGGTATCTTCCAGGTTTGCGGGCCTACGTAGTTTGGCGGTTGACGAAAGACTGCTTTGGTGAGCTATGTTTTGGCTTGCTTCCTTAAAAGCGTTGCGTTTTGGACGGGTTCTGGGAGGTGAGGGTTCTTTTTTGGCCGAGGACTTGGGCTCTATGTTCTCTTTAATGGAAGACTGTTTGCCGGCTGATAGTAAAAAGTGGAACGGTTATTGAGAAAAGTCAGATTAAATTAGCAAATATTTACTGCTTTTTAATGTTGTCTGTTGGGTTTGGATTTCTTTGGGGGTGTCTTCTGAAGACGCTTTTCCCCAGTTTTCTAAAATCTCGGGCGAAGGGACGCTGCCGGTAGTTTTGTATTCTCCAATCAATTCGTTGACTTTTGCGAGGAAGTTGACAATATCCTGAGAATATTAAAGGGAACATAAGGGTGGCTAAAAAGACGAAAAATGTCTTATGATTACACTAGTTTACAAGGTTTTATATCCAAAGACAAAAATAGTCAGATTTTTGAGATATTTATATAAACATACCCTATATTTCTTTTCTTTGATAGAACTCTTGTAACTTTTTTGTTTTTAAATATGAACATATAGTTCTTTGAGCAAATTTGTATCATTTTAAAAGATCATTTACGTAAATAAATGACATGAATCAAGAATAAAGAAGTTATAGGGGTTGTATCAAATAAAAGCAACACCCAGTATATATATATATATATATATTATAAACATTATGACTAAAAATTAGAAATTAATAACACTAGCGCTTCTTTTATTGACATTACTGTCAGTTTCAGTATCAGTTATCACTTATCAGTAAGTAATTTAGAAATAAAAAATAATTGTTTTATTTTTGGATATGAAAAAACGTTTAAATTTGTAAACTATTATTATTTGACATGTTAAAACAAACATCAGCTGCTCTTATTAAATTGTTTTTCTTTGAACTTATACTGGGGTAATTCCCCAAATAAGTAAATTACTTAAACTGACTGACTTTACTTTTTAGTTGTAACAACATTACATCGAAGTTTTTAATAACACGCTTCACAGGAACCATCTTCTTTCTAGTTGGCGCCTTCAATTTCCGGATGTTTTCATAGGTCACACTTTATATTAAGTGAAAATTAAATAAAATTAATTTACATGTTTTACAAGGAAGAGTCAGTCACTGTTCCAGATAAGTCAGGGAGCAGTTTTTTTTCGTCATTAATAAATTGTATACACATACGTTCTGTATATCCTGGATGGGCTGCAACCCCTGATCTATAAAAGCGAAATCCGCTGCATTCATGTCGTCAACTATCTTGTTTATTAGTGGGTTCATGTTTTCGTAAACTAAAGGTTACTTTTCGAAAAATTAAAACAAATCTGTGACAATACAGTCCAACACGACACAACGATCACACACCAAACACGGGTCACAGAATGTCGTTAGCTATTTAAACGAAGATGGAAATGTCAATGTCAAATTCAAAATGCTGTAACGTGACTGGCTAGTGTCTCTAGGGGAATCCAGATCCGACCAATCCCAAGTAATATTTATGTTGTGCTGGTTGTACTGTATTACTGGTTGTATGAATCCCGTTTGATTTTATTTTTGTATAAAAATTTGTTTTTGTAAAAGTTTTCTAACGATTTTTTGCAATAATCCAGGAGCAGGAGTTTTCTAAAGTCGTGGGTTTACGGTTTAGTGGAAGACTCGTAAAAAATCGGACTCGGAAATTGAGGTTAGAAATATTGTCTAAACAGAAAAACAAAGGCAAAACAGGCCGACATGGACTTCCACCTTGTTGGTTTGCTCACAGAGAACAACAAAAACTCTTGCAATGTTTAAACAAATGCGTGAAAATTTGATGAAAAAATTGAGACATTGTTATACGAGTAACAAGAATGCAAAAAAAAAAAAAATGGAGCAGGAATCAGACAAAACAAAAAGCAAAGAAAGGTGATAATTTTATGTATATAATGTAGGGACAGAAAATGCCAGCTTGTATCAGATGAATTTATCCAGGCTGTTACGTAAAGTGATGAGGGGTAATGAAAATTATCCAAATTACGCCCATTAAAGCTTCATGTTGCCTATGTTAGGACGACTTTTTGTACAGATATCTGGTCCAATAGCACAAGTTCTAATTTTAGTGTGCACTAAAGAACTCAAATCAAGTGGATCAAATTTTCCAACAATTGTCTGAATTTGCAGTTTTAAATAAGCAGAGCAGATCAAAAATTGTTCAAACACTGCTCACAAACACATCAGATTATGCTGTTTTCAGCTACAATGACTGAAAAAGCTAGTCTAAACCAGGACTAAAAGTAACGAGTTATATGGAAATTTGACTCATCTGCACTGTGTAGACACTATGATAAACATAAACACAAACATGTAATGAAGAAAGTAAACGCAGTGGAAAAGTCAGATGAATTTCGGCGAAGGTCTGTTAAAGAAGAGTAAGCCATACGGAAGAGGTGTTGAAAATAAAAGCTTTGATTTATTGAAATGTTTATTTATTTTAAATAAAAATTATAATTTTTTGTTGTTTAACATGTTTTATGTATTTTCATTTGTTACTTAGTGCACTGTCTACTTGGATATTTTTTGCCCCGTGGATGTCAGTTACATCTGTCGGAAACAAGAACCCTTTCACTGTCCTTGAAAATATTCTTTTCCGAGCCGCGACAGCGGAAGAGGTGTCTAGAATAAAAAGCGATGAATTGTTGAATGTTTATTTTAAACTGGAATTATAAAATAAGAAAGAGAAAATAAAAAATTAAAGGAAGGTGGTGTTGTGTGTGTGTGCAAAATAAAAACGAATAGGATATAAATATTAAGATATTTCTATTTAACAATGTATAGTTTATAATCATCAACCTTTCCACAAATCTACAATTAAGAACATTACAAGTCATTGTATTTTACGTAAAGAAACAAGAAACATATCCTACAAGGCTCCGTGGTATAAATAATAATCAAAATCAATAATAATTAAAAAAAGAAAAACAGATACAACTAAGCTAAACGTAAACAATATGTCAACAACTTTACAATAATCATACAACGTACATACAATCGTGAGATATTTGATGTTTTTCTACGTAAAATGCAAACAATAGTAAAGAATAGTATGTATTATGTATAATATATGCGTTAGCTCGTATGGAAAATACCACATTATATTACATTTATATAAACGGGTGTGACTTTGTGACACTGCTTTCTCTTTTTCTCTCTTCTATTTACAATAATTGATCCTAGCTATTTACATTATATAGTGGGTATATCACATTCTGTACAGTAACGGTGACATGGCTGTGGCTTTTTAAAATTTCTTGTTTGTTTAAATTTAAATAAAGGTGTTCAAGGCTGGGGCTGCAGTATGGGCACTGTTACGTATGGGGGCCTACAGGGAGGCTCTGGTTCTAGCAGCTGGGGGCCGTCCTCTAACGGACAGCCGCTCTGATACTGTCACTTGACCTCTTTCTTGCGTTTGCTGTCACCCTCCGACACTGGAACAAACCAAGTCAGATTTCAATATTTGAAAATTTCATTGACTGATTCGAAAAATATTTTTTTCATACGAGCTGTATAAATTTTTTAGTGGTCAGACGTTATAACCAAAACACGAACAGGAGCGAATAACATTCAAGTGTAGTGCCAAAGTAGTGAGGGTTCAAGTAACCAATTCTGAGTTAACAATTATTGTTGTGTCAGAATTCTTCCGACACATTGAGTTTGCCTTTGATACATAATTTTTAGCATAAATGTCGCTGGATATGCGTGAATTTGAAGGCAAACTAATATTTGTTTTGAATCTTTAGAAGGTTAATCGCCCCGACGTGTGCTTCAGCATCATTGTGCTTGTTTACTCGCTCTTGTCCGGACTCTAACCAAACGCATGAAACCAACCAATAAAGCCGCAGGCAAAATTTAGTAACAAAGAAACAACTTTTGTGTCAAAATTTTTAGATTTATATTTATAAGCTACAGGGAAGGAAACTATTCCCTCACGTAACCAACTTGACGCTATATTTTTTTTGTTTCATTCGAAAGTGTACTAATATTGTTTTTAATGATATGTAAATGTTGTTCACACATTATTTCAATACCAAATTGAAACAAAATTTTCAATTTTATTAACTTCAAAAGTGATTTGAGAGTGGGCTAATCCGAAAAATCTAATCTGAATAATTTTTGCTAAATCTGAGCTATTTGGGTTAACACTGCCAGCATATGCAATACAACGTGAAATTTCTTTGAAGTACGTTATATCTTTTTACATGGTTAACATTTTTCAGTCTTAGAGGATATCTGTTTTTCCTTACCACTTTATTGCACTTTTCAAATTCACATAGTTTTGACTGAGCTCGAATAATGAAATTTGGGAATTAGAAACTTGGAACTAGGTATGTACCTAGAGAGTTATTAATCTAGTTGTTTTTCTATTGTATTACCCTTAAAAGTTCTTGTCTGGGAAGTGTCACTGGAACGTTTACGTTTTTATGAATTACTTCTATAGCTAATTTTATACGCGCCAAATATAATGAGACTACCAACTTAAAAATCGATAAATTTAAATACACTGTCTTGCCTGCAAGCCATCACACATTTATTTAGATTGTCAACTGATATTTGAGGAACATAACGTTCCTCATTCCTAACTTTACTTATTTTACATTTTGGTGTAAATTTTGCACACAACTTTAGTTTATTTTTTTGTATTTATCATTTGTGTCATTCTATTTTGACATTTATAAGTAGTGGTTAAAGCTTCGAAATTTTGACAAATTAAGTATAAACTATTGTTGCAAATCCACTCTGTGGCCAAGTGTTGTCTGCGACTTTACCATTTCACGATTTTTTTTTTATCACTACTTGTTATGACTTCTTATGACTTATTCTCCAAACGACACACTGATAAGCAATAAGCAGAATTTTATGTGATTTATCGCTTTTTTTACTTAAGTAATCAAAAACATATTACGTGATTAGAGATAATTTGTGTAAAATATAAATCTACGAGCGATAACGATACCACCGTCATTTCTAAATGCAAAATAATAATAAAAAAAAAATCACTTAATTTAATGCCACGCTTATATTTATGTGAGTAAAAACACGTAAACCAAAATAACTTAACTCGTTTTTCCTATCATTTTTTATAGTTTCGTTTGACCTCAATTTTATTGCCACGGTTTGACCGATTTAAACCGTACTTGACAGCCAAAAATTTAGTTACAATGGGAATTGGAAACGACTATTTTTTTATACATAGGATACCATGTTTAAAAAAATCTTTAAAATAATGCACTATATACATATTTTGTATAAATTTAATTCTAACAATACCAAAGTCCTCAAGAAAAACAGCCAAGAACGTTCCTGCAAGAATCCTCCCCTAACGCCCCACCCAACTCCACAGGTAACAACAAAACCTTGTAAAGTTTGGCGTTGCTGCCTAAATCTACAATTCGTCGCACATCCAAAACTCACCAGCACTCCTCGTCTTTCTCCTAATCGCTTCCGAGTCCGTCGCCTTGTCCCCTTTGCTCCTCGTGTTGGGCGTCGGCGCCGTCCTCACCGACCTCCTCGTGCTCACCGTCCCTTTCAACCCCTTCACTTTCTTCCCCGGCACGCTATTGGCGCTGTTCGCCGCCGCCGTCGTCTTCCTCACCTTCTCGATCAGCGGCTCGTCGCTGTCCGAGCTCTCGTCTTGCAATTTCCCCGCCGCGGCCGTCGGCCCCTTCTTCACGTTGTTCGCCTTCGCCACGTCAACTCCCATGCACGCCTTGATCAGCTCGGCGGCGTTCTCCGAGCACTTGCGCGTCTTCTTCGCGCGCGCGTCGTCGACGCTATTATTCGAGCTGTCCGACTCGTGACGCTTCCGCTTGGCGGCCGTCACCGGCGGCGTCACCACAGCTCGCACCACCTTAGGGGCGGCCGGCGGCGGTGCCGACACCGGCGAGCTGAGCTCGGGGCTGCTTAGTTTGGAGAGGGCGCGCGTGCGCACCGACGAACGCGTCGCCGGGCTGGGCGAGCTCGGCGTCTGCGCGTCGGGAATCTCGATGAGCAGCTGCTCGAGTAGGCTCTTGGTCTTGTTAGCGGTGGCGGCGGCGACGTTGTGGGGGCCGGAGTTCGAGCAGGAGTTGCTGTCTTCGTCGGATAACGTGGGGCTCTCGGAGCCGGCGCGCGTCTTCTCCGGGTTCGAGTAGGTGTAGAGAGGCGGCGTGACGCGGACGGGGAGCGGCTCTAAGTCCTCCTCTTTCGTCTTCGACTTGATGGGAACCTGTTAGGATATTAAAAACCTGATTAGGTTTTTTTACTTTTTCCTTGTTGTAAATTCGGTATTGATAATAAATAAGCTAGGCCTATATAAAAACGTTTTTAAACTAAGAACTTACCATCGTCACATCTGCCTGCTGCAGCTGCTCCTTCACCCCCATCGGGCTTGTTGCCGTCACCGTCGACAAGGTCACCGCTCCCTGCTTCAAGCTGTCCTGCAGCGCCGACGTTAGTTCGCAGCACTGCGCCATCTGCTTGTTTGCCTGTCCGCCGCTACTCGTCCGGTTCTCGTTCATGTCTTCTACGCCGTTCAACCCCTCCATCTTGGCGAGTTGCGCCTCGATGTCGAGCATGTCGGGCATTTCAGGCACTTGTGTTTTTGATTTGCCGTTGTCGTTGGTCGACGCCGTCGCCGCCGCCATCGTTGGGATCGTCGGAGGCGGCTCGGGAATGTCAGCGTGTGGACTCTGCGACGCCTGGTTCGGCGACTTCTCGCTCAGGGCGTCCATGCTCTCGATGCCGCTGTCCTCGCCTTGGGCGCCCGAGTTCGGAGAACGGCCCGACTGCTTGTCGCCCAATGAGTCGGGTGGTAGTTGTTTGCGATCGCGGTCACGTTCGGGAGTGTTGCACTTGTCCGGCTCGGGGGACTTGGGGGACTTCTCCGCGAGAGGGAGAGGCTCCGATTCGACTTTTAAGACCTGGTGAAGATACGGGAGAAAATATGCGTTAATCCAAAGTACTGCAGTTTTGAAAATTGAACATTAAAAAAGTACTATAGCTTGTGGCGAAAATGATACAATAATTAACAACTGAACTGTTTTGGAAAAAAAGAGGATTTCTATGAGATCATTTAAGAATTACCTCCATCATCACCGATTTTTCAACATTACATTATTATTTTTGTGACGTTAAACCGTTCTTTACTTTGTCACATAATTTAAAAAATGTGCAGTTGCGGAATTTTTTAAAAAACATTTTGGAAAAATTAATGATATTGTATCCACCATGGAATAAATACTTTATTTTACATACCATATTTTTATTAAAACCGTATGCTCCTGGGTCTATTTGAGTTAGATATAATAGCACTGTTGTCAATTTTTATTATTCCATCCACTTTTTAAATTCTTCGTTATTTAATTAATTGTAATTACATACATAAGTTCCAGAGTCGTAAGTAACTATCCTGTAAGCATTTTGTCCGTCTTTACTGTTTTCATATGTATAGTTGTATATGTAAAAAAGGAACTATCTATTTTGAAAATTAAAGTGACAAACGCTTCATTTAAAATATTAATAAATATTACAGAAGAAGGTTTAGGATATTGTTTTTACATTTCAAAGTACCAGAAAATATCGAACATTCGTTACCGATTTTTCTTTCTTACCATTATAAAAAACTCATTGAAGGTTATTTCGACAGAACTTCCCTCGCCCCTGAAGTACAGTACAATAAATCCAGTTGTTTCGAAACATTATAAGATTTGCGAATTTTATTTTTTATAACCCTTGTAAGTGAAAATAAAGATACGTATGTAATGGTAAAGTGAAGGTAAGGAAGCGTGCTACGCGTTTGTTTCAAGTGAGTTTTTCCATTACAAAGCCTTGTGATGACGTCATCAATATTTTTGCAATGACACATGTCAATTTAGATAACTAATAATAACAGTACTGTATTCTCAAATTTTTGGGAAAATGGATGAGTCGTTCTTAATTTAATTAATACAATAAACTGCCTAATTTATTTATTGTTTTGGGTCACCCGGTGTATGTAATTCTAAAAAATAATGATGCATTGACACACCCCAAGTATACCACGTGTTTCTTTTATTTGATACAACTCCTGTACCTTTTTTTTAATTTTAAAGATAAACGTATCGTTCTTTGAACAAATTTGTATCATTTTAAAAGATCACTCATGTGAATAAATGACTTTAATGACATGAGTGTCAATTTTTCAAGCTACTAGATTGTCATCAATAAATATGTTTTTTTTTTATTTTATTGAATAACTTTTTAATTATGTATTGATTTTAGAATATTGGTTGCTTTTGATTTTTTAGAAAAAATTGATTTTTCCATTTATGAAAAAATATACCTAGTGTTCCATAAAAAGTTGACGTCATTTCCAGTTCTACCAGAAGTGATAATAAAAATGTGAGGTTGCCATCACATAGATCGTTTAAAATGATTCAAATTTGACAACAATTGGTTCGGTAGTTCCGGAAATTGTTTAATAAAAATTGACACAGATGGACAGACGACAGGCAGACGGAAATAAGATACCACATTTTTCGTACTCTACAAGGGTCACGAAATGTTGAAAAAACATGAAAATGGCCAGTTGCCCGCGACCTTAGAAAACTGGGCCACTTTGACATAACAAAGTTTTAGTTATTATTTTTTTAATAGCAATTTGAATGTACGCTCTTGATTTGAAAAACGGGATAGTGACTTTGTCAAAATTATTTGATTTGTCAAAGAAAACATTAATTAAACGCGATTTTTTTTTAAATTTGGACGTGTGTGTCACACCTAGCGGTCCAGTTTTCTATGGCCGTGACTGTATAATTAAAACAAATCCAGTTTTTAAGATAAATTACAAAATTTGATTTTGCGAACTTTATTAATTTCTTTATGAAAACTTCCGTGAAAGTTAAAAAATAAAATTTCGTGATGACGTAATCAATTTTTTAGCAAGGATTTATACATTTGCGGTATAGAGAAATAAACAGTACTAAAATATATGAGGTGAGCCGTTCTTGATTTTTTTTATCAAAAGACTTCATTCATTATTTTTTTGAGTCACCTGTATAAGCAGTTCTATTAAATATATATGCACTAATATACTACAAGTATAGACCCATATATTTTGCACATTTTACATAGGATTTCTGTCGAAAAATTTTGAGATGACGTCAAGTTTTCGGAAAGGATAAACAGATAAATTATGATTAGCGATTTACCTTAAAACGTTTGTACAATTTCAGAGCATTTAGTTTTGCAGTTTCTAACCTACATTGTAAAATGTTGTCAAACGATTTTGACTTTTTGTCCAAAAATCTGAATGTAGAAAATAAAAAATAAAGGTGGATTTATAAACCGTAGGTATAAAAGTATGTATTTTATAAAATTTAAGTAGGAATTACTTTGCAAATTTTGAGATGATGTCATCAAATTGTTGGTGGGGATGATCAGACAAATCTTGGTCAGCGTTTTACCATCTACACGATATCCCTAAAATACATCTAAAATTTCACAACAGTAAGTCCAGTCGTTTTGGAGATTATCTGTCGAATAAAATCGCCAATAATAGACAACATACAACAGAGAGACGAAGCAGGAGAACTATTTTTTCATATTCTTGCAGTTAGAAAAGTTGAGAAAAATAAGTGAAAAATTTTATGAAAAAACAAAACCGAAATTAGTGTGACGATTCATTTCTCTTACCTGATCAGACTTTTCAATTTGGTTACTCTCCGTCACGATACTCTGGTGCACCACGTCCGTCCGATGCGGCGGCCTCGGAATCCCCTTTTCCGTACCCTCCATCAACCTCTGTTTAAACTTTGCCTCCATGTCTATCTCGCCCGTTGGCAACGCTACCTGCTTCGTGAACTTCTCCCCTAGACACGCCTTCGTGAAACTCTTGCTTCTCATCACGTCCTTGCTCTTGAAGACGTCTTTAACTTTACTCTTGTCCTTTCGAGGTTTTTGCGGAAGTCCCGCTATCGTTCCTACGTTCGTCGATCCTAATATCGGCGGCTCCACCATCTCCATTCCGGCCTCCGATTGACTCAATCTCCTCTTCTTTTCGACAGAGATGATTCCATTGCTGTCGACGAACTTCAAATTCGCCCTCGATAACTCCGAGTCGCTCCCTCTCCTTTCCTTCTGCTTTTCCTTGTAGTGGGTCGAGTTGTGTATCACTAGCTTGGAAATGAGGTCCGAGTCGTGCTCGTGATTCGATTTGAACTTCTTCTTTTTGTCGTCGGCGTCGTCGCTTATTGCACTGTTGCCGTCCGTGAGTGCGCTTTTCTTGATTTTGTTCAAGTCTTGCGTTTTACGCATCTTCGACTTGTCCGGGTTGAGTTTTTTCTTCTTGTTGGTGATGAAGGCGTGGTGGCGACCGCGCAGCGAGATGTGTAAAGGGGGCACGCGCAGCTCTTCGCCGGGGGCGCTCGGGGATGGCGTCGACGTGGACGCCGACGCCTTCTTCGGTTGCTGGATGAAGCTCACGTCGACCTTGTACGCCGAATTGATGGGTTCTGACTTTTCGAGTTTCAGGCGGAGTTTGATCTTCTCCGTCGTCGGCTTGAGGTTCGGGGAATCGCGTCCTCGGTCCCGCGTGGTTTTCGATTTGCGCGAGTGTTTGCCACTGTCACTATGCGACGATCGGGTCTCACTGTCACTCTGGTCCGTCGTGGTATCCGGCCGGATCGTGGAGTTCGTGTCGTCGTCGGAGAGGGCCGCCGGCGACGGCAAGCCCGTGAAGACGTCCCCCAGGTCCGGTTCGGCGTCGCTCTCGCCGCTCGACTGCGGTTCGAGCTCCCCCGTCAGCGGGTTGATGAGAAAGTTCCGCTTGTCGTGCGGCCGCGTCAGCTCCTCGGGGATCTCCGGCGGGCTGCGCGCCAGGTCGCGTTCGAGAGTCGGCAGCAGGTGCTCCAAGTCGTCGGCCTTGAGGTCGGTGAGCGACGGCGTCAAATCCAAAAAGGGCGCGCTTTGTACTACGGAGTCCCACTGGCGAGTGACCGCCACCGAGTATGGCGGCGGCGGGGGGAGCGCCGCCGGCGCCGCGTACGCGGAAATTGTACTGTTCGGTTTGCTACTCTGCCTAATGGAAGTAGAAGATAAGGCGCTTGGTGATGACGTGCTTGCCTGAGGGGGTTTGGTGTTCTGCACTGGCACTCGGTTCGCAATAGTCCGCAGCTTTTGCACGAGCGTCCGCGGTTTGACCGCACTGGTCGTTTCCTTGCCGTCGTTCTGCAGCAGGTTCACGAGCAGCGGACTGGAGATCGTCACCGCTGGATGCTTCCCGGGGTAAGGAGGCGGTGGCGTTGCGTAGTTGACGCCGTGAATCGCCTGGTTCATGCTGGTGAAGGGAAACGGACCCCCGAAGGGTTTCGTCGGCGGGGGCGCGCTGTTGGCGGCCGCCGCCGCACTCACAGCCACTTTGGGCACCACGCTGTCTGACGGGCACACCACGTTCGGCGACTTGAACTGCACCTTCTCTGGCTCGGGCGCCAGCAACCGCGACAGTGCTGCCTCCTGGCTGGTCCCGCTTCCATCTGAAACAATTAAAATTATAAGTCACAAAAAATAACCAAACCGCTAATTGAATTCAATTAAAAGAAACGTTGCAGAAAATTTCTAAAACGAGAAACATCTACAAATATTTTTATCAAAGACAGTGAAATTGGGGAAAACAAATATAAGATATGTCAAACGAAAGTTGTATAAAATTAATACATTAAGGAATATTGTAACGAATTTCATATTTAAAACGCTGAATTTGCAGAAAACAACGACAACACATAAAACAAGCAAAAGAAACGTGGCGAAAATTAGTAACTGAAAGAATGGCACAATGAATGTCACGTTAATGACGAAAATAAGTCATCACGTAGGGAAGGTTGGTAAAAATTTGTAAAGTATCAAAATGAACTGACGGAAAATAATAACAAAACGAAAAAGTGAAGAAACTTGATAAAAATCAGTAGATCAAAGAGAACATAATTGACGGCGATGCGACTTGGATAATCCTCGCTGCCTCACCTTGTGCCGTCGTCAAGCGGATCTCCTGAGGTTCGGCGGTGACGGCGTTCGCGATGCGTAGCGAGATCACCTGGTCGCCCTCCACCTGCACGCTGAGGATGCCCAGTGCCCGTAGCTGCGCCGAGCCCTCGCTGGCCAGCTTCCGCAGGCGTAACGCTGCTTCCCGGGGAATGGACAGCGTTACGCGCACCGAGTTCCAGGGCTCCAGCTTGCGCACTTTAACCTCTTCACCCAGGATACCGTTCAGCTCGCCGACGACAGCTTCGAAGCGCTCCGCGAAGCGCGGGTCCGACAGGTTTCCCTCGCACGTGACTACGGTCGTTAGATCGTAGCCATCACTGTCTGCCGCCATCTAAAATCGGCACAATTACACCCTGAGCCCCCATGTCGCGGTGCTTACCCTTGGCACTCACATTCCGGCCGGCGCCCCTTCACAGCCACCTGCAACCGACAACGAAACAATTAGAACGGCGCCAGAGGAGTCCATCGTTTCGTTACGACGGCGAAAAATCGCCGAAACGAAAGATGGACATGGTCGCAGCCATCTTGTGCTGGACGGGGGAGTGTTATTGCATGTGTTCGGAAGGGAAAATCGGGATTCCGAGGACGCTGGGCGGTCGGGGGCGGCCGCGGCGACGGTGTCACGATCGGGCGCCGCCGCTTCGCACCCCCGACGTGGCCTTTCGCTGGACGGAAATTGATTTGCTTACGGGCACATACATTACATACCCGATTCTCTGTGACATACTTTTGACACTTTAGAGTGCGATCCAGCCACCGAGATGCGCTCCGCTGTTGGGCTATTGCACGGCGTGATCACTAATTCGCAAAACGACACGTAAAAACACGACAAAAACACTCATAATCTTTATAGAAATTATTAAACGCTTTCAACAATAACAACTCGACGCCATTCGAGATGCGCAGACTGGGTGCGCACATGGTCCAAATCGAATTCGGTGGAAAATTTTGACATCTGACAGTGGAAATTTACAACAAAAATCCCCAGATAAATCACTAGATGAATTATTTTTTTAAAGAAGAACGCTACTTTTACTAGATTTTATTCGCAAATAAACAAAATTAACCTACAAGATCAGATCTAATCCTCCCGAACACACATCGTGTCTAATTATCGGGTTCACATGAGTCAAACAATCCCTTGTTCCTGATCTTGTTGAACTCCTTGTTGATATCATACTTCCTAAAACACATGGTCAACACAGTTTTATAAAATATTTTTTGTCAGTACTTGTAAAACTCGGCGTAGATGTTCTGCCTGTGGTCATTCACCAAAAACTTTTGGGCCACTGCTGCTACGAAGCACATACCACATGCCCAGATGAGATTCCGCTTGATCTGGTTGTGCAAAAGTCCTCTCAACTGAGGCTTGGGTGTTTTGCTTACAGCATCAGACATGCTTTCTGTGGAAAAAAGACACTCTGCATGACTATTACATAATATCGATTGCGGGCATGAATTGCCACCATTGCAGTGGAATCCAACCGAAAAAGTGTAAAAAAAAAATGTATGACTTTTACAATGCTATTTCACGGTTTAAAGTACCTTAATTGTTGTTAATTGCTTTCAGAAAGAATTTTTCTATTGCTGGACTCTAGAACCAGGGTCTAGAACTGTCAATCAACTGACACTGACAAGTTGTCCGTGCCCTGCTTTACCGACAGTGTTACAGACCGGACCCGGTTTTTAAAAATGTTATAAATAATAAAACATTGCACCTATCCTTATCAGCATGATTTTGTAATTTGTTTAATTATTTTTTAATTAAGCCAGTGTAAATATTTTGTGAAATTTAATATATTCACCGGAAATGTTTGGACCGGAAGTAGAGTCAAAGTCGGATTGAATTTCGTGCACTTAAAACTTATAAAATCTTTATTTAAAATTAGGAGTATTATATTGCTAAATTAATTATGTCGATTGTTAAATTGTTATTTTTTTTGTATAAAGTTGTCAATGCCGAAAAAGTAACGAAAGTTTTGGTGTATATGGTAACATAAGTGTTGCCACAGCATTAATCATAATAAACCCAAGTGAGCGACGTAGCACAGGATCGAACTAAGGACAAACAAAAATCAGCTCACAAATAATAATAAAGAAGAACAACTTAAGTTTAACTACCAGAAACTTATTTTCGTGAATAAAAACAGAAAACAAAGTGTGTCATTAAACAATGACTCTATGGATATGTCATAGTATAATTAAGTATAGTAAACTCATTTGATATACCTTTGTAAAACTTTTGTGAGTTAAGCGGCTTAAGCCAAAGTACCCTTATAAGTCAAACTGGCTATTGTATAACTTAACTCAGTTTACAGCTCCATAATGACAACAATTTGACAGTAATAATCCTTGTGGCTCGGGTCCATAAAGCTTACAATATCTATACTGAATAGGTGGAGTCACAGTTAGAGTTGTTAAAGTGTATAGTGAGTTGCATAGGTTGGTGGGCGATGTGGCGATGAGCTGGAGACTGGGGAGAAAACCATGTGACGTGACAGAGAAATTATATATCTTTATAATATATTTATCAAGACGACATCGTTAATCATTTAATATTCACATTTTAACTAGGCGAGAAATGAGTAAAATTTGATTTAAAAAAAACGGGAAAGATGAGTAAATAAAAAAAAAAAACAATGGGCAAAATAGACTCATATATCTATTACTATGATGGATTTTATTAGAAAAACTGTTATAGCATAGTCTAGTAAGTGAAGAAAAATGTACTGCCGCAGTGGTAATCGAACCCAACGTCTCCCACTTGCTGGACTATACCATACAGCCGCTTATCTTTCTTCGCCGCAGTGCCACACACAGGTTAGAGGTGTTCTCGAAAAACATGCTGAGATCGTCGTCTTCGTTGATTCACTATTAAAGTCTCTCCAATTGGTTACAATCGTCCGACTTGTCAAAAGGGAAAATATTAAAAGATGTCACCCCCTTCGGGAGTTACAGGAACCTTTAATTAATCCGTTTTGTTACGCGCCAAAACAGTTTGTGCTTGAATTGATATTAGCAAAATGTCCAAAAAATATTGCTCTGTGCCTGCTTGTGGAGTAATCAAGGATCCTAGAGACCACAAAATAATGCACAGATTCCCTTCAAACACTGTGAACAAAAGGTTGTGGTGCAAAAAGGTTTTTAATGCTACAAGTAGGTACCCAAACATGAATCTTTTACCTTAGGGAATGTATAGGCATTAAAACCATTTCATGATAATATTGCCAATAATTTATACTTTTGAGAGAAGTTGTTATTATTTAAATAAAAGACTTAAACCCGGCTCTGTTCCTACTTTGTTCCTCCATGGTTCCAAGTCACCGCTACCTGTTCCTACTTCTTCAAGCTACCCAGCAAGTAATAAACGTGATCCAGAATGCAGCTTCATAATTCCTGAGACACATTCCGATAACAATGTAAACACCTCAAAGAAAAATTTTCCTACTGCATATCCCTTTGAAGACGATCCACGCCCATGGCGTTGTGATTTTGGCACCGGTACCGACATTTTGCCTCTTTTTCTAGTAAAAACCGAAATACATGATGTCATTGTGTCAAAAAGTCAGACCATGACAGACATTTAGCTGACATTACAGATTCCTTTCCCTCCCGACGTATGCGCCCTCACATGTCACATTTAAGGGATTGGGGAGACTTTAATAGTGAATCAACGAAGACGACGGCTGAGATATTTAAAATTCTCAGACCAAAAACAACCAAAATAAATTCAAAGTTTAGAACTTAACGTTTATAGGTGAAGTAAAGTGAAATATTATTTTTGGACTGTGTTTCATTGCTTATCTTTGTGTAATAATAATGTAAAGTCCTAAACAAAACTTGGCGACAAAGAAACGTCATTTGCGTCAAAATTTTTAGGAGATGCATATAAACGGTTATTCACGAAAAGGTTCTCCGTTAAAATATTCAAGACACAATCAGAAATACAATTTCAAAACAGTCTTTGATATTTCATCAGTGGCGGCTCGTCAGGGGAGGCAGGGGAGGCAGTGCCTCCCCTGGAAAAATTGACTATTAGTTTTTGTTTTATTATCTGTTAATTTCAAATATATTTTAAAGATATAGCAAATAACTTTTATAGAACTCTATGATTTATTAAAACGCATCTTGGTAACATATTTTGAAGTACGCGCTTTCGACAGGAACAAGCGCTGATCATCATCGTGTAGGCCAGCTTCAGACAGAGGCATGCCTCAGATAGACGGATATCTTCAGTATGATTAGTTAGTGCTGCTAATATGTTTTTGAGAAAGACAATAGTCATCAGTGCTTTATCAAAGCGCCAGCGGAGGCACCAACGCCTACCGTCCTTAAGCCAATCAGATCGAATTTTTTAATCTCACGGTGAAACTGCACAATGCTGAACAGGGATGCTGAATGCATTTAGTGTGCATTTAGTTGTGTATGAATTAGACGCGAGGAAAGGTGTTCACTGCCAAGGTTATGTATTAAAACTTTTAAGTTAACTTAAAAACAGTAGGACAATGAAAATGTCAGTTTTGCAATGCTGATAGGAACATAAGAATCTCTAATCTCCAGAATTTATTATAAAGTTTAATATTTAAGCACGGTTTTCTTACGACGAACAATTGTAAGTCAAAGATTTAGAACCTCTCATCCAGATTTGAGCAGAAGTTTATTAATTAATTGATTAATATATTTAAATCAGCCCTAGATCACATGAATTAATATTAATGCTAATAAAGCAAATTCTGTAGTCTTTACACTTTCTCGTTGGTTTGTGTGAAGCAATTAAATGTTTTTTATTCGAAAAGTGTACCCATATCGAGATATGTTCCTGACTCAGAGTTATTTGTATTGTTTTCATAAAAATGAATAAACAAACTGCCTTTTAACAAAAGTAATTGCGAACATGTTAATTAATACCTGCTCATTTTGAAACGAAAATGTTGCCTCACCTAGCGAAAAGACCACGAGCCGCTACTGTATTTCATAGCATTTAAAAAAGATAAAAAAAAGCGATTGCAAATAAATTGTATTGTTGGTTGCGTTGTGATTTTTTTTTAGACGAGAAGCTTCTAATAAATAGCCTGTATTAAAAGTTATACACAGACGTGGTGAAAATTGACATATGAGATTATGATCCACTTTGTTGCTAATAAGTTTTTCCTGCGACTTTTTATTATTAATATGCAATCAACAAATGTTGCACTCAAGCTGGCAATACACTTTAGTTGTGTTTCTCTGCTCATATTCCCTTGTGAGTGGTAGACGAAGCCAAGGCGTTTGTTTTTTCGATGACAACTTGAGGATGTTTCTTGCTGAAGACACCTTATTGATAGATGATCTACAGAATGATCTTTGTTAGTCCGGTCCTGAATAGTGACTTTGGAACATATGTATATGACAGCGACACTTTTACCACTTTTATCCTGGCGCTAGCTTCACCATGGCTTCATCCTTTTCCCAGATATGGCGCGAAATTTGTGCCTTTTTTTATATGTTGGCGCCTCGAAAGTCAGTGTAAATACCACGAAACAAAATAAACAAATATTTAATGTATTAGACGGCGAAATTCACAGACGAATTGTTTACTTTTGTACGCTATCATATTATGCATGTAGATTAGATATTGACTCCCAGCCTAGCCAATGCTCATTGCACAACTTCACGACTATTTGTATGTCAAATTATTGCCCGTCAGCAGTGTCAACAATAGTATTAAAATTAAATTTAGCATGCGAAGAGTCAAGATAATAATGTAAAAAATAGTCGATAAGATAACTGAGATTTGTCCGGGAAGCGGTTACCTTTAACTAAGTAATGTCAGTCAACCAGTTGCCTTCAAAGAAACCCAAGCAAGCCCCCTTCATACTTGCACCGAGCTTAACTTAATACTAGCTAAACCTTGCAGAATGTCCGAGGAAAACGTGAAGCACCTCCCTTCAGCCATCCCTCTGCCTCTGCCCGAGGCCGAACTCGCTGATGTTGTGGAAAAATCCAAAGATTGGGCCCTGATGCATGGAGCGGCCATGCGTTCAAAAACGACCTTCTCCGAAGACTCTCTCAACTTCGCCCCCTTCGTGCTCGTCCCCACCGCCTTCCCGCGGAAGCAGTTCCTCAAGTCCATCGAAATTCAGCCGATTCTCAATGAGCTGATGCACAAGGTGGCCCACAGCCGAGAGTTCCTCACCGAGTGCCTTCAAGAAACAATCAAGGTGGACGACTTCACCGGGCGCCTCTTCAACATCTACGAGACGGTGTTTAACGAAGGTGTCACCCAGGTATGACTTTTCCTCGCCCTGCAAATAATGTAAATTTTGGCTTGAACCCCTTGCTGTTGTATATCAGCCGATTAGTTTGGGTCTGGTGAGGTCAGATTTGATGTTGGAGGGATCGTGTAAGGGTCACGCGCCCTCGGATTCTACGCCCATTTGCTGTTGGAAGCAGATCGAGTTCAACACTATCGCTTCGGGTTTCGGATGGCTGGGCCCCTCTTCGCGTGCTATCCAGAGGTAAAGACGACCTCTGTGTGCTGCTACGCTTTGCGTTTCGGGGCAAATGAATGCAATAATGAAGGCGGTTTTTTTGTTCCTTGTAGATAGTGTACATAGGTGGGATGTGTGAAAGTGGTTTTGTAGTTTTCAATTTTATTTCAGCGAGCCTGTTTGGGACTTCTGCGGTCTGATTATATGGTGCATTCGGCGGCTACAGATAATATTAAACAAGTCGAGATAAATACGATTGCCTCGAGCTTCGGAGGCATTGCTACACACATTTCCGAGTACAATAGGTACGACTTTTATTTATTCTATGTAGCACATTGCGCATTAATTTTCCTATTAACCATGAGCACACGTATTGCATGCGAGCCTTACTAATTTTTAATTTTTTTTTTGTATTTTTTTGCACTAATTTATTTTTAGTCAGTCCTTCATTATTTCATTCATTTTATGAATTTCAATGTGAGCACTTTTGTGACGGTTTTGTCTCGTTTGCACTTGGGAGGCACGAGCGAACAAATGAATGCGTTCAGTTCAGTTTTTGATATAGGTAATGATGTATAAATTTACCTCATCAATACTACACACATATAACGTACAATTTCCTGTGGTCTGAACAATCTACAAAAAAAGTGTAGTTAGGAACATCATAAACTAGATTCCAACACTTAATACAATTAAAAAAAGTCATCGACATTGTTTTCGAGTCTAGATCGCCCAGTTCATTTCTCCTTGATTATTTTGCAATCAGTTTTATGATGTGCGTAAACATATTTTATTTTGTAGTTTCTTATAAAATACTATGAAGGGATTTGACCAATCATTTGAGATGAAATATGCTATGTAAATGTGGCTTTTGTGCTAACGTTCGTTTTTGGCTATCGTAAAAACAGACCAGGCGCTTAGAATTTTTTAACTTTTAAGTGTCCCACTGCTTTTAAGCCTCGCTGTACAGGCGTCATGCACATTCTTATCTCCAAACGTGGTCCTCGATCTACATACTCAATAAAGTCAAGTGTGCGACTTTTTGATTGCAATTAACAAAAATATTTAGACACACAAAACACTTACCTACTTACAATCAAAGGAAACATTTAAAATTACCTCTTCAGACTTATCAGCATCTTCACAATAATGGTTATGACATACATATATGCCAGATAAGATTAGATACATATATATTGAACGTGTGATGTTTTTACCATTCAAGTGGTTTATTGACTAAAGGTTAATATCCTATTGTGAAGTACCGTGCGCTCCGAAAAAAGAGCTCTAGAGGTTGTTCTGTTTTCGGGATTTTAGGTGGAATTCTGCTGTGTAAATGTTACATCATGCTACAAACATTAGATTAAAATTGCATAAAGTAAAATTATCAATTGGAATTGCAAAATTCTAGCCAGCGCTAATTTCTTTTTTATAGTTGATCGCAAGCCACTTTTTTTACATTTTGTTTTAAGTAACAGATTTTTTTAACGTTAATAGGATTCAATAATCTACGTTGTTTTAGAATTATTATTTTGTGAACCAGAGTAGTATATACAATTTTTGGGAATTTATGTCGGATTAAAAAAAAAGGAGAAAAAAATGATAAAACTTTGTTTCTTTTTGTAATGCTTGAAAAAGTTGCATCATATGCATTGAGTTGTAATCTTAACTTCTGAGGTGAATACTAGAAATGCGGCTGAAACATGTACAGAACAATGAAAAAAAAAAAAAAATGCATTGAGTTGTGAAAACTTAAAATGAAAAGGAATATAACAAACTTAAAACATGGGTAGGCAACCACTTATACACTTGCAGATATTTCTCATATTCTTGTTCCCAAAGATCGCAATGGGAATTTTGCCATAGAAAACCAGTCTCACTGTTATTCATTATTTAAAAATAAATCGGAATTAAACGTTGTAAAAAATTCAGCAGTAAAAATGCGAAAAACCCAGCACACCTTTTTACAAGATGAAATTAAAATTTTTCTAGTGTTGTTAAATTGTGATACCATGGACAAACATTAATGCCAAAGACAGTTTCAAGCATTAATCCTTCTCAAACTTCAATTTATATGTGATTTAAAATATATCACTTTTTAATTTAATAATGATTCCGTTTTTGGGTATAAAAATCAAAAGAAACAGAAGAGGTAATAAAAAATTAGTGAAAAAAATTGTTTGGACGAAAACATTTTGCCTGTCGTGATTATGGTAATCATTTTCAAATTGGGTTTAGCAAAATTCGCGAAAGTGCAAATTGAATGTCTGAAATTTCGTACATTTTGAAAATTCCACCAAAAAATCTTGGCCAAATTTTTTTTTAAATATTTAACGAACGCAGATACGAATATTGAATGAGGAACAGTGAAAGTATAATTAAGATACTCACTTTTTGTTAAAAAAAAATACCCCCTCTGCCCTAAAATAAGTGTCCGATTTCTGTATTTTGCTAAATATTACCTTTATTTTTAAAGATGAGTAGGTTTTATTTACCACGTATTTGGTGTATGCCAAATGCAACATTTTATTGTGAAAAAAGTTTTGAAGGTGTTTGTTTTGGAAACAATAATTCTTTGTTTTTAAACGAATTTAAAGAAACTTGTTTAAAATACCGGTGTGGAGACAATATGGCCCTGGAAATAAAACTAGTTGCCCCAATTCAAAGAAAAAAGCCTAATTTAATCGAAGAAGCTCATCAGGACATCTACTAGTTTCTTCTTGACGTAAGTGGAGGATGGTTCTAAAAAGTCTCATTTTGTGAATGCTTCAGAAGAATGGAATAAATATGTGAGATTTGAGAAAATGTATTTTATTAACATGGTAGACAACAATTGGATACTTATTTTGGGAGAAAATTTTTTTTCGAAATTGGACACTCAATTTGGGACTGAGGGAGTATTATTTTTCATATTTACTTCGAATCTGAATGTACTAAACCGTAAGAATATAATATAGCGAACTAATCAAATGTCCATTTTTTGTTGGATCGAACCTCCCGTGTGGCAAAAACCCACTTTTAATTCTGCAGGTACTCTAACCGTTAGGAACATTTAAAAGCACACGCATGACTTCCTGCTACTAAAGTTTTCAGTAACCCTACACTTGGGACATTTATTAGGAAAAAATCCGTGCACTTCATTTCATTAATCTCTTTTAGGTACGTTTTACAAGAGTTGGGCCACAGCGACAAACTCAAAAACGTAAGAAAATACCCAAACAAAAAACAATATTTTGACAATTTGCATAGTTACCAGATAATAACGCATTGGAAGGTCTTTGTAGTGGCATGATAGAAGCCTGGAAACTCTACGGCAACTCCAACGCCGTCGTCTTGTTCATCATCGAAGACGTCACTTACAACATTTGCGACCAAAGATTCCACGAGTTCAAAATCCGCGAAATGGATCCTCAGGTTAAAGTGATAAGGAGAAATTTGACTGAAATAGGGGATCGGGCGACCCTCGGAGCTAAGAAAGAATTGATCATGTACGTAACACTATTGTAAAAGACGAAGAAATGATTTAGATACCTTGTAGTGACGGTTTCGAAGTTGCCGTGATTTACTTCCGCGCAGGGTATGAACCGGGACACTACCATAGCGAGAAGGAGTGGGACGCGAGGCTCCTTATGGAAAGGTTCAAAACATAATTCGGTACCATAATCTCGAATTCTTTACCTCGGTTCTAGATCTCTAGCCATCAAGAGCCCAACGATCCACTACCACCTCGCAGGGACCAAGAAAGTCCAACAAGTCCTAGCCCGTCCTGGGGTTTTAGAGAACTTCCTTTCCGATCCGTCGCAAGTAGAACGTGTCAGAAATATCTTCACGGGTTTGTATAGTCTCGATTTTGACGAAGTAGGCGAGCAGGCTATCCAAATGGCCATCGACGACCCGGAACGCTTCGTGCTGAAGCCACAGCGCGAAGGAGGTGGGAATAATGTGTACGGTTTAGAGGTGAGAGAGGCCATCAAGAGGATGAAAGATAGTGAGGAACGAACGGCTTGGATTCTGATGGAAAGGATCCACCCGCCTTTGTCGAGGGGTTATATGGTGAGACCCGGCGGGAGCAAGGTGCCCGAGATGGTAGATATGGTTTCAGAGTTGGGGATTTTCGGGGTAGTGCTCGGGTGAGTCTACAATAGAGCGACGAGGGAAGTGAACTTTTTTAACTTTCGGTTTATAGGGATGGTGAGAGTATTTGGTATAATAAGCAAGTGGGACATATGCTGAGGACCAAGGTTTCAACGGCTGATGAAGGTGGCGTCGCCGCTGGCCTGGGGGCGTTGGATAGCCCGTATTTGATAGACTAAGATAAACGTATTTTTCTACTTTGATGTATGTTTTATAAATAAAAGTTTGCGTTTGTTTAGTTTTTTGGTGAATTTGTGCTGGTACATTTTTTTAGATAAAAATTACTTCTAAAGTTGTTTAGACAGAACTTCCCTCGCCACTAAAGTAGAATCATTTAAACAAGTCCGCGATTTAGATGAAAGGGAAGTAAAGATTATAAGAATATAACCCCTAAAAGTTTCAACGAAGTTTAATTGGTACGGATGATTTTACAATCTTCTCTAATCTTCCTGGTCCAACCCTTCATAATTAATTATGTACGTTGTAAAGTTGTGATGGGTACAAAAATAACGTTCTGAGTATACATCTAAAACTGCGCCTCTACGTCTGGTAAACACGGTCAATATTCTTATTTATGACTTCGGTATATAAGTATTACTTGAAAATATACTTACGAAGGTTAAATCTCTATTTCCAGCGAATGGCCAATGACTTATCGAATGGACAGATTTTTTTTGTTGTGCTACGGACGTAAACTTGCAAAAAATGTAAAATAAAATTCGTTGTTACTTTAAGATTTTAATTAAACTAGACCATAGAACTACACGCATCAATTAAACTTCACTCCGCGTCGTCGTTGGGATCACATGAGTCAAACAGGCCCTTCCTTCGAATGCGGTGAAATTCTTTGTTAATGTCGTAATTTCTGAAAACGGCACCCGTTAGAATCGCACCTTGATGCTACTGTTTTCCAATTTTAACATAATAACAAACGCTACTCACTTGTAGAACTCGGCGTACTCCCTTTTGTTGCCATCACCAAAAACAAGCCTCATGTACAGCCCTGCAATGGTGACACTTATTCCAGTTAGAATCAAATTTTTTCTAATCTGACCGTACAGCAAGCGTCGCATTTGGGGCTTGGGTAATTTACTTAGTTCTTCGGGCATTTTCTGGCTTTTAGCTAGACTTAAATAATGATGGGGCCGTTTTTGATTTTGTGTAAAAATATGGCGGAAAGTTTTTACCTGTCGATTACGTACCAACTCACAATATTTTTATCGGGATTATCTTTGAGTAAATACAGATACGTTTGCGCACTGTTTGTATATTTGTTGGAGACTATTTTAATCTTCAATTTAATTCGCTAAGCGGGTGGATGGAGCAGGAACACGCAACGCGGAAAACTGACCATCGGTTTGGGAAAGATAAATATTTACCGATTGCGTCACATCACCGCAAATTGTCGATAGTTTCAAGAAACTTAAACATGGACTAAAAATAGCCAGTAACGTCGTAAATTCAGTGTATACTTTTCATCTTTTCATGTGCAAATATCGTTATTTTACAGCGCATTGTGTAACTTGACGACACCAGCTAATAGACATATTAAAGTAAACGTTATCGAACACAACCAGAGGCAGATTTTTACTTGTTTTCAATGTTTGTATTATCTGTAGATATTCTAAATATGTAGGTACATTTTTTAGAGCAAAAATAAAAAAGTAATTAATTTTTATTAAGTTACACTAAATTACAATAACTACAACCCAACAATGATACGAAATTAACTAGTTTTTCCCTGGCTCTTTTCTTTCTCATCTTTCTCATCATCGTATACTGCTTCTTCATAAGGATCACAAGAATCAAACAGGCCTTTTCTTCGGATTCGGTGAAACTCGCACTCAATGTCGTAGTTCCTAAAATATCACTTCTCATATCTCTTAGTTTACAAAATGTCTACAGAAAGAACCTTACTTGTAAAAATCTGCATAGATGTTCTTACGTCTCTCAACATATCCAAATTTAAAAGCCAATCCTGAAATTATCATATTAATAAATGTAAGTATCAAGTTTCTCTTGATTTGGTCCATAAGGAGACCCCGCATTTTGGGTTTTGGGATTTTGGTAACTTCGTCAGCCATTTCGACTAAAAATTACAAGAAGAAATTATTCGTGTCTGAAAATTCACAAATAATGTCCGCAATATTTTTGTTGATAAATCGACAAGTGAAATTGTCGCATGGCGACAATTTGTCAGTGATCTTGATTTTGTAGAAACAAAACAATTTTTTCGCATGCAGTCTCCGTCAAATTCCTGGTATATATACCGTGTAATTTAAAATTTAGAAAATTTTTTTACTTCCCGAGCGTAAGCAAAGGAAGTATTGTAATCGAGTCCGTCGGCCGACTCTCTACTTTTACGTTTTCTCGATCTTTCATGACCCCAAGAAGACGAAGAAATAGGTCTCCCATTTCCGTCTGTCTGTCCGTCTGTCCGTCTGTCCGTCTGTCCGTCTGTCCGTCTGCCGTCCCGGATTTTTATTAGACAGATAATCTCCGAAAGTACTCGACCGATTGTTGTGAAATTTTGTACTTATATTAAGAATATCATGTAGATGGTAAAACGCTAACCAAAATTTGTCTAATCATCCCCACCACTAATGCGATGACGTCACTTCAAAATTGTACATAGTAAATGGGTTTCAATTGTATAAAATAACATAGTCCTACACATGTAGTTTACAACTCCGAATTGACTTTTCACCCGAAACGTCCAGATTTTTGAAAAAAAAAATCAAAATTATAAAACAACATTTTGAAATTTAATTTTTAATCTGCTAACCAGAATGCTTTCAAATGTTGCAGATGTTTTAAGGCTATAAAGAGCATCATAAATCTTTAGTCAAAAAATATTTGGTTATCCCCTCCAAAAACTTGATGACGTCACCTCAAAAATTTGTGGAATAAATCATATCTAAAATGTACAAAATATGATGAGTCTGTACTTGTGATTTATCATTCCATTCATATTTTTGGATTTGCATATGCAGGGTGACTCAAAAAAATTAATGAATGCGTAAATTAATTTTACTGATTTACTCAGAAACTACAAAACCGAATGCTTTGAAATCTTGCAGATGTTTTAAGGTTATAAAGAGCATAATAAATGTTTAGTCAAAATATATTTGCTTATCCCCTCCAAAAAATTGATGACGTCAGCTCGAAAGTTTGCCGAATAAATCCTATCTAAACTGTAAAAATATGATGAGTCTGTACTTGTAATTTATCACTCCATTCATATTTTTTGGATTTGTATATACAGGGTGACTCAAAAAAATTAATGAATGCGTAAATTTATTTTACTGATTTACTCAGAAACTACAAAAACCGAATGCTTTGAAATCTTGCAGATGTTTTAAGGTTATAAAGAGCATTATAAATGTTTAGTCAAAATATATTTGCTTATCCCCTCCAAAAAATTGATGACGTCAGCTCGAAAGTTTGCCGAATAAATCCTATCTAAACTGTAAAAATAAGATGAGTCTGTACTTGTAATTTATCACTCCATTCATATTTTTTGGATTTGCATATACAGGGTGACTCAAAAAAATTAATAAATGCGTAAATATATTTTATTGATTTAATCATGAACTGCAAAACCGAATGCTTTGAAATCTTGCAGATGTTTTAAGGTTATAAAGAGCATAATAAATGTTTAGTCAAAATACATTTGCTTATCCCCTCCAAAAAATTGATGACGTCAGCTCGAAAGTTTGCCGAATAAATCCTATCTAAACTGTACAAAATATGATGAGTCTGTACTTGTGATTTATCACTCCATTGATTTTTTTTTGGATTTGCATATACAGGGTGACTCAAAAAGATTAATGAATGCGTAAATTTATTTTATTGTTTTACTCAGGAACTACAAAACCGAATTCTTTGAAATCCACTACGAAAAAAAACATAATAGGCATGCAGTCGTCACGTTTCCGACAGCGAGGGAAGTGCTGTCTAAACTCTTTAGACCAATTTTTTATCGGGTGTCGATTTCTATTGTAGTCGCTTAATCTTGAATTATTCCTTAGATTGCAAGTTAGACACTTGTATTTTATCTTCAAATTATTATTGATCATCCGTTGTTTCACAAATCTGTTATCGCAATTAACTGATAACTAAAAAAATAATTTAGGTTGATCATACGCACTAAATCGTTATTTGGAAGTGATACTGAGAAAGGATGAGGATCCCAGAAAATGGATAACACGGTAAGTAATGAACTTTCTATTATAACAATTTTGCAAAATCTTCGTCTTAGACTTTTCGAAAACGATCTGGAACAACGTCCAGAGGCAAAGAATTCGAAGATCTCGTTGTTGCTAATTTGATTTTGAAGCTTCTACAAGACAACAACTTGAAGAATTTCCAGTTATCATCTAATGATGACGAGTATGGAGCCTTCGACGATGTCGTCCTTGAAACAGAAACCAAACAAGGGTTACAACAAATTCAAGCCCTTCAACTAAAACACGTCAACAAAGAAAAAATTCTCACCAAAAATGGGCTTAAAGGTAATCGTGGCAACTTTAGTATAACGAAATACTTCGAAGACTTTTGTAAACTTACGACGTCTCATACCAAAGTCCAGTTTGTGTTGTTCACCAATCTCAAGTTTGAAGCAGTAGATGGAGAAAAAATACATCTAGATGATGATAATTCAGAAGTTACAGTGATTCAGGCTCAGTTTGATCCATTGTTAAATACTACTCCAGAAGGTCGTTGTTACAGATTTGAATCTACAAATGAAAAATATGTGGAGTTCTTTGGAAGTTTCTTCCTGTACACCAATCAAGCTAACGTTGACAAAATGAAAACACAGGTGGCGTACAGATTTGAGAACTTGTTCTCGTGCGGTGGTTTTACGTTTAAAGAATTCTTGGATTTTGTGAGTAACTGGAATATTAAAGAAGGCAAGAAGTCAAAGCTACACTTGACAATGATCAAACGTGTTTTGGTCTTTTGTATGTTGTTGCAGCAAATAGTACCTTACAGTTTTGAAAATTCAAGCGACGACTCCAAATCGGAACTTTTAAAGGAAGCATTCTCTCGCTTCAGAGTGATTACTTTCAAGATGGATAATCGGGAAAAAATTAGAAAGGTTTATAGTGGTACGCAAAAGGACTTCAGCGCCGACGAAACAATATTCAAAGTGGGTCTCAAATACCAACTTATCTCAAAACATGAAGATCTAATTCTTTTGAACGACATTGACAAAACCAAGCTCTTATGGTTATTGGGTATGTATCCTTTGATCGTTGTCGAGGATTACGCGGTTCGCAAAGCAGTCAGTTTTTGTCAAGAAGGAAAGTTTGCAATCTTAACTCACAGAGACGGAAAAGAGAATTGTCGTTTTCTATCCGATTTGAAACGTGCGCCAAAAGTTTATGACCAAATTTTAGAAACTTTTAGTTGTTCCATTCAAGGTAAAACTAGATTAACTTTGAGCGATTTGGTGACCGCGAACGAAGAATTTGAAACTATTATCACTGCTGATGAGCTCTTGGAAATGATGGAAGGAACATTGGTTATTGGAGGACCCGCAGAAGAGCTTCCTGTGCCGTATATAAGTAGACACATTTCTGTTAATACTATAGATTACAAATTTCTGGATGAAATGGAAGATGACACTTTGGTCGTTATAACTTGTGGTGACCAGTTTGACAGAATTAAGGGACACTTGTCGCAGTGTCAAATCCGAAAAGTCCACTTAAGTGAAGATGGGTGGATTTGTTCGGCTGCAGAAGACCTTTGGACCAAACACCTATCTCTGTCCGACACTAGAGCACAAACGATCTTCGTAAACGAAAACGATTCTAGCACTAATTTACTGAAAACATTGTGCAAGAAGAACCCATTAAAGCGAAAGTACCACCATTTCAAGGTTGTTTCGGGAAAGTTGTCTTGGGTCGAAAGTGTATGTACGACCGAAGATTTGGAGAAGTATTGTTTGAGTGACGATTTTATTCCAGAAGCAGAATTTATTGCGAACAGAGAAAATAAAATCGAGCTTATTTGTGCCGATCCCGGTATGGGAAAATCAGTTCTTATGAGAAGAATGAAAAGTCAGCAGCCTTCAAATTACTGGACGGTTCTAATTTCTTCAAAAGAGTATTCTTCTTATTTTAAAGATGGCACCTGTAACGCTGCCATTTTCATTCAATATATTTTGCAAAGAGAAAATCGTTTTGAGTCGAAGTTTTTAGAAATTTTGATTCAGATTCGACAGGTGATTTTTATTTGGGACGGACTGGATGAAATACCCCTGAAGAAACTGGAAATTGTTATCAACATCATTCAGGAGATTTCACAAAAAGAGTTTTACCAATTTTTGACGAGTAGGTGTAATCTGAAGAAACTCTTAGAGCATCGATTAAACGTACTTGCAAGAACTATAAAACCTTTCGATAAAAGTCAGCAAAGTAACTATATAATGAATAAGTTAAATTTAAAGGAGGGTGATGATATTGTAAAGAAGATTACACGGAGCATAGAAGTGTTACGATGTCATGACGTTTTGGGTGTTCCTCTGCATGTTTATATGTTGACAGAACTGTTTCTTCGCAACCCAGACAAGTACACCACGATTTTAAACAACGAGTTATTTTCAATTGCCGATTTGTATTATTATTTCGTGGATGAAAAGTTCAATATTTACTATAAAGAAAAAGCCAAACTGGATGACTCGGATGATGCCGTTCGAGAATTAATTTCAGATTGTAAAAGAGATCGCCTTGATAATTACGAGTTTGTTTCCTTAAATATGATTTTCAAAGAACGAAGAAAACTGCACAACAGTTTTTTAGAAGATATACGGAAGAACAACGATTGTGTCGGAATTATAGCAAATGTGACCAGCGAAGGAGTGCCAATATTCATTCATCACTCTTTTGGAGACTACTTCATAGCGTCGTACTTGGTCAAACATTATAAACAAGAAAAGTATCTTCTGGACTCGTTGTTTACGCAAAAGTATAAAACTATTCGTTTTTTTTTCGACTTAATCTTGGCCCAGGATTGTCCAGCTCATATTGCAGTCCTGTACCAAAACTCTGAACTTGTAATGAGTTACGGTGAACCACTTCATAAAACCGATAAAGGAGGAAGGAATCCACTTCTTCTGGCATGTTCCTGGGGTATGAGGTATTATCCCTTTAAATACCAGAAGGTGGGTCTGTTTTCAATAGAATACAACAAAAAGCAAATCTGTGCAAAACGCGAACCTAAAGAAAATACACAAATACTGCAGTTCTTGACTTTGTACTGTATACCATACCAGATTGATAACATTTTCCAAATGGACGCTTTTGAGTACGCAAACAGATCAAGCAGTTTCTACCCAATGCTTCTACTAACGAAAACCTACAAGAGGTACCTACTGAGTTTTAGTAATTTTAAAGACGTGGCTGGTATTTTCTTTCACTCCGTCAAACTAGATTACACGGAGATATTTGACATTCCAGGTCTTAAACCGTGGATAGTACAGAGAGTAGAGTGGATGGTACAGACGTCTCTTCGTTGGAATTCGCTCCACACTTTAGAAAAACTCTTATTCGATAAGAACTACAACAAAAAAATCGACAACAGTACGCTTCCAATTCACATCGCTTGTCGCTATCGCAACATCGACGTCTTGCAGTTGTTGATCCGCACCAAAATCGATTTGAACACCCCAAACGTATCCGGTTTTACTCCTCTAGGCATAGCATGCCAACAAGGTCATTTAGATGTGGTCAAATTGTTAGTTGCTCATGGAGCTAAAATCAACTGTACCAATTCAAGAACTCCTCCACTTGCCTTAGCTTGCTACGGTGGTCACATCTCCACAGTCAAATTTCTGCTAGATTCAGGTGCCGACATACACCTTCGAGGAAAATCTGATATAACATGTCTACACTTTGCCTCTTTTTTTGACAATGTAAGCATTGCCAAGCTTCTTGTTGACGGAGGTTTTGACATTAACGCCACTTGCAAAATTACGTATAAAGGCGTCACTTCCTTACTTATCGCTTCTGGCAATGGTCGCAGCAAAATGGTCGGATTTATTCTTGACAACGGTGCCGACGTAAACCTGACGGCTGAAAATGGACTTACGCCACTGTATTTAGCTTCTGAAAGAGGGTTTTCGGAAATAACTCGCATGCTGATAGCAGCTGGTGCTGATGTTAATGCGTTGACCACTCTAGGAGGGAGTGCTTTATATAGGGCATGTTATCAGGGACACGTTGAGGTTGTTCGCATGTTGATAGCAGTTGGTGCTGACATTAATGTGTTGACCATTCGTGGAGTGAGTGCTTTACATGGGGCATGTTCTAAGGGACACGTTGAGGTTGTTCGGATCTTGTTGGATGCTGGTGCCGATATTAACTGTAAAAATGCTAGAAGATGTACTCCACTATATTTGGCTTGTGAGTATCGACGGATGGAAATCGTGAAGATCTTGCTAGGTGCTGGAGCTGATATAAGCGTTAGAAACTTGTTTGGAAGGAATGCTTTACAAGTTGCAAGGAATAAGGGATATTCGGAAATTGTGCAATTATTTTCGTCTAGGGAGTAAAAGACTTGATGTTTTATAAGTTTTGAGTGAATCTTTTGTATATCAACTTAAATTATAGTTGTTAGTGATAATTTTGATATTAGCTTAGTTGAAATAAATAAGTTGAAATATTATGTAGTACTGTTCCTTAACTGAAGAGATAGAAGGTAATCAGGTAAACGATAACGAAGTGTAAAAGAATTTTCATTATTTTTCACTGTTTAAGTTTTCTTAACGGTTTCACAAAATTCTAAGAACTAACTAAACTGTTGTTTTGAAGTCTCTTTACGGATTATTGAATTGGATTAATATGACAAGGTAGGTGCCGATCGCCGCAATCATCTGGAAACAACCAACATAATTTAGTACCACGCTAGCCAAAATAGTGTACCATATGGCAGAAGGTCCAGTCCAAATTAAAAAAATCCTTAGCCGTGAATTGGATTCTGGTATTTAGAAGCCTAAGCGAAACAAACTGAAGATGGCGCACTCTTTTATCAACTTCATTATTCATAGCATACTTATTCCAAATATCGTGAACGTAAGTAGCAGTTTCGTTGGCCTAAAACCCAGAATAAAAACAAATCAGATCACAAATCCCTTTACCTTCTTCTGGGTGTAACTGAAACTAACCACCATCACAAAAAACCAGTAAAAATAAAACGCCAAATAGATACATGCACCTAGAAGTTCTATATACATTTCTTGTGTTTTTTGGAGCAGCAGTATCGCCAAATAATACACAGTTCCGATGACATAACTAAACCACATTAACATCGCCATTATGGTCGTCGTTTCAAAGAGACCACTGATACGGATGGTCAAGTTAATCAACGCATAGTGCATCTGTGTCAACTCTTGTATCCTCTGAATGGTCGAACTGATCTCGTTGTGCTTCATACTCCTAACTTCCTCCACCCTGTTCAAAGGAAAAATCGTAAATAAATCGACGGAGTTCACTTGCCGCTGAAGACACCGATTGATCGTGTCAAACTTGCAAGAAACGCAAGTTAATATATCGTTGAGAAAGACATGGTCATAGGCGCTCATTATCATTGGAATAAAATAGAAACCGAATTCGTAAAGATCTCCACTGTGCCAAAAAAAGAACAGAGCGTTAAGTGAGAGAATTGCCAACATTATTCCGCAAACCCATTTCTTTTTTCGTGGAGGTTTGTTGGGGGCAAAGTAGATTTGAATCGAGTCTAGTTTCAACAAGCAAATCTTCAGTTGTTCAGTTCTTTTAAAAAACATAACTGCCGACGTTAACATGGTCAATAAGCTGCTGTATCCTCCGATTTTTTCGACACATGTGGAGGTGTATGTGCTTACAGTACCGTCATTTTTTAACATGTATATAGTAGATGCGTAGAAGAAATAGGCGAATGTGGGAATAGGGTAGATGTGAGAGAACACCGTGGAGATTGTGGAAGGATGTTCGTCCGTAGTGAACTGGATGATCCCTAGAAGCTTATAGAAATACTTTAGAATAACATTTGTGTTTTCGATCAGAAACATAGCTATTTAAATGAAAGTTTATTGAACACACACAGAGAGATAAGAATGAATACTTTAGTGGCAGTGGCATTTTGTAACCAACGAAAGTGATATTAGTGGTTAATAACAGGGGAATGGTTTGATTAATTACGCAGAAAACAAATAAAAAATTAACTTGTTCAATACCTACATTAATCTTTTTTGTAACATATATCTATCATTTTCCATGTAAAAGACAGTAAAGTGTTCAAGAGATTAAATTTAGGGATACACGCTATATTTATACCTGTTATTGTTAATTTCGTTAATGCAATTATTTTAATGCAGTTTGAGATTTAAACTTCTGTTCTGTACTTACACTTTCGTTAATTAAAACGACATAAGTTTAACGAATTTTTAATTTTTATTTACAACAGGCGCAGTCAGCTGGATGCACGTGTTCAAATAATAACTAATATTACACAATTTCTAAGGATTAAACTGAATCAGGATAAGGACGTACGTCGTAATGGATCCAAGCATCTGAAAACCATACCATAAGCAAAACAAAATTTCCATCCTTAGCATTTACCAAGTGGCAAAAAGTCCAATCTAAATTAAAGAAATCCCTCGCAGTAAATTGAAGTCTAGTGTTTAGAAGCCTTATCGATGCTAACTGCAGATGTCTCACTCTTTGATCTACCTCCCCATTTAAAGCATACTTATTCCAAATATCATGCACATAAGTAGCAGTTCTGTTGGCCTAAAAAGAAAGAGTTAACTAATAGCTAAAAAGATCATCAGCTACCTTGTTCTGAGTCCTAGTAAACATCTTCAACATCAAAATCAACCAAAATAAGTAAAAAATTAAAAATGAAAAGTTTGTCGCATAAAACTCCGCAGTTGCCTCGTCTTTAACCCCATAGTCTATTATATAGTAACAACTGTCGTTAACGTAACCGAACCACGTTAACATAGCCGCAATGGTCGTAATTTCAAAGTGGTACGAAATTTTTTTTGTTAAACCGACCAGGTCATAGTGATAGTGCGACAATTCGTGGACTCGTTCTAAATTAAAATCAATTTCTTCGTCTTTTAGCAGCTGTATTTTGGACATCTTCGTCAAAGGAAAGATCTTTGACAGATCAACGGAGTTTACTTGTCGTTGAAGTTGCACATTTATGGTCTCGAATTTGTTACAAATCATGTTCAAAACATCCCCGAGGAATAAATGGTCGAAAAAAGTTATAATTCCTGGTAGAGAAAAGAAGAACTGCGGAATGGGCAACTCGTCTTCGACAAAATGGCAAATGATGTTGATTATCATACTACCGACTGCGCCAATTCTAAGCGCAACGTCTCGGGGCAAGGGTTTGCCTTCGTTCGGAATCTTTAAGTTGTCGAGTTCGGTTAGTAGAGTTGAGAGGTGACTACTTCTGTAGCAAAAAATAAATGCGCACAATGCCATTGTTATAGTGCTGGAGAAGATGGCAAGGGAGTCGATGAAACGCACGATGGTGAAGTCGGAAAAATCGAAGTACCAGGCATTGTACTGGATGCCTAAATAGACGAAGAAGGAGTTGATGGGAATGGACCAGAGATGGGGCGTTATTTTAAAGAAAATTGGTTGCGTGGTAGCCCCGAACTGGATAATGCCCATCGTTTTGTAAATGTATTTCATGATGATGGGAATGCCGTCCAAGAACATTTTTGAATTACGCGTGATGTATTGATCTGGTGGTTGTTTTTCAGAGTTGTGGTCATGTGGAAAGCGGAAAACAGTTAATCAAGGAGTTGATAAACAAGGATTGATTTAGGTTAATGGGATTAAAGTGAGAAAATGAATGTTTTTTCACTACATAGACAAAGATAAATTAAACTCAAGAGTTATTAGAAATGAAAATAAGCCTTTCTAAGTTCGCACAATGTCATCTAGATGAAGGAAAAAATGTGTTAGTCCGAATAGAAAAAATATAGAAATATAGGGGATTGTCCATGAAGCGGAAACATTTGCAATTCATCAATGAATGATTTATACAATTTTAAGCAGACGTATGCCTAGAAATATTTTAGAAGTGGTTGATAATTTTGGAAAACTAGCTTCGATCGTCTGATCACTCCGTCTTATTCCGTAACTTATAAAATTGTTTTGTAGATGAAGATATTGTTTCTGAAAATGGTTTAAGGGTGGCGTCTGGTTCGGTTTCGCCCAATACTAAATACATTGAAAACATCGTCGTAGTTTCCGGAATTGCATTTTTAAAATACTGAAATTTCCAACCAAGTCAGAATCTAAGTAAACCTGCATTCTGCTACTGCATCACAGCTCGTTTAATGCCGATTTTTCGTTTCAATAGATTTTGACTTTTCGCGAGTTATTTACCTCAGTCGTGGATTTTTTAATATTATAAATTGTATCAAAAGAAAGCTGACACTTTTCCCCAGGGGACCTCCTATCTCAGAATGCAAAAAACTTCAGCACTCAAAAAATGCATCAATGTGCCGGTTAAAATGTGATGTAAAAGTTGTTCAACTTTATAATTTTTTTTTTTTAAACTGCATACTAGATATGAATATAAATATGGAGGTCCCCTGGACTGAAGTTTGTTAATTCGAAATATAATTTTTTTAAAGCGATATATCTCATATTTTTAAAATGCAACTCCGGAAACCGCGACGATGTTTTCAATGTATTTAGTATAGGGCTAAACCGAACCAGACGCCAGCCTTAACACAGACAGGAAACGTGTTCAGTGTATTGATCTTTTACGATAATGTTGTTTTGTCAAGAAAATATGGATCGATTAGCTCATCCACTAATTTATTTTGTTTAGGTACTGACAATTTTTCTGTTTTTCGTCACACTTAGGATGTATGTACTTATTTAAAATAAAAAAATAAAAAACAACTTAATTGTGGAATGTGTCCATATTTGAGGTCATTTAGTTCAAAACAGTCTTCATTTCACTAAACTGTGATGGTGTACTTTCAAATTCTTTCTCTTCAATTAAAGAATGCTTTGTTTGTTGTCAACATAAGCAATTTGATATTTTTAGGAATTAAACTGCATCAGAATAACCAGATATGTCACAACCCCTACTATTATCTAAAACACAATTTTCACCCTTCTATGGAAATTGATTACTTTTATACCATGTGATAGAACGTCCAGTCCAAATCGAAAAAGTACTTTGCCGTGAATTTCAATTTGGAGTTTAGCAATCTGATGGAGACCAGTTGGAGATGTTGGAGATTTTTGTCCACCTTTCTTAAAACCCAACAGTTCCAAACGTCGTGGATGTAGTTCACAGTTTTGTTAGCCTGGAGAGATGCAGATCATTTGATATTACTATGGTATCATTAAAATACTCACTTCTTTTTGTGTAGAACTATAACTACTTATCAGCATGGTCAGCCATAAATGAAAAAATATTAACATAGTCACCATGTGCAGTGCTAATATGGGAAAAATATTATTTGCTACATAAAATAGGAAAGTATAGCTGATATTAACAATAGTGATAAACCACAATATCATTGCGACGACGGTTGTTGTGCTGAACAAGTTGTTAATATGGACGACTAACATTGTAAGATCGTGATGAAGAAGTGACTGTTGTTCAATTTTAGTTATTCTTAGTGCTATTTGGTTTTGTTGAAATATTTTTAATTTAAGATTGTTGTCTAGGTTGTATATTCTCTTTGACTCTATTCCTTCTCGTCTAATATTTTTATTGATTTTATTATATTCATGGTAGATTATTTGTAACAGGTTACAAAGAAACATGTGATTTAAGAAACTCACCAGAGCAGGGATGTATAAGAAGAAATAAATATAAAAGTTGTTAAATGAACCAACAAATGCGTGATTACTTATAGCTGAGAGAAGAACTATTTGCTGAAATCGTGTATGTAGTTTTATCCTCTGACCTCCATATCGTGATGTTAACTTCTGTCTCGTTTTTTCCAGTTTTTTTAAATAACGTTCTAAGCTTTTTTTTCGAATGTAAGTGACAACAATAGTGACAACCAACGTGCAAATGCTGACTAGTGATGTAAGAAAGTCAACATTGTCTATAAGATTTGACAAACTTTGATGCACAAGGAGTGTGTTATACAGCCACTTTCCAAAACAGTAAAGATAGAATGCGTACAAAGGAAGACACCAAAAGTAAGAGGTTATTTTGAAAAAACTACTTTCGTCATTCGAATGAAACTGCCATATTCCGTGAATTTTGTAGACAATTTGAAGCCAAATTGGAATGTCTTGGAGTGTGTGCATGTTCACAGTTTAAAATTAACGCAAAAGTAAAAATATACGTGCGTTATTAATTTCTATATTAATTGATCACATTTTTTATCGACGAATTAGGTAATTGAACAGTTTACTTAAGCGTCAATAATTATAATTTATCGATCGGGCCATGAACAAAAAGTTAAAGCTTTTTATTATTATTTGTGTCATTTTTATTTATAAGAAAATCTCAAAACGTACATTTTGGGTGTCGTGTGTGACATTGTGTCGATTTGCAGTCTTTTTCTAAATAAATTTGCACTAATGTACTGTATCGACATTTTTAGAAATTAAACTGGATCAGAATGACTAGATATGTCGCAACTCCTGCTATCATCTAGAAACACAATTTTTACTTTTTTAAATAACTTTACTAACGTCATACCATGTGGTAGAAAGTCCAGTCCAAATCGAAAAAATGTTTTGCGGTGAACTTCAATTTCGCGCTTAGCAATCTAACACAGATTAGTTGGAGATGTCTTACATTTTTGTCGACTTTTCTTAAAATGTAGCGGTTCCAAACGTCGTGGACGTGGTTCGCAGTTTTATTAGCCTGGGGAGACACTAATCAGTTGATACCACTGAAATAAATACATTTACCTCTTTTTGTGTGGAACTGCAAGAACTTAGCAATAGGACCAGAGATAAATTAAAAAATAGTAACAAGCTTATTATGTACAGCACCCACTTGAGCTCTAGCTGACCTGGTGCATAAAACACAAAATTATAACTAATATACACAGTATTA